TAAAAATAAAAATAAAAAGGCCGGGCCCTGGAGATGTACGAGGATTCTCCTCCATCGGTGGAGCTCGAGCAGCACACAGCGGTAGTCCTGCTCCCGGTCGCGACGAGAACCTGACGTGGAACGTGCCGGATCTCCTCCGCGGCATCTCTCCCGCGAGCATGTTGATGAATGGTCCGCGGTCTTCCGGACCCCAATGTCCATCGCCAAGATGGACCTGCACAAGTCTGTTGGCTACCTGGAGGCGCAGGTCTCAGAGCTAATCTGAAAACCTCGTTGCTCCGAGACGATCGCGTGGGAACAGACCCAGGGCATCTCTGCCAAGGACAAGACATCCAAGTACACAGGCTCCCGAGGAGACTGGAGTCAAGGAAACGGTTACATCACCCGTGATGGTTTCTGCCCGTTTGACGCTTTACTAGCTATATATGAGGATGGAACTTTCCTTGGAGCGACCAAGGACCCACGCACTGCTGACTGGCAGCTGTTGGAGAGTTTGTTAGAAAGGAGGAGGTTGTCAATGATGGAGAGGATGGGGAAAATCCTCTTTATTCGTATCTAGTTTTATTTTCTTCCGTTTAAGCTAAGAAGAGCATCACTGTTTGTTGTGCAGAGCCAGGTTCTGGACTCAACTGGCAGATGGTGCAGTGAAGGGTTTGGTCTGTAGTCCCCTTCGGAATAAGATAATCTGACATTAGATGTCAGAATAACTAATCTGACTATAATTTCTTAATAACCTTTTATAACTTAAACCAGATTTTTTTCACTGGATGTCAGAATAACTAATCTGACATTGATGTCAGAATAATGTTTTCCTGGCTAATCTGACATGTGCTGTCAAAGTATCTTTTTCAAGAAAAGCTATTCTGACATTCCACTAATGTGGGTATTCTGACATGTAATACTCATATGGCCATCTTTTTAAAGAGCTGCTCGACTGCAATAAAGCGAAGCGAAATCTAAGCGTTGTTTAAGCACTGACGTAATGAAAACATGTGTACTTAATACTTACTACCGTCAGTGTTAGTTTTTTCTTTTTGAAAAAGGTCAATTTGACGAAAGGAACACTTAGGAAACGCACCGATATGATGCCGCCAAGAACGCGAGTTCCATTGCGGTATCTTGAATACAGGGTAAGCCACTCCCAAGAGCGTGCTAAAAGAATGGACTCTATCTTTCATATCCTTTCAGGCATTATCAAAACAGCGATTTACAAAATACTGGTACCTGTAATAGCGACAAAGCAAGAAAAGAAAAACAATGAAATGAAGTAAAGAGGCGCAAGAACTAATGATGTTAATTGTACAGAGGAGTCGCGTATTGTAATAGCAGCAAAGTAAGGGGGTGTGAACAAGGGAATGAGCAATGAGAGGGAACAAGAGAGAGATAGGAGAGGCAAGAGTACCAGGGACAAGTGGAAGAGGCTAAAAATATTATCGTTTATCATTTATCATATATCATATATCATATAGAAATGGATGCAACGCGTTTCAAACTTGCGGTAGAAAGGATACTTTTGTCAGCGTCTCGTTGTTCTGTATAAAAAGGCACATTTGGGGAGAGAAAAGAAAGTGTAGATTGAAAAGGTGGAGCTACAACATTACAGTAGTCTAAAGAAGATGGTGAATAGGGACAAAAAGTGGTCTGGATGCATGTATTGCCACCGGTACATATACGTGATACAGTCGACACGAAAAGATTCAGGTGCATTTACTGGAACTGATGCGGGTGTATGGGATATGCGCATACAAAAGGCTAGTGCTGGTGCATAGAGAAGGAGCGGTACAGGCGCATGAGCAAAGGGTAATACGGGTGCATACATCGCCGGTGGTACGGGTACATGGACAAAGAGCGGTACAGCTTCATATACAAAGGAGCGGCAGACGACGACCTAAAAAAGATGGAATGATCGAGGACGAAGGGTACTGAAAAAGAGGGATGGGCGAGCCATGAAGAAAGAGAGAGAGATTATATTACTGTACAGGAGGGACAATTAAGGAAGGAAAGAAGGTGCGATTGCTAGTGCTAGTGGAGATGTAGTTAAGATGGAAAAAGTAAAGAGGAGGAGACGTGAAAATGTAGACTAGGCAGAAGAACATCCCTATAGTGCTATGTCGCGTGGTTACGTACAGTACATAACTAAAATAGCTATGCTCAGGCCGTCTAGTGTCCAAAATGATGTTTTCTGGCTGCTGAGTAGGATCTACCCAGCCTGGCGCCCTGAGAGCGATACAAGGAGAAAGCGTAGATGGCCTTCTATCCAATGCAACTACTTCCATAGCATTCGCGTGCCTGTGAGCGAAGCTATTGCTGATGTAAAAACAACAATCTCAGGTCTGAATTCGCCTGGTCGTTTTGGCTTAATTTTCCTTTCAGGGAAGGTGCCCGTTTTTATAATCTTACTTTTATGGAGATTGGTCATTTTCCTTATTTTACTTAGGCCTGGCTCCAGACCTCTCTAATTGTAAATTCCTTCCTTTTCTTTAGAGAGATCATATTCCGTGTTCAAGAAACAAAATAGCGTCCAGCGCAAGCCCCACCGTTAATAAGGAAGCGTTCCGACCATGGAGCTGTGCCGTTTATTAAACACGATCAATCCTGTTTCCTCCATCCTTCAAAATACATAAATAAAGATGGAGACAATGATATTTGTGAACGATGGCTACTAATTTTTAGTCTTGCCGTCACCTCATGACAGCGTCGAAACGGCCGTATAGAGGAAAGAAAGCATGCACACGGCCACGATGGTCTCGTCAAAGCCTCTTAACGTCGTTAACTGTAAGAGAACACAGCAGCTATTCTGACATTACAGTCAGAATATCTTCTTCCATGTCAGATTAGTTATTCTGACATCCAATGAAAAAAATATGGTTTAAGTCATAAAAGCTTATTAAGAAATTATAGTCAGATTAGTTAATCTGACATCTAATGTCAGTTTATCTTATTCCCTATGAACGAGGCTACCAACCTGGATACCCTGGAGCTTCTCAAAAAGAACAAAAGAGGTAGAAGAGTGCTATTGATGATCTACGCAGGGGTCGAACCTGCAATCTCCTGATTCGTAGTCAGACGCCTTTCCATTGGGCCAGCAGACCGATCGCTTTCTCTTCTTCCACGGCCAGAGACCAGGTCTCCAGCCAAACTCAGCCAATCAGATCAATTGGGGAGCTCTTTTCTTTGATGGTAGTTGATATTTTCTGTCGTATATGTACTGGCTTGCTAGTTTTTTAATGGGGACTCTTGGGACTCACTCATTTTTTAAGCCCAAAAAAGGCCGGGTCCTGGGGCCTTGGGGCCTTGGAGCGACCAAGGACTCACGCGCTGCTGACGAGCGGTTGTTGGAGAGTTTGTTGGAAGGAGGAGATTGTCAATGATGGAGAGGATGGGAAGAATCCCCTTCATTCGTATCTAGTTTTATTTTCTTCCGTTTAAGCTGTGAAGAGCAGCGACAATTGTTGCGCAGAGCCAGGTTCTGGACCGGACTGCGACTGGTGGATGGTGCACTGAAGAGTTTGGTCTGTAGTCAGTCCCTTTTTACTTCCAAATGACTTCTTTATGCTGTTTGTTTGAGAAATAAAATTATGTATGAATAAAAAAAGAGGACTGGACTGGACTGTAAAAGGTGGATGGCGCACTGAAGAGGTTAGTCTGGAGCCTTTTACTTTCAATTGTGTGTTGTTTGTCAGAGATATAACGCTGTGTACGAAAAAAAGCGAAGGTGAAAGAAATAAAAGAAAAGGAGGATTGGGTTCCATATGTAGAGAGAGTGAGGGCTTGGATGGTGATGTTCGGATAACCACCCTCAGCAGTTCAGATAAGAGAAATAAATTAGATCTGGATGCGAAAAAGAGTCCCCATTTCTCATCTTTGGCCTTACGCTTGGTAGTGGCTATTCGGGCGAGGCTCCTAAACAATCAGCCTTTCGTTCATTGTTGTAAAAATGAAAGAAATGAAAAAGAAGACAATGAGCAGATGTGAAGGAGAGAAAGAGTAAAAAGGAAAAGAATAGAGACAACCAAGTAGGTTTGGTCCCTAAGCTGGCTGGATTGCTTTGACTTTGTAATGGATAGACGCACTTTCTTCAATGATCGCGCTTTTTTTTCCCACTGGGGACAAGCATAGGCGCGTTCATAGATGTCAGCAGAGAGAGGATCCACACGCAGTCAAATTAGGTACATCTTAAAGGAGGCACAATTTTTTTTGGGGGCTTATTATGCGCGTTTCTTTGTCCCTCTGACACCTTTTTGCCATTAAAAAATAATAATGGACGCTAGTGCAATTTTTTTTTGGAGTTGCCGCAACAAAAAATGCGTAAAAAACATTCACACACCCAAAACCAACCAACAGCAAACCAAAACAACAACCAGAAGCAACCATGCCACATTACTACCCCTGGAGGGGAGGAAGGCTACACTCTCCGGCTTCAGTGCCACACTTCCTAGCAGAACTCTCATTTAGTGAAGCATCCAGCGTCATCCGCGAGACACCCAACTGGTGGATCAAGATCAAGGACTCCACCATCACCGCCAACTTGAGATGCGGACTTCTGGAGGAGAGTCGGAAGCGCGAGGAGATGGTTCCACATGACGGCCGAACCAAATCAATTATATTTTCAGGGAACTAGATTGGGTTAGCTCAGAAGCGACAGGAGCAGGTTGATAACGATGCGAGGGCCCCGATTGAGGTGGGTGCGGAACGGACGAGGAGGGGCGGGTGGGGTTGGTTCCTGAGGAGTCGAAGGGCTAGGTTGTTGGAATGTGTGTGTCAAGAAAACTGGAGGATGTGCCGGACGACAAGAAGAACTGCCATCCGGACTTGGACGAACAGGTCTTTGATCTGGTTCGCCTTTCTCTATTCCCCTTTGTTTGCTGGTCGGGCTCTAGTCACGGACGAGTAACCCATCCCACCCTTGGGCTTATCACTGCCGGTAAGGTCCTTGATGTCGCGCCTGTTTCCCAAGTCAAACACAGTGCAATCGACATTCTACTTCAAAACCCACCAAAATGGCTCCCTATAGACTTCGGTATCACTCCCTAAGGGTAAACTCAATACCAGATCGTACATCAGTAGCCGGTCGAGTACAAGGAAATGTGCTCGGTCTTGGAGGGGATTCTGGAAAAATTCTTGCTGATGTTTGAAGAGGTTCTGAGGATTTCCTGCCCAAGAAGTTGGAACCGAATAGTGATTATTATGGATCGTTGTCCGAGTTTGAGAGGGATCAGGAGGGAGACTGGGACGACGACGGAGAAATATGATGATGATGAAGGAGAAGGAGGCGATGATGACGGTAAAGGCGAGAAACCACTCAAGGCGTCCAAGGCACCCAAAGAGGCTAAGAAGCCCAAGGAAGGCAAGGTCGACCAGTGGCACTCCTCTATGACTACTACATGGACCGCCTACCTCTACCGATCACCATCCCAGAATTCAAGCCAAGATCGTGACCTCACACCATACAAGCTCAAAACCTCAGGCAAACCCCTCCAAGTGATCGTCAAGCTGATCAACATCGAAATCACCGCCACCCTACCTAAATATACTTTGGAGGGCACCTGGCGCGTCAAGGACTTGGCGAACGAAAAAATTGTCGCGACGGAGCATCTACTACTACTGCGACACCGAGAACATCACCGACTCGCGACTCATATTCCGGATCTAGATCGAGGAGGCCTTTTACGAACAGTCGGACGGACAAGGGCACAAAACATCTCTACGGTATCAAGAATAACGACCACCCTGTGACAGCGCTTGGACGGGATTATCAACAAACAAGATCGCTGCCAGGTATTCCCCAACATCTTTCAGCACAAGTGTTTAGCGCAGACCCGGATACTGCCTTTTTCTTCTCGTCCTGTTTTGTCCCGACGCAGCAGAAGGGCTGGGACAACCGCCCCTCTGTTGAAGAGGTGAACAAGAAGCTGTCGCCAGAGCAGTTGCGTGAGGTTGACCAGATGGCGGATTGGCCGACGGATCTGGAAGAGGCCAAGAGACATCGTGCTAATCTTATGGTAGAACGCTGCTACTTCTCCGAGACCTTCAACACCAACTTGCTCGAACGTCCCTTCAGCCTCTGCGAGCACTTGATTTCTACATTTTCATCTTTGCCAGGGACAGCATCAAAATAAATAGTGGCGAGTGTGAGTGTGTAAAAAGGTAGTTCATCCTTGTCAGTCCTCTCTCTCTCATTTCTCTCTTTTCCTTTCTTTCTCTCTCTCGCGTCAAAATGAATTGGTGTTGAGTACAATATGAATTATTTAATTTCGTTCTCTCTCTCATTCTCCATTCTTATATGCGTGTTGTTTAGATGAGGGCCAAGGCAACAGCAGAGGCAGTGCTCAATCCCAAGACGGCGTATCCAGTCTGGTAGACACCCTTCATGGTCATGAAGCGGGTGGTGTCCCAGGCCAAGTGGCGGATACCGTTGAAGCAATGGAAGGTGAAGGGGTAGGCAATGATGAACTTGGCAGCAATCTTGGCGCCAACTGGGACGGTGGCAATGACCGAGGTAACAGCAGCAGCATCAAAGCCCAAACCAACCATGGGGCCAAGAGCGTATGCGATAGCTCCAGCGTAGAAACCTGTTGAGAGTAAAATAAGAAATAAGGACATAAGTTCCCTGTGAAAATAGTGAAGCTGCTATGTATGTCTGCGCGTCAATTGATACACAACAGAGTGTATCTGTCCAGTCTGTCCATCGCTATCCTGATTTTCAACATGTCGCCTTCAGTTCCTTGGCAACAAAACAGGCCTTACCAACACCGACGGCACCACCGGTGAAACGATGGAATAAGGACAGGTACCAGGTGAGCTGGGGCTGGTAGATTGTCAAGTGAGGGGAGAGAGGACGGTTCTTGCGCTGCTCAATGAGAGGGGCAACGGTGACGTCCTTCTGGGTGTTCTGGGAAGTTGACAAGATTCTATAATTGTCAAAAGTTGAAAGTTAGGGTCAACAGCACGCTATCATCTCTGTTGTTCTGTTCCTCCGTTTGTCTGCTTGTCCGAGGGTCGCGTTCACTCCTTATTTCCCTATGTGTGTGTGGCCTTCGGAGTTTTTTTTCCTTATGTGTTTCGCCGTGATGAAAAAAGTTCGTTGATGGGTATGCGTTCCTGTCATCGGGGTGGGGTCTGTCGTGTCGCTGTTTCTGTATTAACTTGTCCGTGATATGGTCCCAGTGGTCGTGAGACAGGGTCTATGATTACCTGGTGCCGACGGGAGCCATGACGCGCGTCTTGGCGATGGCAGTCTTGGCCATGGCCGAGGCTATCAGGAATTCATGGATGAAGAGTGTTCAAGATAAAAGTCAGTCAACCAGGGTTGAGAGGAGGAGGAGGAGGAGGAGGAGGAGGAGGAGGAGGAGGAGTGAAGAGTGTATGCGAAGAGGTTGTGATGTGTGAGGAGTGTTTGCCGATATGATTATATTTTGAGCTCGGAAGACGCATTTGGAAGTGGTGCGGGGTAAAAAAAGGCCGAGGTGATTGTGGCGCCGGTCCATATGGTCACATATGTCAGACAGGCAAGTCGGTTTTCTCCGAGAGAGATTCCCGAGGCGAGAAGGTGTCGATTGAGAGGAAGGAAAAAGGCGTTTTGTGGTTGTTGTTGTTGCTCAAGAGCGTGTGGGGAGAGGGACGTTACCCTGGACACGGCCGATGTTTCTAAGGGGAGCGGCAATACGGGAAGCGAACATTATGTGATGAATAGGGAAGAGAGTGGGGAGGAAGGACGAGGGAGGATAAAGAGAGAGGGGAGAGGAAGGGTGTAAGAGAAGAAAAAGAGACTTTGCACACGAGAAAACTTGTCCGAAAAAACACCTCTCCTCATATGCCGCACTCAACCAAGCACCCGAAAGGGAGAGGGGATAAACACATATGAAGTTAACGCGATTATTCTTCCTTCCGTGATGTCATATTTCCGGTTCACGTGATTTTATTTGATAGACCGTTTTACGCTCGCGTCTAGACCTACGACCTGGAGTACACTTTTACAATAGAATCGGCTCCTCCAGTCGCCATAAGCCCTGGTAACGTAGGATGGTACTTGACTGTAGTCACACCCTCATCACTTTTTCGTCGGTGAGCTGTAAACTCCTGTAGACAAGAGCGCGTAGAGGACGCAATATCCCATAGTCGAACAGACGCATCATGGCCACCAGAGCAGAGAACCAATCCTGCTGGATCAATATCTAACGACGACACAGAGTCCAAATGTGCAAGCATCGAGAACGAGCACGCTCCAGAATTGATGTCAAAGAAGCGTATATACCGATCCTCGTGTCCCGACACAACCACTGGCATCGTTGGGTGACACACAATCTTGTTGATCTGTGTCTTTGCTGTACCATCTATATATATATATATACAACGCACCGAAAAAAAGGGTGTCACGTCAGTCATCCGTCGATGTACTTACTGCGAGCAACAGAGCGTGATATACATTGAGATAACATTCTTATGTCCTTATGTTTACCATAAGTGTCGTTGCTCTTGAAGGCCAAGATCTCCTTTCCAGTCTCAATGTCAAATAGTTTGATGACAGAGTTCGAGTAGCTGACCACCATCTTCTTCAAATCCGTCGGGCAAAAGTCTAAACCAGTAGGGACGGGCAACTTGGTGAGACCCGGTGTATACGCCTCTGTTGGTTCTGCCCATTCGGACGGCTCCAATCCATTGTAACCCCACGACGAACGAAGAGGGGATCCCTTCGTCTCAGTGTCCCAGATCTTGAGGGCACCATCAGCAGAGATAGAGGCCAACAGCTGGGATGATGAGATCGAGAGAGGGAAGAGACGAATGTCCCATACAGTGTCCGTATGTCCAATGAAAGGCGACATTGGGATCTCGGGATCTATAGAACAGACATAAGGTATCTTGGTCAGCAATTTTTTTGCTTACACTGTCGAGGTTCATGAATGAATAGTATAAGGTGTAGTTGACATACCGAGACGAGAAAATGCCTCCTTGTTCAATGGGACAAGTTTCCATGACCTGACAGTCGAATCCATACTGGCTGAGAAGCACTTGTCTTGGTCCGCCGAGATAGCAACAGCCGTGATGGCCTTGGTGTGTCCACGGTACGTGTGGATTGGCTCAACATCTCCATTCAGGGCCCTATCAATGCCAACGAGCCACGTTAGCGAGTGCTTCCAATTATTTGTTCCGAAAGAGTAAGAATCGAAGACGATAGATCGGTATATTCTTATACCTCTTGGATTCCTTCAGGGACGTCTCCAAGTTCCAGTACTTCATGGTGCCATCTTCTGATCCTGAGAGGAGCGACTTGTGAGTTGGGTGGAATGCGATCGATCGTACGGTATCAAAGTGTCTATTAAAGCATCGCAACTAAAAGTGAGAACTCTGTAACAAAATAGCGCTTCGATGACACAGTCAAAGTAAGAGATCAAGATTATTTACCTCCGCAATGTGACCTTGGGTCGCCAACGAACAGGTTCATCAGCATTGGAGTCTCCCTCTTTGACACTGCCGCCGTTTTCAATCATATCGGTCTCTGAAATGCTCAAGCTAGCCAATTCATCTGGAACTACTAAAAACAAAAAAAAAGAGTCAGTTATTGACCATCCACGAAACACGAAACGACGTTGCAAGAAAACCAGCAGCAGCCACCGGTTCAAGGTACATACCTCCATCCTTGGACTTTCTCTTGTTGACTGGAGCCTTGACGGGCCCAACATCTTGCTTTGACTTATCCCTGTCCCACTCCTTCACCATCTTGTTTAAACGCTCCGGGGAAATGTTGAACTTGTCCTGAACGTCCTTGCTCTACAACACCACAGTTGTAAAGCGGGTTAGAAAATAAATAAATAAACATATATACTTGTATTCAGTCGGTGCGTCCGTTCGTCCGTAACATGATGATTACATACCAGCTGAGCCTCCTCCTCTGGGTTCCCTTCCACTTTCTTGCCCTTTGACTTCTGCCCAATCTGCTGACCGGCCTTTTGTAAATCAGCTCGCCACTGCTCTGCAGATACAGGCGAGTGGACAACCGTAATAGCCTCCTCTCGCTGAAACGCCTCCAATCCTGTAGGCCCCTCTTCCTCTTCTTCAATGGTACGATGAGCAACGTCTGTAGGCTCTTGCTCGGGTATATCGTTCGTCTGGGTGGATTCAGCGTCCAAAGTCAAAGCTGTTGCAGAGGGCTTAGCTTCCTTGGACAATTGACGAGTGATTTCCCGTTGGTTCAAAGTACGCTGCTCCACATCGTCATCTTCTGGGTGCGCGGTCACATCGGTGTCGTTGCCGTTGCTTTCCTGTGCCTGCTGAGCTCCTGCAGCCTTGCTTTTGGCGATTGTCTGAAGGGTTGCAATGGGGACCGAGTTTGATCGGGGTAGAGGTGGTGGGACTGAGACAGGATGAACGTTAGCAGGGAAAAAGTCGCTGTGTCGGTTCTTGTTGCTGGCTCCTCTGATCCCATTAGGTCCAGCTGCACGTTTGTCTGATTCGTGACGCGAGAGTCGATTGTGCACAGGAGGCATCGCCATACTGACAGACTGTGGGACAGAAGACGTCAGGTAGCTAATCTCCTGAAGACATCTGGAAAAGACAAGATGAAGGAGAGGGCTGTTAGTGTCGTGGTTTTGACGAACGAAAATCAAGCCGGGGACAGTGATCAGCTGTGATGCTTACATCCGCAGAAACTCCCTGCTCTTTGCCCTTCCCGCCGGATCCAAGCTGGTGGCCGAGGTAGGACTCACTTGGGACATGTTGTTTCCAAATGCACTGTAGGTGGACATCCTGTTGAGTGCCTTGTTGTTGATGATACCATTGGTCATGGCATCGCCGTTTATGCTGCCATTGCTATTGTTGTTGACTTCTAGGCATACCAAAAATAGAACAAACATAGTGACCACAGGATCGATAGAGCAAATTGTCAGTGCGGACTATATTTTAAAAGGACAACTTGCAAAAATGAGCGTTACATATTTTCATATCCTCTTGATTGTCCAGGTCATTGTCACTGGTCGTCATTGTGCTGCCGTTTGGACGCGGTCAGTGGCAAGGAAAGAGGCTCTTAAGTGTGTCGCACAATATCCTGTTGAAGTCATGAAGTACGCCCAACTTACGTGGTGTGGAAACTGGTGATCCGGTAGCGCCTTTTGCAGCTCCTTGGTTACCCTCTACGTATTTGCTCCTAATATGTGGGATTGTTCAACAGGCGGCCATTCATTAGAGAGGTTGAAGAAAACACAACAACAAACTGCTGGCCGTATGGAATAGGACTCTCAACCACATTTCCAACCACTTGGTTTTCTTATCCAATCCTTTGAAAAGAACATGTCAACTTGCCTCTCCTGACGAAGCGCGAACTCAAGCATCTTGACACGCTTCATAAGATCAAGTTTTGTATTGTCCACTCCGCGCTTCTCGCCTTCAAGGAAGGCGATCCTTGCCTATTCAAGCCATGATTAAGGAGGAGTGGGTAAATCATGTTATGATCGAAGATTCATGCAAGTTGTTAGTAAGATCCCATGCATCCAACGAGCGTTTGGTGTTGTAGAAGATGGGTCTCGGTCACTGTTGCTGCTTTTTTTGTACTAAAAGTTACCTTCATCTCAGCCTTTTCGATGTCCCATTCATTCCTATCACGCTCGAATCGACGCCACTCCGACTGGAGGAACTGGAGCACGCTGGGGAAGGCATACTCGGCCACGGTCGGTGCCTGTGGAGCAAACGCCTGAAACTGGTGCATATCCTCTGTCCTGTTGCTGTTGTACACTTCCGAGGGCTGGTAGAGGGGGTCTATGGCAGTGCTGGTTGTTGGTCTGCTTAATGCGATTAGGCTATGGAAAAGTCAGGAGAAGACAAGTCAGGGCCAGTTGAAAGAATTACGATGTGGTGAAAGACTGAAAGGTAGGCATTTGAGCCACAGTGGTGAATGTCGCTGTTGTAGTGTTGTAGTTGTAGGATTGCATGTTGATGTCGGGTAAGCAGGAGTTTGAATGTGACTTACTGAGTGTACGAGTGTATGCTGGGTTGTGTGTGTCGGTGTTTTGTGTATGAATGTGAATTCGAGTGGGAGTGGGGGTGAGTTGTAGGGTATGAATGAGAATGGGAGTGGGAAGGGGACAGGAGCTGGAGAGAGGAATGCGATTTGGGAGTGAGAGAAAGGGAAGGGGACGAAAGGAAGGAAAAGAAAAAAAAAAAAAGTGGAAGAAAGAGAGAGAAAGGAGAAAAAAAGCGAGAGGGAGGTACAAGGCGCTGGCTGTATTGGGTCTATGGGGGTTTGGGTGAGGCAGGTCACCAGGACGACAGCGAGGTGCAAGACAAGAAGTGGACACAAACAAGCAAGCAAGCAAACAAGCAAAAAGCAAACAAGCAGGGAAAGCAAAGCAGCCAAGCAAGGCAAGCAGGCAGAGTGGTGGGGGTGGTATGGAGAAAGAGAGCGAGCGAGTGTTGGTGGTCACCAACAGCCCCTTTTTTTCCCATGCGACCATGTTCTTGACTCTTTCTCTTTTTGTGATATTTTCTCTTCAACCCCCCCTTTCTGACACACCGGACCCGGTGACCAGAAGCCACACCGTGCCGTTCATTCCATGCCATGTTACATGTACGAGCGAGAGAGGGAGGGCCTTGAAGCCATCACAATTCAATTTCGATCAATATGTGTCTATTATCATCGATCACACTCACATATCGTTGACATGCGATGAGGCAAACAAGATATCCATACCCCTGGAATAGTGTCTTCACCCTGTTTCGTCTCCTCCTTATCCTAAGAATAATAATAATAATAATGGCTTGTGTATATACAGTACACCAACAACACGAGTGCTTATCTTGCGAGGATCGGAGAGTGCTGACACATGAAATCCCTTCTGTTTCTGTCGACGGAGATTCGAAATCAATGAAATCAATCGTCCTTTGACTCCTTCCCATGCGACCGACCTGCTCTCTGTCTCTATTACTCCCCCAGGAAACCTTTTTCTTGCTTCTTCTCTTGCCGCTGATTTCTTTATCATCTCTCATCGTTTACGTCTTCCTTCTTTTTCTTCTTCTTCTTCTCCTTCTCCTTCTTCCCCCTCTTCTTTCTTCTTTGTCTTCTTCTTTACTCTTCTCTCTCTCTCTCTCCCTTCTCTCCGCCAGTCCAAGTCAAGCAAGACCAAGTCCAAAGCACAAGCCAACAACCACGACAACCACGACAACCACAACAGGACAAACAATCAAAGACCATATTTTGACTCATCTGCACCAAGCTTCGCCCGTCAAAATTTTCAAAGTCAAAAAACCCGACAATTCCACATTCATTCACGCACAATGCAACACTCAATCATCGCCGAGAATCTCTCGCCACTGCTCTCCTCGGACCAATTCACAATGATGCAGCAACCCAGCGCATCCTTCACCTCTGAACTCATCCACGCATCCCTCGTCGTCGCCAACAACTCTTGCTCCGTCGAAGCATTCAACAACAGCATCAATAACAACAGCAGCGGGGACAGGAAAATTCGGTCGACAAGCATTGTAGTTGGCCCCAAGATGTCCGAGACGACGTTGGCGAACCTGGAATACTCTATCCATGCCTCGCCAAGGCGGATGACAAGGGATTTGGCCACCGTCTTCCCCAACAAGGATCTCTCGGGCCTGTTGGTCGTCCCTACTTTTCAAAAATGCAAGAATGACATGGTTGCCTGGGATGAAGAGATTGCCAAGGAAAAGGACGACCGCCTGGACGACGTAAGTGCAGTTTGTTTTTTTGTTGCTACGCAGCAGAATCTCTCTTTCTTATGCCATCTCTTCTTTCCCCTGGCAGACTTTTTTGCATATTGGGATTGAAGGATGTTCTTTCCAATGTTCTAGACAAGAATGTACAAGAAAAGGGGTGTGTGTTTGTGTTTGTGAGTTAGCATCGGAGGAATCGCATGCTGCGATAACATCTCTTAGCTCTCTTCGACAGCGAATGGTTTTGTTTGTGAATCATCCGATATGAGGAATCGAGGGCAATTTCAATGGCACGGACGGGAACAACAAAAAACAACAGCAAAAATGATAAATGCTCTCTTAGACCCCACCTTATCGACCCACTCCTAGCATCTCATCCTTATTCTTTTCTTTTTTTTTCTTCTTCTTCTCCTTGACCTTTGGGAAACGCTTAGTTTATTCGATGGTCGAAAGCCATTCACAGCAGCTTGGAAACGTTGGGCTACTGGTCCGATATGACTGATCCCGCCTCGGGGTTTCCGGTAGGTGACCGTGCTTTTTCTTCTTTTTTTCTGTCCCCGCTCCTTTCTTCTCGTTAGCTATCTGTTATGTTTTAGCCCATCGATATTCGTAATCTGGGTATGGAAATGGCGAAGTGCGTTCGTTGGCTGACTCTTTTTTGTCATTTCTCTACAAACAGTCATTCAGCGAACGTGGTCGGGATGTGTATCCAGACGTCGAGGGTTGTCAATTGCTGCTCAAATATGATTTCCAGAACGCAGGCTGCTGTAAGATCCTCCTCCACCCTATCTGGGGCAGCAAGATCTACCCAGCCACGTTCTTTACCACCGCACCCGTTGACATCCTTGTCAAGGTCATTTCGCAGGTTGAGCAGGAGCATTCCTTGTCCAAGCCTTTCTCTGCATGATAGATTGGAAGTTTTTTCTTCCCTAAAACCCTCTGTACTGTACTTTAGCACCTTGTAATTGAAAATGAAAATCCCAAATGAAATGAAACCGTCCTGTGTGCCTGATTGATTTGTATCACAGCCTATTTCTCTCACTCCCTTTCTTGCTCGCAACCGCCTCCAACCGCAAAAACCTCAACCCATGGACAACGACAAGAAGACAAACATGAGGCAGCAGACAGGCGCCAAGAAACGGAATGGCTTTCTCCTCCTACCAACCCTCCTCACCCTCCTCATCTCATCCGCCATCTGTACAGATGCCTTCACCGCAGAAGCAAAAGCCTTCCAGATCTCATCTGCCATGGACATTGAAATGATCACCTCCTGGGAACCATCAGACCCCACCCGCTTCAACCCATACACTGGTTCCCTCCTAGCACCCCTGATGATCCCCCGTGTCTCTGGAACTGCCAACAATACTCGCGTCCAAAATTTCATCCTTGACTTTTTCGCAAAGCTGAACGCGACCAGTCTTGCAGAGACCACGATTACCCCTGAGGAGGATAATCAGGACAACCATAACCAACCCATTGTCAAACGTACAGTCAGCAAGCGGTTCGAGGCTAAAGTCCAGGAAAAGGAGAAACTCTTCCGACGAGCCCCTGATACTACAGGAACAGGTTGGCATGTGGAATTGGACCAGTTCGTCGACAAGACTCCCTTTGGCGAAAAGACATTTACCAACATGATCTTTACAAAGAACCCCAAAGCCGAGAACCGTTTGGTCTTTGCGGCCCATTTCGACTCTAAATATTTCCCACCAACGGATAAGCCTAGCGGGCAGTGGAATGGTGGAGACGATACATTGCCGTTTGTGGCGGCGACGGATTCTGCGGCGCCCTGTGCAATGTTGTTGGATCTGGCAGCCAGTTTGGACAGGGCTTTGGATCAACCAGGACGCGATGATCAGGACACCACGCTGCAGTTGATCTTTTTCGACGGTGAGGAGGCCTTTGGGGAATGGAGGGCAGACGACTCACTTTATGGCTCCAGGTAGGAAAGACAAAACCCTAGAAAGCAACTGAACAGAGAAACTTGTCGAAAAAAAAAAACAAGCTGTTTGATTTGACCTTTTGTGCTCACTCAACAAACTCCATACTCTTGTTCCACATTCTAGACACTTGGCAGAAAAGTGGGAGAAGCAGAGGATCACACGCACCAGAATGGCAACAGGTAGAAACGGCGGTTCGACATCCAACAACCTAGACGGGATCGAACTGTTTGTACTTCTGGACCTCTTGGGCGTCGAGAATCCTCGCGTGCCTTCTTACTTTGGCGCAACCCATTGGGCACACGAACACTCTCTGGAAATCGAGCAGCGCTTGTGGGACGCCAAGTTGCATGGAGGTCAAGTTCTGGCCAGGAGAAAGGAGGGTCGTTCGGAAGAGCGGGCCGATGAGGATGAGGATGATATGGATCAATTGGAGATCGATGAGCCCATGACGCCCTTCTTTACCCAGCAGCCCAGCTGGGGTGGCATTGACGATGATCATCGTCCATTCATGCAGAGGGGTGTGCCCATCTTTCATGTCATCCCCACGCCCTTCCCACACGTCTGGCACAAATTGGAGGTAAAAAGAATTATACATGTGCTTCTTCTGGTCACGTCTCTTTATTTTTTTTTTGATCTCTATTATTTTTCGCCTACCAAATATCAGTTCACTAATGCGTGGCACTATTGCCATTCCATTCCTCCTGATGTTACCAATGTTTTTTTTCCGTGCGGCATAATAAATAGGATGATGCGACTGTGATCTCGCCAGAGGTGGTCGAAGGATGGGCCAACATCTTCCGCACGTTCGCAGTGGAATACCTCCAATTGCTCAAGGCTAAGCCCATTCATCGTCGCGACGAGTTGTGAGCCCTAGGGTTTGTTCTGACAGAGGTTGACAGGCGCGCAGGCTGGCAGAGAGATGTGTGAGAAATGAGAAATGAGAACATATGGCGCTCTTTTTCTTCTTCCCTTTTTATTTTTTATTCCCAAGATCCTTACGCAGGGACTTTCGATTCAGAACTAGAGTACTGCACAATAGAAAAAAAAAGATGTTCTTTTACCCTATATAAAACGACGAGCTTTGCCATGTACGCTCGAAAAATGATGTATGCTTTTGATACGTGGTAAGATTTCATCTAACTTTGCACTTATCCTCTGCCGAAAAGGTATTTTTGCCAAAAGAGAAAAGCTTCAGTTCTGCATTCAAGCAAAATGCACATAGACTGTAACAATACGTTGCTTTCATTTTTTCTTGCCTTCCCATCCCTTGCCTACCCTTCCTTCATTGTCCTTATTTCCTTCCTTCCTTTTTAGCTACAAGTGTCGAATTTGAACTTGAATGCACGAGGGCATGCATTGCAACGCACCAAGAGTGCCTGGCCGCCAACGTAGGGAATAATTACACCTGCAGACACGCCGTCAAGACCTGCATCCAAGCTTGGTACAACTCCAAGCTCACGACTCCCTTAAAATGTGGCCTATCATCAACAAAAAAACAACATTATAAAACCTATATTTGACGCGCTAGAAAGAAGAAAGAAAATGCTAATGAAAAGAACGGAAAAGAAGTCGACCGAGAAACGCAAAAAGAGAGCTAAACTACTTCAAACTGGAGATGAAAGAGTCCAAGTTGTACTCTTCCTCATACTGCTTCTCGTCCCACAATCCTTCCAACGACTCGAGAACATTCTTGGTCGACAGCTTTTGATCCCCACCGGCTCCACCATCATCGCTGGCGCCACCAGCTCCGCCAGAGTCCTTGCCCTTGAGTTTCTTCTTTTTCTTGCCTTCAGAGTCCTCGTCACCGACCTGGAAGAGGTCCAGGATTTGATCCGTGCCCATACTCTGCATGCCCGAGTTCTGCTGGTTGACGACCGAGTTTGCAATGTTCATCTTGAACTTTTGCAATCTAAGAAAGTGTTAAAAAGTACGCAGAACGGTCGTGGTTAATATCAGTGGTCATAAACTGGAGAATTTGCGCTAGTAAAATGGTAATTGTTGAACCAAAGACAACTTACCCCATGATCTTCTCCTCAAGGGTTCCCTTGGTAATGAGACGGTACACGTTGACGACCTTCTTCTGGCCCAATCGATGGGCACGGTCCATAGCCTGCAGGTCCTTCATCGGGTTCCAATCGTGCTCCACAAAGATGACCGTATCAGCTCCTGTCAAGTTCAGTCCAAGTCCTCCGACGTGCGTCGTCAGAAGCAAGAGATCGATTGACGGATCTGCATTGAACTTTTGAACAATTCCATGACGTCTCGAAGAGTCCACCGCACCATCCATACGCATGTACGAGACAGTCGGTAGGAGCGGCCGTAACAGGTCGTTCTCGATAATGTCGAGCATCGCCTTCTGCTGGCAGAAGATCAATGCGCGATGCTGGCTCACTGCCGAGCCTCCTCCGTGGATCAACGATGCCTCAATATCCGCCGCAGATTCCGAACTCGGCTTGGAACCAATGCCACAATCGATCAACAATTGCTTCAGCGCCTGCAACTTGGGTGCAAATCCAATGTCGTGGATCGACTGGTTCTGCGCCTTGAGCTGCTTCATCACGCGCTTGTACTCGGGGTGCTTCTCGTTCACAACCAGGAGCGGGTGGTTGCAGAGCTTTCGGAGGTACTGGAGTGCCTGGAAGATATGAGTCGCTTTCTGGGGTGGATCTGACTTTGTCTCCTCCGTGAGTTCCTCCTCCATCTCGTGCTTGAGCTGCGATTTCGAGAACTCCTCGTACAGCTGCTTCTGCAGGTCGCTCAGCTCGCAGTAGTAGTCCTGAATAATCTTGGGTGGCAAATCGCTCAACACATCTTCCTTCAAACGACGCAACAGGAACGGAAGCACTTGCTTGTGCAACGCCTCCAACGCCAACACGCCTAACAATACAAAAGGCATCGGAACCGAACGTTAGCAACCAAGCTTTTTTTTTTCTCGACAAATATAGTTCATACATGCATACGCAAAACCTGCGACAACTTACCGGCTTCCTGCTCTCGCGAGGAGCTCTTGCTATCACGACTGGCGATAATAGGCTTGCCGAAACGATCGTTGAACTGCTTCTCGGTACCCAAGAACCCAGGCATCAGGAAATCAAACAGCGACCAGAGCTCAAGCACGTTGTTCTGGATAGGAGTTCCTGACAGGATCACTCTGTGATTGGCGCGGACCATCTTGACTGCCTTAGTGATCTTGGTGCGCCCGTTTTTGATGATATGACCCTCGTCCAGAATACAGTAGTTCCAGTGGATCTTCTCCAAGTCCTCGATATCGTTACGGACCACGTCGTAAGACATGATGACAACGTCGTGCTTGGGGATCGACGCCCGCAGCTTCTTCCTCTCTGCTGGTCCTCCGGTATACATGATCGGCTTGAGGTTGTCGGTGTACTGGAGAATCTCGTGGTACCAGTGTCCTGTCAGAGTGGGCGGACAGACAACGATCGAGGGGCAGTGGGCGTACTGAGGGAACTGGGTTTCCGCAAACTTGGTCTGTCGATCGTGCTGGTCACTGGCCAACATGCAGATGGACTGTAGTGTCTTGCCTAAACCCATATCGTCACAGAGAATGCCGTGAAGCTGGTACTTGTTGAGGAACGCCAACCAGTTCACACCCTCCTGCTGGTACTTTCGCAGCTCCGCCTTGATCTTGATCGGGATAGAGTATGGCTGGAGTTTCTTACTGTCCAGAAGCTGCATCAAGAACTCGCGTTCTTCTTGGCGCTGCTGCAACATCTCGGCTGACATCTCTGGTGGATCGGGAATTCCAGCTTCGAGAGGAACAAGCTTGATAAGATGTGCGAAGCAGTTGGTTGACACCAATCGAGTCGGCTCGTCGGGATCACTCATCCGGCCGAGGACAGGGACAATCAGGAACACCACATAGGGCAGGATCTTGGCATCCATGATCTGGACAACTTCGTTGATCATCTCGCAGGATCCTTGACGACGGATCACGTTGGCGGTATCTCCGAGGAAGGGAATTACGCGATCGATCACAAGGTGCATTCCAGCCACGGTGATAACGTTGCAAATAACAGCAAGACACTTGGCGGCGGCATGGCGAACGACGGTGAAGGGTGAGAGCAGGGCCGTTGCGATATGAGGCATCAGCTGCTCGATCGATGGGTACAGCTCAGGGTGCAAGTGAGGGACAAGGGTCTTGATAATCTCCAGTGCATCAATGACATCATGCCAACCGTCTGGCTCCAGTCCTGTCGGTTCCGTCACAGGTCCATTGGCGAAGGCCGTTGTCAAAGGGGCGTGGATGCATTCCCAGATCTTGGGAACTTCAGTAAAGAGACTTGGTCCAAATCGTCCGGCGAACTCCTTGAATGCTGCGAGGGCTCCACGTCGTGTCAGCTTGGCCTCTTCATTATCCTCTTCCTTGATATCCTTGGCCGAAACCTTGACATCCTCCATGCCATGCCCGCCGACGAGCTTGCTGTCCGCCGCTGCTTCCTTTGACTTCTTGAGAGAAAAGATGCCCTCCAAAGAAGAGTCCTGGTCCAATGAAGGTGTAACCGAGGTGTCGCCGCAGAGATATCGCGCCAGGTTTTTGATCAGCTTGGGAGTTGGTACCACACGGAGAGTGCAAAAGGGAGAGTTGCAAAGAATGACAAGGCTGACAAGTGTCGACGCTGATCGCATCTGGAGCTCCATGTTTTCCTCGCTCTATTTGAATGAAAACGTAGTAGATTGACACATTAGTTGTCGGAAAAAACACTCGCTTGCAGAGCTATAACAAAAAACATCGCCTCCGGTACTTACGCGAACACTCTTCATGACACTGTTGATGACGGGATTAAGCTTTCCTGGCAAGGTTCCCAGGTTGATGACAGCAGACCCAACAGCTGCAGCAACGTACAGATCTGCCTTCTCCTTGATCGACTCAAAGTATCCGATGCTCGCAATGACTCTTTCCTGTCGACCCGTGAGCAGAGGAATGGCAGTCTTTCGCGTCCGCGCGCCGATTTGGTTCATCAAGTTAGGGGCAACCTCGGCTGCGAAGTGACGAGCATAATCACTCGTGAACCCAGATCCATCACCCCCATCCCCTGTACTAGGCACTTGTGCCAATGTAGGAATGCTGGCTTGCGGCAACTTGCCATCCGTGACAAATGCGTTGAGCATAGCTTGAATTTCGGCGCGAATGCCTTTGAGAACAGTAATGCTCTCGAAGTAGCTGAGTGGCGGTTCCGAGAGCAAGCATTCTGTGAGAGCCACCGAAGCCGACATTCCGAAAGGCAGGGCCGCCTCAGTAGGGTATTTGCTGGTACGCTCCCTGAAAGCAGCAGCCCACTCCGCGACGACGTTGGATGACATCTGACGTCTCATTGCCCAGGACGAGTTGAAGTTGGGCTGAAGGAGATGCCAAAACGAGCCCTCCAGTTGGTCGTCCGGCCAGCTAGCCATGACAAGTCCCAAAGCCTTACTTGCAGTGAGACGGCACCGGATCACAGATGCTATTGAGACAAGAGCTAGATCCTGCTTCAACATTCCGATATCGACATTGTGCGAGTGCGTTTGTGCCGACTGTGCCTTGCGACCTCGAGCTGGAGTTGTGGCGACAAGAGTAACCACCCCCTGACCGGTGGGTGAGTAAAACAGGCGAGTCTCAAGTGGCGTTCCGATCGGCGTCAACAGTAAAGCGAACATGGATTGCAAATGAGGACTCACGACGGACGTAATCGAGGCAGCGGACTCGACTGAAGCCATATGTGTGATCAAGGCAGTCATCACTCTAAGCGACAGTTCAAGGATGTCCTTCTTTTCCTCAACAATCAAGTTTTGATAGACCATACGTACCACCTTCTCGTCGACCCACTCTGAGATGGTCTTGAGCTTCAAGAAGGTCAGCATGGCGTTCAGAACGGATGTCCGGACACTTGGGATTGTGTGTCGGAAAAACGGATTGAGACGAGGGATAAGATTCACTAGTGAGTGGCTGGCAGAAGGTGGACATAGGTTAGTTGGGGTTGCTTACTTGTTACTTGTTCCACAGTTTTAAACACAAAAACCCCATTCTGTACCTTTCGTCCTGAGGCTGAATCATAAAGTCGAGCACACTCTGGAAAGTGAACAAGTTGGCCAAGAGGTCCATGACACTGGCGGTGGACGCTGTCAAATCGTCCTTCAAGATAGCCAAGCAGTCCCAGAGGACATTGACAACATCGGGAATACGATGTGGCAACTTATTGACAAAGTTGGACGAAATGGGTATAAGGGTCGACGCAGACACAGCTCGGACGTCGTCATCTTCGTCTTGCAGGCCAAGAACAACTGCCTTGACAACATTCTCAAGCATCTCGGTGGCATACGCTGAATTGTTGTCCAGCAAATCTTTCCGGACAGCGACGGCGTATTTGAGTCCAAGCAATCCAGCGTGCCTCACCTCCCAAATGTAATCACGGTCCATGCCCTCCTCAAAGACGTCAGCCTGGTAGATGAGTCGCATCACGACTCCAAGCGTGCTCTTCACTCCTTCGTCGGACATGTGTCTCATCAAAGCTCCCAGCGTTTGCGAGCAAGTCTCTCTCACTGGGGCGACGACCTACGCTCCACATACACAAAGTAAGTACGTGTCAGTCACGTCGATGTCTAGTAATAGTTGATCAACCAAGAAACGCCACCAAAAATCCAAGCAACAAGCTCATTACCTGATCAGAAACAAAGTCTCCGAAACGATCCAGCGAAAACACGCAGAGAAGGCGAATAGCCAAGTCCTCAAGCCATTCGTTATGTCGGACGTCGTTCTCCGCCTTGGTACATCCAACGATCCGTCCTGCTCCGCTGCCTTGCACCTTCAGAATATCTCGGAGACCGATTCCTGCTCCGTGACGAACTTCCCAGCTGGGATCAAAAAGATCCATGCAGAGAATATCACAGATGCTCTCGAATGGCCACTCGGTGGAAGTCTCCAAAACCGATTGAACGGGGAGTTTGGCCTCCACTACCACTTTGTTTCCGTCAGACTGAGGAGTGATATCAAAGTACCCGCCATCCTGTCCTTCTGCGCCGGCACCTGGTGTTGCTGGTGTTCCCGGAGTCTCTGGTCCCTTGCGTCTTCCTGCGAGATCGATAACACGGACCCTAAAGTCATTTATCCAAGCCGGTTAGAGATGTTTGTTCCCTTTGAACTTTGATAGCAATCATTCAACCAAAAGACTAAGTTTTGGTAACGGTTGCACCTACTTGTCTTTTCCTTTGAACTTCAAATCCGTTTTTGCCCGCCGTTTCAGCTTGTTTCTCTCGCGTGCGCTGAGTCCATCCGTATCGGCGTCATTTTGAATCGCAGGGGAGGCGAGTGGCTGTTTTGGTCCAGTCAATGATGCGGACGACGCTGGCGTAGGAGACTCTTCCTTCTTTACTGAAGCCGGTGATGCTTTTGGTGCTGAGATATCCGACTCGTCAACGAGATCAACTATTACAATTGAAAATGAGAGAAGATGAGTTCTTCATTCATGCCACTGAAATCCTTCGCCCATTGTCCAGTTTTAATGGCGCGACAACTTACCATCCATAAACTGAGAGGTCATAAGTCCTAGGTTGGCGCTCAGGTTTTTTCGCTGGATCGCCAACCGTTCAGCTGGATCCAGATCGCTCAAATCGAGGTCGTATTCCTTTCCTGCGGAGCCCAGAAGCAACTTGCCGTTTTGAAGCACCTGGCTAATGTCAAAGCTGGAGAAGGACAACCGGTCGAAATTTGGCATTTCTGTCGAAGAGGTTTTGTTCTCGGCTGCTCCATCCTCTAGCTTTACTTCTGGATCTAGAGCGGTTCATAAGCCAATGTCAGTACATCAGAGGATACGCACAACTGATAAACGTTACGTTATTGTTTCGTTTGACAAAGAGGTTCTCACCAGCTGATGGATCCCACTGAGGCACATTCCCGACAATGGCCTCCAATGCTTGTCCAGCTGCAATCCTGGTATCCCAACTTTTGCTTCTGAGATGTACAAGCACCTAATTGAGCAATACAGCGAGAGAAGAAAAGTGACAACACCGAGTGAGTATTTTCATTCATATTCTTCTCTGTCTGTCAATAGAAACACGGAGGGGGCAGGGGGGCGAGGCATGCTTACCCTTGAAAGCAGATTGAATAGTTCTGAAGGGTACTGTTTCTGAATATCTCCGAGTTGCTGAGCAGCAGTCGCGCGGACTGCAGCTGTTGACCCGGTTTCCAGGAGCAGCACTAGGCGATCGAGCCTAGAGTTAGAAAATGAAGAATGAAGTTGTTACAAAGTTGTGTGTGTTTGAGCAACTGTCCTAGCGATCGGGCGTAGCAAAACAAGCACAGTGGATTACGCGGCCAGGACACATACCTGGTCGTCATATTGTTGGATCGCGCAGTCTATGAGCGCTGGTTGTCCTCCTTTGTCGGCTAGAATCCCTAGAGAAGCAGACGAACAGGCCGTTAGGATAGAAATTGACTGCGACAGCAAATGAAACTCCCAAAGCGGCGGCAAAGTGAAGGTGAAGGAGGGCTGATCTCTCATTGCATAAACAACTCTTTGTTCATCTACAATCGCTCACAACCCACAGGAGAACGCACATTGAAATGGAAAGGAAACAACACCCAAGAGAGCATGCTCTTCTGTGATGCAAAAGGCCAAGAGCCAAGGGGGAGGGGTTATATGCATGGCTTTGGCTTTGTTTGTATCCTCTTGTAAGAGTTTTTGTTCAATGTGCAAAGGCCATGGTGTCGCGAGATCAGGAACGAATGGGGGATGTCACCAAGAGTACAAATGGCTCCTGCTAGAGATAACGAAATAAACAAAAAAAAAATAAAGGCAAGAAAGTAATGGTACCTCGTGTCGATTGTGGATGGATGAGTGCGATGATTGGGGGGGGGGGATTCGGATGAATAAGGAGTGGGAGTGAAGGTGGTGGGATTGGTGGCGTAAGGTGGAAGGGTTGGGTCGGAGACTCCATACTGCCGCCCTCTCTCTTATATATGCGTTTGTGGTGGGAGTTCAAGAAGAAGAAAAGAGCGAAAAAAATATTCTGTTCGGCGACTAGGAATCACCAGGTCACCCTTAATAACACGAGTCCTTGCTAGTGGCTTTTCAGCCACACTCATCGCCACCAACTGCAGTGCCCTAGAACAACTCCTTACTCTTCTCCACAAACTCTTTTGTTTTGGAGGAGGGGTGCATCTTGGCCTGATTGCCACACAGACCGCTGAAGATGCATAAAAAAGCAGCCGACAGCAACGCTTCCAGCCTTCCTTTCCCTTCCCTTTGCCCTTTGCCTTTTTTTGTCCCGACCCTGTCTCCCTTCTCGCTGCCATCCTCATCAACGGCTCCGTTCTATCAAGCCCTTCTTCCTTCCCTCCCGCGTCCTCGTACTCCTATTCCCCCCCTCCTCCTCTCTTAACCCTTCGCCATGGATCGTGCCATCAAGCGGTTCAAAAAGCCCGCTGTTCGCCTCGTCTGCTCCTATCTTTTCGACTGGATCCTCTGCGTCGTTCTGATTGCACTCTTCCTCACACTCGACAACGTCACCCCTTTCAAGAGGCAGTTCTCGGTCGAAGACACCTCATTGATGTACCCATACAAGGAAAAGGAGACGATCCCTACCTGGGCGCTCATTATCATTGCCGTTGTGTTCCCTGCTGTATTGATGGCTGTAGTCTCTCTTTTCATCAGACGGAGCTCTTATGACTTCCACAACGGCTTCTTGGGTCTGCTTCTCTCGGTCTCCTTGACCATCGTTGTCACGCAGGTCGTCAAGGTAATCCGCGGTGCCATCAGGGACCAATTGAACATCGGTTCAGAGAAAAAAAAAGGGAGGAAGTGAAGCGCAAAGAAAACGTGTTCAGTCATGTCAAACACCAATAGAGGCATTGCACTGGAACATCGAGAAGAACGAGATGCGAATTGTGCATCCGAGCCTTTTGTTTTCTTTGATCGGTTTGTGTACATGTACAGTCGCTCGCCATATATTTTTTTAGGTTGGGTCGTGTGAGCTCTTGTTGCTGGTGAAGGAAACATGCCACATACAACAACGAGTCAGGGTCTAACCTTGATGCCGTTAGACATATTCTTACAAATACTCCTTCCAACGTGTCCTTATAGGTCACGTTCGGTAAACATCGGCCGGATTTCATCGACCGGTGCAAGCCGATGCTCAACGGGGTCGCCATCACTCGCGACGAACCCTTGAAACTCTGGACAGTGGACGTCTGCACCACGACCGACCATCTGGTCTTCAAGGACGGCATACGCTCGTTCCCCTCAGGACATGCCAGCAGTGAGTCTTTAGTGCCAAGTCCTCGTTTGGTTCGATGATTGCGCAATGAAGTAATCAAGAAGAGCGCACACTAAATCGTCAGCACATCTATCACCTTAGCCTCCTTCGCTGGTCTTGTCTACCTCTCTCTATGGCTCGCTGGCAAGATGCATGTGTTTGACAGAAAGGGTTATTCCCTCAAGAGTGTCATCCTCATGGTGCCCATCCTGAGTAAGTCTAGTTGTTAATGTCATCGTGAAATCAAACCACCACAGTGGCAATGAGTACTAACCGGAGGATTATCTGCTTTATTCATATGCGTTTCAGCTGCCATACTGGTCGCGATTTCACGCATTGAGGATTACAGACATTCGGCCGCGGATGTCGGCTGGGGCACGGTCATTGGCATCTTCTTTGCCTTCTTTGCGTATCACCAATACTATCCATCGATCACTAGGTCCCATTCTCACATCCCCTATCCTCCACGCGACTTTAGCTACCTGATCAAGGACAACAACGGCAAGGTTCATGAGGCTGGACACCTCGAGGCCATGACAGGTATTCACCCCAACGAAGAATCCGTCGATGAGATTCAGCAGCAGCAACCAGAGCAGCTTGCGGACTTGGATGCCCAAGAAAAGTAGCCGCTGCGACGCATGGGCGTTAAATAAATCTGATTGGGTCGCACAAGGCTCGCGGCCGCAGTAATTCAAGTAAAGGAATAAAAAATCCTCCCTCAGAACTTTTTTTTTTTTCTCTTCACCACTCCACGCCATGTCTGATTCCAACCAACAGCACCACCAAAACCCTCAATCCCAGGATTCACAGGAGCAACAGGACCAGGCTCAGAGCCAACACACCGAGGACATACCCAGCGGCAATGAGTCCTTTGACGACAACGACGACATGGACGACGAGGAATTGAGCGATGAGGACTACTACGACCCACAAGACGATCTCGCACACTTCCATGACCAAAAGTTGCGAATCGAGGAGTCTTGGCTGGAATGGGAGAGACAGACCTCGGTCAACAACCGCCAGTCAGGCGGGTTCAACATTTTCCAGAAACCAGGATCGGCCAAGAGGCGAGATCGGAGAGGGCGGACAGCTCAAATCCAGGCCCAGTCGTCGAACAGACCTGGATCAGCATCGAGTTCAAACGCAGGATCTGGATCTGGCTCTGGATCTGGAGTGAACCCTGGAAACTCGGCAGCCATCGAGAAACTGAGGCAATTGGGGACCTTTCGCCCAGATCTGGCAAACTCAATCGTCCATTCGTACTCAACTCTTTCATGGGAGGCGATCCAGGCAGCGAGAGAGAAGCGGTTAGCAGCCAAGGCGGAAATCAATAACACAGGGTAAGGACGCGTTTCACAGCAATAGCTCTGATCATTTGATTCCTTGGGCTTTTGGACAGCCGTCTCACTGTTGCTGTGTCCTCTTCTTAGGGTCAATGTTATCTGCACCTTGCCGGTCGAACTACTTTCCCACATCGTCTCTCATCTTGAGCCCAACGAACTGGTAAGACAGTATCAGATCACAAGGAGGTTATGAAACGCTCAACCTCACGCGAAACGAAAAATCAACCGACACCTTTTTATTCTGGCTGCAGTTTGTCGTATCTCTAGTATGCCAGCTGTTCTACCACGTCGTTAATGCGGATTCATGCTGGAAGCAGGCGTTCATAAAGTTCTTTGGAGCATCAGTGCGCTTCAAACGACTCGATCCCAAGAGCTGGCGCGGAGAGTATATTAAGCGGACAAGGTTACTGCGGCGGTGGGAGAAGGGACGTGGATTCAACATCATGATCGACCCCAAGATTGGACAGATCACAGAGCTATGGGCGGAGACAAACACTCCCAACCAAGGCTGGTTCTTGGCCGGTGGTCTCTCGCAAGGTGACTATTATTTGCCAAGGAAGGCTAGTCGGCAAGTATGCTCAACGCGGACGAAACTGTTGCTCACCTTCACTCGCTTCTCTGTTTCAATATGATTAGGTGTCGTGGCGAAATGCAACCCAGAGCTTGGAAAAGTCCAGAAGGATGCAGTGTTTAGGATGATCCACCTCGAAGTTTCCGTTATGACAATGGATCGGTATGTTGTGATGAAAAGTCTCTTTACTAGCCAACCTTGATCTGTTGGATACTACGTTACTTTTCACTCACCGTCGGAATATTTCGTCGCAATAGTCATCGTGTCCTTTGGGGTCTGTCCACCGGTCAGGTTTCTTTGACGATCCTCTCCTATGCCACTGCAGGACAGTCGTTCCAAACGTTTTCGGGATTTCACAATGGACCGGTCTCATGTGTCAAGCTGGTGCCAAACTATCTTGGTTTTGTCTTGACTGGAGGTGCCGATGGGGTCGTTCGACTATGGGATGTTGTGAAAGCACGTACTGTTCGCGAGTTCAGGACCGGTCTCAGCTTGACCGGAGCCAGCACAAGGAGAATCGACCACATTTGCTGCGAGCCCAGCTCTCGCATCATTGCAGGGACATCTGGAGGCGAAATCTACATTTGGGACGTCGATATCAACGCCATCGTCTCTCCTATATTTGCCACTGCCAATGGCGTCTCGTCCCCTACACGATCTACTGCATCAGACGCCACCGCTCAGTCAACGCCGCCGGCTACGCCTGGGTTGATGGTGGTCGATGGAGAGATCATTCCTGAACCTGCTCTTGCCCCTACGCTGCCGAAGGTGATTAACTTACCAGAGGAGTTCAAGGGCGTTCATTACCTTGAGGTCGAATTTGGACTGGGCGAACATGGTTTGATACTGGCCCAGGCTGCGGATTCAAAGGTCATGCACCTTTACAGTTTGGAGACACAGGAGCATCTGGCGACTCTAAAAAGTCCGGCACATCTGTCACCAATCACTGCAGTCCATTGGGACATCCCTAAGCATGAGAAACCCATGATCTCGCCTTCGAATGCCTCCAGCCCGGAGGGTCAACAAACACTCCACGCGCTCTACTGCCGTCATGATGCACCCAGCCTTTTAGCTACTGGAGACAACTCTGGCAACATTTGTCTTTGGTATTTGAGCGATATATTCAAGCGCAAGTCATCATCCGCACATGGAGATCCTCACCCCAGTCAAATCCAGCAAGAGACCCCAACGTTGAGCCCGACCTGTGTTCTACGGGCACATGACACGCGAGTGACAAGCTTGTTCATTGACAAGCTGATTCTTGTCTCTGGAAGGTACGTTTTGCCTTGCTATGAAGACGCTGTGCAGTATAAACGAGCTTCATGGGTCCATTATATTAATGGTCAGACGTATTCAATCTATAGTGCGGATGGATGGACCAAGGTTTGGAATCCTGTCAACGGCAAACTAGTCTCTGTCCTCAACACTGGGTAAGTCGCTGTCGTTCCTTGTTGCGCTTGACCATAAACACGTTGCCCTTTCTAAACTGTAGGCTGACAACTCCAGTGAATTGCATCTGTTAGGTACATCCGTGGCCGAGAGGCAAACGACACCACATCGATGGTGAATCGGTGCATGGTCATTGATGGTATCCAATGCCGTGGCGTCGTCTCGGTTGGTGGCCTAATCAGGAGCTGGGACTTTTCACCAGGAGCTGGATTTGCCAAAGGTATGAGCCTGTTAACATGCATTTATTTGTTTTGGTATCAAAAGGCTTCTGTTTCTTGTCTATTTGACTGACAACTACCGTGAACGGATTCTACGCAAACATTAGACAAGTACCGAAAAGGTGCCGCAAAGAAGCCAATCAACTACAGCGCTGGCCATCGCACCAAGATCCAGAACGACATCCGACATAGCCTGGAGGAGACTGTGTCTCTGAAGCGACTAGAGAGCCAGGTCAAGGAACGTCAGCAACAACTCCACAAGCGATACAATAACCTTCAAGGGTTGAACATGGTCGACATGACGGATGAGGAGGTAGTCGAGTATGTGATGATGCTATCGAAGGAGCAGGACGATCAAGATACTGCCATAGCGGCATCCGAGTTGCAGCAAATCGAAGATCTCGAGCAACAGCACATGCTGGAGCAACGGTTACTTGATGAATTTGGTAACGGGGGTGAAGGATCTTCGATGTCGAACGCCAGGTCTGTGTCACCTTCCTCTGCACGTCCTCAAGTAAACGAACTAGTGAGCGAACAAGAGTTGGACGAGGAGGAAGAGTTGGTCAGAAGGGCAATTGAGCTCAGTATGCTTGACGTCGAGCCCAATAATGACGACCACGACCACGACCACCACCATGATTTGGGGGCCTCAGATGGACTGGATACCTTTGCGTCGGATGATGCTCATAGCCATTCTCACCAGCCGCTAGAGTGGGAGCCCAGCCAGGTACTTGATGTTGACGCCAAAGTCAGCAATACCCATGTGAGTCAAGAGGATCAAGCCATTGTCGACTCAATCCTCAAGGAGCTGCAAGACGAGGAGGATCAGGCGAGAGTTGCTATGGAGATCGACGCCACCAAGTTGAGCACCTCGAGTGCAGCAGTCGCTGAAGACTGGCCTAGTATTGGCAAGGCATTGCCAACGCCTGATTCATCGTCTCTGTTGTCTTCTAGCGCCACCACTACCACCGCTGCTTCTACCTCGAGAAGTGAGCCCGCCGCCCAGCCTCAGGAACCGGCTGTGAAGATGATGACATGGTCGATGGTAGCTCGCACCAGCTCGGAGTCGTCGCTGGGATCGACAGGTCCTCAGGGTAAAGGACAGGAACCATCGGAGAAGGTGGTGCCCGCGGGAAGACAGCCCGCGATTTTCCGGCAGTACTCGCAGAGCGCCATGCAGGAAGAGATTGAGGATGAAGAGACGCAGCTGGCGCGTATCCTGTCTCTGAGTATGGTTGAGAAATAAAGCGGTTGCATAGAGTTGTTTGTTCTTATTTCCTAATCCTCTCGATCCGGGTTTTAACTTGGGAGCCCCAGCCACCGAAACACAAACATAACCGCGGTCCGAAAAAAGAGAAAAGGCAGGCACACTTTACTCAGTCTCGGTGACCTCCTCGTTCCTCCCCTCGGCGCCTCTCTCCTCTCACGATCACCTTCACCACCCACTCACTCACTCACTCACTCGAACCATCGTCCATTCACTATACACACGCATATACTCTGCGACAAGTCGACCATCCAGCAACCTTTGGAGTCTTCAGTCTCCCTATAAACAATTCCTACATTCCCTCCGTCCTCCCGCTCGGCTTCTTTCATTCGGAACTTTTTTCACACCTCGCTCTCACTTTTTTTTTTGATTCCGAACTACACACGATAACACAAGAGTAAGGCAGATCATCCTACGACAATGAACCATAGCCGTCTCATGATCAACCACTCACTCAACAACCCTTCTTGTTCGTCCCATGTAGTCATCACTGCCCGAACTCTGGAATTAGGCAATAGCGCACCGGAGTCTTCACGTCTAGGATGCACAAGACCACGCGACAGATCTGGGCAACATCGTCCCCTTCGTCGTGTCTCTTTTGCGACCTTCAACTTTTGTTTCCCCGAGGCACCGTCTCCAGAGCAACCCCATCGACGACTATTGGCGGAGTCAGGACACAAGCGCGTGAAAACTCGACTTTGGCGACGCGGATACAACCACGGACGTCTTCGGGGCGAGGACAGCTCTCGTCGCGCCTCGGTCTCTTTGGACCCCGCGCAAGATCCACTCTGCCCACGTCAACCGCGCTGGTACATCCACCACGGCCCCAGCGACATGCAGTCTGTACATATACCACCAAGGCATCGGCCAGGAATGAGCAGAGCGCTCATGATACCATCACCACCGTCACCTACAGGAGCACAGCTGCAAAAACAATCTCGCCATGCGAAAGCTACGTTCTCCAGCACTCTCACTCACTCGGAATGGACCAGGCTGGTCTAGTTTTGACAGGACCTCGGTTATTAGCAGGATCCAGAACACCTCTGAGGACTCGCACACGCCTCCTCTCGACATCCACTTCGCCTTCAGTCGTCTCCGAGACCGACTCAGAGGGGCCACTTTTAATTTCCGCACCGACCTCAACATCATCAACATCAGCAGTCGTTCAGGAAACCAATACATCCACTCTCAATGAACCGGCAACAAAATCCGACTTTCAGTCGCTTTTTCCGGAAATACCAGCATCATTCGTAGACGAATCGTCTCGGGATCCGTTCTTGTCACCGGTTTCGGATGCACCTTGGCGGAGTGGCGCAATGGTCGAAGGCTTGGGTCTGGAGGAGTCGTTGCGAAAATCAGTCTATCAGAGAGATCCGATCGGGACATGGTGGCCCTTGTACGAGGAGGTCGCTGGTCAGTGGCGGTCGCCCATTCGCCAGGAGCATGCGTTAGGGCGCGCGGACTTTATTCGATTCATTGGCGCCCTCAAGGTTTCGCCACAACCACCACGAGACACCAGCAGACTGACGAAACTTGAGCAGGTCTTTGACGATTTCCACCGTGCCATCACCAAGCCTAAATCCAACGCCAAGGTGTACGGAGCCTTCCTGGGAACACTGCATTTCTGGAAGATGGACGATGTAATTCCTGCTTGGATTGCTCGTATCAAGGCAACCATCCCAACCAACACCCCCACAGCCCTTTTTGGATCCGCCACTCATGTCCGCGAATGCCCTCAGGAGCAGTACCACGACCTCATCCGCGCGTTGGTCGACCTGGGTCAAGCAGATGCTGTTCGACAGTGTGTCGAAGAGCTAAACCACAGTCGATCTGAGCAGCTTCGCCCCTCAGTCATGGCGTACGACTTGCTGATGGAGAGTTGCATGATGCGCAAAGACACAGCCGGCGCTGCCAAGGCTTTCCAGGAGATGCAGGACCAGGAACTGAAGCCCGAGCTGACGAGTTTCAATACTCTTTTGCGGGGACACTTGGAAAACAAGGACGCACGAGCCACGCAGCGTGTGCTGGAGAGCCTTCTTCTGACGGACATTCGGCCCGACATTTACACTTTCAACCTTCTGATGTCAGGGTATCTGGAGATGGGCGAGATCGACCTCGTCAATGGCTTCTACAAGGGCTTGGGAGAATACGGACTGACACCCAACTCCAAAACGTACCGGATCTTGATGAAATCTCATATGCGGCAGGGCAAAGTCGACCAAGTCGTTGAGTTGTTCAGTAGACTGAAGGAGAGCACCCAGTCGGACTTACACCCACGTTCGGAGGATTACCGAGTCCTGTTGCAGGCGCTAGCGAGCAACGGAAGGATGTCTGATGCTCTGCGTGTGTTGCGAGAGATGACCGAGACGGCCAAGACACCCGTTACCACTCCGATTTATAACGTGTTTGTGGCCCAGTACGCGCGCGATGGCCAGATCGACAAAGCCTGGAGGATCCTGGACAAGATTATCGCCGCCAAACTGCCGCTGATTGATGGGAGCATCAACCCTTTGCTTCGGGCATATCTGGCCAGACGGGACTTTGACAAAGTCAGCGAGATCACAGAGCTCATGAACCGGTATGGAGTCACGCCTTCCAAGACGACGTTCAACATCATGATCCACTCGACCAAGGTTTCAGATAACCTGGATGTCGCCACGCAGCTCTACGAGAGGATGAAGGTGGAAGGGATCACGCCGGATGTGTGGACCTACAACGCTCTTTTGGATCTCTTGGTGGAGAAGCTCAAGCCTGTTCGCGAGAGTATTCGGCGGAAAGGAGACCCGAATGCAGTGAGGAAGGCACAAGTGGAGGAATATGTACCCAGGATCGAGTCGCTTCTGCAAGACATGAAATCTAGAGGGATTCGGCCGGACATTGTCACCTACGGGAAGCTGATCCATCAGTATGTTGTCCTCCGGGACATTGAGCAGGCGGAGACGCTGTTTCACGAGATGGTCAAGTCTGGGATTTCACCCAATACGTACGCTTTCAACACGCTGATGAACGGGTTTGCGCTGATCGAGGACATGGACAAGGCCGTAGAGCTCTTCCGGAGGATGCCCAAGCATGGTGTCCAACCTGACGCGACAACGTTTACGACTCTGATCAAGGGTTACGCCAACCTCAAGCAGATGGCTCTTGCTCAGGATTTTGCCAACTCGCTTCAACAACAGAGCTCAAAGGTTCAGATGGACCAGCACTGCCTTCACATGCTGATGCAGTTGGCTCAAAAATCGCACCAGCCCGGGATGGCGCTCGATTTTTTCGAGATGATGAGGGGTCGTGGGATGGAGCCTGACAACGTAACCTTCACGATCTTGATCAACTCTCTCAGTCGTCAGTACACCACCGCGTCGTCCAAGGGCAGGCCTGGGTCCCGGAACCGCGTGAATCGCCGATCAGGAGGGGATCAAGCCGCAGGAATATATGAGGGCATGCAGTCGCATTCAGCCGCCGAGGCTGTCGAGTCGATTCTCGGTGTTCTCCAGCAGGATGGCGCTCCACTCCACCACTCAGGCATCACCACCGTGATTTCGGCCTACTTCCGATTGGGACGTCCACTGGCAGCGATTGGATTCTTTAAGAACAGCTTTTGGAAGGGCCAACCCAAGCTGAGCACGACCAATTGTGGAGCACTCTTCCATGGACTCTTGGCACCCGAGCTTGGCCGCCGGTACGACGGGATTGTCCTCAATCTCTACACCCGCATGCTACTAGGCACCAAGCAGGCGATCCGCGCAGAGGAGGCAGCCAAGCAATCGTTAGAGAATCCGTTGAGTGCCGATACTCTGACCCACGCTGAGCCTACCAAAAAGGGACATGTCTCCTGGGACTCTTCCATGCTGCCAACCGCATCCAAGTCTACCAAGACGACGGTGGCATCCAAGGACAAGGTTAAGTTTGTGCCGCCACACGATCTCCCTATCCTGGACCTAGTCACCTTCAACATCCTGTTCCAATCTTTCTCCAAGAAAAACAACTGGTCGATTGTCCTTCAGCTTTGGCAGGACCTAGAGTCGGTCGGTGCCGAGAAGCTGTACCCGCATGAGATGCCTCTCGAGTTCCTGGGCTGGGCTGCTCAAGCCCATCACATGATCTCTGAACGTCGTAATAGCCATGACGGGGAGCCGCCACGATCGTCTTCCTTTGCGAAAGCAAGCGACGATGATGAAACGCCTGCCGAGACCCATGCTGAGAAGGCCGAGAAGCTTTTGAAGCAACTGTGGAATGCCCACCACAAGATGGGCGCTGAATGGAGTACCCGGATCTATGGATACAACATATTCAAGTCTCTCTTGCCGGCGCCCTTGTCCACAGCCGCATCCGCGAGCCCCGTTCAGCCATCGTCGGTTGCCAGTAGCCACCACAACAACAACAACAGCTCTTCGCTGCTGTCGTCCTTTTTATCGGACGGCGTGAACCAGGCGAGCTACCATCACAAGTCGGCGACATCGACCCATTCATCCTCATTTGAGGAGGAGTTGAAAGGAACCGAGCAACAGAGCCACTAAAACCGCCACTTAATAATAAACCTGTTTGACTGGGCCTTATTTTTTCAATCATCTATTATCTAAGAACTATGAACGAGTCTGTGGGGTTTTTTTTCTTATTTGCGCCCATCTCCTATTGTCAACAATAGCCCGCAAACCATAACCACATTCCGATCCATTATCGTCATCTCACTAACGGCAAGAGAAGAGGCGATGCATCCAAAATAGACGTGGAAATAAAAATGCACCCTAGCGAAAAATAGAAACAAAAAAAAAAAAAAAAAAGAGCACAAAACACGAGCATGTTCAAGGAATGCGCACTAGCGGATCAAAAAAAAAGTTAGAAATAGAAACCCCAGATCTGGTCTGCTGACAAGATGTACAACATCATCACTACCGCCAACATGCAATTATGTCTTCTTTTTTGTTGTTGATAATTGTTCTTGCTTTTATTAAGTGACTATTGCTACTGTCCCCTCTGCTCAAAACAAAAAGGATAGTAGTCTCGAGTGGTCCATGATGTATCGAGCAGGTATTGCTGTCGTGTCGTATGTATGTGTCGTATAGTGGTTTTGCTGATTTGTTGTTCGTTTTTGTCCATTTTGTCCGTTTTGCCAATATCCCAGAAGAGTGCGCCATACTTGTTGTATTAATTGGCGGCAGAAAAAGGTGCTGTACACTCTGATCCCCCTGATCTCCTTGATTCCCTAACGCCCTCCCCTCTCTGTGTCTCCGCTCATGTTGTTTGCGTCCATTCTCTCTCACTCCAGTACGTGTTTAGTCAACCTAGGGCTGGGTGACCTCGGGTGTGGCGCCCTCAGGGATATCAGACTCGTGCACAAGGGAACTTTCCTTGACGGGAGGCGATCCGGCGTTGGGTGCTGCTGGGTTCGAGTGTGGGATGTTCTCTGGCTGGGGGTGTTGTGATCCTACGGGTGTCGTTGTCTTTCCTGCCTTTGACAAGGCGTAGTCTCCCGAATCGAAATATTTGCGTTCCTAATAATTGCAGATAAAAACGGCGGGCGCACAACAAATATTAATAAACGGTGTTAATGAAGTGCAAGAGGATACGTTAAATGTGTACTGCGGTTGGGCATATCGTGTGAGACTTTTTACTCCCGCTAAGCTGGCACAGGACACTACACGCCATGACGCTAAAGTGTCATGACCTCCTCCGGCTCCTGTCGGGTCCATTCCTGTATGCGCTCGGGAATCCGTTGCTGCTTTTTTGAGCCTGTTGCAATGAAATGTACCTTCAGCTTGTGTCCCAAGAGGTCCCGTCCAGTAGGAAGTTTTCCGTACATGCGCTGTAACTTTTTTTCCTGTTCATTCATGGTCTAGTGAGAAAAAGGCAAACAATAGCCCCAAAAGGAGTCAGTATGAAGTCATTCTCGAAAAAAAAAGTCTTGGCATTGTTACAGTGCGCCAAACAGGAATAAAAAAAAAATACACGCGGTGAATGAGGAGCAGGCATACCTGAGTGACGGAGGGGTCCTGGGCGGGTGCGTTGGCGTTGTTGGTTGAGGGGTTCAAAGGGGAACTCATTGTAAAAGTGCGTAAATGTGTGCGTGAGAATGTACAGCAAAGGGAAGAGAAATAAATGAGGAAGTGAAAGGATGAGGAGAACAGTGGTGTGGTGTAGTATCAGGAGTAAGTTTCCGAGTCGACTGCAGTAAAAGCTAAGTTGTCTGAAAAGGCTTGTATATGGGTTATTGTGTAAAAAGCGTGGGTTGGAGAGAACGAAAGGAAAGAAGAGGAAAGCATAGGGAAATATGTAGTCAAAGAACAAGAAAACGGGGGCATGACGTCGATCGCAGTCACATGGCCGAGGAAGGGTGCGAAACATGCGAAAGTCAATTGATCAGAGGGATACGTTGCCACCAAAATATCACTCGTCAGTTATGAATGGTACCCGATCATGACATGATAGCCTGGAGCGATATTCTGCCCACTCGCTCGCTCGCTCGGTGTGAGGGCGAGGAAAAGGGAGTGCATATCCAGTCAAGAGGATGCGCATGTATCTTTCTGCTCTTGCTCTGGCCCATTTTTTTATCCTCATCATGGTGTTAGAAAAACCGCAAGAGAGAGAGAAAGAAAGAAAGAAAACGACATGCATCTCTATCTTCGTCTTTTTTTCAAAGTCCTCTTTGTCGTCACTCTAGCACTCTCGCAAAAAAACGGGTTATATAATGTTGTTGGTGTTGTTTTGTGCCTGTCCACATCAAACAATAGAGATAGCGAACACGGCCTCTAATGCTCGCCTAGACGGGCCATCTTTCCTCTTCATTATGGTTTCGACTCGATGTACTGATATCTGTTTGGATGGTCGCTCTCACTTTCGATCTTGCTCTTTTTTTCCTCTATCTCTATCCTCCTCCTTCTCTCTATATTGATTACGGCTGATCCTCACTAATCCAAGGTCGGGTGAGTGAGTGAGTGAGTGAGTGAGTGAGTGAGTGAGTGAATGAAGGAATGAATGGATGAGAGTGATGAACTCCTATATTTCCCAGCGATTACCTAACTGTTGGCCAAGAAGGAGAGAGAGGGAGAGAGGGTCGGTATGAGATGCTGAAGCTCAACTGTGCTAAATTGACGCCCTCAACTCAACTGAGTTTCCCCTTGGGTTGCACAAGGAGATCGAGAGAAAGAAAAAAAGAAAACAGCAAAAGAGATGAAGGGAAACGGAAAGAAAGAAAAAAAGAAAGAGGTGGCGGGGCAAGCAAGCGGACTGAGCACAGCATCCCGTGCAGACAGGTAGAATGGAAGAAAATAACATAAAACGACAAAGGGCCCAGGTGGAGTTGGTTCGTTGTTGTTTTAGAATACAAAGTTTACGCAGGGTGAATTGAATTTAACGATCATGTTTGTACCGTTCGCACTTGATTTTTTGCGAGTCGGGAAAAGGGACGAAGGGAAAGACCGAAGGAAGGGTAGGTGTCAAGAAGAAGTGGCGGGAGAGGAGAGACGAATGAAATGAAAGACGAAAAAATAAAGTCCCCCCCACGGCCGTTTCAGAGAGTGAGTGGGATTGGATGATGAAGGAGGCGGCGTCGATATGGCCAAGCCAGGTTAGGATAGGACGGGATGGGAAAAGATTGGATTGGATTCAACGGACAATCATCTCTGTTGTGATGCTGTTGTCGTTGTTGATAGTAGGAGGAGCAGTAGAAGAACGAAGAACTCTTTTGTGTCAAAGCGGAGCAAATGACCAAAATGAAAAAAGGACTTTTGTTATTTCTCCGTTACTTTCTCTCTCTCTCTTCCCCTCACTTTTCCTCCCTTCTTCCCCACTTCATTTCTCAATTCTCACTTCCTCCGCCCCTCCCTCGTCCACTCTCCTCTTCTTTCCTTTCCTTTTCTAACTTACTCCTTCCTCCCCTTCTTCTTTTCAATCCCTTGACCCTTTCCTTCTCACTCTCCTCTCTCAACTCCTTCACACTCACGTTCTCTTGGGGGGGTTTTTTTTCTGCGCTCTCATTACCAAGTCCTCATTCCTTCATTCCGTCATTCGCTCGCTCCCACCTTCGCCTTCTCAACAGACAAACAGACAAACCCGCACCCCGCGCGCGCGTCCTTCTTGCTGGCAACTCAAAAACGAAAACTTGGGTCTTTTTTTTCAGCGACCCTTGTCCTGCTCCTTCACCTCCCCCTCCCTTCTTCCTCCCCTTTCTTCACCTCATTTTTTCATTCATATCACACTTTACAATGGAACTGCAACAAGTGTCAAGAGGCAACGGCTCAACCTCCAACAACTCCTCCACCAATCTCGCACCACTCCTCACAGGACAGTTCTCCGGCAACCGTTCAGATCAAAAGAAGGCGAAGGCCCTCAGCGATGCAATTGATCGCTCCCTCAGAGCCGACAGGGAACGTCAACTCAGAGAAGGAGGAATCAAACTGCTTATTCTTGGTAAGAATCAACACACACTCCCTCGTATATTCTCCGTATACTCTCGGCAGGTGTTATCAGGCTAGTTTCAACAACAGCTGGTCAATTGAACCAATTTTGCTTGGAATTCTCTACGCCTTGGCACACACACACACTCTCTCTCTTTCTCCCGCTTTCTCTTGTGTCTTTTGTTTACTTCCTCTCGTTTGGGGATTGATAGTCTACTTTACCAGAACCTACGTTTGACACTGTCATTAGTGTTTTGATACCAACGAGCAACCTTTTGCCGTTATCAGGAAGCGGGCAATAGCGCGAGAGGATTGAACGATTGTATCATTCGTCGTCAATTTTTTTGTCCGCTGCGATTCAGCAAAAAACAGGAAAGCATGAAAAAAGGGGGACTCGGGTGAATACGCATGTGTTAGTGTTAGGTGGTCTGGTTCCATCGAAGATTCCAACTGCAGAAGAACAATAACAACAAAAAAAAATACCACCTCCGTGGGTCCTTTTAAAAACAACAACAACAGAGAGAAAACAAGTTCCTCGATCTGGTTTTACATTTTATTGTTTTCTCCTTCCTTCTCTCGTCCTCTGTGAGAGCATTGTGTCAAAGTTCCATTGGTCCTATTTGGGTTTCCCACAAAAAGTCTCGCCATGTGGGTCAATTTGTCGATCGCCGTCTCTGGGCAGGTACACAACGGATATCTCTTCTCGTTGAGAAGAGGATAAAAAAGAGGGAGAGGACAGTAACAGTTCCAGGATGGTAAAGGAGCTCTTGAGATGGACATGGACGCGGTTTTTTTTGTTTTTAATCCTTATATGCTCTCTTCTGGTCTTCGCTATCAACCCACTTTGTTGTGTTACCGTTTTGTTCTTCTTTCTTCAGTTGCCAGTCGTTTCGGTTGAACCCAAAAAAAAAACCTCCCATCTGGAAGTGAAATAATTAACTTTTCCATGCCACTTTCTGCACCCATTGCCGATAAACGTCAATAGGTCCATCCGAGACGGGAAAGACGACGGTGCTCAAGCAACTAAAGCTGCTCTACGGTCGGAAGGGCCTGGATGTGGAACGACAGACATATCGGAGAGTCGTCCATTTGAATGTCATGAAGGCGATCCAGGGACTCGTTGAAGGAATGGAGCAGGCCAACATCCAGCTTGGAAACCCTGAGAACGCCGTTCATGTCGAAACGGTCCGTCGCCTGGAAACAACCCTGAAGCGGTATTCTATCACCACCATTGGCGTCCCTAACCCTGCTATCCCCCGCAAAATCACCGATGCCAAAGCCGAAACTGACATGTTTGCAGATATGGTGCCGGCCATCAAATCACTATGGACAGACCCTGGTATTCAAAGGACGTTCAACACCTGCACACAACTCAGCATTCAGGACTCTGCGAAATAGTAAGCAAAAAAACACATTTTCAGGCACCGATTTTGGCCATGACTGGTAAACACCTAATTCTGACAGCTTCTATTTTTTTTGTCGGTTTTACCCCTTTGTCCTTCTCCGCTCAAATTAGTTTCTTGGATGCAGTGGATCGAGTCTCTGACCCAGAGTACACCCCAACAGACGACGATATTCTTCAGGCCAGGGTCAGGACGCTGTCGGTCTCGGAGCACATTTTCGACATTGACGGAGTGGCATACAGGTACGGAGTGCTGTTTACATATCCTTCAATGTAAAAAACGATTGACCAAACGACAACAACATTCGTAAGCTGACATGTTTAATTTCTTCCCTCCGCACAGGATATACGATGTAGGCGGACAAAAATCCCTCAGGAAATATTGGGTGTAAGCCTCCAGTGTTGTTTATTTATCGTTTCAGCTATTTGTTGGGTACTGGAGAGGAAGAGGGGGAAGCGCAGCGGTCACCAAGAAGCGTACGCCCACTCTTTAAACATTGGAAAGAGTGCTTCCATTTGGACCTCTGTGGAACTTAACACTTCAACGGCTGTTCGTTTGATGTCCGATCACGCTCTCGACTTGTTTTTTATTGTTTTGTTCTCCTATTTGCTTGGCTAACCAATGTTTATGTCAACATTCATGATTCGGTTAGGCCATATTTTGATGATGTGGATGCGATTATCTTCATGTCTGCCCTCTCAGCCTACGACCAAGGATGCGAAGACAACCCCAACTTGAACCGGTTACAGGACTGTCTACTACTTTTCAACGAAATCTCGAACCACAAGCTGTTCCTCAACACGTCGATGATTGTTTTCCTGAACAAGATCGACATTTTCCAACGCAAGTTACTGTCGGGATCGATGGTGAACCGGTATTTCCCCGACTACAACGGACCAAACGACTACTTCAGCACCACTGTTTTTTTCCAATACCGGTTCCTGGAGCAATGCAAGGATCTTCAGAAGCAGGTGTACACCCATTTCACCCACGCCACCGTAAGTGATCCGTTGCTTTTTTTTGTACCTTTTATGGCGCTGTGCAGGGTTGCTTGGACTAGCCCCTGCATATTTTTTCGGGAGGAAAGTGAAAGAGCGAGAAAAAAAAATTGAGAGGCAGAAGAATCTTTGTCAATAGAGTTTGAGGTGCTGTCTATTTCCACGTGGCATGTACTGTGTCTGCTGGATCCGGGACGGGGTCTGATGTCAGTTTATTATGTACTGTTGTTGCTGTTGTTTTTCTAATTGCGGGATGGACAATTGAACTCCGGAGGGAACACAAGGGCGGTTACGATGTCCGAGTAAGGAGAGCATGACAGGGAGCGGAAATAGCGACAGGCCAAAAAAAAAAAATTGAGTACTGCTGCAGGTGATCATCGTCATCAACCAAGTTACTCATATCCATCTCGCTTTTTTGGTGTCGTATTTCTTTTCCTCTCTCTTCCCGCTCCCGTTTGGATCTCATAGGACACCAAGCAAATGAAGGTCATCGTTGTGGCCGTGAATGTCATTATTCAGCGCTTGAATCTCCGCAACTCTGGGCTCTTGTAAAGGGAGAAAAAGGACAAGATCAAACCCTCCCACACTCTCTCTTCATCCCAACGGTCCAACATGTGTTCCCTCATATTTCTCCGCGGGCAAACCAGCGACCCTCCTTACTTTTTCTTGTCTTTTACCCTTTAGCCTTTCCCTTGTTTATTATTTTTTCTTGCACTTCACATCATTTTCATGTTTATGTTACCTCTTGTCGTTTTTTTTCGCTTCTTTTTTTACCTTCACTCTCATCCATATATTTTAGGGTGTGAGTAGAGTTTGATTTACACACAACACTATCCTATCCGACAAAATGGCCTTTAATCATTACAACCACATACATACCCTTCTCACTCTCATTCTCAAGCTATTCTACTCATCCTCCTCACTCTTCACTTTTTCGCTAAGCGCTAACCAGCTCTAGTATCAAAAACGTTTTCTTTAGACCATCCCTAATAAATTCTTTGAGTTCGCACATACACAACAACAACCAAGAAAATACCAGAGATTGTGTTTCTTTCTTCTTTCTTCTTACTTCAGAATTGCAAAGAATGGACATTAAAGGCATTCTTTCTCTTACATATTCGTCTGTCGCCCAGCTTTGTTGGCTGCTGCTTGCAAGCTGTGAGTAGGTAATAGCAAGTCGGTGGTTATGGCCACACATAAAGAGAAAATCGCGTTTGATTCTCGACAAACGTGCGAGAAAACATAGAAGCGTGCTCAAAGTCTGCGCCGAGTTACAGTATTCACGATCTAATATAATACGGTGACACGAAATTGATGTCATTTGGTATATAAGCATGCGATTGTTACGAGAGTGCATCTCTAGTCCAGAGATTACCTGATTGGTCAACTGCCTCAATAGCGTAGGGGTTATCGCGTTTGTCTTGTAAACAAGAGGTCCCTGGTTCAAATCCGGGTTGAGGCACAGATCATATCATCTTTTTTGTCTTCCTTCGGAGAAAAGGCGGACGTTTTTTTTTGTTCGTTTGCTGGTTCAAGCAAAGGAAACAGAATGGTGAACATCCAAAGTTTTTATATATTTTTTTTTCAAAGGTTGTATGTTCAAAACTTCAAACGATAGCCCTTGGGTGCGATGGTTGACCGCCACTCTTTGGCCCTCTCAAACCCATTCTTGGCCTCTCGGAAATCCTGCAACGCCTGCTGGGTCTCCTCCTTGGTGTTCATGATAAATAGCCTGTCCATCACAATGGGTTCCTTGAGCGGTTCTCCAAGGAGGATCACGAAATGGGCTTCTTCGTCGGTGGTCTCGATTCGGAGGTGGTCCGTCCCGTCGTCGCGTGAGAGGATCAGGGCTTGGTGGGCTTGACCCTTGAAGGGTTGGTCCGGTGTGCTGTTGACGACTGCATGGTTCCTGAGCAGATCGACCGCTTTCTTGTTTTCTTCGCCGTTGTTGTTGTCAATTGTCCTGGTCAATCCTTTATCGCCGCCGAAATAAGCCTTCCCGGAGAGCATGTAGACGAATCCCGAATAATCCTTGGGAACAGCCTGCTCGACAGTCTGGTTCTTCCTCATCCGGTAGTCGAGGTACATGGTCGGCGTCCGGGTATAGACTTCACTCTTGACCCCATGAGCCTCCCCTGCAATGACTTTCACCTCGACTCCGTTCTGTGGTTTTGCACGTGGGATCTGGTCGTCGCGAAGGTCTTGGTAGGCTGGGTCGCAACGTTTGTCCTTTTGGGAGAGGTTGACCCACAGCTGAAGACCGTGTGTTGCCTCTGGGTCCTGGCTCGGTCTCAGACTCGACTTGTCTTTGCTTGTACTCACTCCTGCTCCTGCTCCTGCTTGGTGATCAATCTTCCCCTTGGCAGCGGTAGCAGCAACAGCAGAGCCAGGCATCTCACAATGAACAACCCCGCGCCCCGCAGTCATCCATTGCAAGTCCCCTGGTCCAATGGTTCCCTTATGCCCCGCAAAATCCTCATGCTGCATCTGACCCCGAAACAGATAAGTCACGGTCTCGAACCCACGATGAGGGTGGTCCGGGAAACCGCCTTGAGAACCGACCCAGAACTCGTCGAGGAGGAGGAAGGGGTCGTCGTGGTGTTGTTGGATTGTGCCGAGGGATCTGCGGACGGTTGCGCCCATCCCTTCTTCGCGCTCGGCAGCGTAGATTGATTTCAGGACGTGGCGACTCCTGGAGGTGCTGGCGGCGGAGAGGGTGGAGAGGGAGGTCCGGAAGTGGAGGGCGCGTGAGGCTAGCATGGTGGGAGTGGTTTGTCCTGGTTGCTGATATCTTTTTCCGGGAAGTTGTGGGCTTGAGGTGGTAGAAAGCGGCAGCTTGGCAGTCGCGCTGGTGTGGGTGTAAAGGACAGGGAGGGAAAAGGGAAAGAGGTAGGGAAAAAAGGAGCGAGGAGAAAAGCAAAGGGTTCAGCTCACTCATTTCAAATCAGATTATCAAAGACATGGTTTGGTCACACACAGGAAAAAGCCACCATTCATTCCATTTGCCCATTAGCAAATTGCGCCTCGTCTGTTCGTCGGTCCTTGTTACAAATCACATCTGGGACAGAGTCCAGAAAACCCATTTGCAACTTTTTTTTGCGTGGTAAGTAACGGACGATTTTATTTCGATTGCAAAAAAAGTTGTGAGAGAACCAATATATATTAAGAAGACTATGGAGTAGATAGAGTAGATGTAGTTAATGGGTGCTAAGAGAGTAGGGCGGGGGAAGCACGAAGGGAGGTTGAAGATGAGAATGAAACGCGTCTTTCTGAAAGAACGGAACGACGAGTGTACGAAATTGAGAATTAAAAATATATGAAGGTATGTGCATGGATAGATCGAGTGTGGGCTTTGCTTATGCAACTCTTACTATGCTAGATAAATATGTATGTGTGTGTATGTGTATGTGTATGTGTATGTGTATGTGTATGTGTATGTGTATGTGTATGTGTATGTGTATGTTGTGACCAGAAGGGACTGGGACCCTCAAAGACGAAAAACGAGAGAACAAAAACGACTTTCAGACAAACTCAGTACCGGATGGATCCAAGGTCGCATTCAAACTCGCTGACAAGATCGCCCACAGAGTCGATCTCGGGCAACTCGATCTTCTTCAAGAAGTAAGCTGGAGGAGGCGTCTGGGGTGATTCGACGGGGGAGAGGAACTGAGGGTTCTGGTAGTATGGGCTACCATTGTTGACCTGGTTGGTGGGCGATCCAGCAGTGGCACCAGCACCGACGGTGGCGCGGTACAGACCAGGGTTGACAGTCAATGGGCGTCTCTGTTGCTGGTTGTTGGGAGAGGGCTTCTTGGTCACCTGAGAGAGACGTGGCTGCTTGTAGAGCTGCTGGTTGAACTGGTGAGGCTTGGTCGTAGAAGAAGACGTAGGAGAAGGAGGCGAATCCTGGAAGGTCACATGCTGCGAGCGCGTTGCCTGTTGTTTCTGCTGTTGCTGATAGGCGGCTGCGTGGTAGTAATCGCGGGGTTGGTGAGGCTCCAGGAAAACATCTGAATCACGCTGTTGTGTGATAATGGACCGAAGCGTCGTCGACGCCGTCGTGTCCTTTGACTGCATGCAAGATGCTTGCTCGTTACGTTGCTGCTTGAAGTACTTGCTGCGTTTCGAGCGGTAACGCTAAATAAAGTTCATACATAACGTAAAGATGCGATGAGAAAGAAATGGTGAAAAAAAAAGAAAGGAGTAGGAAGAAAGGACACGTTATCATTAGTAAGTGAAAAGAAAGAGAGAAGGAGAGAGTGAGGGGCCGAATAATTTGAAAGATAGCCAGGCAGCCGGCGCCAGTCAGAATCAAGGAGGGAAGAAGGGGGTCGCAAGCGAGCGAGAGAGAGATTGATAGCGAGGTCGAAGAAAGGGAGAGGGAGTGAGAAATGGTCCGGTCTGTTCATTTTGAAGGCAGCAAGGGACAGGACTGCAGCGCAAAAAAAAGGCAGGCAGAGAAGGGGCCTGAGGCAGTGAACAACCAAGGAGACAACAAACAAAGGTAATACTATTATATGCCTTGATGAGTGCTGAAGTTGACAAGGTTGAAAGGCAGGGCAGAAGGCGTTGGGAAGCTACAGACATGGCAAGCCAGCCAAAGTAAGTCTGTGAGTTCCAAATAGGGCGAGATTATAAAAAAAAAAAAAAGCTTAAGGGAGAACCAGAGGAGAAACCCTACTGGTTGCGGTCAAGACGTGCGTGCCAAAAGAACCACCTCCTTTCGCTGTCAAACCCCGAATTTTTTTACAGAGATATCCCCTGAACGAGGGACAAGCAAGAAAAATAATACGCTGTAGGAAAGAAGACGGAGACAGGGCAGTCATAAGGGACAAAAGAAAATAAAGGGCAGGGAAGGGGTCTGGTTGTTGTTGTTGGCCCTGACGCATTGCTGTCAACACAAAAAAGAAACACAGACAGACGGAAAAAGTAACTTAAAGCACAAAATGGACGAATGATTGCACAAAAGACCATTTACAAAGAAGAGACTAGCGGACAACTTACTCCGAACTGCAAGGCCAAAAGGCCCAATGTTGCCCCGGGCATCACCATGGCCCACTCGACAATAAAGGCCTGCATCACAAGAACCCAGATCGCCGAACCCAAAGCGACACACCCAATGGAGAGAAACGCCCAGTGCATCTTTGTCTGGCGGGCATCTTGCCAGAAGGTTGGGTAAGAAAGAGTCGTCGCATTGTAGGAATGGAGCACTGTGGTCGAGGCCGAGAGCGTCGAGGTTGTGGTTCCAATGGTGTGGTGATGATCGTCTGACATCTGCAGGTTGTACAGGTTCTCGGATTCGCCGCTCTCCACCAGCCGGCTGACGCGAGGGCTCAAAGAGGCCTTGACGGAACCAGTCTCGTCTGCGCCCCCAATGTTGATGGCAATGGCCTGTGGAGGCATCCTTGCTAATTTTGGTCGAGTCAGAGTTGCAGTGGTGGCGCCCGTGGAGGCAGAGATCTGCATCATCGAGGGCCATTGAGCCGACTGGCGATGTTGCTGCTTGTTCTTTTTGTCGGTAAACCCTCCGAACTTAAACTCGGACTGCTCCGAATGTAGATAAGGTGGAGGTGGCGACACCAGAGGGGAGGTAGGACTGTTCATGAAGTCGTCGTTCAGTCGTCCTCCTTTTGCCTTTTCGATGGCAGACAGGGCTGCAGAGGTCGAGCTGGGGATGGTGATTACACGCATGGTCTTACTGCTGTTGGTGTAACTGTTGTACTTGCTGACATAGGCCTGAGGCTTTTGGATCTGAGAGTGAGGCTGAGAAGTCTTATTGGGAGCGGATTGCTGGTTGTAAGGGTGGTTGAGGTAGGATTGATAGGGCAGATCGACCTTGATTGCTGTAGGGAACTCGTATTCGCTGACCCTCTTGTTGTTGCTGTTATTGTTGTTGATGTTGGTAACGAGGGTCTCGCCTGTCAAAGGTGATGTCGAGAAAAATACGCGTGCCATTTCATGCAGAGGGGAGGATGGGAAGAAGAGAAGGGAGGGTATGGAGTTAGAGTTGGGGTTGGGTAGTGGTGGAAGGAGATGAGGATGAGGATTGGTTTGAGGAAGGTGGATAAAGTCGACAAAAGTGGGGCCAGAAGTGAGGGAGAGTAATGTGAGCGAGAAGAAAAAGAAAGAGGGAAGGAGAGAGGGAAAGTGAATGTACGGATGAGTGGGTGAAAGGGAAAGAAAAGAGCAAGAGGAAGGGTGGCTGTGGGGCAAAGTATGCGTAGGCAAGCGGAGCAAAGAGAAGAACGAGAGGAGAGAAATGCAAGGAGCCAGAAGAGAAAGAAATAAATAAAAAAAAAAAAAAGAGCCCCTCCGCGTGAAAAGACGTGTCGAAAGGACGATCAGACAAAATGCCAGAGTGTGAGACAAGACGCGTTAGACTGATCAGATCAAACACTACGACCGAAATAGAGGGCGAGGCGGATCTGTCGACAGGTCCGAGAAGGGCCGGAGTCCCAAGATATCGTCAACACCATACTGCAATTAGTCTAGACGCGAAGGGAGGTGTATTGCTATGGCATGTTTTGTACTATTCTAACCGAGAAATAATTCTTCGTTATCAACAAACACGCAGCTGTCGCTGATGCCGATGAAGCCATCTCTTTTGTCACATTTGCCTTTCTCGTGTTCTTGGTCATCTTCTGTCTCTTACTCACTTTATTTTCGTGTTTCTCTGTTCGTCGTGCTGTCGTCGTAGTTTGTTTATGTTCCCCTCAACTCCTTATTTTTTCTTCTTCTCCCCTTTCCCACTTCTGGCGCCTATTACTATCAAACAAAACAAAAAAAATACTCACAAAACCCGTTGTTGGCGACGACAGGCGGGCAGGCAGGATTCAGTGGTTTGAGGCCTTTCTGAACCTCGTAATATTTTGTTACCTCGTCGACTTTTCAAGGGCATCCCGTTTTGTCTTTTTTTTGCACTTTACTATGGGCACCCTTTTTTTGTACCTCCGTTTCCTTTGTCTGTCTCCTGCGTCGCCATTTTGCAAAAATAAATAAATTATATCCACATACAAAAACACGCGCGACGGACGGATAGCCATCACTTCAGGCCGGATAGAAGAAGGGTTGCTAAGCCTCAACGCCTCCTGAACGAAAAGAAGAAAGCAAGGGCACTTTTCGTGGATGTGATGACGATAAAATAACAAAGGTGTCATAGATGACCTTCTCTTTTACCAGAGCGTAAGAGAGCCCTTTTTTGTTCTTACATATCTTCATCTACTACCCCGTCAAAAAAAATAGCAGCAAGGATGATGACAAGAGAGGACGCCAGTCCTTTTGTAGCGAAGGTTCGTTGGTTTGGATGGGTCGGTGCGCACTCGAATCTGGGTACTCTTTCTAGACATGTTTGTCGACCTGCATGGTTTGTTGAACAAGATCGAAAACAGCGAGCGGGGGAACAAAGAGAGAAGTGACATCAAAAGAAATCTTTTCCCGGGTTATGGACGGTGCCATTGTGGATCGAAAAAATGCCAAATCACTGAAAGGTTTGTGTTTTTAGGTCCTCAGGATTCTTTGGAATGTAGAATGCAGGCTTGCCGATTGTTTGGGCATTTAGCTCTTACTTCCTTCACCTGTCCCTCCGCCTGTCCCTCATCCCCTCCCTTCATCCCATCCCAAACATGATGATAAATGGTGTAGTAGACGGAAAAGAGGAGGGTGCGGCTTAATGTGAGGAGAAGGAAAGAAGACGGGATGTGTTTTTACTCGTTATAATCTCTCACCACTTTTCCAGTAGAGCCTCTTCTTGCCATTGATTTTTTCTCTTCTTCCATCCCCCATTCACCCAGACCCTCCTTTTCATCATCTTCACTCGCACTTTCAACGACCCAGCACCACCCCACAAACCAAACGACAATGACTGTCACACTCATGGTCCTGATCCTATCGCACTTTTACATGATCAAGCCGGAGGAGGACCAACACCAGGCAGTGGACGAGTTTGGGATCCCACGTGAGCCATTGCTGATCCCAGGAATGCCCCTGCTCAACAACGCAGCGCAGCTGCTGGAATGGACCGCGTCTTGCATCAACGAGTTCCATGCGCTCTGGAGGGATGTCATCTTTTGAAGGGCGAAAGGGCGTAGGCAGACTATACCGATTACCGGCAACCACAACACAACCGCAACCCCGCCTCATCGATCCATCTGCAAGGCAACGACGACAGAGAAACAACAATATCAGCAGCAACAAACCTACAAGCGGCCAGTGCCCCTCCCTTATTCTCCGCGATTGCAGGAGGGCAGCCCTATCGAATTTCTGTGGTCAGTCTCAGATTAAGGGCACGGATCTGCTTTGCTGCTCCGCCTTTTTTTTTTTGCGGACTAGCTCGCTTGCATCATTGACATACAACACGGCGTGTCAATTAAGCACGACCAAGGGTAGGGCACGGAGATATAAACAACGTCGTTGTGAACACAACATACAACACACGTTTTCTCAAGAGTGTGCAGCATGCGGTCTCAGTCTTTTTGCAGCAAACAGGACAAGGTTGGCTAACGAGCTGGATCGGTAGCTTGGAATGGAGTCGCCTCTCAGTGTCAGGAATGGGGAAACTCTTCACATACAGCACATAATAAGCAACAAACGTTTACCATTTCGAATGATTTCTGCTGAGGAGAAGAAGAAGAGAGGAGTGAATGTGCAAATGCATGACACAGTAATATGATAGCAAGAGGTATCCAGTGCTACAGGCCAACCACCCACCATGGTGACACTCTTGAACGAAGTGGCCACAGTAGTCCTGGACTGTACAATCGGCCAAGGATTTTGACAACAAAACATGAAAAGATGGGATCATAGTTGCCTCTCGCTCACTTGTTCAAAAAACCCATTCAGGAGTTCCATTCTTCAAAGCCTCCTCCAGCCGCTCCTTCTTCCCTTTCTGACAGTGCGCCAATGAAACTATCGATCGGGTCTCAAAAAAAAGGAGCAAAAAGGAGGGCGTGGTTGCACCGCTTGGGCCTCGATTGGTCCCGGTCCTAGTCATGCATGCTCTTTGGATTTGGGAGAGAGAGATTGATGCATTTTGTTGTTGTTTTGCCGTAGCCCCTGATTCTTTTGAGTTCGTGTTTCGCGTTGTGGTGGATAATTCAATGATCTGTGGCCGAATTCAGGGGCAGAGGCCAAAAAAAAAACAGAGGGATTTGCTGCTATTCTGTGCTATGCTTACCCTCCTCTCCCTTTCTCTTAGGGATGAGCTAGTCAAAGGGATGGGAAGAGAGAGAGAGAGAGAGAGAGAGAGAGAGAGATGTGAGTGTAAATGTGAGTGGAGACAGGCGTTCAGGAGAAGGGTCGAACCGATGCTAGTTCACGATTCAGATCCGAGAGCACTCCTTTTACCTTCAATCGCAATCCCACTATCTTTCTCTCTCCGTTAGTCTGTCTCTTTCCTAAAGTAGAGGAACCTTGATCATAGAACTGCTACGCACGAAAAAAAAAAACTGGCGCCCTCGACAGTACGATATAGCCCATCCTCTTAGTCTCCTTGCAATGCATGAATGCTGTGCATGTCGGGGGGTTCATGTATTTGCTGTTTTATTTTTTAATAGCTTTGCGTTTTTTCTGGCGCCATTGTCCGTTGTGCGCATTTGTGTGTTTTTATCCTCTTGGGGTCAAGATGCAAAAGCTGGATCAGGCTGGCCCCTTGTCACCTCTTCAGATCCGTCTCCCCATTATTTTTGTGGAGGTTATCCGTTGAGATCTGACACACGCCTATTCCTTTACGCGGTTCGTTCTGTTTTATATGGATGCATGTATGGTGTATGTGCCTATCTACGGTGCTATGTCCAAGAGATACATATGTAATGCTAGTTGAAAGTCTCTTGTGATGGCGCCTCAACCTGGGTGCGTTTTAGTGAGAGATAGAGTATAGAAGGCGTGAGCCGGGGCATGAGCGGAGAGACGGGTACCCTTCCCACTCTCTCTGTTGCTCCCTCTTACACATACCCTCCTTCACTCCACAAGCTAGCGCGTTTTTTTTATCTCCTTCCTGTGTTTGCCTTAATGTAGTCCCCCCTCGCTGGCATTTCATCCCTTGGGCTTTCTGGAAGAAATCGGTCGAAAAAACATGGCATATTGTTTTAGACATTCCTCAAGCTTTAGAGAGAAAGAGGAAGAAGAGAAAGAGGACGAGTTGCCTGGTGTTCGACTCTGTCCATGGGCCATATTTCCTCTTTTTCTTGCTCTCTTCGCTTGATTACCCCCCCCTAAAAATTCCGCCTATTGTGCCATGCATACGTTGGGGGTGGAGAGTGAAGGGCCAGCAGTAAAAAAAAAAGAGGGCGATCCGCTTGCCTTTGTCTTAAACACTAAGGGACGCACGCCTGGGTCACATTCTTTGCTCTTGTCAAAGAAAAGGCGAAAAATGCCTTTTTGTGTTCGCGACCGGCGATTTTTTAACAGGCGGGTTGGACGAAATTAACAACCGCACTTCCTTCCCCTTGCATGATGGGCTTTTTTGTTCGCTGTTGCAGTTGCTTGTTTTAGGCGGAACTGGGCGGCTGTTGGCCATAATGCCAATGAGAAGGGAAGAGAGGGTAACCGTCGTTCTTCAGCATCGACTAGCACTCTAATTCTTTTTAGTAGATCTTGCGGTTGGGAGTGTGTTGCTCTCGATTGGGTGCGTATGTCTATGTCTGCGCGTGTCTGTTTCTGTGGATGTAGAGTAGCAAATAAAGTACGTCTTGCTCTGCTCTGAATAATCCTTGGACCCCCTTGTCTACCTTACTCCGTGTTTTCTTTCCTCTTTGATTGCATCCTACCCTCCTCTCTTTCGTTAATTAAGTTAGCCTGAGGCTATTCACGACGCCCAAAAAAAGGGTTGTCACTCAGACCGTTGTTGCCCCAACAGGAAAGGGATGCAAAAGGCGGCAATATATTCCTGGATTCATGCAATTTTTTTTTAAACGTTGATGATGTTGTTGCCCAATGTTGATGTATGTCTTTTTTTCTCTCTCTGTGTGTCTCCTTGAGTACCATGGCACAACAATGGCTACAACAACGACGACAACGAAAAGAAACATTTAATGCATGATGGGGCCCCCTTCGTCCTCCTGCTCCTCCTCTCTCTCCACTCACTCTTCCCCCATGGTCCAAGCCCAATTAGCTTCCATTTTTGCCTGGTTGGTGCTCAATGTGGATGGATGGACCCATGTCTCTCTCTCGCTCTCTGTCATTATCCATTTTTCACCCCCTTGAATATTTTATTGGATTGCCATCCCATCCCAACTATGCTTCTTCCTGTCTCCTCAATATAAAGTGAGTTGCCCTTGTGTGTATTGTTGATGAACGCAGAAATGGAAACTCAAGTTCTACAGACACCCAGTAAATGCCATACATTTTGAATTGGAACCTATGGGACCATGGGGTTTGTTGCCAGGAAATCAAGGCGTGTCGCGAACAACATCAAACGCAGGAAAAAAATGACCATAGCATTGCAAACTTTCATTTTTAACAAAAAGGGGAGCTCTCTTTTTTTCCTTCCTCTCTCTCTTCTCTTTCATTTTTCCAACTCATAAAGATGGCAATAAACGAAAAAGCTCAACGAAAAAAAGGGGGAGAATGAGCGAAGGAAAAAAAGAAGAGTATGAGAAGGAAAAAGTGAGCAAACGAATAGAGAGGAAGGGGGGCCATGGGGACAACAGGGGGGAAGAGAGAGACGAAGAAACGCGCGCCAATGCAATTGACCATTCATTACGGACAAACAGCAATTGAAAAGAAGGGCTGGGCCGCTATTTTCTATTGATCGTACAGAAAATAGACCAGGTACACGGTTGGGTAGTTCGGATTTATCCATCTCTACCCCTTGTTGCCTTAACGTTCGGTCCGTTTGTTCATCAATAATTGCCTTGTCAATTACTACAACAGTGGCAACAGCTCCTCCATTGACGCGGTGTTGAGCAGAATTGAAATCGGACAGGACGATTGAGGGTGCAAAGAAAAAAAAAAAAAAAGGGAAAGCGACGAGGACGTGTTGTTGTTATTATTGTTGTTTTTGGAGGGATTGTTTATTCAATCGATCCAATTGTCTTTTAGTCACGCATCCTTTTCCTTTTTTTCAAAAGGCAGAGAGAACAGGGCGAGCAATGCCCGATTGTGCACTAGAGCACTGATTGCCTTTTTGCTTTTTGCTTTTTTCTTGTTTCTGCTTGTGCCTGTCTTACTTTGACGTTATTGATGTTGGTTCTCAATAAACAAGAGTTGTCACAGGAACAAGCAAAGGAAAGCAAAGCAAAACCTTGCTTAATTGACCGAGAGAGAGAAAGAAGAGAACGAGAGAGACAGTGAGACAGAGTATAGAAAAAATGTTATTTTGGCGGGGATGATGATGATGATGATGATGATGCTGAGCCTTCTTTTTTTTCTTATTTCTTTCCCTCTTCCCTCTTTTTTTTGCTCTCTTTCTTCTTTTCTTCTCTTCTCTTTTCTTCTCTCTTAACTGTAGTTCCCAAACTCAACAACTCTCTTTCTTCACTCTCTCTTCACTCTCTTGACCCTCTCTCCTCTGACTTTCGTCACCCATCTCTTACCTGCACGCACTGTCATTACTTGTCTCATTCCTCTCCACCGCCAACTTCATTCTGCGCCAATCAATCGCCCTCTCCATCACTCGCAAACACACACACACACAAACACTCATCCTTCATTTCACACTCATTCACTCTTTCTTTCTTCAGCACACACCTGAACATCTCTTTCTGCCAACAGACAAGATACGACCCGTTTGAACGAACAATCTTCAACAGACCTTTTTCCTTGCCTATCCCACCCTAACAATCCCGCATCCCCCTTGCCTTTTTTTTGGTCCAAGGCAAAGCCAAGCAAAAAAAAAAAGGTTTGTACCTCGATTGTTGTCATTGACAATTGTTCAATCCAGCTCTGTTCAATCCGGTTCAATTCCCCTCCGCCTCTCTTTGCAACTCCTCTTCTCTCTCTCTTGTCCGCACTATTATAATTGTTGAGCCGTTTTATTTGTGTTCGTACCTACTTCCCACATGGTTGGTTACCACGAACAGCCCCTCGTCCTCTCCAATCGTGTCACCTCACCCTGGTCACCAGCTCAGGCAAAAAATTAGTTGCTCCAGCAATTAGTCCCATTTCCCATACATTCACACCTCCCTGTTCCCATGGCATCCTACTCCCTCTCACTCCTCTCCTTCCCCTCTCGTATTTTTCCCTGTCCCCTTGTTCCCTTGTTTCCCCTTCCCTCTCCATCCCTTGTGCGCATGCCCCCTTTTTTCGTCTTCTTTTTCTGGTCCCTGCCCTGCCTGCTCAGAAGTGATATTCTTCCGATACTTGAACAGCAGCAACAACAACAAGACTCCATGGGGTACCTTGCGCAAGGACATCCAGTGGCCCATTTTGAGGGGAAGGAAAGAGAGAACCAGCGAAGGACTCAATGGATAAGAGAAAATGAGAGAGTAAACAAAAGGAGAGTGGATTGAAAAAGACGGATAAGAAACAGACAGACAGAGAGCGTCGCGGTAGTTGTGTTGTATGTTGAGGGGGTCCCAAGAGACCTAGCCGACTGGAGCCAATGGACAAAAAGTCCCCTTGCAGTTCATCTCTGATTGTCCCTACAACACCACCTTTCTTGCCCTTCTACTTGTATCTTCACACACTTTCACCACTTTCATTACGCGCCAAACCTTCCCCCTGATTCAAACCAGACCAGAAGAGGGACGAGAACAAGAAGAAAAAAAGAAGGAACACTCCTGAGCCTTGGACCTTGGTCCTTTCACCTCCTAGCTCGAGCAGGCTCTCAGTTTTCCATCCATCGCTGCCTTCGCTGTTGCTACATCTGCCTGCCTGCCTGCCCCATTTCGCCCGACCCATGTTTTCTTCTCTACTTTTAATTGCCTATTGTTATTACACAAGGCCAATACCGTCTTTGTTTGCATACACTCTGATACTCTGCGATTCTTCTGGGAGGCGCTCATCCAATCCCTTACTCCAATTTTTTTTCTTCTCTTTCGCTTCTCTCTCTCATTCTCTCTTCTTATCTCTTGTGCACGCACTCGCGCTCGCTCGCTCTCGCTCTCTTTCTCTTTCTCTCTCTCTCCCCACCTCACCCTCTTCTCTTACGTTGACCAATAATCCCACCCCGTTAATACCCATTTCCACAACCAAAAAAAGGTTCGCTGCAGTTTTGATGTCAACAAAGAGCACCCTCACACCTTGACAGTCAAGAACGAACAGAATCAACAGAGCGTGAGCAGCCCCATGTCTATTGGAAGAAGAGCTCCTTGTTCATAATTGGACATTCGGCGCCTCGTTCTCCACCCCCACTCTCTTCCACTCTTCGTTACTCTTCACAATCATCACCCAGCCCTGCTCTTCAATGCCTTTCTTACCACCCTGAAGCAACAGTAGCTGCTTCCTTCAGCTCCTCAACTCCATCGTCGCTCAGTCTCCTTCTCCATTCTCACTCAACCTTTTATTTACGTTATATTTTGTCTACCAAACTCTCCGATTCATTCTTCTCCGACGCCTGTAACGAATGCTCACTTAACTCAGGCACCCACCTTTATTCACCTTTCCTTTGCACCATGAAAGTATCACGTTGTACTGACCAGAATATACCTTTCTTTGCCATTATCTTCCCTATTTAACTACAGCATTCGATCGTTCCCGACCAACCAGCGCCCATCCCAGCCATATCCCCTCTCCTATAACGCCTAAGCTTCCACACTCGACATTCTCCCAAATCTTCCCCACCCTTAAAACAAGACACATACACCACCATGGGTTGCTGCATCAGCCAAGAAGATAAGGAGGGCCGTAGCCGAAATGAGGATATTGAGAACCAGCTTCGCCGTGACCGCATGCAGATGCGCAACGAAGTCAAGATGTTGTTGCTCGGTAAGGAGACAGTTAAAAGGATACATGTAACAGTGCAATTGCGACAAAAAGCAAAAGTGTCAATAACGGTTTGCATCATGCATCCGTTCATGCAAACCAGGGGTTAACGTTTTAAACAATGCCCATTGAAATTCTAACGCTCATTGGTTTGTATTTTGCGTGCATGAATTAATGCAGGTGCCGGAGAGTCTGGCAAGTCAACCATCCTCAAGCAGATGAAGTTGATCCACGATGGAGGCTACTCCAAGGAAGAGCGGGAAGCCTTCAAGGAAATCATCTTTTCTAACACTGTCCAAAGGTAAGAAGACGTATAAAAAGAGAGCTGGGGCCTTGTTCTTGGTGGACAGGACTTGGCACAGTTCCATACGGACGCAAAACCTACATCCAATTATGCGAGCTAAGGAAGGCCCTTCCTTTTCCACCTCTCTCTCCTTGGTCACTCCTTACCCCCTAACCCCCCCAAAAAAATATTTTTTGTGATGCATAATACCTGTGCGCCCTTTTTGTTACGTTTACCCCCTTGTTTTCAGAGAAAAAAATAACAAGGAGATCTAAAACACTGCACAAACAAATATGCATTCGTCTCATCTTCTTTCGTCCCTGTTACACAGCTTTGCTTTTGAGCAACACACTTGTTTGGAATGCAAAAGCGTGTTGGAGCACCGTTGAAGCGGTGTTACACATTCATTGGGTTTGGTCCAAATTCACTCGCTAATGCGAATGCGGACCGCTATGTCATCGCTCTTCTTGTTAGTGTGGTGCTTCGCGTGAGAGCGAGACAGGGCTGGTGAAAAATCAATCGCTAAACAACGTGGGGAGAGGCAAATTGCGTGGGGTGTCCGAGTAGACTATTAGGCGTGTTCAGCAACTAACTTTTTGCCGTTTCTTTTTTTGGCCTGCTCTGCCATTTCTAGTATGCGCGTTATCCTTGAGGCCATGGATAAGATGGAGCTACCTCTCTACCACGATGCCAACCGCAACTATGCCATTATTGTCATGAGCCTACCCCCTCAAATTGAAGGCGAGTACATGCCCCATGAGGTTGCTGTTGCCGTTCAGAACCTTTGGGTTGACCCTAACGTCCAGCAGGCCTTCCAGCGCAGTCGCGAGTACCAGCTCAACGACTCTGCCAAATAGTAAGTATCTTGCACCAGCTAGAAGACTCTACGTATATTCATTCGCTTGCGTATTTGTGTCTAACCTGGCGAATCCTTTACAAATGACTTGTTATTAGCTATTTCGATTCTATTGACCGGATTGCCAAGTCAGACTACATCCCTACAGACCAAGATGTGCTCCGGTCTCGTGTCAAGACCACGGGTATTACAGAAACGCGTTTTGTGATTGGTGATTTGACCTACATGATGTTCGATGTGGGTGGTCAGCGATCCGAGCGTAAGAAGTGGATCCACTGCTTTGAGAATGTCACAGCGATTGTGTTCTTGGTGGCTATCTCCGAATACGACCAGCTGCTGTTTGAGGACGAGACGGTCAACCGTATGCAAGAGGCCTTGACGCTCTTCGACTCTATCTGCAACTCTCGGTGGTTCGTGAAAACGTCGATCATTCTCTTCCTCAACAAGATCGATCGCTTCAAGGAGAAGTTGCCCATCTCGCCCATGCGCAAGTACTTCCCCGACTTTGAAGGTAAACAACTTTAACCGTGTCGAGTGATGAGACTGATAGGCAGTTGTTCTGAAACATGATATCGGTCTGGGGCACCGATGTTTGATCACTTGTCTAACACAAATACTTTACATGTCTTACTTTTTTGATCACTTCAGGTGGAGACGACTACGATCTGGCATCACAGTACATCCTCCAACGGTTCGTCAACCTGAACTTGTCCGACACCAAGCAGATCTATGCCCACTTTACATGCGCGACCGACACTTCCCAGATCAAGTTCGTCATGGCCGCTGTCAGCGATATTATCATCCAGACCAACCTCCGCGACTGTGGTCTCCTGTAAAAGCACGCGCGCGCGAGAGACAACGTTGTACAGCAAGCCCCCCTTCCACTCTTCGTCCTCCATAAGACTCCATTAACCCAAGGCTAAACTAAAGTAGCGAGAGACAAAGAGGGTCACGTCTTTTTCTTATCCTACATCGTTTCAAACATCTCCTCCTCCTTACCGAGTCTTCCAACCAGCATCTATCAAGTAATATCCATCTCGACACCCTTCTACCTTTCCCCCCTCATTTACAAATATTTATCTCGTTCGCTTGGATAACTCAGTCTTCTTTTTCATTTGCTTCTTCTTTGTTCCTTTTGTCGTTTCTTTTTCTTCTTTCGTTCGTTCTTTAACAACGGATAAACATCTCCTCAAAAGTGTGGGGTGTCCGTTCCTCGTTTCTTTTACATAGTTTTTTCCGTATACCATTCTTTTCCAACTTCACAGATAATAACAAATATTCAAATAGCAAATAACAGCGACTGTGTCTATGCTTGTGCTTGCAACTGTGCTAGTCCTTGTCACTTTATTCGGCGGCAGAACCACCGAAGTCCTGGTTGAAGGCCTCCATGATGGCTTGACCAATCTTGAGCTCTGCATCATTGACATCTTCGGCTCCACCATCGTTATCCTCCTCAGCCACCGCGACTCCTTCACTTTCCTTGCCGCCCTCGCCTTCAGCGACATCTTCATTGTCGTTCGAGTCTGAAGAATCATCTGACGAAGCATCATCGTCACTCGAGTCATCGTCGCTCGAATCCTCGTCGCTGCTGTCGTCGCTATCCTCCTCTGACATCTCTATATCCTCCTTGCCCTCATTGTCGATCTTGGCCTTCTTGTTCGTAGCAGCAACGGCCTTGGTATTCTCGTTGGGTCGCTTGTTGTTCTGGTTGGCTGTTGGTGATGTTGTTGCTGCTGCTGCTGCTGCTGTGGGGGCAGTAGGCTTCTTGGGCCATTGGGTTGGAGGTTCTTCGATGGTGTACTTTTCCAGAAGTGGGTGTGTGTGGTCGGTCGGGAGTGGGTGCACCGCTGTCACTGTTGCTGCCGTCGTAGTTGTGGATTTGTCCTTGTCTGCATGTGCATCCGACGAGGATGCAACTTCTGCCGCTTCTGCTTCTGCTCCTGCTCCTGTGCTAGCTGTTGCTTCGGTTGTTGCTGGCTCCGTTTTTGTCTCCGTCTCTGCCACTGCCACTGCCTCTGCTGCTGCTGCTGCTGGTGATGATGATGATGGGGCGCTAGAATCCTGCTCTAAAACTGCAGGAATTTCGGAGACACTGCTGCTGATGGTACTTGGTCCGAGAACAAGGATGGTGGGGCACTCCAAGACTTTCTTGAACTTGAGCGCCTCCTGCAAACTGGCTGCCATTGAAAGCGGGTACAACCCTGGTTGATTCGCCTATATCGTCGTTTTTAAATGAGAAAGGCAAAAAGAGTGAGTGCCGATTCGTATTTGCCTCGCAGCATCCTAGAGAGTAACGAAGAGTTTGCGAAGTATGGCTCTTACGTGACGAAGGGGGATGACAAAGTAGAGACGGCATTGGTCCAGAGTGTCGGCGGTGTATGTTGCCGCAACGTCCTTGTTCTCGTCCTTAGCAAGAGTTGCTGTCAAGAGGGACTTCAGTGTCAGAGAATCTTCGTTCCTGTGCTCCAGTATCCTTCTGGTCGAGTCGATCTCTGGGAACAGCCATTCAATTGTCCAGTTGAGTTTGCCTAGCCTAGTAACAGTTAGGTAACAACATCAATATTGTGCGTCAGTAAAATGATGTATCATCCATTACTCTGTCATTAAACAATTCTGTAGCAGAGTAGAAAAAAGATGAGATGCTTACTTCTCTTTCCAATTGGTATGGTTCTCTTTCCGCTTCTTGAGTCCATCAGCCATCATGATCAAATGGGTCCCGCGCTTCTTAGCCTGCAAGATAAGCTGCTTGTCCCTATAAGATCCACTGCCCTCTGCTCCCAATCGCTCCAAATCCCGAGCAGCCTTCTTCGCCAACCCTGCAGCCGTTGTGTCTTCCTCCTCATCATCCTGTTGCTGATTCCTGTTCCTGTTGTTGTTTTGACGATCTCGACGGTTGTTTCCGCCGACGGTGACGACACCGTTGGGTCCAAAGATCTTTTTCCGGTTCGTTTGTGTTCCACTCCCGACTTCGAGTTTGATGTTCTCGCGGGCTGCATTGTCCACCGTCCGACCGACTTCTTCCAAAAAGTTGTAATCTATGTCAATCATGACAGATATCAAACGTGTGAGATATTTACATGGATGATTATTGATCGACAAAGGGCACGCGTCAATCAAATTACCTCCACAACCCGCTTGAGCAAAGAGAAACAACGAACAAGCAAAAAACTTACCACTCATCATATCCAGCTCGGTATATTGTTTCCGCTCCACGAAATGAGTCCTAGAACGGACACCAGAACAGGTGGTGTCGAGTTTATGTTGTTTCGAGCAGACCAGCGAGCAGGTCTGACAGAAGCATCCAGGGCACTTGTATTTCGCTGCGACGGTTCCACAAACTTCACAGTTGACGACGTCTGATCCTGAAGCGCCTGCGCCGTCGGCAGAGGAGGAAGAAGAAGAGGTTCCGGATATAGGCGGAGGGGCAAGGGTGGCACCTTCGCTGGAGAGGGCATTCTCGCGGATGTGGATCCCGTCCTTGACGACCACGTTTTTTGGGTCGACAACGTCCCGTGTGACAAAGGCGTTTGAAAAAAAGTCCATGTTTTTGGAAGGGATTTTAATAGAGGATGAGGTGGGAGGTGTGCTTTTGCGAAAGGTATTAGGTAACAAGTGTGAAAAGAAGAAAGGAAGAGTAAGAAAGTGGAAGGTAAGAGAAGAGAAGTGAATGGAGTTGTGCAATGGCCGACGACAAAAAAAGAAAAAAAAAGAAAAAAAGACAGCAACAGTGACTGCTGCCATGCTGAGATCGAAGTTGGGCTAGACATATGGTGTCCGATGTCTGATGTCTGATAAATGGTGTATGGAGAAACTCTTTCCACCATTGGCTGCCGATGAATGTCCTGACTGACAATACAGCCACATGGTAGCCATGCTGGAGACCATGGAGTACATCTAGTCTCAAGGACTACCTAGGAAGTCATAACCCTTATGCCTTCCTTTGGAAGTGACCTAGCCCTCCGCTTACTTACTCTATCTCCATAATCTCCTTCCCATTCGCACAGGGACATCGCAAGCAAGGGCTCTCATCTTATTTTTGCCATTTGTTTTCCTTTTCCCATCGCTGAAAGTGAAAAAAGAGTGTCAGCAGCCTCTCCTCTCCCAGCTGCAGCAGCATTATTCCCAAGTTGTCCTGACCGCCGTCGCTGAAAATATCGCCAGAGTTAGCTTGTTTGATGATCTCATCTTTCTTTCTTCTTTTCCTCTCTTCATTCTTTTTCCCTTTTCCCTTTGCCCCTGTCCCCTCCTCCCGCCAGTGGTTGTCATCCTCCAACCAACAGGTCTCTCTCTCACTCTCTCTCACTTCATTAACCATCTTAACGCAACTCCTGTATATACCCTTCCACTCCTCAAATAACCTTATTACTCCTTCCGCATAACAAAAAACAAAAAGAGATGGCAAAACGTGGAATGTCATCTGAGAGTCCATGGGGCTACCCCATCGCACTCATCTGGCGCGGCTCCGTAAGTTTCTCCTCTCTTCCTCCTCCTCCATATCCTCCAATTGACACTCAGGCGTCTCAAAAGCACGTTTTTTTTTTTTTTTTTTTCAATTAATATTTTCCTAACTAACATATTTTATTTTGCATGATAGGTTATTCCGTTGATTCTGCCGAACGTCCTGTTCTCGATGGCAATAGCCATTGGAGTCAGTTACTTTTATCTCGCTGTTGGACTCGACATTGCCATTGCTGGTTCTATCAGTAAGTTAAACTCCATGGACAACAGCGAACAGCAAGGACTCGGGACAAAAAAAAAAAAACCAACAACAACAACAACAACAAGGGGCAGCGGAATGTGTTATGTTTTCTCTGTCGACATGAGTTTCTTGACAAAACTTTGACTGACTAACAAAATACACACTTTCATGGTCCACCCCTACTACAATAGTCCCGTCATTGAGTATTGTCATTGGTTTGATTCTCGCCTTCAGAACCAACACCGCCTACGATCGATTCTGGGAAGGCCGCAAGATCTGGACAACTATGAACACTAACATCCGTAATATCGCCCGCGTCATCTGGGTCGGCATCAAAGAAAAGCATCAACCCGACGGACCCCTCTCCTTCAGCGCCATCAACGACCAAAAGCTGCGCGCCATCAACATGCTCCTGGCCTTTGCTGTTGCCACAAAGCACCACCTCCGAGCCGAATACGGAACCTCGTACAGAGACTTGCAGGGTTTGTTGCCTGAAGACTTTGTCCCCTGCAAATCCGAATCCAACCTCAGGACACAATACATTCACCATCGTCAACATATCCAGACCGACAAGAACGATTGGGTCATCCAGAAAGACAACTCGAACGCTTCGATGTCCCTCCCACTCGAGATCTCGTACCAGTTGTCGCTTTGGATCAATTATGTCAAGGAGAAGGAGTTGATTGATATCCCTTACCAGGGTCAATGCTCCATGGCGCTTTCGAACATGATTGATTGCTTCGGAAACCTCGAGCGAATTCTGTTGACTCCTATCCCCGTTGCGTATAACATCCACTTGAAGCAGATCTTGACCATGTACTGCTGTATCCTCCCCTTCACAACCGTCCGCGACGTCAAGTGGCTCACCATCCCCCTCTGCGGTGCCGTCGCATTCACACTCTTTGGTATCGAGGCTATTGGAAACCAGATCGAAGATCCCTTTGGTAAGTGACCTCTCACATAACCCGCATCAATTGAATTCCACCTTCCCATTGTCTGTCTGTCTGTCTGTCTGTCTGTTGAAAATGTGTCATGGGTCAGGAGGACCTGCACTAACGATATACTTTTTTGCTGTGTATAAATAATTAGGATTCGACACGAACGATTTGAAACTGGACGACTTTTGCTACGATTTGATGCTGGAGCTGGATTACATTGTTCAAACTGTGCCCCAGGACCAGTCCTCTATCTTCGGATCCCCCACTACCCCGCAGGTACCCAAACAGCAACAACAACAACCACAACGTAACATCCTCATTCAGATCTAAACATACATTCACAATCCTATTCTCAAGTAAAAAGTTGTGAAAATAAACAAACGTTTAATGACAACAAAAAAAAAAAGGATCGAAGAACTAAAGAGTCAAAGAAGCTCGAACCGTCAAATGTGAGAAAAAGGAAGGTCAAAAGGAAACTAGGTGAGAGGTAGGGAATGAAACGACCTACGAGGCCTTGAACTTCGCCTTTGGCCAAATAAAAGATCAGGCAAGATAAAGGACGCTCTTGTCGAATCTCCCTGAATCGAATGCAGCAATCTGCGTGGAAAAATGTGCTATGAAGCAATATGCCAACTTAAACGTTGGTGGGGGTGAAGCTAGGCGCCTTGACGTCGAGCGACACGGTGCGACCCGAAAACGTGCGGGTGGGCTGAGGGCGAACATGGAAGGCGGGCATGATCATCGTGGCATCGCGGAGCTGCTTCTGCTCGCGAATCGTAAACACCTTGCCAGGCTCAGGGCCCTTGGGTTGACGAATGGGATAAATGATGTTGGCTGTCATCTCGGGGTTCAGACTATGTCATTTACAGAAGAGCGAAAAAAACGTTAGAATGAGACTCATGTCGCTGAATGTTACGACATATCGTTGACAAGTAATACTACAATAAAACTTACACCATGGACTTTCTGTAGAGAGACCGAGTAGGGGAAGCAGATCCGATGGTGGCATCAGCCAAGGGAGTTCTGGCCTTGGGGACGGGGCTCTCGGAGCGCAAGCTTCCGCGACCAGCAAAGGACATGGGACGTTGCTATTTGCAAAACAAAGGTAACACCTCGTTAGTCAACTATATACATTAATCTAGCAATAGAATAGTATTGGTTTCATTCAAGCCAAGTATTACCTTGGGAGATCTGGGAGCAGGAGCCTCAAAGACGGCATTGGGAGGAGGGGTCTTCATGATAATGAGCCTGCGCACATTACCCTCGCCCTCGCTGAAGTGGTAAAGGGACAGCTTGTCGGCAATCAGGTGAAGGATCTTGCGTTGGCGAGCACTAAGGTTCTCGGGGAAGATCATGTCATCCTTGGTCGAGTCGCCTCTAAACATCAACAAGCGGTCGTAAAACGCAAGGGTTTCGCCATCGTTCAAGTCCAATTGATTCAGATTGGCTAATTAGGAGAAAAGAGCATGCAGAAATGAAGATGATATACAAATTAGACAATGAGCATTACCTCAAACGCATGTCCCAAAAAGCAAAAGGAAATAAAGGGCCCTAACTGGTAAAAATAGAGGGATAGCTCAAATCGCTGCAAAGGGGGATGGTGCATGACAGTTTACCTGTAGGAGAGTAGCGTGCATCGGCTTCATCATAATCAGAACTACGTCCCGAGTTGTGTCGCTCCAACATGACCGACGAACGGTTGCGACGCTCGCGATCGAATTCACGGTTCTGGAGTTCGATTTGGCGACGTTCCTGTTCACGCTGCTCCTGCTCGCGGCGTTCCTGCTCCAAAAGCTGCGCCTCCATCAGCTCCAACTCGCGACGGTGAAGGGCCTCAGCAGCCTGGGCCGCGGCCTTGTCCTGCTCGCGCTTCTCCTGTTCGGCAGCGGGCATAACCTTCTTGAACTCGACACGAAGCTTGCGTCCAGAGACATCGAGTCCGTTCACGGCATTGACAACCATCTCGGTCTCCTCTGCAGTGCGGTAGTTGGCAAAGGCCAGGCCGCGGAAGACACCATTGTCAAAGTGGTAGTTGAAGGCATAAGGCTTGGGGATGTCCAAGTTGTCGAGGATGGCCAAGAGAGCGTCGCGCTTGACGGCAAAGGGAATGTTTTTGATGACGATGGCGGTGGGGATGGTGTCGGCAGGTTCCTCAACGACCTGTTGCTGCTGCTGCTGCTGCTGCTGCTGCTGCAATTGCTGTTGTTGCATCTGGTTCAAGAATGGGCCTTGCTGAACCATGGGCATTTGTTGCTGCTGCTGCTGCTGGTAGCCGTAGAGGGCCTGCTGCTGGCGGGGATCCTGCTGCAGCATTGGCGACTGGACGGGCGAAGCCTGAGAAGGGCTCCAATTCTATGTAACCATCAATGCAATAAAAAAAATTAGTCCGAGAGTGTGGAGAACCTTGAGATTTTGAGTGACACAAAGGGGGATGACCGTGTGTGCAAAGGTGCAGGTGTGGATGTTTTGATGGTGATCAACCATTGGTCGTCTGGGCTAAAGGGAGGAGAGGAAGGAAGGAAGACTAGGATTCTCTTTGCTCTCTTTTTCTTTTCTTCCGTTGGGGATGATGATTGAAGATACGTACAATGTTGGCGACAGACAGACGGCTGGATTGACGGCGGTTGTCCTTGCCGTCTCCTCTGACGCTGTTGCGCTGGGAGCCAGTGGTCGACTTGCGGGTCAGGGGGCTCGAGGGGGTACGCTCGGAGCCATACTGAGAGAAACGGCGGTCGATGGGCGAGGCGAGGCCGTTGTCACGGAGGGACATTGCGTCAAAGGACATGTCGAGTTGCTTGGTGGTCATGACGGTAATCGTAGGGGGGTGGTTGGAGGAGGAGGAGGATCAGAAAAATAGCTTGGGTTGTAATAAAACTTGATAGAAAAACAAGGAGACAGAAAACAAGAAAAAGAAAAGAAAACGAGGGGCGGGGAGAAAGGGGGATGATGAGGAAGAGAACAATATTGTCTCTCGATGTCCAAGTAAGTTGATGAGGAAAGGAAAAAAGATTCTATTTACAAATCTGAAAGGTTTGCTTTTTTGACGTATATGGTATGTACAGGTTGGTGGGAATGAGTGAAAAAAGGAGCAAAGCTAAGATGATGACGATGATGAGAGTGGAAAGTCGTTTTTTTTTGTTGATTGTTTTTTGTTGATTGTTTTTTGTTGTGTTTTTTTCTATTGTTTTTGGTTGAGTTGAGGAGACGAACAAGAACAGGGAAGCGAACGTGTGCGTTGGTTTTTGGGTGTGAAAGTTGGGGGTATGCTGTTGTATGTGGATGAGGAACTAGGACTTGGGAGAGGAGCAAAGTTAGATGGGCATGCAAGGGTAGTAAGGTAGGGTGGGGCGAAACAAGCAGAGGCAAGGAGGAAGGGAAGGAGGATGAGTGGTCGTGAAAGAGGTGGAAAAGAGCACAAAGGTAATGACAAAGGAAAAAAGAAAAGAGAAATAAAAGACGTAAAATGGGATGAAGGAAGGAGGATGAAAAGGGAGAAGAGGGTGAAGAAGGTGAAGAGGGTGAAGAGGGTAAAGAGGAAGAAGAAAGAGAAAGAGAAAGAGAAGGGAGAGAAGAAAAAGAAGTGGAGTAGAAATCAAATAAGAAAAGGGAAGGTGTCCCGCACAAATGAACCAATCACTGCCAATCTCAGCCCACCCACGACCATGGTGTACGGTACATGTTTGTACCGAAACCTACGGCAACTCGGTTGTCCAGCTCGTTTGTTGGCATGTTTTTCTTTCTTCACGCCTACAGCCTTTCCAAAACACATGGCAATAGGCACAAGGTACAAGGTACAGTAGTCTACCCATCGCCTGTTCTCTGTTTCCTGGAATACATACTGTAACGACCCCCAGATTGGCAACGCATGGTTGTGCAGGTTAGGGCTGACGAAAAGAGACCCCGCTCAACCATGTAATCATAGCAAGCCACAAACGAAAATACACGTTGAGGGCATGGCGTAACTTGCGCCATCCACAGCCTTGACGCCACCAATTTCACACTTTTCCATTTCGACTCTAACAAAGCATGGTGTCGTTCGAAATTCATGTTCTCTTTCTTGATAGGTGCCGCATGGTGCCACATGGCTAAGAACATTGACCTATTTGGAGGTTCGTGTCAACCGACCAGTCGCACACAACGTCCAGAGATGTCACCCATAACCCATGCTAGCATTCCTTGCCACCCTTTCTTGACATCTCCTACAGGATATTCAAACTCGAAGTGTGGCTTGGGCAAGACCATTGTTGAAAACCCCGCAATCACAGGAGAAACAAAGAGTTTCGTTTTAGGCGCAGCCTCTCTCACCTCTCGCACTCACGCAGGAGTCGACTATACATCCGAAGAATGTGTTTTGTTTCTCTCAGCTAACCTGCCTCCATTCCTCTCCTCAGAGAAAATAAAATGAATTCGTAGGAAAGAAATGAAGACATGTGGTGTGCATAACAAAATGTAATATTCAGAAGTTGTTGGGTTAGCCGAGGCGGTGATATTTTGAGAGAAGAACCACGATCCTTCTTGACGAAGGAGGGACTATTTTTTGATAGTTTTGTTTATTTAGATATGATACAGATGAAGGTATTAGGTGAATGGGTATGGATAGTCGAGTGGTTGACTTGGATCGAGGAATGGGAACGCGGGATCAAGGCGCGAGACCGAGGCTGGCTAGTCAACTTGAATGGCTGGCCAGCAGGACAAGAAGCGGTCCACTTGCACTGTTGGATTTAGTGGCGGGGGAGGGTGCTGGTCGAGCTGTTGTTGGAAGACATGACCTTCTCGTGGGCAGGGTTGTAGGCGCTGACTTGAGAGACACGCGAGGGCTTCTTGGACTTGAAGGAGAATAGGCGGCTGCTAGAGCGAGGAGAGGATGAAGAAGGGGCACTGTTGCACTTCATGTTCCTGAAGAAGGCCATCGAAGAAGCGTTGGTGTCCATATTTGTAAGAGGTTTTTGTTTGGAGAGTAGGGGGTTGGGTAGGATTGGTTGCTGCTGTTTTTGGTAGGCAAGAGATGCGGTGAGTTGATGCGTGATGAGGATGGAGAATAAGAATGGGAAAACGAGTGACGGACGCAGGGCTTATATAGAAAATTGGAGGCATAATCTAGCTTATCTATGGCTCCTCTCTCGCTCTTACTATTCGCATAGGTCCCCATTTTTCCTATCAGGCGTGGACTCCGCCATGGCATAGTGTATCAGCGGGATCGGGGATGAAGAAGGAAAAGTCCAGCAGTACCAAGGATGAGCCATGAAGGCCAAGGATTTAAAGATACGCTGGCTGGCTGGGTGAATTGTGCAACCAAGACAAGGGTGAAAGCGTCTAGACAACAAGATCAAGTCGGTCTTTGAAGAAAATGACTATCTCAATACAATACATTTTGCGCTGGATAGAATACTGATCTTGCTTGTTGAAAGTGATCGCAGTTGAAATGCGCAGAAGCAAACGTCGCCAATCGAGACACAAATGACTTACTTTTTTTTTCTCGCCTCTGCCCCTTTCGTACTCAGTCGCAAAGCTCAAGCAGGAAACGTGGTCAAGACTCGACTAACGGTAAAATGGTGAGAGAAGACAAGAACGAAAAGGCAAAGCAATACTGCGTTCTATTACTCCATAATTCATTATTCATTACTTGCCGCGTGAACGAGTATCCTCGTACTTCTGACTGTCCTCAACTTGTAGAGCCGTCGTTTGATCACCTTCCGAGATTGAAATGCGCCGTTCAGCTAAAGAAGCCTTCTTGTTGCATCTTCCATAATGGAAGAAAGAACAAATCTAGGCCGAGGTCTCTATAACGTGGTTAATGTATGAAAAGCGCCAGAGTTTTTGTTCCTTGATACTGACCTGATGGGACGACGCAAAAGATCGAGAATTGCCTCACACAAGCATTGAGGCACATCCATTGCTGTGTTTGGTGCCTTGCATGTCTTTGTCCATTTTTTAGTGATGGGACTTTTCCTCGTTCTTGAGTATAGAAGGATGAGCGAGAAAAAAAATGAGGCGTGGGAGTGACATGAGAAAACAATAATCAAGGCGCGCCAACACGAACGCCATCTGTATTTTCACTTCGACAAAGAAAAAAACAGCAGGTTGGAAAAGCGACAGAGGATGATATTAGGGGGATGGGAGAGTGGAGGGGTAAGTCTCGTGTATGCAGATTAGAGATGGGTATGGACAGTTGAAGGCTTGATTGGATCGAGAAAGAGGAGACCCGGCATCAGGGCGCGAAACCGAGGCTGCCTCACAGGCAAGCAGGGAGACGGGCAGCCCACTCGAGGTGCCTGCTTGCGCTACTCGCTTGGATTTAGTGGCGAAGAAGAGTGCTGGCAGAGTTGTTGTTGGAAGACATGACCTTCTCGTGGGCAGGGTTGAAGGCGCTGGCTTGAGAGACACGCGAGGGCTTCTTGGACTTGAAGGAGAACAGGCGGCTGCTAGAGCGAGGAGAGGATGAAGAAGGGGCGCTGTTGCACTTCATATTCTTGAAGAAGGCCATCGAAGAAGCGTTGGTGTCCATGTTTGTGAGAAGTTTTTTTTGGGTTTAGGCAGTGGGAGAGAAAAGGATGCTGCTTTTGCTTTTGGTTAGCAAGAGAGAAAATGAAGATGAGGGTGCATGGTTTATAGGAAATAGGAGCAGGGTTGATGATGATAATGATGAGGACTGACGTACCTATGGGTCCCTTCGTTCGCATGGACCCTATATTGCTATCAGGCATGGACTCCGATGACCATGCATTATCAGGAGGATCGGGATGATGTCAGGTCAAAGTCCCAGCAGCAGGCACGCACTATGAGCCATGAGGGATTAAAGATACGCTGAAGTGCAACCAGGACGACGGGAGTAAGAATATATCCGGATGGGGATGACATCGAGAAAGCGAATCAGTCTTTGAAGAGGGAAGAAAGTACCTATCTCCAAAGCGCTTTACAATACTGATTTTGATCGCCGTTGCAACAAAGCCGAGGTGACGAGGTGCCTTTTTTTCATTTTTGACTGTGCCCCTGTCGCACTCACTCAGTCAACTGGTCAAGACTTTGACCAACTGCGTGCCAAACGTGAAGAGCCCAGTTCGCATCAGTTCTGATCAGTTCGCACGGACTTTGAATAATTCGGCCGCCACTACCCTTAATCTCTTATTCTCCCATTCACCCGCCACATCATGGGAGTTGCCCTCCTCTCTCTCCGAGGATAGAGAGAAATTCCCTCAGTCTACACATCCTTTTTCTCCCCTTTTCTTTAATCTCTTTTACAAAGAACAATTTATGGACATGGTGATCATGGCAATCCAAGAAGGAAGATAAGTCGCTTTCTCAAAATGAGAGAGAGAAAGAAAAGTATGTCCCTCGTTCCTTGTTTCTCCACTACCATCCTTGCTCCCGTTTGTTCTAATGATAAGTCTGACTATCAATTCACAACCTATACCTTTTTCCATATCAAGGGTAAGAGATCTATCGGATCACGTCAAAAATGTCCAAAGTTGGCTTTCAGGTCTCACCGCAACGTCCAACTTTTGTCATCTCCGCTTATCTCACACATTGCTGCAGGGGAGGCGCCGACTCGGACTAAAAATGTGCCATCTTGCACACATACTGCTGGAGGACCTTGGAACGAATACACTAGTCAGTGAGCGAAGGGTAAGGCAGGGAGCTGAAAGTAAGACGTGATCTAGAGTCCAGGGTACATGAACGTGTCCTTCTTGCGATCACAGTCTAGGCGTGCCTTGAACAAAAGAGCTGGAAATAAGCTATGAGAGCGGTTCCATTACTTGGGCCTCTCTGTCCCCTATTCTCGTGAAGGTGGCAACAGCTCCTCAATAGTTTGGACTGATACGAATCGTCCTCTATTTTTGTCCATTCGCTCTCTCGCCCCTCCTATATAACCTCCAGTCATTGTTTGATGGATGCTGCACTGTCTACCAATTGTCTGCCAGCTCTATCAATAACATCATACGCAAGGATCACATTGTCCGAGGGCGTCATGAGAAATAAACAAATAAGAAAAAAAAGGCTTTGAGCCACCCGGTAAATGTTCTCCGCTCGGTCCAATTGTTAATGGCATTAATGCGCTATATTGCAATATAATATCTTCAATAAGGCACACTGTATGCCAGCATGGCTACCTTTATGTATCTCCAGCTTGGCGCTCACCCTTGCAGGATAAACGAGGCAGGATACTTTCACACACCCAACAACAAGTAAAAGAAGTACATGTACGCCACTGGCTGAGTGGGAATCAAAGGGTACGATTGCGATTGAAAAAGAGCGAGTACGATCCTCCGTCATGTTTGAGATAAACGCTTTGTTTCAAGATTGCTGATCGGGCACAGGGCCTGTTGTTGTGCTTGCCAGGGCTATTGTTGCTTTGTTTAGTGAGCCACATTATTTAAACATGAAGCAAAATCAGGGGGAGGTAATGTACATCATACAAATACGTCAGAACATCCCCCAAAACGTGAACAAAGCACTCCTACCCAAACTCTCGCAGAAAAAGTACAAGAAAGTAGAGAGACAAAAAGAAAGGTTCAGAAACAAACTAACAAATAACCTGAGGGAGGGGGGCATGTTTGACGCACGCAAAAAGGAGGAAAGGAAAGAGGGATGGACAGAAGAGGTAGGATGGGCAAGTAGAAAGACAAAGGTTGAGCCAACAATCGCTCTGTAAAGGGGTGTGCATGTGTATGAGTGTCGCATGGAGCCTGCAGAGTGAGCGAGTACAAGAAGGAGACCCAGACGGTCAACGTAGGGGAGAGCGGGTATGGACAATAGGGCGACGGGCGGGCACGTCATGTGGTGGGGGTGGGTACAGTTGAGCAGTTTTTTTTGTCATAGTTGTTGTTGTTGACTTCTAGTGTTGTTCTCGACTGATCTGTTTCCTGAGATGGTTTGGCAACTGTTGCACGGATGGGCTGGCAACATCAGAAAAATACGAGGAATCAAGGGCGGGTGAGTGACCAGTTCTTTTTTGTTTTCTTCTGCCTTTTGCAAGAGTAAGCGGAACTGTGTCATGATGTGGATTGCCGATGGGGTTGTGCAGGATATGTTGAAATTTGCCGATTCTGTCTGCTGGTGGCCTGTCCGCGAAAGAAACATAGGACAGCGAGGAAGGGATACTGTAAAGGGATAGGCACGAAAAAACTTTAATGGGGAGAGGGAGGATTGTTCAAAGACAAAGAACGGAGACGACATTGAGCAATGACAGGGACGGATAGGACGACAGGGACCATCACCGTGCTTGCACTTGTGTCTGTGCTTGTACTTATTGCTTGTGCTTATTGCTTGTGCTTGTCCGTGACCAGATCAGATATATTGCGACTAGCTTGCTTCTCTTCCTGTGCCTTTGTTTTTGTTCTCTCCCCTCGATTTTCTTGTTTTGTTGATGCGTTTTGTGTGCTTGAGTGTGAGTGGGGCAGAATGGAACTGGACATCGCCACAAGCGATGCGGAACCTTGTTTTTGCCTGTATGTCATGCCATGACAGGGAAGGACACAGCAGCCAATGCGTGTGCGAGAATGTCTTTGATAAGTCTGGGCAGTGAAGGACGGGGGCGAACCCATGGACCACACTTTGCATACAAAATGTACCTAGTCTGTAATGCTCCCTTTTGTCATTCTTTCTTCTTTTCACTCTCAATTTTTGTTTTACTAAAGTGAGGCTACGCTGACTGAGCCATAACCACCATTGTCATTGCCCCCGCCTCACAAGTACTTGTCCACCTACCTAAAAATACACCTACTGTACATTCACACCCTGCCTCTTTCTCACACACACTATCCAATCCAACAGCCCCTCTCACCTCCTATCCCTACGCCCACATCATATAAAGCCATCCTTTTCTTTTTTCTTTCTTCTTCCTCTTCTTCCTGTTCTTCTCTTTTTCTTCTTTGTTCACACCATTGTATCTCGTCAGTGCAATACACCCTCCTTTGCGCTTTCTTTCTTCACAATCAATCATCCACAACACCCCTGTGCTCTTCTCTACCTCCCACTTACCCATTTTCCTCATTGTGAGAAAGAAACATGGCTCTGAAACGCTCAAGTCTCGCGTTGTTGGCTTCGGCCCTTGTCGCCCTGATCGCCTACGGCCCTGCCCTCCAGGCAGAGGCAGCACCCATCGACAGACTTCTGGCCCTGATCCCCTCTTCCCAGCAACACAACGGCGATTCCGCCCCTCTCCAACCACCACCTCAGCCCTCCCTCGGAAGAGCCCAGATCCGACCCATTGGACAACGACAGCCCTCCTTTCGACCATCTGCTGAGCACTCTACTGGACCCTCGTCGTCGCAAATCCCCTTAGACACTTCCGCGTCGGTGTGGTATCTCCTTCACCAGGCTCAACAACGACAGCAATTGCAACAACAGAAGATGCAGTCAATTCTGTCAGTGCGCATCCAACAGCAACAACAACAACTCCAACAACAAACACAAACACAGCAACCACAACAACAACAACAAGCCTCTCCCCCAGAGACCTGGTCAGATCGTACGCTCGGCGGACATGCGGTCCTGGACGATGACGACGATGACGCAGGCAACGAACTTTTGGATACTGAATCCGACGGGCTTTTGAGACCCGACGCCGACGATGAGATTGAAGGCACGATTGAAGGAGAGGTCCTGGAGGAAGAGGAGGGGTATGGGAACGAGAGTGAGATCGAGTACGACGATGGTGAGGACGACGATAGCAATGATGGGAACCTTTACGAGCCTTGGCTGACGATGCCTCCATCTCGCCTGACCCACCGTGAAGCCAGGAGGACAAGGCTTGCAAAGTTGAGGGGAGAGGACGAGAAGGGCTTTTAATCCAGACTACCTGTATGGTCCATGTACGTGTCGCTGTCCGTCTCCTTGGTCCCCATGAAAAACAAGGGATCGATCGCGTTGGCGGTGCTAACCCGCCCAATCATCGTCCTCATCATCGCCATTGTGGATACTTCTTGTTCGCTCCCCCTTTTTTTTTTTTTTTTTGTTCGTCGTCCCCGTATTATCTCCTAGACCTGTTCCCCTTGTAAACACACTGCCCTCTCTTCTTTTTCTCATTCCAACCATTCTGTACATACACATTTTTCTGAATCCCTGGCAGCAACTTGTACATACACATCTCAATCCTGCCAAAACATTGTAACATACGACCAAGAATAAAGGACTCCTAACTTGTCTTATCATGCAACAACGAAAGCAAATGCGAACAACCCACCGCTTCTTAGAAGCTACGCAGACAAACTGCGCCCTTTTTTTTTTTTTTTTTGTCTTGGCTGAACTTTTTGTTCACCATTTGTGGCGAACTAAAAACTTTGAAGGTTCCCCTTTCTCTCACTCCCGCGTCCCACTAGTGCCGCTTTTTAGTGAAAACACAGCCCATGATGGGCTGTGCTCACGTGCGCCGACCTTTTTGTCTATTGCCCTATGTTAGATTCTTCTCCTGGTAGCAAATATCACACGATGCACCATGGTGGCAATGCTTACCCATGCCCTTTTAACATTGCCACACGAATAGGTTTGGTCTTGCGGAGGGTTTGTCGTGAGGCAGGGCACTGTTCTGTTGCCACCAATTAGGGAACAAAAAAATAATGTGAAAAGCAGTCCATGGCATGTGGCTTGTGTAATAAACAAAAAAAAAAAGAAAAAAAAATACACCTTGAACTAGGGTAGAAGTCAAAGAAAGAGTGGTCAATGGCATTCCATTCGTGTCTTCTTTGTCCATCCTCCTAAAAGACCGACATCTCCTCTTCTCTCGCTTGCCTCTCGATATCAAAACTCCTTGACCGAGAGACATCGAAATTACACTCCCTTTACTCAAAACAATCAACAAGCACAAACCTCCCTCGACCCCCTCCTTCCTTCAACTCGACCTCTTCTCCCTTCGATTTTCCTACTACAATGTTCGGCGTCTCAAAGAAGGCCCGTACACAGGCACCCAAGGCTGCTGCTCCTCGTATCTTTGTCCCCTTCCGAGCCATTGGTTATGTCACCAACGAGGTCCCCTTCAACATCCAGGCCAGAGGTCAAGCATACTTCCTGACCACCTGCGTCGGCACTACCTTTCACATCTACGATGTCGCCAAAATGAACCTCCAGTTTGTTGGTAAGGGACCAGCTTTCCACCTCTTGTTCGCTGAAGATTACATTTACTGCAAGGAACTCAAGGATTGTTATTAACAATTGACTTGTCACGTATGAATAGGAGCACACACGTCGCAACCTATCACAGCATTGGCAGCCCTGGGCGATCTCACTTTTGTTGCATGCGGATCAGATGTCGTTTCGTACAAGCGTGCAAAGGAAGTTAGTCGATTCACATGTGGCGAGGACGAAAGACTCTCAATAGCATCTCTCGAGATCTTTGGTCAACACATTATCTCGATCTGCAGCGATAACAGCGTCAAGTTGAACGATCATACCACCGGAGGTAAACAGACAGTTTTTCAGATCAGGGGTCGAAGGAACGGAACGTCAAGACATGGCGCATTTTTGGAAAAGTGTACCTAACGCAAAACCGTTATTGTTTTTGATATTTCTTAGAGCTTTACACCACCATCGACTTTGACTCTTCTTTCACCGTTACGACACTCATCCACCCCAGTACATACTTGAACAAGATTCTCATTGGAAGCAACCAAGGAACGATGCAGATTTGGAACATTCGCACCAGCACCATGGTCTATGCCTTCAAGAGCTTCAACTCGCCCATCACTTGCTTCACACAGACTCCCGTCGTCGATGTCATTGCTGTCGGTCTCTTGGATGGCTCGATTGTGCTTCACAACATCAGGACAGACGCAACCATTATGACTTTGAGACAGGAGGGCAAAGTAACCGCCGTCACCTTCCGCACAGGTACGGGATCCTTCATATTTTGTCAGCACAAGTGAGGCAATTTTGTTATTTACGTGTTCTTCATGAAGAGTGAGTTCTAATATTTGCAGGATCAATTATTGTTTTATAATAGATGACCAGCACGTTATGGCCTCCGCCAACATGTACGGTGATATTGCTCTTTGGGATCTGAACCGCCAAAAGATTCTCCATGTGATGAAGGGAGCACACGATGGATCTATCCCCTCTGTCCAGTTCTTGAACGGACAGCCTATTTTGATGAGTTCAGGAGCCGACAACGCCGTCAAGCAGTGGATTTTTGACAGTCTGGATGGTCTCCCCCGCCTTTTGAAGTCCAGGAGTGGTCATCATCAACCCCCAACACATATCAAATATTATGGCGAGGACGGACACTTCATTCTTTCGGCTGGTCGCGATCGCTCCGTCAGGGCGTTTTCGACTGTTCGTGATTCTCAGTCGACCGAGTTGTCTCAGGGATCCCTCAGCAAAAAGTCCAAGCTGTTGAACTTGAAGATCGATGAGCTCAAGTTGCCCCTGGTCACGACTTTGGCCGCTTCGCCTGCTAAGGAGAAGGAGTGGGACAACATCTTGACAGCGCATTGGAACGAACCCGGCGTGCGGTCATGGAACTATCAGCGCAAGACTCTGGGTGCCCACATCATGACCCCCAAGGATGGGTCGGCCACCAAGACGGTTGCTGTCAGCTCGTGTGGCAACTTTGGCTTTGTCGGATCAGCTTCGGGTGGAATCGACATGTTCAACATGCAGTCGGGAATTTTCCGTCGTTCGTATGAGGAAGATGGCCACAAGAAGTCTGTGACGGGACTTCAGTCAGACCGCTTGAACAGGACATTGATCTCTGGCTCCTTGGACGGACTGCTCAAGTTGTGGGATATCAAGACTGGAAAGTGCGAACATACCATGGAGATGCCCTCGCCCATCACGCACTTGCTGCTCTTTACCGAGAACAACCACCTCGCCGTCATTTGCGACGACTTGTGCATTCGCATTGTCGATGTTGAGAACAGACGTGTCGTCCGTGAGTTCTGGGGTCATTCAAACCGTATCACCGACATGGTAAAAAACTCGTGTGCATATTAAGTGGCAATGATTTTTTGAGGTGCATTTTTGGTGGCGGTCTGCGGATGCTGATGCTTTTTTTTTTTTGACAATGTTACGGTACTAGACTTTCAGCCCCGATGGTCACTGGCTCGTGTCGGCATCTCTTGATGCTACCATCCGCACATGGGATCTTCCCACTGGCCACATGGTGGATATCTTTAGATGCGAAAGCATTGCCACCTCTCTGTCCTTCTCGCCCACAGGAGACTACTTGGCCACAGCACACGTCGACAATGTCGGAATCTTTTTGTGGGCCAACCGCATGCAGTTCACCACCGTGTCGCTGAGGAGTATCACTGAGGACGATGTGATCAGAGTTGCTCTGCCCACATCATCTACCTTGGATGATGAGGCTGAAGGTACATATGGATACACTTTTTTTTTTATCGTTTCCAACGACAATACGTGAACATCATCACATTTTGCAAACGTCTAACACGTTCATTCTCTGTGTTTAAACGTACAATATTAGACAACATGTTCACGACGAACGAGGAGGTTTTGGCTTTGGAGCCTACGATTGAGACACCCGAGCAGTTGACCGAGCAGATGATTACGCTATCCCTTCTTCCCAAGTCCAAGTGGCAGACATTGTTGAACCTGGATGTGATCAAGTCCAGGAACAAGCCAAAGGAGGCTCCCAAGGCCCCCGAGAAGGCCCCCTTCTTCCTCAGCACATTGCCTGGTGTTGAACCCAAGTTTGTGGCCACCAAGAAGGATGAGGAGCGGTCGATGGAGGACTCAAAGATGATCCGCATGAGCATGTTGCAGCCCGAGACGGTGTTCATGACGCTCTTGAAGCGCGGCCATACCTCTTCAGGAAGCAGCAGCGAGAAGGATTACTCGGACTTTTTCGATCACTTGAAGACCCTGAACCCCTCAGCAGTCGACTTTGAGTTGAGATCAATGTCCCTCGATAACGACTTGGCTGAGCCCCGGTACTTTTTGGAGGCGATCGAGTGTCTGTTGCAGCAGAAGCGGGATTTCGAGTTGGCAGAGGCATACCTGAACTTGTTCCTGAAGATCCACGGAGATGTGTTGGTTGCCAACCCTGAGGCTGGACTTAATGATGAGGAGGAGAGTGAGAGTGAGGACGAGGATAGTGAGATGGAAAGTGATGCCGATAGTGACGAGGAGGAGAGGAAACAGAGTAAGGCTAGCAAGAAGCTGTTGAAGGTCAAGGTCAATGCTGTCAAGGCGGGTCCTTTGAGCGTCAGCATGCGGTTGAGGCGGCTGGTGGGCGAGCATCAGCGTGAGTGGAAGAGGCTTGAAGAGCTGTTCCAGAGCACGCTTTGCTTGATCGAGTTTATGAGAACCAAGGCATAAAAAACTATTATGTATCTCCCATTCCGCCCTAGCATTAGAAAAACACACACACACACACACACACACAATCGCATTTTTTTATTATTCATTTTCAAATACACATCGTTTGTTCACGATGTTTACTTCATGCGAGGAAGAGGTAGTGAGGAAATGAACGTGCAAGGGGGGTAGCCCTTGTATCATGTAAGCGTCATGGTTGATCTATTTTCATGGTCGAAAAAGCTAGCACAGTCCATGGGAGCCGAAGCGTGGGGGCGAAAAGGATGAAAAAGTGGCCGGAAATGGCGAGCATTTGATCGCTTGTCACGCCTCTCTCTCTCTGCTCTCGTCCCACGTTCACTTTGCTCGTTTCTCTTTTTTTCATCCCCACTCTCTTTTTTAACTCACACACACGCATTCATTCACAATGGAAACACTTGAAAGGCTACCCAACATCATCCGCCTCTCGGAGCGAGTTATCCGCGTCCTCGGTCTCAACCCAAGCAAGTTCACTCTCCAAGGTAACCTTTGCGATTCCAGCATACTCATCGGGAAGAAAAAGTGAATGAGAGGGTCCTGTGTCTGCGGAGTAGTATTTATTCGGCACAACCGAAGAAAACAAACAAACTGTTCCCGAACGGACATACGGAGATATTAACTAACTACCCCCCCTCCTCCTCCTCCTCCTCCTTCATTGCGATCCCTGAAAACAAAACAGGCACGAACACGTACTTGATCGGAAAGGGACCCAAGAAGGTCCTCCTCGACACGGGCGAGGGAATCCCCGAGTACATCCCCCTCCTCCAAGAAGCCCTGGACAGGGAACAACCAGGCCCAGCAGGGGAACGCGCCACCATCTCCAAGGTCATCTGTTCACATTGGCACCATGACCACGTCGGCGGGATCCATGATGTCCTCTCCTTCCTTGCCGCACGTAACATCCAGCTGCATAACCCACCCGCCACCGCTGCCGATGCTGCCTCCGCCGCCGACCCTAATACCAAGGGCTTGGTTGATGTTGATACCTCGATCTCGTCGGCCCCCACGGGGGTATTCAAGTTCCCCTGCCCAGATCGCGATGACCCAGAGACACGGTTTCAAACCATTCAAGACCGAGATGTTATCCAAATCGATGACCAGACTACCTTGGTGACCCTCCACACCCCTGGTCACACGTCGGACCATTGCAGTTTCTTTTTGAAGGAGGAGAATACGCTGTTTACGGCGGACTGTGTCCTGGGTCAGGGGACTGCAGTCTTTGAGGACCTGGGGTCCTACATCAGGTCGCTTGAGAAGCAGCTGAGCTTCTCTGAGGTTTCCTCTGAGGGTTCGTCGCCGAGTTATAAGATATATCCGGGTCATGGGCCGATTATTGAGGACGGGCCGGCCAAGATCCGAGAGTATATCAAGCATCGGTTTGAGCGGGAGCGACAAGTCCTTGCCACCCTTTCTTCCCCCTCGACAGCAACCAGCAGCGCGAACAGTAATGATGAGGACGTGGTATTAGTAAAGGCGTCTACAGGAAAGACGGCGATGGATATTGTGAAGGTGATCTATCAAGCGTACCCGGTCAGTTTGCACCTACCGGCTCAACACCAGGTCTTGTTGCACTTGAAGAAATTGGAGGAGGATGGCAGGGTTAAGCGAGGAGGAGAAAGTGATGCTGTAGAGAATCCTGAGGATGTTGTTTGGGAGCTTGTTCCTCCGACCCAGGCCAACCTTTGAGGAATATACGGACTGCAAAAAAAAAAACGCGGCGAACGATCATTATTAAAGGTTCATTTTCTTTGGGGTTGGTACATGGATCAAAACGAAAGCTGGCTTTATTATTAACCGAGTAATGGGGGGCGAGAGTATGGTACATCGTCAGACTTGATCTTCTAGGTGAAAGAAGATAAAAGGCGACAAAAAAAAAAGAAAGAGGCGAAAAAGACAAAAGTGAAAGAGAACGAAAAATCGGGCCTCCTGCCCGATTGCTAGAAAAAAAGTCTACTTGACTTCAAGATCAGGGTTCACCCAGGCAATGTTGTCATCCTGCTGCATCTCGACATCCCAACAAACCTCCTCATCAGGCGCATGCAACCATCCATCCTCCGACAGCGTCGATGGGAAAACCTCCAACAACCTACAATCAACCCCAGGAATTTTTAACGAATACTCTCTCCAGAACGTCCGATCCGTCCTCCCCAACCCATGCAAATCAAACGAAGGCAGCTTGTCCAAGTACCGGAAAATCTGTCCGATGCCGACGCCGTCCTTGACAACGAGGTCGTAGACCTCTTGGTCCCTGATGAGGACTTGGGATTTGGCGTTGCAAAAGATCTTGTTGTTGCAGAGGAGGTTGACTTCGCGTTGGAATCGGGCTATGACGGCGGGATCTTCGTTGGGGTGGAGGGTGACTTCTTTGTTCTCAACAATCGTCACCGTCACCACCTCGTTGAAGTATGCGCTAGATAGGTTGTATAGGGGAGGAGAAAAAAAAACGCCTCATGCGGTTAGTTCATATTTAATCGTCTTTCATTCTAACTGTAATCGCGTGTTTCTATGCGCCGATTCCCTTATGAAAGAACGGAAGGGGCGCCGAGGGAACTCATACAGGTCGTGTTAAAGGACACATGGGGTAAAGCGCGAAAAAACGCCACGGAATATAATTGCATACTTTTGACGCGCAGGAAAGGTGAACGTGCATATCGCAGAACAGTGCATACAGGAAAGAGAGGAAACAAGGGGGGAGGCGCGTTCCAATGGGAACAATGGGAAACGTGTACAAAGACGACAGACTGGTGTGTACAAACTTTTTTTGTTCTGTATCTGTACACTTCAATTTCGCGGCCAGCACCTCCGCCCTTTCGTACACTTATCTCACGGATGGTACGCATGTTCTTCCTTCTCCGAAGTGTACAAATAGGGGTACTATTGTCAAGCTATCTCCTTCTTCACACCATTTCAAAACCAAAAGTGTCTCCCTTCACATACACCCATCCTTTTCTTGCATGCTCTTGAATTCCCTTTTCGTTACCTGATGAGTCTCTGCAGGTTTCCGTTGGCGGTGAGGAGAATGCGCTCAATGCCGTTGAATCCGTCCGGAAGACTGAGGGATGTGTTCCTGTGAAAAAAATAGAAATGACGACGGTATCGTGGAAAAGTTGACATTTTTGGGTTAGAAATTAAAATTACCATTGTTGCTGTTGTTGTTGTGCAACTGACCCTTGCTCGATCAATTACTACGCAATGTCGACGGATTGGGAAAGGGAGGAGGAGGCAGAAGAGCCGATCATTCCGAAGGAAGTGTGGAGGGTGGGAGCGTGGGAGTGTGGGAGTGTGGGAGAGAGAAACATAAAAAGTGAGAGCTCATACGGATCATGGATGAACCGTGGGGTATGATGCATAGGAGGGATACGATAATGATAAGGAAGCAAAGAGCAGATCATATACGGATGGGCGGCAGGTGGGTAGAGGCAGGAGGAGGAGGGTAGCTTGCCTTTTGGCCATGATGTCTCCAAAGTGGCCGGGGATCTTGATGATGGGAGGACTGAGAGTGCGCTTGAACATGGTGGGGAGAGGCATGGAGGTGTATGTGATATATTGTTGGTGGTGGTGTAAGGAAGATGATATGGGGTAGAAGGGAAGGTGCGAGAAAGAGTGAGAGAGAGGGAGAGAGGGAGAGAGAGAGAGGAAGAGGGGAGGAAAGGAGGGAAATGCAACAGATTGCTTAAATAGCCAATAATGTGTGTAGCGATGCCGTGCTATGTTATCAAGCAGGACAAGGTGAGGGGAGGGGGGAAAGAAGCAATGAGGGTGAGAAAGTGAATGTGGTGTTGAGAGAGAGAGAGAGAGATGGGTGTGTGAGAAGAGGGTCCGGAACAGTCAGGGCGACAACAGTAGGAAAGCAACAAGAAGCAGAAAGGAAGTTCTGAAGACAGTCACGAAATTGTTTTGCGCCAAATTAACTTTTTTTTTTCTTTTGAGATGCTCATCTCTTAGACAATAATGACATGCCATGCTCACAGTGCTGTACACGGTATCATTAATGCGTGTGTGTATGTGTCTTTATTCGTCCGATACGCCCATGGGTCCAACACATGGACAACAACCGACTGAACCAACCATTGAGCTATCTTTAAATTCGTAATTCGTATACTCATACACATACGAACTTGAAAAGAGAGAGAGAGAGAGAGAGAGCAAGAGAGATGGAAAGGAGAGTGTGCGATCTCTTCTCTTTTCCTCTTTTCCTCCTTCCCTCCTTCTCCATCCCTTTCGTTCCCTTCCATCCCCCTCCCTCCCTTCCTCCCCGTTTCCTTCTTTTTTGCCAGTTCCCGCCATTTTTTTATTTCCCGTTCATATCATACCCTCACCACCGTCATACAACAATAAAAAAAAAGAACTTCCCTTCCTCCCGTTTTCCCTCCATTCCCTCCATTCTTCCCTCACTTCACTCCCCGACCCATATACCATGTCCACCTGAACCATCCTTCCATCTTCATCACCTTTTCTTCTCTCCTCTTCTTCTACTCCTTCTACTTCTTCTTTCTCATTCTCCTTCCTCTCTTTTTTTTGACTCCAACCCAAAAAAACACAAAAAACAAAAGGCTTAACACGACACAACACAGCACGACGATATGGACTACGAACAACACCACTCTCACCATAATACGCATCATTCTCAGCACCAACCCTTCACCGGCACAGCTCCGTCGTTGTCCACAGCAACATCCTTCTCAACCAAAGCGTCTACCTCGGCCCCGGAGTCATCCTCTTCCTCCTCCACCTCTAGACGAAAGTCTTCCTACCTCGCCCCAAAGACACCCCCCGCAGCGACCTTCCACTCTCAATCCCATCCTTATCAATTGCCTCCAAACCTTTTCCAGGAACCAGACCACAACAACCATAACCATCATCACCACCACCACCACAATTCCCACTCCCACTCCTCTTCGCAATCCTCACTCCACCGACGACACAGCCAGCTCCAGCCTCAGCAAAACCACCGCGAAAAGCATCACCATCAAAGGAACCACCGCCATACTCACAGCTATAGTCGGCCGCAATCCGAGTATCAAATGGACCTGGACCCTGTCTTCCTTCCCTCCACTATCCCCTTCTCGACCGCCGCACAGTCCGCGAGGCAAAAACCTTCGCCATCGCGCAAGATTCCTCCAACAACCGACTTCACTCCTCTTTCACCCTCATCTCTCATGACAGCACCCGCTTACGATTCAAGCACCTTTGCAACTTCAGCTCGTTCCCCATCAACCTTCCATGTCAACGCCTTTGAACAGCAAGCTCCTCAACCCAGTCAGACCACGAACGCCTATAACTACCATTCCACTTATACCTTCAGCCAAGAGATTGGCCAAGGCGACTCTATGACCTTTACTCCCTCTCAGTACACCTTCCAGCCCCCTCACCAAACCCAACCGCAGCAGAACCAACATGAGCAGCAGCAGCACTATGAACAACAGCGGCAGCAACAACAACAATACCATGAGCAGCAACAACAACAGCAACATACTTTTCACCAGTATAGTACCGCGACAAGCGGCAATGGCATTCCAGCGTTGACAAATGAGATTGGGTTCAGTCACCGACCCACGTCCCAGTATTATCTGCCGGCCGCGCCTGCCTTGACTGTGACCCCACGCAGTAAACGGCCAAAGAGTTTGTCGGCCCATGACTTCGTTGCTGAGACGACGGGCGTGGCCTCAGGGGTCGATACAGGAGGAGGAGGAGCAAGAGGAGGGAGAAGGGGTGGCGGTGGAGAAGGTGGAGGAGGAGAGGATGTCTACTACCAAAGTAAGTCGTTGCTGAGCTATTGTCCTCGGTCTTTTTGTATTATTATTTTGAGTTCGTTGACCATTGTCCATTTCTGGGACACCATGATTCGACAGAGCATTACCTTCAATCAACACGAGGCAATATCAAGGGGAAGACAAAGAAAGCGAAAGTGTGAAAAGATATGGTGTGAGGGGAAGGAGGCATCTAGGAACGCATGTCAGAGAGAAAAACGACAGAGTTGGTGGCGAGAAAAGCAATCCACTCGTTTCCCTTTTGGTCGGTCAAAGTGGGTTTCTCTTTCCCCTGGCCCGATGTCCTTGCTTTTCCAATCTTTTCTTTCTCGAGGGAACAGGGTGCACATGGTTGTTCCGACCCAAAGGACAAAGGCAAAGAGCAAGAAGGCGCAATCGACCAAAGACTGACTAAACGCTGTGTTTGCAGACACGGTTGGTCAACTGCCCAACGACCCTGATTCGTTCTCTTCGTCTTGTTGTTTTTGGTTTTGGTGTTTGTTTTGAATGCGGCTATGTGAGAATATTAAAGATGAAAAAGTAAAGACCAAAAAAAAGCGATGGAGAGAAAAGGGGCAAAAGGGGGGGTACCAAGAGAATGAAAAGAGAGAAAGAGAACACGAAACGAGGCTAGGGTGAAGTGAGGTAAGTAGAGGAAAAGTGAAAGGAGGGAAGAAGGAGAGGGACACCATCCATTCAAACAAACAAATTCAATCATTGAGTAAGAGCCGGCGTATTCCTTTTTTTTTTTCAGAAACAAAAAAGACAAGAGTCTAGGTGAATAATGAAGCATGAACGAACGAGGAAGGCCTAGCCAGGACAGGAGAGAGAAAACAAGGAGGTTCGAGCAAGACAGAATGGTCTCGATATTCATGAAATGTACAGAGGTATAGACCATGATGAGGATGGGTCTGTTCTCCCCCATGTTGCTGTTGTCCGCGAGTGAAAAGAGAAGGGAAGGGTTCGCCCAAGTGTCACTTGTTGTCCAATTGGGTGTATATCATTGAAGTCTCTTCCTTTTCCCTTCCCACCGCCCACCTCCCTCCCTCTCCTCTCTCTGTCTCCCCTCACTGTCGTCTCTTCTCTTCCCTTTTTTTTCACCCCCTCTTTGCGCACCTCTTTTTTCCCTTCCCTGTCCAACCAATCCCTCCTCCCTATTACAATCGTCCTGCTGGCTGGCCTCGTCCGCGTGTCCTCCCTCCTCTTCCTCTTTCTCTTCCTCCTCCCCCTTCTTCTCTTTCGTCTTTCTCGAACCCCAAACTTCTTAATCACGCCCTTGTCTACTTTTACTCACACCTGCTCCTACACCTGCACGTAATACTTCTTTGTCAATCGTTGCACGATACTCACCCATTCAATTTGAACAGAGAGCGGGCCAGTGTAAGAGACAGATAGGGAGCCAGTCTTGAACCGGTTGCTCGCCGCAACTGAACCATAATTCACACCTCTCCATTCTGTCATTCAACCACTTTTCGCTACTTTGTTCACAATTTAAACATTCCTTTCAAACTCCAGGTTCGCTTTCATAAGTTTTCTTCATTTGTCTCTCCTCTTGTTGGTTGTTGAGGTTAAGATGAGCCTGGATGAGGACTAGAAAGTGCGCCAAAGTCAAGGGCAATAAACGACAAAAACAAAGCGAACGAACCCTTGAGCAGTACGACTTTATTTCTCCATATGACGGAAACCTAACAGAGCCCTCGACCCTCCTTTGCCCATTGGAAAAACTACAAATAGAATTCCGAGAGGAGAATCGTCAGTCATTGCCTGCAAAGTCCCGTCAGTCTATCGGGGCCATTATCCCTCAGGTGCCACATTCCTGGGTCCAGCCTCACTCAACGGAGCACCAACACCATCGCCATCCAGAGCAAGGAGGAGGAGGGGCAGGACTCGAACAAGCACCCACTCAAAAAAAGAAATTGGCATCGCGAAGGAGCTTTCACGAGTTTCAGTCTCAACAGGAACAACCGTCGCAGCCCTTCTCGGTCGAACAGAGCAATTACTACCAGGCTTACCACCAACAGCAGCAATACTATCAGCAGCAATTCTTACCGCAGCAGCAGCAACAGCAACAACAGCAGCAACAGCAACAACAGCAGCAACAGCAGCAACAGCAGCAGCAATTCCAGCAGTGCCAACAGACGCCAATGGAGATTGCTCAGTACAGGACCTCACAAGGGATGGCTTCACCACATCCTCGCAAACAAAACACAGGGTAAGATGAACGATTGAGAAGCCTTTCATTGACATTGTCGAGCTGTTGGGTTATTACCTCGTTACCTTTTTTTTATGAGCCAGAACGCTTGTGCGACCACTGTCGTTATCTTTGGACTCTGGTTCGAAGGATACATCCCATGGCCTTGGCAATTAAAGTTGATTGTGCGAGCTCACCACATGAGGACAACAACAATAACCACAGGACCACACTAAGAACACTCTCCTGCTAACACGTATTATTGTTATCAACAATGACCCCGCTTCTTTGCCGCTAGGCTGGATATTCCAATGTCGCCCAACCCGCCTATGACCCCCTCGACAACATCTGCCTCAAACGATTCACCCATGACGGTATTGACAAGCCCACAGGGATCAGGAAGGAGTAGCTCGAGCTTTCAGCCCCTCAAGACTACCGTCAGCCAGCATTCATCACCATCGACAACACAGTACCGCAAAAAATCTTTCAACTCAGGACCACTGCCAACACCTCTATCCTCAGAGTTGTTACCCTTACCCTCCCATACAGGATCGCCTGTCGCCTCACCTTATGGATCTCCGTCCAAGCACGGATCCAGCTATATGACCATGCTGTCTGCTCGCAAGACCAGCAATCCAACCGAGATACCCATTGTGTCACCCCGAGACTTGTATAGACGGTCAGAGTCCTTCAGCGCCTTCAAACCACGGGCGACTCAGAGCCATAACAACAGTTCCACGGACCTCAATAACAACGGCGGCAACTCGTTCACCACACATTGGAATGTTCCCACCAGAGATGACCCTATGGAGGGTGATTTGCCGACAGTTGCCGTCGATTCTCAATCGGCTTATCAGCCACAGGATGAATACGCGACGGAGGTTTTAGGAAGCAAATCATGGCGTGACCAGGATCAGTACGTCTCGCAGGGTGGCTCCACACGCGAGAAACACAAGCGCGAGAGCTTCTACGCAGCACTTCAAAACAACCAAGGTGGTACCCACCTCAACGGCAGCCACTATTCAGACGTCTATCAGGACGATTCCATACACCAAAAGGCGAACGCCAGGATCAGCTCGCCCAATCTTCCAGGTGGTATCCCCCAAGCGAGGAATAAGTCTCGGAGCAGTATACCCTCAACACCGACAGCCGAACACAGGACTCGACCTACTCCACCACCTCGATCTCGCTCGCGGACACCCGGAGGAAACTCAGTGGGCACCAACCAGATGGCTACACCGACGCCTCAGCATCCCCAAGTGCCTCAGCAGTACTCGGCTGAGATTCAGCCCATTCTTCGAAAGTCCATGTTGACCGTGGACGACCCAATGACGGGCTTTGCGCAGCGCCAGGACAACCATTACTCGTCGCCATCTACGCCCAACAGTCAAGAGGACTCCAACGCTTTCCGGCCTGGCGACTCTATTCCTGTCCCCGTAGCTGATTTGACCAAGCATATGAGTGGGTTGGAGTTCCGTGAGCCCGGCTCGATGGGACTTCCCCAGCAGAATGAGATGTTGACTCCCGGTTCTCATACAAGACAGACCTCGTCCAACAACATGACAGGACCCAATCGCCGGAGTATTGCGTTTGACGTTTCCAACGCACCTAATCGTTCGAACGGTGCTGGTCAAGGAGCAGACTCGGGTGGCTTTAGGATGAAGGATGTCGGGATCATTGTCTCTGGGCCAAAGGATAGACATTCTATGATTGCCGCCAACACCTCCAGCTCCAGCCGCAAGCGAGGAAAGGTACGTTCCGAAACCAATATCGAATGACATATCCTAAGACAGGTCATATTGGAGTGACTATATTAATGTAATACATTTTTTCCCTTTGTGACAATTTAGACTCTCTCCGCCATGGATCCACCCAAGGAAAAGCCTGCGCCCACCATGTTGCCACCAATGTACATGTCCACGACGACCCGAGCCAACAACGCTCCCTCGCCTATGACCTCGAGGATTCCAGGATCCAAGATTCCCAGCCCTTCCGGAGGACGAGGCACCAGCAGTCAAAGAGATGCCGGATCGAAATCGAACTCGCGGTTGTTGGCGGTGAATGCACAGTTCGCTGGCAGCCAGGATGTCAAAACTATCCGAGGAGGTGGCCCTGTTCAAGAAGCAGCTCGGTCCAGCAATTCTTCCTTGTCAAACTCGTCGTACAGCCAGAGTGGAGGCGAATCAGGACCGGCTGACAACTCGAATGGTGGCAACGGCTCTAATAGCAGCCTTCCCAAGCTCAAGGCTAACAGGAGTATCTCCAACGGTATTCTGACTGGCATGAGCCGACGTCGCTCGAACGCTACTGACCCCAACAACGGCTCCAACGAATTCGGACCCATGAACACAAATGAGCCCGCTGCACCCAACCAGCCTTCATTCGCCAAACCCACCAACTCCCACGGAAACGTCCGACCCCCTGCGACCGCTCACACACTGCTTTCCCAGTCAGAGCTGAAGAAGACTCCCACCAGCGGTCTTCGAACCCCAACAGCTGTCAAGGAACTTCGAGCGTCTCCTTCTAAGGCATATAGCAAGGGTGCCACCCATGTCTCGAATCCGATCAACACCTTTGCCAATAGTCAACCTATGCCGCTCTATGGTCAAGGCCAGGCTAGCATGGATCCAAAGTCTACGACAACACCCTCTGGCGCCAGTCCATTCCCAGCCCTGTCGCCCTATGCTGCATTGAAGATGTATGCCCCTTATCTGAGTCTATATGAAAGGGCCGAGATTGGCGAGTTCCCTCAAGTCTACTACGTTGGTCAAAACTGCCGCCAAAAGAGAACCGCCGGCATGGATGCCAACAGTAGCAACTTTGGTTCGTTCATGTTTGATAATGCGAGAGTCCTATGCCAAATGAAGAGTGGTGCCGGTATCGGAGAGATAATTCTCCATGACCAAACCGTTAACGTTCTCCGATATCCATCTCTCTGAATTTCTAGGTTATGATGATGAACGAGGCGACTACCTCATTGTCAACCACGACCACATCTCTTACCGGTACGAAATCTTGGACATGCTTGGCAAAGGATCATTCGGACAAGTCGCCAAGTGCTACGACCACAAGACGGGCGAGTATGTTGCGATCAAAATCATTCGGAACAAGAAGCGGTTTCATTGTCAGGCTGTCGTTGAGGTGAAGATCCTGAGCAACTTGAATAAATGGGTAAGACAAACATTTTGGCTCGTGAACTATGCGTTTATCCAAGCCAATATTTTGGAAACGTCGAACTCGTGTTAACACAATGTCGATTCTACTTTTAGGATCCCGAGGACAAGCATAATTTGATCCGCATGACCGACAGCTTTTACTTCCGTAACCACCTTTGCATTGCGTCCGAGTTGCTTTCTATCAACCTGTACGAGTTCATCAAGAGCAACTCCTTCCAGGGCTTCAGTCTCGGCTTGATCAAGAGGTATGTGTCCAATAGCATGGTTTCGAAAGACGATCCAATGTTTCAATTGATGCTAATTGAAGCGACATTGCCTTTTACTCCGTAGATTCTGTACGCAGCTTTTGCAGACATTGGATTTGTTGAACAAGCACAATGTTGTTCATTGCGATCTCAAGCCAGAGGTAACATGCGCGCGTCATATGGCATCATCTGACATTCATTGGTAAAGCATATTCAATAGCAATATTAACCCGAATGGTGTCATTTCATTTCCTGGTAAACTAGAACATTTTGTTGAAGCACCCTACAAAGTCGAGCATCAAGGTGATTGATTTTGGAAGCAGTTGTCTGGAGAACGAGAAAGTCTACACATATATCCAGTCGCGGTTCTATCGGTCGCCCGAGGTTATTCTGGGGATGTCATACAACATGGCCATCGACATGTGGTCACTTGGCTGCATCCTGGCGGAACTGTACACAGGATGTCCACTCTTCCCTGGAGAGAATGAGCAAGAGCAACTGACCTGTATCATGGAGATTCAAGGTATTCCAGACCGGTACCTCGTGGAGAAGAGTTCCCGAAAGAAGGTCTTCTTTGGTGAGTATCTTTTGCTCCAATGGTTATTATAGAGTATCCGATTGAGATGAAATGGTAACTGTGGCCAAGCTAACATAGAGGACTCTCTTTCAACATGATGCTATGTATAGATTCCAACGGTAGCCCCAAGCTAGTGGTGAACTCGAAGGGCAAGAAGAGGAGACCTGGTTCTAAGACCCTGGGCCAAGCGCTGAAGTGCGCCGATGTGTTGTTCTTGGACTTTATCTCCAAGTGCCTGATCTGGGATCCGGAGAAGCGGATGAAGCCTCGCGAAGGTTTGCAGCATGAGTGGATCTCTGATGTCAAGTCACTTTCAAGGGCACAGTTCAGCCCGCCACTATCCGATAACTCTGCCTCTCGTCGCAAGAATTCCGCGTAAGTTGTCGATCTGATTTTCGCGATCTGCTTTCTGCTATTGAAGGAAATTGATGACGATATAGGAGTGTTGTTATTTACACTATTTTTGAACGATCTGTATAACTTTTAGATATGGAGGGCAGTCGACGAGTGGATCCCGAAAGTTCAAGAACGACATGGACGAGAAGATGGGATTCGGATCGAGTCAATTGTCCGTCAAGTCGTCAAAGACGCCGACGAACGGTGGACCGGTATCGTACTCACAGTTCAATGGCGGGTATAACAGCAGCAGTGGGGGCGGCGGAGTGGCCAAGATTTATGGTGGTGGCCAGTACCTGCCACCGCCACAGCAACACCATCAGCAGCAGGTGTATTATCAGCAACAACAACAGGGATACCCTAATCAGTATGCGACACCTGCGGCATCTTTGTCATCGGCGACGTCGGCGACGTCGAAGCGGTTGACGTTTGGAGGAGGGGGAGGAGATTTGGGACCTTCGTCGTATCAGCATGGGTCGCGCAAGAACGCGACGAGCATGTATGTGACAGGCACAGGTGTGCACGATTACTAGAGTGCACAAACATGTACGAAACAAAAAAAAAGTATAAAGTAGGGGATGGACTTCGGTTTTTTTTTTGGCTGAAGGGGCAAAGACGAACACAAAATCCGAACATTGCTGTTGTTGAACCATTGAGAAAATCTTTTAATGTGGACAATTATTGGCGACTGGGACCTGGGATGTGGATATGGAAGGAGGAAGGAGGAGATGGGGTTGTGGAGAGAAATGAACAAGGGCATCGGGCAGGTTGGTCATGCTGTAGGAAGGGAGGAAAGGGGAAAAGACAAAAAAAATCCTGCACGGAACTCTCCGAGACACTGGTGAGTGGAGAAATGAAAAAGAAGGGGAACACTTACAGTCGGGCGATGTGCGCTTATGCATGTGTTGGGTTTCGATTTCTTTTGGTGTGGTGCTCTGCTTGATGAGCGAGAGTGTAGGAGTGAGAGGTGAGAAGGAGTGTGAGTAAGAGCGAGGAAGAAGGACAAGGTCGGCCCTTAATTGGTCGTCCTATTCTTCTGTCCTTTACTCTTTTACTCTTTAACTCTTCCTGTGTTCTTATTCCCTCTTTTCCGTATGATCCTTGAGACTACTCGTGTATGCGAAGGAAGATTGTCCCCGTCTCTCAACCTTGAATTTGTTCGGTCTTTATTTGTCGGTCGAATCTACTGAGACAGTCGCGTTGACCCAGTGGAGCGAACAAAGTGTGTGAGTAACGAACGGAGTGTGTTTGAAAGACTGTTTGAGTGAGAGAACAAGAGAACAAGGGAGAGCTGGATCTCAATTTTCATTCCACCGTGCCAACTTTCAAAAAAAAAAAAAAAACTCAAAATCGCATCCGTTTCCGCGTTTTTGTTTTTGTTGGTCCACCTTCTCTTCCCTCTCATACTTCTTTCTTCTTTTCTTCTTTCCCTTTTTCCTTTCTTTCTTCCTTCTTCTTTACTCTTCACACTCCCCACTCAACCCCAAACACTCACCCTCACGCAACACACCAACGCAATGTCTCTCTCTGCCCTTTCCTCCAGACTCTTCCCCACCATGCGCTCCCAGGCCATGGCCAGATTCGCCGCCCCTGGCTCTTCCTTTGCCCGCTTCTACGCCAGTATGTGTTTCTTTTTACCCTTTTTTTTCTTTCTTTTTTTCCACCCCCTATTCTTGAAGAACTTATCACACACGCAATGGACCAAAACCAAGCAAGGATTCACCTTAGTACAACTGGACAATGAACAAGCAACAAGACACGCAACTTTGGGATTTTCTGGAGGAACGGGAGATACTCGACAAAACGCCTTTTCAGACCTTCTTACCAGGCAGGACGAGCATGAAAAAGGAAAAGGCGGACTTGGACCTTAGACGCGATATACGCTTCCCGTTTTTCTTCCTTCCTTGCACTGGAAGACGGTTCTATTTCACATGGGCGTGAGTATTTCATGGGGTATATCCTTTCCACTCAATTGATCCGTTGAGAGCTTGGCTTACGTGCCTTTTGGTATTTCAACATTGCTTTTCCGTTCGATGGTCAACCTTCACAAGGAAGAGGAGTTAGTGCTTGACCGATGCACCCTTTCATTCAACGATGATGGTTGATGGTATGGGCCGATCTGGCCGCCTTCTCACCATCGATAGAACCACAACCTTCACGCATACCTCTTTGTATCAACCCACCACTTGCCTTTTTTGTTTTTCTAACCACATCTAACTAACCTCTTCATCACCAAATGACAATCAACTTAATAGCCAAGAAGTACACCGCTGAGCACGAGTGGGTCGAGATCGAGAACGGCATTGCTACCATCGGTATCACCAACCACGCACAGGAGGCCCTTGGTGAGATCGTCTACGTCGAGGCTGCTGAGCTCAAGGAAGTCGAGAAGGGTGGTACGTTTTCCTTGCAATGTTTTTTGAAGGTTTCTTTACACACTGCAATATCATTCCCCTCCACTTTTCCTATGACAAAGGAGGGGGTTGACTAAAAGAAGGGAGAACGAAGGAAAGAAGAAAGGGGACAATAACAAGAACGGCTGTTCCGCTGGTCATGGTCCTCCACTCTTTTCCTTTCCGTCCTTTCCATCCCCTCGTGCTTACTCGAAGTTTCATCGGCCAAAAAAATCTCACGCCCTCGTTTTTTTGTTTGCATGATTTTTGATTCACTCATAATAGAAACCGTTGGATCCGTCGAGTCCGTCAAGGCTGCCTCGGACATCTATGCCCCTATCTCTGGAAAGGTCATTGAGGTCAACGCCGTCTTGGGTGACGAGCCCGGTCTCTTGAACACCAACCCCGAGGACGCTGGTACGTCCCTCTTATGTTTTCCTGTTGGCACACATTGTTCATTTATTGCCCTTACGATTGAGTCCACTCCCTGGAGTTCAAAAGGATGAAGGCTCTTATTTTAAGAGCGATCCCGATGGGGCGTTATGAAACCTTCATCGTTCATTTACCTTCAGGAGAGAGATCGTCGCTTATTTGGGAGCTTTGTCCTGAGAAACGAACGAAAAGGAACAGCCTTCTTTATTTTCTTATGCTTCTGTATCAATGGTCATCGCCCTAATCTTTTCCATTTCCTATTTCTCAATTAAATTAGGCTGGCTCTGCAAGATCCAGCTCTCGTCCGAGGACGAGATCAAGGACCTCCTCAGCGAGTCTGACTACCACAAGTTCTTGGAGGAGTCCCACTAAATACAGACTTTCTTTTTTTCTCTCAACCAAATTCTCATCGTCCATACTTTTTTTTTGTTTTCGCAACGTAATGCTCGCTCGCCACTCTTCCTCCTTCACTTTATAAAATAAACGTTTTTTCAACCCACAAACACATACTCACACACACAAAGAAACGATTGCTTTTTTTTTTGCTTGGTTTTGTTTGTCGACTTCGCTCTATTTGCGTACACTTTTTTTTTATATATATATTCTGTTATCAGTCTTTTTTCTGTTGCATTTTTGTAGGATGTTTTGGTATTATTACATGATGCAACACTCAAGTCGGTCGCGTTCAACAATCCGCTGAATACTCTTCCAATCGGAGCGCATCTCTGCAAACTCAAAGACATCTTCGATCCGGAGGATGCCTCCGAACCGCTCCATGTCATGGATAAGCTGCTTCAGATCGGAGGGCGATTGGATAATAAACAGGTTGCCCAACTCTTTGAGTGCCAAAAAGTTTGGGTTCAACGTCGGCTGCTTGAGGCCCACGATGAAGTTGTAGTAATGGTTCAAGTCGCAGATCAGAACGAACCCGCCTTGCGACGATACTACATTCGATCGCAAGTGCTTTGTCAGACAACTATTATCCAACCAAAAAAAAAAAAAAAAAAAAAAGTTGCTGTAAGTATGAGAACCAAATGCGATGAATAACATTTAGTGATAAACAATCATATGTAAAACAATGGAAGCGAACGTACTTGAAGAGACGAAGTCCAAGTTCTTGGAAGAAAACGTCAAGGGTATGTTTGTCCGTGCAGCCGATCAGCATCTTTGTATGTGTCGTCAGACATGTCACCGCCTCCCGACAAGCCTAAAAGTCAACGAAAAAAAAATAAAAAAATATATAGCATGTAAGCGAAATTGAGAAGCATCGAAAGTATCTCAAGTAACCATGTAATACGACCTGGAAGCAGACGAGCGCTTACATTGGTAGGTTGCAGCTCGATGTCGGTGCCTTCCTCAGGGTTAAAGTCGGTCGGCAACTGCATAGTCGCAAGTATATAGGCGACCTGGTCAATCATGACCTCGATACTCTTATCCAATCCTGCTGCAACTCCGTCGTCAATCATCCTCTCAAACGACTTCTTCTCCTTGTTGGCCTCGTTCAAGAAATCCATTTTGTCGATATGTTTGCACATCTCCTCCGCATAGTACACCTGCACCATCTGTAGAATTAGATCCGCCACATGAACAAGCTCGAAAAAGTCCATAAGCGGCGTCACTCCACCACCATGAGTCGTTGAAGGCTTGTACCGTCCCAGTTGTTGGATCGCCCTAATTATTGAATTACAAGGGAGATGTGTAAATAAGAGCTCTTCGCTTGTATCACAAGACCGCCAAGTCATGTTCCGATAGCGAGTAGCATCGCGACTTTTTGTGCCTACGTTGCGAATCCGGGTTTTATATGTTGATTGCCCGTCGATCTCAGAAGCGCGATAAACACCAACTCTATCGTCTTTTGTCTATCGAATTCAACCGAAACCAAGAAAGAGAATAAAGTCGTTAGCTTTTACCTCCAGTGACATCCTTCATCCTTCTTGATGATACCGTGTGAAAGACATGAAGCGTTCTTAACCAAGGGTAACTTACACACGCCCGCCAAGGACACCGCCAAGTCCTGCAAAGGCCGCGAGACGCTGGAGTGCGTCCTTGTCGAGATGAATCAAATGCAAAGCCAACTCGACGCTCAGGAGGGAGTTCATCTCTTCTTGTACTTCTTGAGCAGTGACCACTTGCTGCAGCTCAACTCCTCCTGGCGCACTCCTCACACTGTCCGCATCGCTCGCCAAAGAAATAGATTTCCTGTCAGGGACGAATGCTGGAGTGCTGATCGTGGTGGGCGTCACCGGTGCAGATGATGTAGCTGTCACCGTGGTGGCAGCTGTAGTGCTTGAGCTGCTACTAGACCCACTCAATGAAGTGATGGACCGCATTGAGAACCGTTTGTTTTTTGTTGGCGTCGTTATAGCTCCTACTGCTGGAGCTGGAGCTGCTGAAGTTTCGCTAACCGATGTAGTTGGAGCCGCGGCTGCCGCTGTTGGGGTTGTAATGCTAGGCGCAGGTGATGGGGATGCCGAAGTCGATACTGCTGTCACTCCTGCAACAATAGAAGACGAGATCTTGTAGGGAAGGGTGATAACATTCCGGAAGCCTCTCAAAAAGTTGCGCTTAAAGACCTCTCTGTTTCTGGGATTCATCCTCTTAGGTTCCGTGTTTCTGCTGTCGCGCTACATAGCATCATACAAGAGACAAATTGTGTGTCAATCTTTGCACGTTCTTGTAAACATAGTACGTCCTGTGCAGTAAGACAATGACGACTGGTCGTTACCTGACGTTCGTACTTGTCGATCTGATCCTTGCATGACTTTTGAACCCAATCCAGCTCCTGCTTAAGATACCGTTCCAGCCAAGGCGCAAACACTCTGGCCAAAAGTTTCTCGATCCGGTAGCGAGGCACGTTAATCGGCTCCATGTCGATCACGGTGTTCTCCAGGTGCTCCAGATACCGGTAGGCAGTCGGGACGGACTTGAGGTACAGCAATTTGTCCCGCATGCTGCACATTTCAAAGAGTTGTGAACAGTACTCTGAAATGACATCCTCAAACACGCGCTCCGTAAAACTGTAGAGCACATCGGCCTCCTCTGGGAACACGTCGCTGATGATGACTCCCTGCTTTTGGAGTTCCATCTCGGTAAACTCCATGAAGAGCCGCATTGGCGTAAATTCAGGGTATGCCATATTCTCCCGGACGACTACAGGTTGCGACAGCCACATCTCATATTGCCTATCAAAGCCCAAATGAAACAGCCAGCAGTTAGATTTCAGTTTTCATCGACGGCTATCATGGCGCTTAGCATTGGAGATAATAATAAACCTGAAAGACATTGTTTTGTTCCTTACTTGAGATTCTCGCCTGCCTCGTAATTGTTGTCAAAAAATATCCCGTTCTTTTGGATAAAGATTTGAATACAAGCCTGAGCGCCATTCAGGTCCAAGAGCACTCCTGCAAATTTCTACAGAACGAGACACACACAAAAGAAGAGTGAGGCGATGAGAATTTGATCTGCGACATTGTTCAAGACCAGATTCTAGGACGAACAATATGATCCAGATGCTTACAGCCATCTCCGAGATGTCTCGCGAATCGTAAGCGACCTCGAACAAGTGCAAGCAACGGTTTTCGAAATACTCGCAAGTTCCTTGCAGGTTCTCATTGATCTAAAGAGTGTCCACGAGAGAAAACAACAAAAATGCATTAAAATATGAGGGTCAGTGGGTTGCGCGGTTTGGAAGTGTCGCGTCAAATTGATCCGTGAAAAGAAGATCCATTGCCCAATTACCTGATCAGAATCGGCCGCCAAGGGCGCCTTGGAAAAGGCCAAGAGCCGTGCCAACATTCTGGCGACATCCAGGACTGAACTTCCAAACTCCTGGATCACTTTACTGTCCTTGTTTGCCTGACGAAAGTCCACATAGTACGGCCAGAGTTCCTTGTAGATCGTCTTGAACTGCTCGCGTGCTCCTTGGTTTGCCTTCCTGCCCTGGATCATCGAATAAGGGTCGCCTGGCAACCCTGGGATTTGAAATCGTGGTTTAGCCGAGGTTGAGGAAGAAGCATTCGCGGGATCGTCTTCGACACTGGACCGATACCCTTCCTCTAAGAGACTGGAGAGACTCATCCTGCCATTGACAGCCCCAATGGCCTCGGACGTGTTGGCAGATATCCGTTTCCGAGTCATCTCTGAGATGTTGGCTCCGTGGACAGGGAAGCGCGGGAGAGAGTCGATCGGTCCATCCAAAAGACTAACACCGCCTTCTCCTTCGTCGTCGTAGTTTGACTTTTTCTTGCCACGGAAGCCAAAGCCCATGGCCTGAAGCTTGGACTCCCACAGTTCGTCACCGTAGACGATGACCTTGAGGCGGCGACAGGCCTGGGCGACGGCAGGGAGGGATGAGACTGGGAGGTACTGGAGACATTTGAGAAGGAGGTTGGGGGGCAGGACAGGAACAGAGGTTGTGATGTCGTCTGTTGAGCTCCTGCCGTCAAAGTCGTCTACATCAAACATGAGTTCCATGTCGCATCCAAGTTCTTTTGCGTGAGAGTGAGAGTGGAAGTGAGAGTATGGAAGTAAGAGTGAGTAAAGGTGGAGTCAAACAAGGGAAGAGGGACGGGCTAAGATGGACTAGTGAGACGGGTGGGATGCCGTGACTTTTTTGAGGGAGAAGTGTCTTGGAAGAGAGGAAGAAAAAAAGGGCGATGGGCGAAAGGGATTCAAGGGGAAGGGGGACACAACAAGGAAGCCAAAGGGAGGGGAAGAAGAGGAGTAGAGAGGAAAAAAAGGGAAAGACACCCTGGGACACCAGACTAAGAAGGGTGGTGTGTGATGGAGAGAAAGGTGGAGATGAGGAAGACAAAGAAAAGAAGAAAGGAAGAACAAAGGAGCGGGATGAGGAAAAAGTAAAGAAAAACGGACGTGAAGAACGTGGAAGAAAGATTGTTTGTGGGCTCCATCTTTTTATCTCTCTACTTTTTTCCATACCGCCCACTCCTTGGTTTACCCCAATGAACCTTCGCTTCGTACTCTTTCCCCAGTCAGCCTACCACTACAACCTCTGAATGACTGGCTGGATACTGACAGGAGCCTGAGTCCATGTTCATGCTCATGTCCATGCCCACACCCCAATCGGGCGCCAATTGATCCTCCAAGGGAAAGGACAAAAATATTGACCTCTGGGGCCTTCATTAGGACCAAGCAGGGGCAAAAACGAGACCGTGCCGAGGGTCGAACTCGGGTTACAGGATTCAAAGTCCTGGGTACTGGACCACTATACTACACAGTCTTGGAACCAATACTATTGGTCAGGTTCCATATTTTCGGGGTTTTCGAACGAAGGTCATATACTAACGGCCAAGACGCGTACAGCCGTTTTGGTGGAACTGAGGCGCCAGGACGGCTCCAGGGCATGAAAAAATACGGAGAGACCCCTGTCTTGTATTGGTAAAACATGTTCGAACATTCAAACGCGTTGTTACTCGTGGCTAATTTGCAAAACAGAAAAAAAACGCGTTAAAATCACGCAAAAATCACCTTTTTTGAACGAGTCAAGGTTGAACAATCCACTGTGGTGCTTTGGCTCGATCTTCCAACTCCCAGAATAGTTCTTATCTAGAAAGGGTCAGCTTGATACGTTGGGCGATTGTGTGTGCAGCTGTTGTTTGGCAGCAATAGCAAATGGCCGGTGTACAGATTACATTGGCAGTAGAATGAACAGAGAGAATTCCTCACTCTCGATGCTTCTTTCGCGTCAACCCAGTTCTACTTCTCACGCAGCTCAGCTGAAGCATTCCTTTTAGACCCTGTTGGTGCCGGGATCTGTCCACTGTCTTTCACTCGAAACAACGATGGAGACGACAATGTTCTTAAAACCTTTAGCCGATCACTTACGCGGCGATATACTCATGCCTTATTCTCCCTCTCCATTTCTCCCTTGTCTTTTGCGATAATTCTCAAAGCGAAAGTGCTTTCCCTCTCTTACACATTACAAAACAATGCTGCAACTTCTTTTCCTGTCTCTTTCATCACCAGTCTCATATAGCCTCTCCTTGAAAGTCTGCCATGCGTTTCGCTGTTCACTTTCGCGAAAAATAATAATTGGACAGGAAGCAAAGGAGAAAGATATGTCTGTTCAAGCAGGCTCACAGCCCTGTGTCCAAGGTTCGCTCGCGTGCGTAAGACATACATGGCAAAATAACTTATACCCTTTTCTTCTGTACGACCGCACTGCAAAAGTGACAACAAAAAAGAAAACACAAAAAGCGAACCTCAATGGTACCATGGACGATAGCTACCAACTTTGGTACCCCCCCACAAAAAAAAAAAAAAAAAAAAAAAGCTTCCCAGTCAGATTCAATGCTCGGGAGAGGAATGGATTTCGTAGAATGCTCTGTTACATTTTGATTTATTTTCATGAGGGAGAGCAATGGGAGGGAGATGCCAAAGTAGAGATGCCAAAGTAGAGTCAGCCTAGAGAAAGTGAGCATCGTCCTTGGTTTCGAGGTGGCATGCTTGAATGGTTTTCCCTCTCGCCCATTCCAGTCCCTCACCATCATAGCTCAACGTGGGACTGATCTCGAACCCCAAAAGACTCTCACTTCCTGCTGCTGAAAGAGAACCAGGGATCGCAACAACGTGTCCACCAGCCTGCTTGATCCAACGGATATGCAGTCGCTCCAAATCACGTCGACAGGTTGCAGGTGAATCCAGTCCATCAGGGTTCTTCATAGGAGAAAACTCGCTCGCTCGCTCGGCTTCCAGACAGGCAAACCGCTCCGCCAGTGTGAATGCGTCAAATATAAAAAGCTCCAGCTTGATCCCGTTGGGTGCGTCCGGCTCAATTTCTTGTCCTGTCATCAGGTCGACAAAAGGTACTCGTTTGGTGGCCGGGTGGTAAATCAACAGGTTCTGATCTGGGGTCTGTAGGATGGCTGGCATCCGCTGCAGAAAATCGACGGAAAAAATTTGGTTGCAGACATTTCCTGCCCTGTATACAAATTCACCAGTGTCGGGGTCTGTCAGTGCCGCAAGTTCAGTATCCATCTCCGAGTACTCCACAACCCTAACCTGACCGTTGATGTGACATATGACGCCCAAAGGTTCGTCTGCGCGGGTCTTGAGCATAACCTTGGCGGTGACATCGGCGTTGGTTGCAAGCGCATGCCCAATCCCGACCGGGTCGCCAATCTTGATTAGGATATTGTCGACTGAGTAGCTGTGTGTATAAAGAATCCCTCGCTTCTGAAGAATCTCGAGTACGCCTTCGGTATGGAGTGCCCAAAAGATGCCTCCGTTGCCGTTGGGGGATGTAGCGATCTTGTCCTTGGCGCTGAGGAGGAACTTGCCCTCGAAGTCAAAGCTGGGGATAACGCCCTGCTGAAAGACAATAATGTTCTCAGGCAAGAGTCCAAAGTAGGCGTGTTGTTTAAGAAAGGTCTCGGTCCGTTCGTGTGTGGCGCCGGAGGTCATGATGCACCAAGTGATGATCGGCATGAGGACATCGTCCAGAGATCGTCCTGTTTTTGTTGCTAGATGGGTTCTGGCCAGGGTCTGCAGTCTCTTGATCCTCTCTGCGTGGATCTGGAAAAGGGTCTTGTGCGAGGGAAGGCCGATATTAGGAAAGGACCCTTTAGGAAGTGATGAGCCTAGGCGAGTACCCTGTCCGCCTGCCAAGACAATAACGGCAACATGGTTGTTGGCGATGGCATCGAGGCCTCGTTGTTCCCAGTCCTGTTGTTCGGTGAGTAGTGAGTGCGTGGTCGATTTTACTTCACTGTGGGTGAGAGGCTGGAGGTCGTTGAAGATAGTGGTCGACTGAGAGGAATGGGTGGCTTTCTGGAAAATGGAGTTGAGCGCCTTGGGGTCGATGGATTCGAGTTGAGAGAAGAAGGTATGCTGTTGTTGAGGAGAGAGGTCGTTCCAGAAGGTGAAGACGTGATCCTGGTGGGCGTCCTTGTAGTTTTGTCGCACGACGGCGAGTTGTGCAGGGTCCACCTGGGTCATCCTGATAGCCGTGTAATAAAGGTTGCTGGTTTGTCTTGTACTTCTTGTGCGACGGTATGGGAGCCAAGAAGGTTAATAATTTTGAGCGGGAGATTAGTGGTGTTGTTGAAGGTGTAAAGAAAGAAAGGAAAAAGAAAGAGAGTGGGAGTGGTTCTTTTATGAGGTATGAAGAAAATGGAGAAGAAAGAGACGAAGACGAAGAAGAACGACGCCGTTTGTTTATTGTTTAGAAAGAAAAAAAGATAAGGATAAAACAACATCGATGAAACCACTAATCTTTTTTTTTAACTGGGGACAACAGATATTACATGATGGATGAAGGACTTGCGCATCCTGATTGGCTACCGTACAGTCAGAAAAAAGAACGATCAGTGGAGAGAGACGCGTTCGCGGTAGAGATGTCCTGACGGGGGACGCGGTGTACAGATACTCCCGACAGAGTACCGGATCGATGTGGCCATGCCTGTTGGTTGGTAGTCTGTGTATTCTTCCAGAACTGAGTTTGGTAGATGGAGATGCGTTTGCAGTGCCCCTTCTTCCCGTTGAAGAGAGAATGCATCGCCCTTCAATCCACGCAGGGCGTTTGGACAAAGGAAGGTGTGGCCAAGCGGGTTGGATCGTGGAGTGTCAAGCGGCACGCACAAGCACATAATGCATGTACCCATTCCCGATGTAAACACAAAGAGAACAAACAGCCGTCTGATTCTCCTATTCAACACAGCCATTGTTTTTTTCGCCTTACTTCTTGAACAACAGTCGAAAGAACATGTCGAATGGTCAACCTCGTGGTCACTTTCCTCGCTCCTTATGCTTGCTCCGCAATTGAACGGAGAATGCATTGCAATGCTAATAATTAGTATTTGTATTCAATGCAACATTATTGATGGCTGAAGAGTAAATGAGCGAGTGCTCTTGGACACATCTGTCGATGCTGTTGTTGTTTTTGTCGCCCGTTGGAGAGGGCTCTCTGGTTGTATGCCAACCTATTTGTTGCTATTGCTGTTGCTGTTGCTGTTGCTGTTGCTTACACTTGCTTGCTTGTCGATGCTCATGAACTGCTCTCACAAAACCTCTCAGCTTTTTCAACTTTCCAACTCGAGCATCCACTGGTTTGACATGACCTTCACCCTACATTTGCACCACTCTCATTTTTCGGAGAAAAAAAAGGCTCTGCTCTACCTTGGCGGCCATTATTCATGCCGTGTCCATGTCTGGGTCAGGCGCTTGCTCCTGCTCTTGGACTTCTTGGTCTTCTTTTTTCCGTTGGTGTCTGTCCTTTCCCTTTTCTTTCTCTCTCTCTCTCTCTCTCATCTCTTCCTTCTTTGCCATCATCATCTCTTCTCATTCACCTCCTTCTTCGCTTCCCTCTCTTTTTTTTTTCTTCATTACTTCACCTCCAAACTCGTTCGTAGTCCTCTCCTTCCCCTTCTCTTCTACAACCACTGCCACCACCACCACCAACCCAAATTACCGTCTCTTTTACTCCTTCCTTCCTTGGAATTATTACGACCGTATCACAGACCAACCACACGACAGAACACACAGACACGAGGAAGTCAACAACAACGCCCTCGCCTCATACTTAATAATATTCTCATTCTCGCCAGGACTGACCTCACCCCCATCCCCATCTTCTCAACATGACCTTTTCGTCGCACGAGGATGAAGATCAGGACGAAGTATGGATTGTTGTCTTTTGTTTGTTTGTTTATTTGTTTGTTTGTGTTTGCATGCCTCATCCTTCGTTGTGATGGTTCAGTTCAGTTCAGTTTGCCATCACAAAGGGAAGAAGACAGTGACAGTAAAGAGAGCGAGCGAGTCTGTTTATGAAGACTACGAAGAGTTGGCGCGATATGAAATGATAAGATGCAAGCTAGCTTGTCGATGCGGTTTTCTATCACCAGGTAGCTTCAAGGGAGGGAGCAGAAAGAAAACCACTTGGGCAGAGTATAAAAAAGAGTGCGGCCCCTAAACACATACTGTACTGCTGACCCCACCTACACAACGGAGTATATGTGTGTCTTAGAGTATGTGTTCGTGACCTTTAACTGACACTCTGTCTCTGTTTCTCCCTCTTTCGCCCTACTACTGCCATGCTTTCATTTGATAATTGCCCACGCCCACTACGACTCCGCCCTCACACGTTCCTTCTCGCCTGCTGCACTCCCTCCGCCTCGTCGTCGTCATGACCGCCGCTCTTTACTCATTCCTTCTCCCTTTGAAATGAACCTGACTGCACTCCACCCTTCCCTCCGAGTAGATCCTGATCTCAACCATGCGATCACTTGATCTCGCCCACAGAGTAAGTCGACAGTAAATAGAAAAAAAGAGACCTCACAAAGGTGGCATTCATTCACGGATACATGGATCAGGACCCCTCGACTAGGCAGGACAGAAACATTGACAGGAGAGAGAAAGAAAATAGAAGGACGCGGACGAGGATGGACACACACGCATTGGCTAGAGAACGAAGAAGGGTTCGACGGCACTACAAGTGGTCGACCGCGATCTTGGATGAGTTGGTGTATGAACATTGTGGTCACACACGCACACTTAGGCATGGCTGGCTGACGAAACAAAAAAAACCCCATGCCCCACCTCCTTTTCTCCCCTTCCCTTTCTTCCTTTCATTCTCTTGCCCTTTCACTTTCTTTATCTTTTCATTTTCTTCTTTCGTTTTCTTCCTATTCACTCTCGATATCCCATCAATTGTTCTTCTCTGCTCCAATACTTCGTCTTCTTGGAACAACCACCACCACAAACCACCACCGCCGTGTCATTCTCTCTTTCGCTCTCTTACGTTACAACACCTGCACCTTGACGGCCAATTCCTCCTCCACCATCACCATTTCATCTCTGCATCATATCAGTTATATCCTATCATTTTTTGTTCAGTTTCTTCGTTTTTCTTCAGCTTCCGGTGCATACCTCTATAACAACCGCTCAATTCACCCACCAACCAGTAGTTCGCCAATCTAATAACAATCAATTGGGCTACAGCAACACCACTATCCAAAATACCTGCTGAAAGAGAGTGTGTGAAAGAACGAGAGTAAGGGATGAGCATACGGACAACAAAGCATGGCAGGTACGCCTCAACACCCTACCCGTCGACGGCGTATGAGTCCGAATCGAACAACTCGCTCCTAGGTCCACTTTTACCTACGGACGCGCTCCAGTCAAAATGCGGCCATCCGACCATCTGGGAACACGGCCTCCAGGACCAACCATTATATCACAGCAAGACTGTCTTCAGCACAAGCAGTTCGGTCGAGTCCCTTCAGCAATACTATCAGCAACACCAACTCCAACAAGAGTCGCAAGCCGCAGCAGACTTGCTAAAAGAAAACCTCTCCCTTGTACAGAAAAATGCTCTAGCTCAACAAGAGGTCGCTTCGGCAAGGAACAACCAAGCCCGTCTCGAAAACCAGGTGTATGAGCTCGACCAGAATCTGACAGAGGCCCGAAGGGAAGCCCAGCGACTCTCCCGTGCCAAGAAGGACTTTGACCGCCAGATTGAACAGAGCAATGCCAACTTTGAGAGGGAGCGTATCCTCTGGGCTGAACGTGAGAGTGAGCTGGTGCGCAGTGTCAAGTTTGCAACGCGGCCCCTCGTAGTTCAAGCTCCTGCCAAAGGTACAGTCAGAGGAAGAGAAGGAAGAGATGCGCGTTCTATGGTTTATAGCCTGTGTGGCCATATTTTGTTCCAATGCGCACCTATAGATGCTCACACTTTTGTCTTTATTTTTGAATGATTATTAGAGCGAGAGGCATCCACAAGTAACAAAGAGTTCGACGTCGTTCCACCGGTCGTTCAGCAACAGATAGCCGAGAATAACGCAGCCCATACAAGAGCATTGAGAGCGCAGGAAAACATTGTCACCGAGCTCCGAAGGCAGATTCTCAACATGAACCAGGACCTCATCGAGCGCCAACGGAACTTTACCCTGAAGGAGAGCGAGCTGCAGGCCCAAATTGCCCAGGCACAGGAGCTGAACAGGGGTCTCATGGAGGAGAACGAGAGCTATCAAATGCTTTTGCATGAAAAGTCAATGAATGGCGAGTTTATGCAAACCAGCATTATGAAGGTAAACATTCCAAAAAGCAATCTGATGTGGTGGGCCTTGCAATGTCTTAGTTTGATGGGGTGGTGAAGCGTATGCGCGCACACGCGCGCGCGTGTATATATGCGTGCGGATATGTCTGAGTCTCTTTTCAGCCGACCCGCATGTGGTTTCTCATATGTGGTATGCGCCCAGACCGTCCTAATCCTAACACGGAGATCACTCCTTTTGACCGTACATCTGTGTCGATTAGAACACGGGCTACAACGATGATCCCTCCGCTACACCCCTGGGCGCACACAGCAACGGATCAATCAATCTGGCTGACGAGCTCGGCAAGGCCTTTGACCGCTCGCCTCTTGCCAACTCTGAAAAGTCGATCGAGGAGGAAATCAAACAACTCAGGGAGAGCAACACTGCCTTGGGTCTCTATATCTCGAGGATTCTGTCGCGCATCATGGAGAACCCTCATCTTCAGGCGGTCCTCGCTGCCGACTATAGCCCTCGCAGGGCCTCAATACCCGAGTCGCCCCCAGCCCTCATCTCTCAGGCCAACAAGAGCAGCTCTAGCCTGAACAACACCGGAAACATCACCTCTGAGTCAGAGTCCCCAGCCAAGCCTGAGGGTCGCGCCCGTTCGCGCTCGCTCTTTGGTGGCGGCTCTATCTTTTCATCACGCTCCAAACCTGCCCCCGTACCTGTTACTACCTCTGGCAAGAGTTCGACCCGAAGCAGTTCTGACGACGATGCCGCTAGCGGAACATCGACCGGAGTGACATCGTTCCATGATGGCCATGTTCTTGAGGACTCTCCACGGACCAGCAACTCTTCCTCCGAGTTCAGAGTAGTCGCCAACGATCTTCCACGAGCAACAGAGTACGAGCAATTGACGACCTTCGACCAGCCCTTCACCCGCAAGCAACTTCAACGACATGCGAGCATGAGCAGTGCGGCTGGACAGGATCGACATCAACGACGACAGACGATTGGCGGAGCAGGATCGTTCCAGGTCAACGGTAGCGGGAGCAGTCACGGACGTTACGGAAGCGACTCGAGTGCGTTGCCAGCGAGCCAAGGCAGGTGGTCAGCGATGTCCAAATCCAAGAACAACCTCACTATCATGGCACCAATGCCGGAGCAACAATCGACAATCACGACTCTTGTAGAGACATCGCCTGTTGCAGAGAGGCCCGATTCTGAGTCAATGAATTCCGCCCGTTCGCCCGCGCTTTCGATCTCGATCTCAGAGTCTAGCGCAAGCAGCACAGCGTCTGCAGGAGTTGCTACGCCAACAACACCTGTGACGACGACGGAGGGAGGCGTGCTCAAGAAGATGCGGAGGTGGAGTTTGTTTGGAGCCAGCAATCCAAACACCACGGCGACGCCCGCTGGTGTTGTTGAGCCTGTCAAGGAGGGCGATGATGCCCAGCTCACATCCACGCCCATCCTTGAAGAGCCCGCTGCCGTTCACATTTGAACTAACATTACTGCAACCTGTTAACAAGAACACCTCTCCCCTCTCTCTTTCCACAAACTATAACAACACCCACCAAAAAGAATCGAGCAAAAAAACCACAAAGCAGCAAAAATCGAACATGACTAAATTGATGCCATATTACTCCATTAAACAAATAAACAAATAACCCCTCTTGACGACAACACCTTCTTGTTCTGTTTCTCGCGTTGACCTTTTGGGGGGAAGGGTCGAAGGCTGCAGTCGGAAAACAAATGCATGATGATTCACTAATTGATTGACCCGTTTATTTTAAAAAGAGTGCTTCGCCCAAAATGAGAAATGGGTTAAAAAAACAACAACTAACTATTGGCAGAGGAGCACCACTGGAAGGCGCGCTCGAAGTTCCAGGCGCTCGAAGCCCATTGACAGCGTTCCGGAAATCAAAAAAAGTCTCATAGATCTCCTCATGGGTGTTCATCACAAACGGGCCACGCTGGACAATCGGCTCATTCAACAGCTGACCCGCAAAATAAACACAAATCTTACCGCGTCCTCCTTGGTCTCGATCAGCACCGTGTCCTTGACACCATCGCTGCCAGAGAATGTCAACGTGTTATGTGCCTCGCCCACGAACTGCTCCTCCTCCTCGCCGAGGAAAGTCTTGCCAGAGAGCATGCAGATGAACCCAGTGTAAGAAAATAGCAGATTCTGCTCGACAACCTTGTGGGGTTCCATCGTGATGTCCAGAAACATTGTCGGTGTCCGGGTATACACCTTGGATTGAACACCCGTGTGTCACCCCTGCAATGACTTTGATCGCCACACCGGGTTGGGGGGGGGGGGGGGGGTTCAGAACGCGGGATCTGGGAATCGAGGAGTTATTTGGTACTGTGGGTCACACATCTTGTTTTCCTTTGGGCAAAGTTGATCCAGAGCTGTAATCCTTGCGCCTTCGTCAGCCGCCCTCTCTCCAACCCTCATCACCATCGGAAAAGACAGGCATCTCAGAGTGTACGATCCTCCCCTCCCCCGTCCGGCCGTCATCCACTGAACGTCTCCCAGTCCAATAACCCCACTGTATCCTGCAAAATCTTCATGTCGGAACTGTCCCTGCAGCATGCAGGTAACCGTCTCGAACCCACGATGAGGATGATCGGGGAAGCCGCCGTTCTTGTCGACCAAGAATTCGTCGAGCATGAGGAATGGGTCGCAGTTCTGGAGTTCGGGGCGGCCGATGGAGCGACGGACGCGGGTGCCTTGGCCTTCTGCTTGTTCTTCGGATAGGACTGCTCGGGTGATTGTTCGCGAGAGGCGAAGGGGCTCGATGAACGGCATCATCGGCAAAGGCGACTGTAGTAAAGGAAGCGAGGGAGAAGAGGAGTGTTGCCGAGACGGCAGCGCGGAGTGTGAAAACACGCATGTTCTTGGATGTGTTCGCGTTACGAGTGTTGTGTGAGTGTGAGTGAAAGGTGAGTATGACAAGATAAAATAACAAAAAAAGTGCGAGCGAGCGACACCGGTTCTTTTAAGGGCGTTTTTGAATACTATTCCCCACGACTCTGGAGGAGCCAACTTTGATTTCTATTCGATTTGTTAATAGCTTGTCGGCACTTCAACAAGATTGCTCACTCCTTTAGGAAGGTGGAAGAATAAATGAGCTCCCCTGATAAGATACACTTCTACAACTCGCAGTTTCTGGCACTTCTCTTTCTCTTCCCACTAGCAATCCAAAAGATAAATTAAAAAAACCCCCTACTCCCTCGCGACGATGGCACAAACTTCTCTTTTTTTGCTTTGTGATAAAAAGATGAAGGTTTACTCTGCGGTGAAGCAACGATCGAAAGCGTACAACAAATCTATGAAGTGACAACGGTAGGTGCAACAATACACGCACAGGCACCAAATGCGGCCACGCGGAAGAGAGTACGGTAGATGCGCTTCATGTTTATCCATGGAGGGTCGCAGTGCATGTACCTTTGGTATGAAAAAGAAAGCTTCGCTTCCTTAGTGAAAAAAACGCTGAAATATATATGGAGAAAAAAGGCACGGCCGTGGGCTATGGTCATTGATATTTTTGAAGGTGTGTGTCTACATGCTGCCGAAAAGAAAGAAATGAAGTATCTACGAGATTACTCATCGGGAGGCATCATGGGGTTGGCCCCGTTCGGCGTCTCATGATCATGTCGACACTCCTCCCAGGCACTCATCTTGTACAACATGATCATCATCAAGAAATGCAGACCCATCGTGTACACCACCAGCATACTCCTCGTCCACTTGTTCGTCAACACTAACCGACTCATCGTCAACATGACCTTGTCTGCGGGGGTCATGCTGTTGAACCGGCGCGACTCCTCCTTCTTGTGGAACGCCTCAAAGGGATTCATGCTCTCCTCATAGATGTTCCGGTACCGGTCCGTCGGATCTAGCGATTGCATCTGCATCTCATCCCTATCGTCCTTCTTGTGCTGTCCAGGTCGACCCACCATCCCACTAGCATTGTTGTTCCTGAAGGGCGATGTGTAATCGATCGCCACACTAGGTGCAGCTGCCGAGTATCCTGCTCCGACACCCGATCCAGATGCATCATCCCGATATGACTGCATGTACTTGATCTTCTCATACAGCTTCAAGTTGTCCCTCTGCAACTGGCTGGTCTCGTTCCTCAAGTTGGAAATTTGCTCCGATTGCTGACGGAGTTGTTCCTCCAGCTCACTGTTCCTTTGGCGGAAACGATCACGTTGACTGGTCACAATGGGAAGAATACTGTGGTCTGCCGACGAAGTGCCAACGCCTGGTGTGCCCACACCAGAGCCAACACCTGCTGCAGCAGAGCCATCAAAGTTGAGAGAGGCTGCTGAGGGGAAACCAGGCGTTCTTGGTGTCTGGGGAAGAACTTGTCCGAGAGTAACACCTCCCACTACGTCTCCAGAGAACGAAGCCTTGCCATACGGAGGTGAAGTTGGATGAGGGAATCCTGAAGGGTTGGTTCCGGGAGGTCCTGTAAAGTATCCATTGACACCTCCATTCCCAGTGCCGAGCCCGTTTCCTCCAGATGATTGGTTAAGGCGTGTGATATCCTCCTCCAGTCGCTGAATCAGCTCCATCTGCGAACCGAGTTGACGAGAGGCGACTTCGTGACGAGTGCGGACATCCTCCAGATCTCTGGTGACGGATTCGTGAAGGACCTTTAGTTCCGTGAGCTCATTCTCCAGCTTGCGGTTCTTTTCCATCAACAGGATCTCGATCGGCTTCTCCAGGTTCTTGCTGGCCAACGTCAATACCCGCTCGTCCCAATCATCGTCTGCATCAACTCCTCTTGATCCAGAGAATTCAATGTACTATAGGAAGGTGATAGGAAGGATGTTTGTCAGTGTAATTCTTAAATCATCCTCGACACAGTAACCTCTCAAAATGTGATGTCAATGTCATGGCTGGTTACCTTGAGGACTTCGAGCTCGCTCTTGACGGTCTCGTAGTCCTTGTATTGTTCCAATTTGCGCTTGGTGGTCTCGATTTCCTCTGTTCTTTCCTGAACCTCTCGCTGTAACGTAGCCGTCTTTCGCTCCAAAATCGTGATTTGTTTCTGTATATGTTGGAGAAGATGCCATAGTTAGTGCTGCGCCATGAAGACCACTTGTCCTGTCACAATGTGGATCAAAACGCGCCGGTATTCACCTTGCTGCTGGTCTTGAGGTTCTCCAAAGCAGTCGTGAGGGTTTGAAGCTCTGCGTCCTGGTTGTCGATTGTCTGTTCCAATGTAGCCGCCCTACCAATCAAAAAGTAGACAGTGAACCGTGTCAGACTCAAAACCTCATATCATGCGTCTTAAGTCGCAGTATTGGCGTAAGAAGCAGACATGAGCCGTACCTTTCACTGTCGATTCCACGTCCCTGAGAGTTGTCCAATTGGTCGCGGAGTAATTCGTTTTGACCTTCAAGTTCCGATATCCTGCTGTTGGCGCGCTCATAGTCCAAAAGTACAATGTCCAGTTCAGCCAACTTGGCAACAACCTCCTCCTCGTACTTTTGAGAGTGGTCGACCAATGTAGCCTGTGTCGAGTCGTTGGTGTGCTTAAGAGTCTTGAGCTGGTCCTTGGCCTGGTTCAGCTGGCGCTGCAAGTCGTGCTCCCTATCGATACGCACAATGGAATGCAAAATACATGGGTAAATAATAAGTCTGGTGGAAACAACACGGGTAAAAGTAGCTCTGAGTCAATCTTGGTGTTACCTCTCCTTCGCTGTTCTAATCTTTTCCTCCCATTCCTCTCTGAAGGCTTGCTCCTTTTCCCGGACCTTTTCCTGAATGGTTTCCTCCTGCTTGGTCTCCAATCGAGTCAGACGTTGCTGGAGCTTGGTAGTATTGCTGGACATGGATCGCAAGTTGGTAGCCTGCTTGTTAAGACTGGTGTTCTCCTCCTTGAGGCGAATATTCTCCGCTTGCAACGCGCTAATCTCCTCCAGTTTTGTCGTTTGGTCCTAATGACAACGACGAAACAGAACGGTCCATTAGTCGAGCCCCAAAAGCAACACAGCAAGCAAAACAACGTGTTGTACAAGTACGGCTTTCACAGCGTTGGGGATCCAACTAACAAAGACTCACAGCGGCAACTTGGAGCAGCTTTGCGGGATCTGGTGCCTGACCGAGAGCATTATAGACCGCCAGGAATGCCTGCGCGGTTGCCTTCTCTCGTTTGGTGATTGCGTCGATTTCTCCCTGGTAAGCCCTAAGGAGTAACTTGAACTGCTGCAACTTCTCCTGATCCGGGACCTTTTTAAACTCTGGGAGCGTTTTAGACCAATTGGTAATCGAAGCGATAAAAAAAAAACCAGCGCCATATTAGCAAGTTGTACTGTTGAACAAAAGGAACAGCATGACCGTAACATTCGTTCTGGTATGAACATACCTCTGGTCAGTTCTGCAAGTTTCTTGCGTCCTGCCAAACTCTGTTGTTGCTGCTCCAAGAGCTCCACCGATTGCGTATCCATCTCCTGTTGGATAACTGGGAGTTGGATGCCTATGTCATAATACCAGTTAACAGAGTCCCAAAAGGTTAGGTAGCCTTCAACCTCAGTCTGTTCCGTCCTATTGCTAGTTCGTTTCACGGGTAAACATCGTCTGGCGCTTTGTAAAAAAAAATACCTCTCCAGACAGAGACGGCGGCAGAAAAGGCATCTTCTTCCTTGGGGACGATTCCAGTGCTGTTGTGAGCATGAAGATTGTCGTTGGTGTCCCTAGAAGGTGTGTTGTGGATGGAAGCATCGCCCAGGAGGTCGAATGCAACGTCTGCCATCGTGCTTTTGCTCCTTGGTTTCTTTTAACGCGTCCTGTTTGCGTTGCTGTTGCAGTGAGTGAGAGAGAGGGGTAGGGGTGTGTCGCCAGACTGACTTGGTATGAGGGTAAAGTGTGATGGTGGTGTGAAGAACAAGAAAAAGGAGAGGAAGATGATGGCGTTGTGTAAAAGAGAGGATGTGCTTGTCCTCTTGTCCTCTTGTCCTCTTGTCCTCTTGTCCTGTAAGAGAGAGCATAGTGGACCTCCACCAACGTGTCCGTTCGATGAGTATGAGCAGTCACATTGACAAACCGCATGCACAGCATACTCATCAAACTGTTTACTCGCTCACTTACTCACACAAACATGTATGAATCGAACAGGCGGGAAGCATGGGTGGGATGGACGTTGACTATCAGATGGACTGACGAGGGGCTAGATCTCAATATTATGCTACCCCTCCTTTTATTTTCTAGGAGAACAAGCGGATACGTCCATTTGTTTCTCTTCCTTGACTTCTTTTTTTCAAGAGGCCAAGCGCATTTAGAGCGAAAACAAGGATGGGTGGGTCGACACTACTTGCTTGATGGTTTATTTACTGTTGGATGCTATCGCAATAACGTTATATGTGGGTGAGAATGGAAGGTGAGCGATGGATGACGAGATCCATTTGTTTGCGTTTTCCTCAGTTTCCAGCTTTGTGCAACACCATGTCATCCTACGAAAAAGCAAGGGCCTTGGCAGGAGCACACAGAAACGCACCATCATATTCTCCCTTACCAAAGCACTCTTTCTGATTTGTTTATGAAGCGTGTGGTTACCGCGGGGTGTTTTGCTCGCTCGTGGTCCAGACCAAAACTTTTGTTGGATGAAAACAAATGCTAAGGGAACTAGGGTAAAACTGGCAACCCATCCAACCCGGGTGCTTAAATAGAAGAGCAGAAAACCGAGTCCTCCTCTCTTTTCTCTCTTTTTTCTTTTTCTTCTTCTTCACACTCCTCCTTTCCTTTCACCTGTTCGCCTCAAACAGCCCGAAGCAAGACGAGAGAGCACACGTATCCATCCACCACCACCACCACCACAAAAAAATTCACTCGTTCCTCTTTCACTCTCTCTTTCTCCACATCCCTCTCAACTCTTACTCTCATACAGGCACACGACCACTCTTCCCTCCCAAATGCCTCACGACAACGCGCGTGAGCCTTTGCTCCGCTCCCATCACCATGGTTCTTCCGACCACGAGGATGGCGGTTTTGCCTACACCGTCGAGGATCTCGCTCCCTTGACGGATCCCACCAACCCCACGACCCCTCAACAGATGGGCGGTATTGACAAGATCCTCCAGGGCCTCAAGGTCGACCCCAAGGTCGGACTCAGCTCGGATGAGGCTAGATCGCACTCTATCGGCAAGGACTCGGACGGAAAGTTTTCTGCACGCTCCAAGGCTTTTGGACGCAATGTAAGTTGACGGTTGCTGCCTTTTCTTTTGTTTTGTCGTCTTTGGGAAAAAGGGGGTGCGGGTGTGACGAGAAGGGGAACGCCTGGGTTTTCATTTTCATTTTCATTTTCATTTTCCATTTTTTCATTTTTTTCATTTTCAATGAACAAGGGCGGATTGAATTTGCATGAATATGAGTGAATCCAATTGATGATGATTATGCTATCGGGTGTACCTGGCTGGCTGTGGGACAGGGCAGTGGTATTGGGACTCTTTGCGCCTTCCTTCATTCAATTAGTTCTCTTTCGGTTAGCCCTTTTCTACAAAAGATGATTATGAAATGAGAAAGAGGGCAACGAAGTAGAAGACGATAGCAGGAGCTACAAAGCGATGACGGCAGTTGACAAAAACTGTTCAGCTCAAAAAGAAAGTAAAAAAGTGAGAGCACCCGGTTTGTTTTGTTTCGGCGGGTAAAATTCTCATTTGCAAGAGGAAGACGAATTCAATCGATGGCTCAATGCGCCAAAGAAGGCGACCATTGCATTGATTTGGGATGGAGAAGTGGGAGGAGGGTTCCCTTTACTCGCTGTCGAAAAGAGTAAGGTGGCGATTTTGATGTCTTGAACTCTTTTTTTTCTTTTTTCTTTCATGACAGCCTGCGAAGAAAATGTTTTTTCCTTCATGACAGCCTGCGAAGAAAATTAATGAAAATGAGGAGGAGTCCTTGGGGGGTGTTGCATGAACGACAACAATAACATCAGTTCATCCGCCCCCTAGTCTCCTAGTATCTCTTCAAAGGACATTGTTCGTTCACCCGAAAGTGGAAAAATACAACATCGTGCCCTCGTTCCTTCCCCTTGTTCGTTCCCTTTTGATAGGCATGTGTTACGAGTGAGGAAATGTCAAAGAGAAAAAAAAAAGAAAAAAGGTCGCGTTTGTTGGGTTCATGCACTCACTTACCCTTTGCCGCTTTGGTCTTTTGGACTCCCATCCTCCTTTTCGGGGGTATTGGATAAGAGACTAGAAAGGGGAAAGGCAATGCTATACCAGCGGGAGATGTATTATTTTTAATTGAAGCAAAACCCCGCTAGCCCAATCGGTGGTGTGCTGTAGCGTCCAGTCCCCCTCTCAATGCGGTTATTACACCCGTGCCCTCCTGCATCTATTCCTGACGTATATGTACCCTTATTTTTCTTCCCTTCAATGGAACCTTCCTTAGATTCTGCCCACCGCCAAGTGTGCGAGTTTCTTTGACCTTGTCAAGCGCGCTTACAATGACCGCACCCTCAGTAAGTTTTTTTTAATATTGTCATCGCATTGAGTAATCTTTTTGCTCATTTTATTTGTGTGTGTGTGTGTGCGTGTGTGCGTGTGTCATGAATACTCGCCGTCGCATCGCATCGCAACATCGCCTCTTTGTTCTCTTTACCGTCGTGTCATTCCAACGGTAATCGATCTCTCTTTTCCACGCCAGCTCAAACACTAATCTACCTTCCTCTCCCGTTGGTTGAACATTGAATAGTTCTGTTGTCCGTCGCCGCCTTTGTGTCGTTGGGTGTCAGTGTCTACGAGGATTATGGTCCTCACCACGACCCCGATGAGCCCCGTGTCGGCTGGATCGAGGGTACCGCCATCTTGGCCGCCGTCGCCGCCGTTGTCTTCACCAATGCCATTAACGATTACCAGAAGGAGCGCCAGTTCCGCAAGCTGAACGCCAAGAAGGACGACCGCTCTGTCAAGCTCCTCCGTGACGGTCGCGAGCAAGAGATCAATGTCAAGGATATTCAGGTCGGAGACATTATGCTCATGGAGCCCGGTGATCTTCTTGCTGTCGACGGTGTCATCCTCGTCAGCCATGGTATTACTTGTGACGAGTCTTCGGCCACCGGTGAATCGGATGCGTTGAAGAAAAACCCCGAGGACGACTGCTATGTCATCTCGGGCTCCAAGGTCCTCGACGGTTCCGGCAAGATGCTCGTTACTGCTGTTGGACCCAACTCGTTCTTTGGAAAGACCATGATGGCCATGCGTGAGGCTACCCCCGATGAGACCCCTCTTCAGGTCAAGCTCGACCTTCTTGCCGAGTCGATTGCCAAGCTTGGTATGGCTGCTGCTATTGCCATGTTGATCACCTTGGTCGTCAAGTACTTTGTCCAGAGCGCCTTGTCGAACGAGGACCTCCCTCCAGGCAACGTCATCTTCTCGGATATGGTCAAGATTGTCATTCAGGCCATTACCATTGTTGTCGTCGCCGTCCCTGAGGGTCTCCCTATGGCTGTGACTCTTGCCCTTGCCTATGCTACCACCCAGATGTTGCGCGATAACAACTTGGTCCGTGTCCTCTCTGCCTGCGAGACCATGGGTAACGCTACGACTGTCTGCTCTGACAAGACCGGAACATTGACCCAGAACAAGATGACCATCGTCGAGGGAACTCTTTCGTTGCAATCCTTCACCCGCATGGAAGATGCCAAGAAGTGGAAGACCGAGGTCAAGCCCGAGATTGCCCAGGCCATCTTCGAGGGCATTGCTCTCAATTCGTCAGCATTCGAGGACAAGGACGAGAAGGGCAACTTGACTTTTATCGGCTCCAAGACCGAGTCGGCTCTTTTGGGTTTCATCAAGTTCCTCGGTGCTTCGTACAGCAACATCCGTGGCGATAGCAACGTTGTCAAGGTGTACCCTTTCTCCTCCGCCAAGAAGACCATGTCCTGCGTTGTCGCTACCCCCAACGGCGAAGAGAAGTACCGTCTCCATGTCAAGGGTGCCTCTGAAATCGTCCTCCGTGCCTGTTCCCACTATGTTGATGCCGAAGGCCAGGTCAAGACCCTCGATGGCCCTGCCCGCGCCAAGTTTGAACAGATCATCAGCTCCTATGCCGACAAGGCCCTCCGTACCATCTGCCTCTCCTACCGTGATGTCTCCGAGAGCGAGTTCAAGAAGTTCAAGGACGACGAGGCCCCCAGCGTCAAGCTCACCTGTTTCGGAGTCGTCGGTATCCAGGATCCCCTCCGCCCCGGAGTTGTCGAGTCTGTTGCATCCTTTGCTGAGGCCGGTGTTACCGTCCGCATGATCACCGGTGACAACCTCCAGACTGCCAAGGCCATTGCCAAGAACGCAGGTATTCTCATGAAGGGCGGTCTTGCCATGACCGGCCCTGAGTTCAGAGCCCTTTCCAAGGAGGATCAGACCGAGGCTGTCAAGCGTCTCCAGGTTCTCGCCCGTTCCAGCCCCACTGACAAGACCATTGTTGTTCGCCGCCTTCAGGAGCTCGGAGAGGTCATTGCTGTCACTGGCGATGGTACCAACGACGGTCCTGCTCTCAAGATGGCCGATGTTGGATTCTCGATGGGTATCACCGGTACTGAGGTCGCTAAGGAGGCTTCGGCCATTGTTCTCATGGACGATAACTTCTCTTCGATCCTCAAGGCCCTTATGTGGGGCCGTGCCGTCAACGACTCTGTCCGCAAGTTCTTGCAGTTCCAGCTCACCGTCAACATCACCGCCGTCACCTTGTCCTTCATCTCTGCCGTCGCCTCTAAAGACAACCAGTCTGTCCTCTCTGCTGTCCAGCTTCTCTGGGTCAACTTGATCATGGATACCCTCGCCGCCCTCGCCCTCGCTACCGAGCCCCCAAGCCCCGATGTCCTCAAGCGTCAGCCCACCGACAAGAGCGCACCCCTGATCAACTTCAACATGTGGAAGATGATCATCGGCCAGGCCATCTTCCAGATCGTCCTCAACCTGTCCCTCCTCCACTATGGTGCCCAGCTCTTCCACCTCCAGTCGATCGACGAGGATGGCAACGTCTACGTCTCCCCCCACAACCTCAAGGTCCTCCGCACCATGATCTTCAACACCTTCGTCTTCCTCCAGGTCTTCAACGAGCTCAACTGCCGCCGCATCGACGACTCCTTCAACATCTTCAAGAACCTCCACAACAACAAGATCTTCCTCCTCGTCCAGGTCATCGTTATTGCTGGCCAGTACGTCATTGTCACCTTCGGTGGCCAGGCTTTCAAGACCGTTCCCTTGTCCGGTCACCAGTGGTTGATTACCCTCTTGATCGGTTCGCTCTCCCTCCCCGTTGGTCTTTTCTTGCGTCTCTTGCCCTCTTACTTGATCCCTGAATCGGTCCTCTCCCACAAGAGCGAGGAGCACCAGCCCCTGATGAGCGCCCCCAAGATGCGTTTCCAGGGCATCACCCGCTCCATCCAGAACCAGAACAGGTTCTTTGACAACGTTCGCAAGGGCAACAACCGTAAGGGCCACGGTAACTCGGCCGAAGACTTGTGGCAGAAGTATGGTTCCACCGACAAATCCAACGATGTTTAAAAAATAATAATCATCAGGACAGAAAAAATATGGGCGGCAGAGAGAGGTTTTTTTTTTTCTTTCTGCTTTTTGCCATCTCATTGTCAATGCATTTCTTGTAAATAAATATACACTTTTGAAAAAAAAAAAAAATGAAATGTAATATAACTTTTAGCTACTGGTCATCGTACTCGGAATATGAAGGGATACCCATCTGGTTGGCGACCTGCTCTTTTGTGCCCCACCGCTCCTCGCCTGCAATAAAGTCAGGCCGGACGACTTTAGACCGCATCAACAACCGATCGCCTTGGTCAATCCTGAAATATAATCCTTCGACCCGATCCTTCCTGGCGTCTGCTTCTCCTTCCTTACCCACCTCCTCAGATCCGCGCATCAACGACGACCTACTGTGCAGCTTCTCCAAAGTCCACGTAAGAGTCTTGTCCACATCACCATAGATACCCTCAGGGACTTCAACCATTGGATTCGCCACCAGGTGGGTCTTGCCGATCGCTCTGCGGAAGACAGCCCTCGAGACAAATGTGCCGGTTTTGACATCAAACAGGTCAAAGGGGATGAACCACGACTGAAGTCCCGTGTACTGGACAGAGTGTTTCGCGTACAACCACTCGCCATAGAGGACATAGGGCGCCATACCATCCTGGAGGACCTTGTTCTCGTCAACATATTCGTTCTGGTCATCGTCGTCCTCTTCCTCATCCTCCCAGTCCTGGTCGCCTTCATCCTCTGTAACAGCGCTCTTGGTCTCATCGCCATCATCGTCATCATCATCATCATCATCTGCGTCGCCGTTCGTTGCGCCATTATCGGGCGATCCTGGCTTCGAGTCGTCGTACCGCCAGCGGCCCTCACAGAGATAGAGGATTTCCTCCCGATGCTTCTCTAACCAACCGCCCAGCTTCTTGAACTGCCAATGATCATCCGGGTGCACAAAGTGGTTCCTATTCTGGATACGGATCTTGGGTGGTGGTCCCGATTCCGAGATGCCCGCGAACCCGTTCATGGTCTTGAAATGCAGGACACTGAACCCAATGTTGGCGCCGTCCATCTTCTCCTCAACCGTCAAGACCTGATGTGGCTTGGGTGCAAAGACCTGGTGAAGGGCGGAGGGTGGCAGCAGCAAATCGGATCGACTGATAGCCGCGCTCCGTCCTGTAGTCGATTCAGAGTCCTGCAACGCTGGGGCCGTTGTTGTCAAGAGCCGGTCAGTTCCTTGATTCCAGCTCTGTTGGATCGTCAAGGGGTCGAATAAGTGAGGCGTCCTTGGGAACTTTTGTAATGGCCGGTCAAAAGACGAAAGAGGTGTGGCGAATGACACTCCCTTGGGAGATCCTGGGTCGGTTGTCGGCAATTTGTCTGCGTCATCGCCGGCAGAGGTGGAGCCGACGGTGCCATTCCAGCTTCCCTTGGCAGGCTTCTTGACGACTGGTCGATATCCTGTCAGAGAGGCAAACTGGAGCGCCTTGGTGATGGAGACTGTCGATGCTGGAGTTGGTTCTGGCTCGGCTCTCGGATCGGACTTTTCAATAGTACCAGCCTTGTCTGCGTTCCTGCTGGCTCCGTTGCTGGCATCATCTCCAGACTCCGTGTCGTCATCTGTGTCCTCTTCGTCCTCATCATCCTGGCTGTGCTCCTCATCCTCATCCTCGCTCTCATCCTCCTCATCTTCTTCCTCCTCACCTTCCTCAACAATAGCCATGCCTTTAGAAGCGGGCAACTTGGAGACGGGAGAAGACGATCCCGAGTTGAAGTCGCCTCCTGCACTCTTACCGCCATTGGTCTTTCGCTGCAGGACCCTCGCAGGGATAAACGCCGGCCTAGCCTTGATAGGTGTATGCTCTCCTGCTGGTGTTGACCTGGCACTCGATCCTTGAATCTCCTTGGCGAACCCCTCCAAGACAGCCGACAGCTGATCGCTGCCCTCGTCGTCACCAATCTCGATCAGAGTCTTGCACCAGCTCCCTTCCTTGCCGAGGTTGGGAAACTCGAACGACTTTGCAAAGTCCCTGACAACCTTGGATCCCATACCCTGGGCGAGTGTTGGATGCCCCTCTCTCGAGTCCACTCGGGCAATACAGGCATCGACTCCCTGAGAGAACCAAACCATCGCGACATCATCCGGCTGGAAGGCGACCTCGTACCATTCCTTCCGCTCGGCCATCGTAGGGTTACATCGGTCGACAAAGATCGTCATGGGAAGGGCCTTCTTGGGTCCACGAACGGCAAGTGACTGCTGCTGGTGTCTCATACTTTGAGCCAAGAGTCTCTCACAAACGGCGCGAGATCCAAGTTCATCCTGCGAGATACGGACAAAATGCTCCGGGAACTCCTGCAACAGCGTTGTGACAAGGTGACTCTTGCCACTGCCAGGTAATCCCGCCAAGATGATGAGTTTGGGAGCAGAGACGAGTGGCGACCCAGAAACTTGATATGACGGCCGCTCCCTCGGCTGCTTTCCGTTTCCACCCTTGTTCTTCTTGGACTTTTGACCGCGCTGGAGTTGTCGGGCTCGGATGTTATGCTGAACGACCAAGTGGTGCTGATGGTGATGTGATCCGGGAATCTTGATAATCTTGTCCGCCGGCGGTGGGGTGAATGTCTGTGGTTCCTCCTGTGGCAACTTGCGCGATCCCTTCTTGCCCTTCTTGCCAGCCTTTCTTCCCTTACCACCAAAGTCGTCGTCGGAAAAGTCATCGCCTTCCTCCCCCTCAGTTGGTGGTGGTGGCGGTGGTGGATTGTGTTGGTGTGACTTTGAGGTTGAGTCCTTCTTCTTTTCCTTCTTGTGGGACTTGAGCCGTTCAGATCCGTCCATGGAAGATGCTGTTGTGCTCGATGATGTGGTGTGGGTGAATTCGGCCATTGTTGCTGGTGCGCTGGCGCGTGCCTTGGACTGGGCCGCCTTCGATGATGATCGCTTCCAAAGCATGTCGCCGTAAGCCTTCAGAGCCTTCTCCTGCTCGACACTCTCAATGCTGCCCGGTCGAATCTCCCGGAGATGTGCAATCGCGTCCTTGGCTGTCATCATGGGCTCGTACCGATTCAAACAATCGGCGCGCTTGACCACTCGGAAGACACCGCCGTCCACGCGCTCAAAGCGAGTATTCTCTGAATGATCGTCCTCATCGCCGCCATTGAGTTCGTCCTCGTGGTCGTCAGAAATAGAGTGGCATGGTGTTGGAAGTGTTGAGGCAACGGTAGTTGGATCACTATGACCCTTCTTGAACAGGTCTAGGTCGAAGCGGTGGACGTTGATTTCCCGAAGGCAAGCTGCACAATATCCCCGTGTCTCATGACCAATGAGCCCAAATCGGATGAGATGAGCTGCCAATACAATCCCCGCTCGACCCTTGCCGCCTCCACAGTGAATCAGAGTTGCCCGCCGATGTGGAGGAGATGCCAGTCCAGTAATAGATCTCTCGCCATGATCCTCGCTGTCTGCATCATTCGAGTCGTTATCGTTGTCGTAGGCACGTTGACCCTCCATCGCTGCCACATCTCCTGCGCGGAGACACCACCCCATCAGGACCTCGAACACTTCTGGGAATGCTGGCGCCTTTCGGTTCTCTATTGGTACAAAGGCATTCTGGATCCGCTTCGGCGTCCGGTCCTCGCGACGAAACCAGCTGGGGGAAAGAGGCGACTCTCTGATTAACGTGATGACGAGCCTGAACCCTGCCTGCTCCAATGCATCGATGTCCAACTCGTTCCTGGGAATCGAGCATCCTGCGACGGTTGAAGAACTTGGGTCCAAGAAGGAAAAGAACCGAGGCATACTGTGGGGCGCTCGCTTTTGAGGCAACATTGTTTGCCAGGTAGAGGTGGCCTGGTTGCCCAAAAGTGTCGACTGCTGAACCAAAAGTTCTTGTTCCTGAATCTCATAACCAACTGCAGCACGTCGAGAGGTCATAAGGGAAGAGAGTGTAGCAAAGACGATGGCGAGGAATTGATGGTAAAGGTACTTCTGATCCCATCCTAGAGATCCGTATAACCGTTGAGGGGGTCCGAGAGAAGTAAGGGTATCTTGGCCAGAGGGGAGGAGGTCGAGCCGGATGTTGATGTGGCGTGAGAGATAGCAGAGGGCGGTCAGGACATAGGTCTGGAGCGGGGTAATCGTGTCCTCGCTGATGGTAATCCTCTCCTGCAGGTTCAGGTTTTCGTCGTCGTTGCCAGTAGTGGTTAACAATGGGAACACGAGGTCAATTGGTTCCTCTGCCTGCACGTCGAGTCCAAGCTCTTGTTCCAGATCGAGACCGTTGACCAGGGCCATCAGTGAGTCGGGTGTCTCAGTACTCAAGAGGGTCGTGTCCAAGAGAGCAGACCAGAAGAGAACACTCGTCTCGAAAAAGTCGGCATCCTTAAAAGCTGCAGCGGCTCTTGCTAATATCAAGTCCATCGAGAGACTGGAAGAGTCCTGGCTGTCGGACATGGCTCACAGTTGTGTTCCTTGTTGTATCTGGAGAAGGAGTGGTTCGTTTAAGTGAGATATGGACAGGTGAGGGTAGGCAACGAGGGGGTAGATTGTTGCTCCTCTTTTTCTTTTGTTCTAGGGGTGTTCAAAAGAAAATAATAACAACTGCGTTAGATAACATTGCTTTTCTTTGAACCTCATGACATGTTTTTCTTTATAGAATTGGTAAGAAATAGGAGGAAAGAAGACCTATGACCCATGGGCTGCTGCATGGTGTGTGCTTTTATTATTTTCTCCATCAGCTCACCTTGCTTGTATGCTGAAACCACAAGTGAGACCCAGTGCAGATGCAGATGGAAACAAGGAAGGAGGACTGAGGTGGATGATGGTGCCGGGGCCCTTGTTTGTTGAGACGTTTCTCCAGATGAGGACAGGGAGAGGGGTCCGACTCGAGCTGATTTGCAATCACTTGGTTTGAGTTTGAGTGTGAGAGAGGAAGAAAGGAAGGAAGGAAGGTGGGAAAAGAAAAAAAAAACTGTGGGCTTGAAGAAACGCGATTGGCCGCAGTCACATCGGCAAATACATGTTGAGGCACAGCAAGCAGGCAATTTGTCCATTGGAGTGCGCAACAATAACACGAAGTTACAGTGCTCCTGAAAGTCAAAGTTCATGGGGTTCATACTATTCTTTAAAGACGTACTATCCTGCAACGATCCTCAGAGTCGGGTAAGCTTGGTTGGAATGCCTGTGTGTCTTTTTGATCAATTGGTCCTAACGTTTGTTTTCTACTCTACCAGACATTGTCGATAGTCCTAGGAAGAGCAAATCGACGAAAGTGTTGGGTGTCAGGAAGTGGAAGGACTGACCCTTTCTTGCCTGCTCTTTCGACATTCTTTTCAAGCAACAAAGGACACTTCAACCCACTTGACTTAACAATATATGTGCAAAAAGATGCTGCGAAAAACGGGAATGACAGAGGAAGCCCACAATGCCTTCCACGAAGCAGTGAAAGAGGCCCGTGTTACACCGCTGAGAAAACTGTTCATGCATGGACTCGACTATCTCGACACCACTACAACCCGTCATGCATTGGGAGCGGATCAGACATCAAGCTACGTCCTTCCAATGTTCGCGTGCATTATGCCCAAACTGGACAAAGCAAGGATTGCATAGTAAGATGGGCAATCAAGTTCTCAAAGAACAGGATAGGAAAGATGGTCATTTTGCACAAGCAGTAACCGCTCTTCTTTTCCTGTAGCACTGTAATAACACCAACAACGGGATAGCTATTTGTTCGACTTTGCAAAGACCTTGGTGCGTCTCCAAAGCATCCGGACCTTATTCTCAAGTACAAGGACAAGACATATATTAGGTCTGGCGAGGGGTCCCTCACAAAGGAGTTTGGCAAAGACCAGGGGGATCTCTGTTGACTTGCGATCTGGTCGAAGCGGGCAATGGATCATTTGGTCGCGACATACGAAGACATGGAAGATCTGGACGTTGTTTTCTTCCAGGTTGTATCGTCGATTTTCAAGGTCTACAAAATGCGTCGCATTGGCAAGGTTGGTATTGCAGTGGAGTTGGCGAAGCTGGATATAGTCCAGGACCTAGAAGAGTTGCTTGCATTTGAGGACCAGGTTGAGTCGTGGCTGCTACTGGAGAGCAGGTTCCTGTGATGAATACGGCGGTTGTCAGAGACGACCTGTCAACACCGAGAATGTCGCCTCTGTAATATATTATTCCGCCTGCCTTTGTTACATGATGCGGCTCTATTTATTTCAAGAATGCTGCACTCTTACTTTGTACTCACTTTCCCACTCTCCCTATTCTCCCTACTTTCACTTCCTTCCCACTTTACTCATCGCTCCTCTCTCCTTTCTTTCATTCTCCCTCTCCGCATCACACAACCACCCACTCGCATCCCTCCCTCCCTCCATCGACACACTCCTTCACCCACACGCACACACACACACAATCATACATTCACCTCAACTGATGAACCAGGCCTCATTCCCCATCGGACTGGGGCTCACCGCCGCTGCCCATGTCTACCTCTCCAACCTCTGCTGGCGCAAGACAGCAAAGTGCCAACGTCGCTACCTGTCACACCACCTAGGCTACAAGACACATATACGCAGCTTCGCTCTTCACGATCGGGAAACCCTCTCATCTTTGATTAAACTACTCGACGCCAACATCATAAACATCGACCAACTCCTGGAGTACCCCGGCAGACCCCCGAAATCCGAACTGCGCACCATCTCTGTCGGTAAGGACTTCGCCCTCTCCTTTCTCTTTTGTTCTTTCTCGGTTGTTTGTGTGGGGCTCTGTCGCTTGTTCTTGTATGTGCTTTTATAAACTGACGTGGAGATTGTCTTATTAGAGGAGTTGAAGCATTGGATGGAGTCGTACTCGTTGTTCAAGAGTGAGAGAGGCAACATGATCAAGAGTGTTGCCAAGGAGATGATATATACAGACGACCGATACGTCGATCTGCGAACTAACCAAGTCTGCACCTACCTGTAAGTGTGTCATCATCCATTTCTCTTGTTCACCGCCACCAAAACCAGAAATGTTTCTTTTTTAAGCTGCTCACCTTTCCCTCCTTCCACACGAAACATATTTACGACAATACAATAGTCTGAGCACCGTCATTGCCCTTCGATATGTTCTTTCGACAGAACCAGCAGCACGCTTCATGATCAAGCACCTCCCCCGCCTCTACAGATTCGGTTCCTGGATCGCCCAGCTTCTTGGCATCAACTCTTCTGCTGCACTTCCGCCCACCCAGATCAACTCTTCTCGCGGTAACACTTGGGGCTCACTCTTCTTCCAACTCGCGCCAACTCTCTTCCTCTCTGGGATCCACTTTATCGCAGGTCTTCGGTGCCAATGGGTCATCCGACGCATCCAGCAAGACAGAGAACGCCAGCTGCTATTCGTTAAGCGGGTATGTTTCGTATCAATGTTCCTGAGCCTTCGACACTCACGGCTGAAATGGCTGCTCCAGATGAGTGAGGCTTGTGAAGAGTTTCAAAAAAAACGCGAGGCCTCTGGAGACTACTCAGAGGTGGACCAGGCCGAAATCGATGCAGCTAGACGGCCTAGTCGCGGCCCCCAGCGTCCCAGCACCCACAACCAGCTGAGAGTCCTTGCAGAGGATCCCAAGAGCCCTGTGTACGCTTTACTGAACGATCCACACGACGGTTTCCTGTTCGAGTACATAGCATACAGCACCAGAAACAGCTCCAGCTATCCTTCGCCGCTCCAGACACGAGAATATTCGTTTGGTCCCGATCTCGAGCGAATGGATACGGCTCAATACCTGGGTGACCCTCGCGAGAGGTTGCGCATCATGAAGCTGGAGTACATGGCCATGAAGACTGAATTGGTGCTGTTCAATGAGCTCTTTGTTATCCCCAAGAAGAGCGACTAGAATCTGTTTACGATCTCTTGTCGCCCTTGGATTGTACACTATCATTTGGACTTTTACTTGTACGAATACTAATAAAATAAAATGTCATTGTCAATACCAGAATTGTATGGAAGGTTTCTTTATTGGAAAATATCTGTAACACAGAGGTACGTGTGTATTCTTCCTAGGAGAAAGTGAAAGATCTAAGAACGAAGGCTAAGGGCACGCATCAAAGAGTTCCCGGACGTTGCACTAGGTCCTTGTGCAGTCTTTGGAGACAGCGGAGGCGAGTAGAGTCCGAGAGCTGGGTTAGCACGTTCAGTGCTTGGCGAGAGCGCGTAGTGTTGATGCAACGGTTTTGTGGTCGGCGAGGCGGTGAAGATATCTTGAAGGGCCATGGTGTTTCGCTTCTTAGTTGATGGCGAGGTAGGAGAGAGAACAGCCTTGGGTGAGACGACGGCTTGTCTTGCAGGGACAGCAGGGACGGCGGCGACTGGGGATATGGAGGCGGGTGGGGATGGCGCCTGAGAGTCTTGAATGGCAGCCGAGGATGTATCGATCGACAGTTTAGCAGCAGCAGAAGCAGCAGTGATAGGAACGACGGGAACGGCGGGAACTTTGCCCACACCAGCAGCCTTATTCTCCTTCTCCTTCAAATGTCTCCACCACCCAACCGTCGACACGACCGCGCCAGCAGCCTGGAACTTCCTCCTCAACGTCTTGACGCCCATCTTGATATCCTCAATCTCATTATTCCCAATCCCTCCCGCAGTAGGGCGTCTCTGAAGCCCACTCTCGGTGAACAAATGTGGCAGACCGGGTTTCCCCTGGAGACGGAGGATGTTGTCCTCGATGACGTACATGCGTCTGGCTTTTGCTTGGACATTCTTGTGGAGCTCTTGGGTTTCTGCAAAGAGGGCTTGGGTGGCTTGGGTGAAAGCTTGGAGGCGGGTGGAGAGGATCTCGAGACGGGATTCGAGAAGGGCTTCGAGTTCTAGTTCTGCGGCTGTGAGGTCTTTCATGGTAGTGTGGGTGGGGTTGGTTGGTGTTGGTGTTGATGGGTGGGAGGTGTTGTAGTATGTTGTTAAGAATGCTTGTTGTTTGCGTTTGGTCGTTAAATTCGTGAATAGTCCCGGGGAAAAGTGTTATTGCTGGAACTAGGGATAGTTTGTTGAGAAGGAAGTGTGAATTGAATAAGGATGGGCTGAAGCGAAGGGGAGAGAAAAAAACGATTGCAGAACAAGAAAGAAGAGGACGCGGGGGTATTTATGTTTATTACGAAAACATACCCGCAAAAGTGCAAAAGGTACGACGGGGTTAATGGTGTCATTGCGATCACACTGTCCTACAATGGTGACCTTTTGTTGGAGAGAGGGGGGTTAGGGAGTGGTCAGGCTTGTCGAAGGGGGGAGGGACCGGTCAGATAGTCAGGCACAGATGCAAACAGGCAGACAGGTGCAGACGAAAAAGTGACACATGAGAGTAGTAGCATTTCATGAAAATAGGGGCAGTGTGTGCATGTGCTGATATTTTACTTAGATGCAGGTCAACAGGTGCAAAAATGTCTCCTGAGTGTCCTATCATCCCTACAACAGCTTTTCTCTTTCGTGAGGGGATCATCATCATCAACAGCAACCCTTGCACGCAGGCACCGGTCCACCATGAGCACGAGCGAGGAATGGTCTTTGTTCGTTGGTCTCGATTCATCCATTTCTTTTAAAGATACAACGACGCTTTAGTGAAGGTTGCGCCACCAACCTTAAGATGTTTCTTCCTGAGGACATTTTTCTTCCTGGGGACATGTTTCTTCCTGTGCTTGCCCTATTGGTTTGGCTCTTTTTGTCAACTCTTGCTGCCCTTGACTCAGCCTCTCGTGGATCTTTTTTTTTTCCTTTCCCCCACTTCTCCTCTCTACATGCGCTTTTCCATTCCTCTTCATCGCTTCCTCCCTGCTGCAACCAAACACAAAAAAATGTCGCAATCACCAACTCGATCATTCACCACAAATCCTGCCTATGCTGCCAACGACGCATGGACCACCTACCGTGGACCTCAGCAAAAGGCCACTTACACCACTCCCACAACCACCTACAGAACAACCCAGAACCCTGTCTACTACAACGCCTCAACAAAGACCTTCTACCCCTCGACCCCAATCCGCTCCATCACCCCCACCTATACCCCAATCGCCCTCCAGGACCCTATCACCGTGACCAAGCCCCGCACCCTCCTCGTCGTCCTGGACCTTAACGGCACTTTGTTCTACCGTGCAAAGAACAACAAGCGCAATGTCACCCCTCGCCCTTACCTGCAAGCCTTTCTAGATTTCATCTTTGAGCACTGCAAGGTCATGGTCTGGTCCAGTGCCCAGCCCCACAGTGTCGATGCAATGTTGAGCTGTGGTTTTGGAAACCGTATTTCGAAACTCGAACGTGTCTGGACCCGCAATCATTTCCGACTGTCCGAACATGATTACAACAAGAAGGTTTTGACCATCAAGGATTTGGAGTTCATTTGGGACGCCATCAAGGCTGAGAAGACCGGCGCCGCAGCAAAAGGAACTTCTACCGCTGCGGCGACTGTTGTCAATAGTAAGAAAGCCATGGAGGATCAGCCCGAAGTTTTCGACCAGACCAACACTGTCCTAATTGATGACTCGTTTGACAAGGTCCAATTACAACCCCACAACGGAGTCCAGCTCCTGGACTTTGACGAAGATCTGGCCAGGGCTGGGACCGACTGTGAGTTGCTCAAGGTCAGAAGGTACCTCGAGAAGCTGATCTACCAGAAGAACGTTAGCGCTTACATGCGTGTCCATCCCTTCAATTCCAACGCTCCTCTCCACGAAGGTAACACCTGTCTTTTCTTCTTGACTCCTTATTTCTTCGCTACGAGACTTTTCTTGCTAATCAATTTGACTCTCTTTTCTCTCCCCCTAATTAATTACATAAACTCTTTGTAGATGATGATGATGTGGCCAAGAAGAACAACGACACCATGAACGCAAAAGATGTCGACGAATTGGCCGACCTCGCCAGCCGCCTCGAGAAGAGCAGTATTTGATTATGTTGTTTCCTCGAGTATTTTCCACTGCCAAGGCAAAAAAGAACCCAGCCCTCCATACTTCGCCATTCAAGCACCATCTCATCCAAATAAACTCGTCATCCGTTTTGTGGTTATGCGTCGATGTTATCTTTGTTTGTTTATGCGCATCGGGACTTGTTTTATTTTAAGAATCTGCAGACACAGCTGCTGCAGTTAGCGCATTGCTGTCCTGCAATGCCTCATCCTTGTTCCCACTCTCCCTGTTCGCACCCAAGTACTCGCGCTCAACCTTCTCAATCAACCCATCCGTACTCTCCTTCAACACATCAACCGCATTTAACCAAGTCTCTAACTCCTTCTCCTCGCCATACACTACATTCTTGAACGGTACATGAGACGATGCAATCCCGGCCTTGGTCAAGTAATGAAACTGTCGCCTCAGTCCCGACTGGATCTCGTTGACCAAGGTCGCGTACCCGGCCGTGAGGACTTCAAACTGTTTGGATTTTTCTTCAGCGTAGGTGTTGATCATGTCTGGGCCTTTGGTGCTGTCGACGCTGGCATCCATAAGGATCTGGCCCGCGTTCTCGGGATCGTCTTCGCCGCTCATGATTTGGATCGCTTGACCAGCCGTCTCCAGCAGCTGGATGATTCTCTATTAGAGGCGAGGGTAATGCAAAGTTAGCAATCAACTCGTACACGTGCCATATTCCCTATTATTTTCTTCCACGCTACGCCAGTGCGGACAAAAAGAAAAAAAAAAAAAAAAAGTGTCATACCCGCTCAAGACCACGTAGCTCGAGGATCCTGGTAGCGCTCGCCTGATTATCATTCATGGCGCTATCACCATCATTGCTTCCCCCCTGAGAACTCCTATCCGTCTGCGAGTAATCCTCGTAAGGGTGGTAGATGTATCCGTCGTTAACAGTTTTCTTTCTCCGTGGTGCCTTGGTCAGTTGTTGGTGTTGTTGTGATTCTGGAACTTGTGATGCCGGTGCTGATGTGGATGTTACTGTTGGGACTGATGAGTGGAAGTTGCTTGGTGGACTGGCCATGTCCGTGTCAGTTGGTTCGAGGTTCTCCATGCTGTTTGTGTGTTCTGTTTGTCTTCCTGTTTTCCGGGTCGATTGGCTGCTTCGTGATGTCAAAAACAAGAACGCAGCAAACGGCCAGTTAATAAAGAGCGCGAGAAACCAAGGGTAAGTACCCTTAAGAATATTTATATGCGTATGATCAGACGCGCCATTCTGAAAAAGGCAGCAGCCACTCGTACAAAAACTTGTAGTCAGCGTCTCTCAGACAACGCCGGCGAAGAAGCACAGGGATAGGCGGGAGGGACAAAGCACGTTGTGAATGTGAGGAGGAGGACGAGGATAACAGTCTCATACTGCATCCACAGCAGTTTGAGGGACAATGAGCTACTCACCTACGTATGAATTGCCTTTGGGCGAAGTGCGAGAGGGAGCCAAGCCACGCGCGTATCGAAATAAAAGAACACGGTTGCACGTTCATTCTGTTGTTTCTTACTCTTTATCCTTCTCCACACTTTATCATCCTTGACACAACCTCCTATTCACACAATACTATGAAGATCACTTACGTCCTCGCAGGACTTTTGTCCTTGACCGCTGCCTCTCAGGCAGAGTTGATGCGGTAAGGCAACCTACCACTCTTCTTCACTGCAGCAACCAACGCTCACAGAGACAGCAACGACTCTACTTAACCACCACTTGCCCAAATCACAATCAGACATTGTAATCTCATCAACACCCACAAAAAAGTAATCCTTGAAATCCTGTTCATCCTCTCAACCTCCATACATACATATCCATGCAACTGCTAGAGTCAACCTTAAGAAGGCAGACATCACTCCAGCAGAGCAGATGCTGGCCTACTCCGAGACTGGCTCCTACATGGCCCAAAAGTACTTTGGATCCGTCCACCGCAAGATGAAAACCGACGAGGCCAACCAGATCATTGGTCTCGATGCGAATGGAAAGCCCACCTACGGTGTCCCTCTCTCCAACTATATGAATGCCCAGGTAATCCCTCACAATAATAACAAGAACAACAACATAGTGCGACTAGTTCTCCTGGGCCTGTGAACAAGCGACACACTACTCGCTCTCATGCTCTAATAATGAACGAGATCTCTCTACTTACACCTCCATTACCTTGAGTTGTGAGCGTTGGGAGTTCTTGGCAAAGCAAAGACATACCCGGGAGATCGGGAGAGTGGGGAGAGACCAAATGACGAAGTGGTCAATTGTTCCACAATGCGCGCCTTTTGTTCTGCAAATTGCAGTTTGACTTACATATTTGTTCATATGCATTCCCGCTCGGACCGACTAACAGAAAAAAAAACAACGGCAGAAAAAAAAACGGCTTTAAGGAGAGAGTGTCGCGCAACTAAATTAACAAACAACCCGCGCTGCAAGGAGAGGAGAGGGTGAGGCACCCGAGACACAACAAAAGGCTAACAATATTCTTTCATATTCAACCTTCAAAATGACAATAGTACTATGGAGAGGTTAATGTCGGAACACCTCCTCAGACATTCTCAGTCGTCTTTGACACGGGTTCGTCCAACTTTTGGGTTCCTTCGACCCATTGCAACTCGATCGCCTGTTTCCTGCACCGCCGATTTGATTCCGAAAAGTCAACCACCTTCCGCCCCAATGGAACCCAGTTTGCGATCCAGTACGGCAGCGGATCGCTCGAAGGTATCATCAGCAACGACGTTGTCGAGGTCGGTGGAGCCGTCATCAAGGGCCAGGACTTTGGCGAGTCAGTCAAGGAGCCTGGTCTGGCGTTTGCCTTTGGCAAGTTTGATGGTATCTTTGGTCTGGGCTACGACACCATCTCTGTCCTGGGCGTCGTTCCTCCATTCTACAGCCTGGTCAACCAAAAGCTGATCGATGAGGCCGTCTTTGGGTTCTACTTGGCTCAGGCTGAGGGTTCCACCGGCGGCCAGATGACCCTTGGAGGTGTCGACTCGAACCATTTCACAGGTGACCTGCAGTGGCACAACGTCCGTCGCAAGGGATACTGGGAGATCGACCTGTCCAAGATCCAGCTCGGCGACGAGGAGGTTGAGATGAACGCCGGCGCTGTCATTGACACCGGCTCGTCCTTGATTGTCCTGGCCACCGCGATGGCCGAGATGATCAATAAGGAGATAGGTGCCAAGAAGAACTATGCGGGCCAGTACACGATCGAGTGTGAGAAGGTCCCCTCGCTGCCCGAGTTCTCGTTCTTCTTTGGATCGACAAAGTACACCCTCCAGGGTTCTGACTATGTCCTCAATGCTGGAGGATCGTGTATCTCTGGCTTTATGGGCATGGATTTCCCCGAATCCCTGGGCGATCTCTGGATTGTCGGAGATGTCTTCTTGCGCAAGTACTACAGCGTCTATGACCTAGGCAAGAACCGCGTCGGCTTTGCTCCCTCCAAGTAGAATCTGAGCCTTATCCACTTTTTTGCTCGATTACTCCCTTTTTCTTTGTCCTCCTTTTCTAATCCTCAATAGTTTACATAACTGTGCTTTGTGAAGAATAAACAAGAATATTTGTTTACACCCTTCCATTCCATTTGCGCGATCGTCTCAAAAGAAGCGCCGCGTATGTACAGTCTTCGGCAGCGCATCCCGATGCGATCTCACCCTTCCCTCCTGTCCAACAGTGCTCTTTACTAAATTTGGTGGCGACCCTCCTTTCCTTTCCTTTTAGACCCTGCTTCGTTTGCCTTCTTTTCTTGTCTTCTTTTCTTTTCTCACACACTTATTCTTCAAACCCCCCCCCATCCTTCTTACACACAAGATACATGAAGTCAACTCTCTTGGCAGTAGGACTTTTGTCCCTGGCTGTAGTCACTCAAGCTGAACTGATGCGGTAAAATGCAATGAACGGGCAAGCAAAGCATTCGCGTTGCTCTTCTTCGTATACCTGTTTTCTTTTTGCCGTTTTATTGCTAATCATATACCCTCTCTTGATGTGTTACTATGATAGGTTCAAGCTTCAACGAACAAACGCTGGATATTCACGCTCATCCTTCCAGGAATACGACGACCTCGCACAGAAAGAGTTTGGAAAGTTATCTCGGTCTCACAACCACCACCGCAACAACAGACAGTTCAGTCATCTTGGAGGGCACGACTTGGTAACAACAATATGTCATTGCAGGGGGGGGGGGTTCGCTATCCATCCGCCAATGATTTTCTTTTCGCATGTACATATCAACTAACTTTTCCCCCATTGTCATACATATACACACATGGACGATAGTACACGATGGACATAAGTCTGGGGTCCCCAGGACATATATTCAATGTCCAGATCGCAACAGGGACATCCAACCTCTGGGTACCCTCCTCCAAATGCTCTTCGCCGACTTGCAGGCTCCACCCGCAGTTCAATTCCTCGACCTCCTGGAGTTTTCATCCTTTAGGGGATCGTTTCAATATCCCGACCTCCAACCCTTATAACCACCACTCCTGTGAACAGCGAGGAGAAGGAGAATTGTCGGGAACGGTGGGAGAGGACACGTTGTCGATTGGCGGTGGAGTGATCGAGATCTTGGGTCAGTCGTTTGGAGAAGTTGTACAGGAACATGGAGGCGGGTTGAAATCTGCATTGCGTGATGACCAAGTGGATGGAGTTCTGGGCTTGGGGTTTGATGCTCGCGCGGCGACGGGGCGACCGTTTTTGTTGAATTTGGTTGATCAGGATCTTTTACAGCGTGCGGTCTTTGGCGTCTACCTCAGTCGACACGACAACGATGAGGAGGAGGGCGATGATGAGGGTACTATAGGAGGAAGTCAATTGACGCTGGGAGGATTGGACCCGGCCCACCGACTTGTTGATATCCAATGGCACGAGGTGACTCGTACGGCACAGGGGCAATGGGCGATCGAGCTGACGGCGTTTGCGTTACGACGGGAGGCCTTTGAAATTGATGGTCAGGCCGTTATCGACACTGGGTTTCCGTACATCGCGCTAACGCGTTACCAGGCCGAGATGATCAACCTCCAGATTGGGGCGTCCGAGACTTCACCGGGTAGTGGAGTGTATGAGTTGCCCTGTAGGAATGTTCCGACACTGTTCGATTTCATTATCTTGTTTGGGTTGGAGGAGTATCAGCTCAAGGGTCATGAGTATGTCCTTCGACCCACCAGCAAGGATGATGGAAGGAGTGGCGTTGAAGGGTTGAGGAGGACGAGGAAGGAAATGTGCCAGAGCGCGATTATGGGAATGGACTTTTCGAAAGAGTCGGGGGTCATTGCGGTGTTCGGACAGGTGTTTATGAGAAAGTACTACAGCACATATGATCTTGAGGACCACAAAATCGGTTTTGCTTTGGCTAGTTGAGCGCGCCCTTTTGTTGATGTTTAGAGAGAAATATATAGGGAGGTTTTAATTACGAAGATAATAATGAAAGTATGTGGATGGAGTCAAATGCAGAAGAATGGAGGGAAGAGGGAATGATGTAATGGGTGATAAAGTGAAACGTCGACGAAAAAAAAAAAAAGGACTTTCTTACAACTCTCCGCGATGGTCAGAGCTGATACTATTACGGTGATGTGAGTGAGACATGCGACGGGAAGACGTGGGTTCAACACCCGAAGAAGCTGCAGTCAATCTGGCAGGGTTCTCAGCGAACTGATCGGGTATGACCTTGTCCACCCCAATGTTGTCCTTCTTCTCATCGACCTTGGGCGACGCAGGAGCAGAGGGAGCAGGCAAGGTCTCCTCCGAGGTACGAGTACGACGAGCCCCAGTTCCATGCTCAGCATGCTCAAGGGGGTCCTGACCCTTCAACTTGCGGATCAAACGGACCAGCCAAGGAGGGAGAACACCCTCACCCTGAGGACCCATCCTGAAGGGCATGACGGGGTCCTTCTCATTCTTGTTGGGCGGGACCAGACGACCTCCAGAGAGCTTCTCGACAATGTAGACGGTTCCGTTGATGACCACCGCAGCCAGGAGTCCTCCGAGAAGACCGTAGGCAATGTTGTAGGTCAGGGGCATCATGGCCAGGGTCAGGAATGCAGGGATCGAGTCGCCAATGTAGTTGAAGTTGATCTCAGTCACCGACTTGGTCATCAATGAGCCGACAAAAATCAGAGCGGGGCCAGTGGCCCAGGGAGGGATGGCTGAGAAGATGGGCGAGAAGAAGAGGGAGATGAAGAAGCAGACACCTGTTGTGACAGCCGTCAATCCTGTGCGACCACCCTCGGTAATACCAGCGCCTGACTCAACAAAGGCAGTAACATCCGAGGTACCAAAGACTGCGCCCAGGGAGACACAGAGGGCATCGGTGATGAAGGCAGGAGTCGAGCCCTCAAAGTCACCCGTCTTGGGATCCATGAATCCTGCAAATTGCGCCATTGAGAACATGGTGCCGGTGGTGTCCAGAATATCGACGTATAGGAAGGTGATCAGCGCCAGCCAGAACTCTCCTGTATTCAGCTGAAAGTCCATGACAGCCCAGGTCTTTTGGATCCTATGGAAGCTGACGACCTGCTTGAAGTAGCTGAAACGACTGTCGCCCACCGCGTCATTAGGGAAGTAAGTAACCGAGGTGCCACGGAACCAAGAGACGACAGCGACAAAGAGAATACCAATCAAGATCGCACCCTTGACCTTATAGAGGACCAAGATGGAGATGATAAAGAGTCCCAAAACGCCCATCCAAGTCCGGGGGGATTCCATCCTTCCAGCAAGACAGGCTCCCGAGGCATCAAGGTAATTACTGTCGCAGCCCCCAAGACCGACCAGCGTGGCAGGGTCGGATCGAATGAGACCGATTCCAGCAGAGGATTGCATGCCGATGAAGCAGAGGTAGAGACCAATACCAACTCCTGTGGCAACCTTGATGTTGCGGGGGATGGAACGGGCGAGCCATTGACGGAGACCCAGGATTGAGAGGACAAGGAAGACGAGACCTTCGATGAAGACGGCGGCCAGGGCGACTCCGTAGCTGATCTTACCGCTTCCAAACTTGCCGACAACCGTGTATGTAAAGTATGCGTTGATTCCCATTCTATTTGTTGTAACAAACAATCAAAAGTTAATGTTTGTGATGTCATGAAGATCTTCGCAAAACAAACAGGTGTAATGCTGATAACATCATATCAAACTTACCCAGGGGCCATGCCAAGAGGGAGGTTAGAGAAGATACCAATAGCAGTTGAGGCAATGCAAGCCATGGCAGCAGTGGCAACAATGAGATCCTTGCGCACAATATCAATACAAGAAGTGTACTCTTGGTTGCTGCTGCAGTAAGCAATCATGTCTCCCGCTCCAACAGCAGGGGCAGATCCATCACCAGTGGCACCAGTCGCCGCTCCGCCCTTGGTTGGGTCCAGGGGATCATAGTCGCAGACACAGGGTCCGCCAGTATCCGAGATGATGAGCGAGTTGACCGAAATGATGTAGGCCATGGTGACAAAGGTCGCAAAGCCGGCACGGAGCTCGGTCGAGAAGGTTGTGCCAGCGCGGGGGCGAGGGTGTGACGAGCCCTCGAGCATGAACCATTTTCCGACGAAGGACTGGGCGACCGTCGTGTTGAGTCTAGAGACGAAACTGGCCATCGCTACTGTTTGTTGTATGGGTCCGGTTCCTTGTTTGTTGATTGTTGAATGGGTATCCTTGTCGTGAAAAAAGTTTGCTGAAGGGTTGAGAATTGGGAGTGACCCGAAGGAAAAGAAGGGCAAGAGCAAAAGGAAGCGAAGAAAAAAAAAAGAAGTGAGAACTTGTCTGCAGTATTTATGACCAAGAGCGGGCGTAAAAAGTTTTTTAGCGTGGGTTGCTAGTTGTTTACCTTTGTCCAAGATAAGTTGTCTCTGAGAGTGTTGAGTGGCCATGATTCACACCACGCGTGGGACTCCGCCCAGCATCGAAAGTGGATGACCCTTCGATCTGTTGCATACATTTGTTTTGGAATCTAGAGACATCGGCAGGAAGGAAGGGAACGAAGGGAAGGATAAGAGGATGCTTGAATAGAGTTGTAGTTCCGTGCTGTTGTTGTTATTTGTTGTTTGTGAGCCATGTTCTCGTTTCACGTTCTCGGAAGCAAGGAGTATAGCGATCAGAAGAAGAGGATGAGGAAAGGAAAAGCGGAAGGAACAGGGAAAGCTGCGATCGAACTCTACAGAAAAGGTTCTTTCTTTCCTGGGGCTTTCTCTTCTCTGGCTCCTTCAGCTGTTTTTCCCTTTGTTATGCGGGGGGAAAGGGGTCTGGACTTTCTGGTTGCTGAGACACAATCTCGATCTCGCGTGTCAAGGCGTCCAAGAGGCTGCCGGCTTCATTATGACATCGTGTTGGTTATCTACGAGGTACATAGGAATGAAGACGCGTTAAGAAAAGGTATATCGGTATTGAAGGAACGCGCTCACTTCCCTTCCGGGACGTGTCCAAAGTCCAACCTCATATCATTCTGTGGCACCTGACCTGAATGGCCTTTTTTTTCCCACCATCACTACCTCTTCAGTACCTCTTCTCTTCGAATCGCTCTTCTTCTTCTTCTCTTCTCTTCTCAACCGCTTCTCTCATTCACTCCTCTTTTTCTTCACCCGCAACAACACAATCACTCTCACCCACCACCACCAACAACTTCGCACAACAACAAAAATGATTGCACTTCCCATCAACTTTGGCAAATGGATTGAGGAGCACGAGGACAAGCTCCAGCCCCCCGTCAACAACTACCTCGTCCAGCGCGGTGACTTTATCATCATGGCCGTCGGAGGCCCCAACGCCCGTACCGACTACCATGTCAATGAGACCGAGGTACTTTTATTTTGCATGCCTTGTTTGAATCGATTTTGCATTGATGCTTTCTCTGCTTTGCATCTTCTTCGCACACTTGTTTTTGTTATTGGGAGAGGAGAGAACAGAGCAATTGAAAAAAGCGTCGGACATTGACCTTTCAATTCATCATCCTCTTCCTTTCTAAATAGGAGTGGTTTTTCCAGTACAAGGGAGATATGTTGCTGAAGGTCGTTGACAATGGCGCGTTCAAGGATATCCCCATCAAAGAGGGCGAGATGTTCCTCCTGCCAGGTAATGCTGCGCTGCTTATAAAAAGTCATCCTGTCCTTCCACTTTTCTGAAAGAACGAAAAAAATGCAATCGGGGCTGTCATCGAAAAGACCGCTCCCGGCTGTCGATCTTGTCTGTCCATCCATTCTTCCGGAGTGGCAAATAGATGAACCCTGCAAAGTACCTCAAAAGATAGGCAGGCAGAGGTCGCATAGAAACTAATTCTTCTCCATTTCTACTTCCAGCCAACACCCCACATAACCCTGTCCGTTTTGCCGACACTGTTGGAATCGTCATTGAGCGTCAGCGCCCAGCAGAGGCCCTTGGTACGTTCCCACCGTCCATTTCTTTTTCCTCCCCGCCGTGTCCACATGCTCAGTCTGTTTTGTTTTGTGTTATGTTGTGTGTCATTCAAAGCACCTCTTAAGGAACCTTGACCAAACATGCCTCTTAAGTTACCCTTGACTGTCATTCACTCATTCATTCCAGAAAAATATTCCGTGTGCCTCATCACTACTCCTTTGTAACACCCAATTGGCGCGTCCAAACAATGCCTTTATTTAACTCACCATTCTTGTCTCTCTCAATTGAATCCTCTCCCAATGTAGATCGCCTGCGCTGGTACTGCGAAAAGTGTGCAGAGATTGTATATGAGGAATCATTCCACTGCGTTGACCTTGGCAAGCAGCTTGCTCCCGTCATCAACCGTTATGCTGCCGATGAGTCCCTTCGCAAGTGCAAATCCTGCGGCCACACTAACACTGCCAAGTAAATGCACCAGGATATCCTTCCTGGCTTGACGTACCATCCACGTATCTAGTGTAGATCACTCAAAAATAAAAAACAAAACAATGTACATCCACAGACCATTGACGTTGTGCAACGAGAACGATTGAGGGCTAGGCAGGACGTGACCCTTTTTGTTGGAAATTGACGCAAAGCGAGTTACAATAGTCGACCTCTTTGAACTGGATTATCGTTCGTGTAGACAGCTCGTTGCTTACATTATCCCATACCGTTCTTCGCTCTCTGCTTCTTTTTTCCTTGTTACTATCCTCCGTAGTTGCTCTCCTCGCCTCTCTCCCTCGTTTAATAGCTTTCCGCTCTCACCTTTTTTTTTCTTATTCCTCCGAAGTATGCCTGTTTATCGCTTGATCCGTTCACGGACTGTCGGCGGGAAGGACCCAATGCTGCCGTCGCGGGTAGAGCTGGGGCCAAGTTTGAACGCATTTTTTTTGTTTTTGTTTCCTCTTTTCCCCTTCTTCCCCTTCATATCTCTCCTGTTTCTTCTTCCCATTTCACTTTTTTATTCTCTTACGATTCATATTCGCGGTTTGTTATGAACTGGGAGAAAAACGGAGGATAAAACATAGTAGTAATAATACCAGCAGGCAGGCGGGCCTGTCGCAGGGTCGATGGGATGGGAAGAAATCAATGTTGGTATTCTTGCGCAGGAAATCTTCCCAGGAGTCGAAAAATGAAATGAAGATAGAGTGGGTGGCTTTTTAGAATGTGTATGGATATCAAAGTCATGTACAATCGCAACTCTGACAGGCGTAAGGTGTAAGGCACAAGGAGCGTTTGCCATCCAATCTTTCTACTGAGTGCTTTGGACCTTTGTTTGGCCCTTCTCTTCCCTTGTCTCGAGGATGGATACGTGATTATTATTTTTTTGGCACCGTGATCGGCTTCGCCAGTTTGTCTGTCTGTTTTGCCTTGTTGCCAATTTGCTGGCCACACATTGCCTTTTGGAACAACCAAAGGCAACCCCTGGTTGCCTTCTGTGGTAAAGAACACTACCCAACTGGATGGCGAAGCAGGATGAAAGTATTCGACAAGCAGGAAGAGAAGATATGAGTGTAAGCAGTACGCTGCATAGAAAAGACCCTAGCGCACGTGACTTCTTTTTGCTTCTCGCCACTTGAATTTCTCCCAATAACCACGACTCTCATCACTTCCCCTTTCTTCGACAACTCTCGAATCGACCATAGAACAAACAAGATGCTCTTCGACAACGACAAGGTACATTAGCAGGAAAAACACACAGACCATACACACCAACAAGCAACGGGCAACAACAGAAACCAATTTGGACCACAGGAATCGTCCATCTGAATGCAGTCAGAGCTCAATTATGAAAAACATCAGAAACAGAAGCTGATCACCTCTTCTACGCAATTGCACACACTTCCCCATCTAGTTCCTGACCAAGATGGCCAAAGCCTTCGAGGACTCTAAGACGTCCAAGACCGTATACCTGACCATGAAGAGACGTACGTACTTTTTCCTTTTTTTGTCCGTTCGTACCCTGGATACGCATTATCAAAACAACACATTACTCACCCTAATCGTAATGTCATATTGATACAAAACATAGACTCGTACACGACGAAAAAGATCAAGGCGGCAGAGGAAGCTTCGGAAAAGGCGTCAGGAGATGCGGTCATGAGTACCGACGACAAGGACAAGGAGTACCCCACCCTCGTTCGCCTCACCTCTGGCACAAAGACGAAACTCAGCACTCTTGTAAGGGCATCTGAGGAGGACAAAATTGATCTCAAATCGTTTTTGCGACAATGGGAAACGCCCCCTTCCAACTTTGTTTTGCTTGATCTCTGCAGAATTCTCACATACTATTCTGTGTTTGGCCGTGGTTTTTCTTTTTCTGTTATGGAACGTTAGGTGCAACCCCAGGATCTGGATAGATTTATGGTTCAGTACACCAACATCATCAAGATCAACATGGACAATCTCAAGAAGAAGGAGAGGAAAAAGGCTGCCAAGGCCAAGGCTAAGAAGGCCACCGCATAGAAAAAAATGAAGTCGTCGCGTACTTTAACACACAATCCCAACCGGGGGTTTCCTTCTCCATTTTTCACGCGTGAGCACACACTTAATACTCTAGTATGCGCAGATTTCTCTTCAGAAAATACATGTAAAATACACAACATTAACGGATGATTGTAGAAGAAAAAAAAATGATAAAAAATGATAAAAAATGATGTTCAATTGCTAAGAAATGAGGGTTCGAGAATAATATTCCTTCTATGATGCTTCTGTACGCGTTCGTTCCATATGTTTCTTTTGATATCTGTCGCTCCTCGTTATCCACTCATTGATCCCACACAAGAAATGAACGAGACAACAAGTACGAGTCCTGATCTCAAAGTGTCAATAATCCTCTGTGACTATCCTGCGGGTTATTAGAACTTGGCAGCGTTCCTCTCGGCCTCACGGAGGGCAGCCTCCTCGCGCTTCAATCCGTTCATGACAAAGCTCCTGCGAGGCTTCAATCCGAAAGCCATGGCCTGAGCCTTGGCCACACGAGCCTCGGTCTCCTCCTGAGCTCTGTGCAAATAAAATTCCTCCGTCGCAATGTGATAGGCTTCCCGCTCAGACTTTCCTGTTGTCATCAAGTACAACTGGTATTGGATCACACTAAAGATTAGGTATATAGGAAACAAGCACGAGAATACGTTAGTAAATGTCTTGAGTTTTGATGTGAGAACGTTAGTTAACTAGGCCGAACAGGACAATTTGGAAGACCCATTGGCAGGCGATTGACCGAGATATCAACCGCAGGAGGACAGACAGATATTGGGCTCAATTGTCAAGCAACGGAACACGACAGAGACCACCCAGCTCACGATCGCAACAGTGAATAATACCGAGAGACTTACTCTTCACCGCTCAAGTCGGCAATGGATCGGCCGGGTTGCAAGAGCGAAGTCCAGTTGCGACGGGTACCATCACCCGAGGTCTCGATTAAACATCTAGGACGACGCAATTCCCAGGGGTGGTCCTCATAGAACCGTCTACGGAGCTTGTCCTCTGGGTAGACAATCTTTTGTGGCCGCTCAGTCCTCCAGCGGAGGTGTTTTTGTGACCTTGAGGAGCGGGTCAATTCCTTCTGTACTGATGCTGATGCTGGTGCTGGTGCGGGAAGTCCTGCTGCAAGAGCCTCCTTCTGCTTTTTAATCTCGGCTTCCTTCTCGAATTGGAGCTGGGCATGGGAGTTGGCGCCGGAGGGATCACGCTCGCGGAGGAATGTGGGGGAGGGAGGGGCGAGGGATGCGGCGGGGTACCAGACGGGGGGGTTCCTGATGAGGTTGGCCTTTAACAGCTTTGTGACGTAGCTGTGGACCTTGGCGGGAGGTGATTTGAAGGCCATGATGTGAATGTGTGTGCGTGAGGGAGAGGAAGAGGAGGGGATTAGGGACGTAGAAGAACAGAGAACGACCTTGGTGGAAGTTGGAAGCGAGTGTGTGTGCCTGACTGTTAGAGCTCCTACACCCCGGACCTTGTTTACACATTTCGAGCCTGATCCTCATACCCTTAAGAAGAGTGACTGTTAACACAGTTTCTCATCTTGACCTGTCGCGTTTCCCAATCTTCAATTCGCATTTTATGGTGTGGTTTGCAACAACTCTGAACTTCAATTATGATATTAAGATTTTTATTTGCACAGGCTATGACTGCGACTTCTTGCCACGCTTGGCTTTTGATACAGACCTCGACAGTGTAGTGCCCTCTGTTTTGGATCCACCCCGAGACCCTCCAACGGCCATTGCCTCACCACCAAGGGATGCCGGCGACGCCGCCGACGTCGGGGTTGTTGCACCCACATCCAACGACCGCGAGTCCTTCTCTACAATCAACCCCCTCAACCACTTGATTTCCATCTCAAGCTCACGGACGCGCACCTCCAACATCTCGGACTTTGCCGTCATCTCCTTGGCCGTCTTCTCGAGGATCTGCTCACGCAGACGTTTCTTGTGACGGAACCGTGCAGACGCCGCAGTGTTCCTTCGACGCTTGTCCTCTTCTGCTGCCAATCGGGTGGCGTACTCGGGGTCATCTTGAGACAGTCCCTCCAGGGCAGCGAGGATCTTGGATTTGGAGCTTGAAGAACCCGTGGAGTCAGCCTGTTCGTTCTGGTCTTCGAGGTCGAGGTCGAGGTCATACTCGTCCATTTCCTTTTCAGCCTGGCTTTGCTCTTCTTCACGTGGAGAGACCGCAGAAGAAGCATTTGCCTTGGTGGAGGTACTAGAGTTGGCAGGAGAGTTTGCAGACATACCGGCGGTCGTCGCGTTGGCACTGCTACTACTACTGCTTCCACTTCCACCATCCTTGCGTGAAATCCCTCTCAAGGCCTGCAGCTCCTCATTGGGCTTTGATGGCGTGATTGGGGGCAAGGGGGTGATTTGGAGATGGTGGAAATCGGACATGGTCGTAGGCGAAGCCAGAGGAGATGGGCCTACCGAATAGGTTGAGCTAGGACCTGCCTGAGACTGCTGCGGCTGTTGCTGTTGTTGCTGCTGGTGAGCAGGATGTGGAGTTTGGAGGGACAAGAATGGCTGGCGAAGGAGGCGAGCCGCCGCAGGGCTGATGGGACCGGCAGTGGTCGGGGCAGAAAAGGAGGTGGAGGATTCTGCGTGGCTGGTGTGGGGATATAAGACGTTTATGCGGGGATCGTAATGGATCGGCTGAGGGGCGGGGCCTGAAGTCGCGGCACTGGTGGTGGCGGGGTTCCTTTGGCGAGACCTCTCGACCACAGCAAGGGAAGTCCTTGGATCTAGTGGTTGTTAATAAAAGAGGACGAAGATATATAGTTATACCGTTAATAAGAGTGGTCATTCTCATATGTATATCAGGGATATGCATGATAGATAAGCCTAGCGCTTGCATGAATAATAAACACGACATTGAAATTGTGTCAGTGGGTTACCTTCAGAAGAGGTCGAGTCGAGGTATCTGTGAATAGCATCAAATTGCTGTAGCTGGCGTTGCATGTCAGAGGATTGGTATTGGAGAGCATGCTGCTGCTGCTGTTGAGCAGCCAGTGAGGATTGAGGTTGTTGTTGCTGCGGCTGAAACTGCTGTTGTTGCTGCTGCTGTTGTTGTTGCTGTTGTTGCTGTTGCTGTTGTTGTTGTTGTTGCTGTTGTTGCTGCTGTTGTTGTTGGTGTTGCTGTTGAGTGTGCTGAAACTGCTGTTGACTCATGGCCAGTTTGACACCCATATCGTCCTCATAGATACCAACCCCTGGGGGCATATCATAAGTGAACTGAGCGTTGGCCCAGAGCAACAAGTCATCGTCAGGGAGGTTCTGAGGGTCGTCCAAGTCGTCCTTGTTTTGGGGGGACACTTGGTTGAAGGTTGCGATAAGAGCAGCGTATGGGTTGGGATAGCCGTCCATTGTTGTGGGTTGTTGTAAATGAACGGTAAAAGGAGGAGGTTGATGTTGCTGTTAAGGGCGAAAGGGAAGGGTAAACGAAGGATAGGAGTACAAGTAGGGGCGGATATGTGGAGTGTAATATGTAATAGGGAAAGAGTGAATGCTTTGGGTATAGATAGTAGGGAGATAGAAGGTGCAATAAGAGGGTGAGCTGAGCAGGTGAGAGTGAGCGTACGAAGAAAAAAGTGTAAGAGTACAAGAGTGTACAGTGCAAGTGGATGAATGTATGCAGAGTGGATAGATAAGAGGAAGGAAAAGAATAAGCTAAAAAATGGAAGTGGTTGGAGAAAGTGAAGTGAACGAGAGTAAAAAAAAAGAAAGAGAAGAAGAAGAAGAGAAAAAAAGTGGGAGGAATGAAAAAGGGATAGAAAGAAAGGTGAAAGGTGTAGCCGGCTTTTGTACTTTTGGGAGTGACTGACTGGCCCGATGGACGGATGGTTAAAGGGTCTACAAGCAACAAGCAAGCAAAGCAAACAGCGTGTGGGTGGGTGGTGACGAATAGGAGGGCGATGTTCATTTCAATCGATTGAATAGAAGGGATTGAGCGAAAAGAAAGGAGAGAATTGTATTGGCAGACAACGCATGGCGATGACACGATATTGATTGGATCTTGGTTCATTTGTTTGTCCAGCATATGGAGAAGAGGACAGGGGGTCAGGAGGACTGGTGAATGCAGTGTAGCGGACATTTACATCCCCTACTCCTTGCTCGCTGGCTGTTGTTGTTGACTGTCGACCTCACCATTGCAATACTCATCCTCTGGTCCTCACCCACACAACAAAAACGCGCAAATGCACTGCTCCTTCTGACACCATCCCTCCGCCGCTCACCAATCCCCTGTAATTGAAACAGGACATCTCAGCGACTCTTTACACATTCTTAGGAACACTCAACAACAGTCAAAAGATATCAGGTAGAGACTGAAAAATGTAAAGAGAACGGACAGGGGCAATTCTACTTTCCGCCACATCAGGAGGAGAGGTAGACGATTGAACTTATTCCGGTATCTCCTTTAGGCGAAGAAGGGTGAGCAATAAATGGCAGGACTAACTGGGGATTGGTTGTTCAGCTGGTTTTAAGTTCCCTTTCGGTCGATGGGATGGCACACCTCAAAAAGGAGAGGACACATGGGCTTGTTTGTTTTTGATACATACTCCAGCGGTTTTTTTTATTTGTTTTCTCCTTTCTGGCTGGCGGGTTAGATGTGGCGATGGATGATGAGTGATGAGGTGGATTTGACTGGATCAATTGGGATGAGAGCACGTCAAAACACGGTTTGGCCTTGCATGCCTCGCCATCTCGCCCATCCTCTCCTTCCTCTCCTTCCTCTTCATTCTCTTTGCACTTTATGACTTCCTTTCTGACTTTATTTATTTCAATCCCGACTCTTCTTTGTCCCTTCTATGTTTTTTTTGGCCGCTTCTCTATGGTATTTCTTCTCAGAGGTCATACTTAATACAAATCCGATGGTCATTGAAGCCAGCCTATAATCGATCTCCTCGTGCAAAGGTAATACGTTTTCAAGTTTTCACGTCCGACTTGAATCGATTCGTCAGTCCTCCTCTTCTTACCCATATCTATGGCGGGCGATTTGTTTTTTATCTCCTTTGTTCATTTCTCCTAACAGGTTTTCGCATTCTTGTTCCTGAAGGAAGCGAACATCGACTTTATTGAGGCTGGCCTCCTTCTTTGATCAAAAGAGGTAGATCACATACCTTTGTTGACAACGAGTTCAGGGTCCCGAGTTGTTTCGTCAGGGCATACAGAATCCTGTTACAAATCGTTATCGAATGGTGAGGCCAGAAAAAAAGTCACCCAAAAACAAAAAGAAAATAAAGAGTCAGGAGCGAGTACGGCAGGGAAAAGAACGGAGAGATCGAATGAATGCAAGGTGAGAGCTAAAACTAGACGGAGTATTGTTGGAGTAGAAAAAGTGAGAGGGAAAGTACGACAGAAGGGACACGGAGACGGGTCGACAGCTACCCTGCTGAGCATTTTTTTTTTCTTGTGTCAAACTGTGTTTGGGTCAAGTCAAACTGTGTTTGGACCTCATCCCTTCCCATCCTCCCTCCGTCCTCGTTTACCCTCTCTCTCTCTCTCTTCGCCTGTTGCCAACTGCCTATCTGTCTGTCCCTGTCGATCGGATCACATTATCCTTAGGTTCGGCATGCGGACCCTCGCTAGCGATAATGGATAATTAGGCTAGACGAGCGGCTTTTGCTTACTCGCAACGATCGCTGTAAAGGCTGATGGCATCCTACCCCCTCGCTTTTACCTCTGTACTCTGTATCCAGTTCGCATCACCGATTGAGACATTAAAATGACTTGCCCTCTGTAGTCTCTCACGGGCTTCCCTCCATTTATTCTTTCAAAAAGCATTCCTCACGGATCTTTTGCAGACATTAACCCGGGGGGATTTTCTTTGAGTCAGCGGTTCTATCTCTTTTGGCAACGACCAGGTCAGCGAAGAAGAACCTTCAAACTCTCTTTAAGCATCGCAAGATTGAATGTTGCCTAGCCCGTCTAATGTTCATCGATTTAGTTCATTCAGTTCAAAGTCAAACCATAGTTGGACTGCTTCTTCCAGGAGCCGGCCAAAAAGATCTGACTGACTACGAGCCAAGCGATCGTGGATGGACATTGAGAGTTTGTCTACGAGTAGTAGAAGGGTAACAAAGAAACAGAAAGCGAACCAGACCTGGACTCATCAATCTCTATATACAATTCGCTTTTCTCCTCGTTCGTTCACTTCTTTTCTCTTGCTCTCGTTCCCAGCATAGTGCATGTCGAACGAAATAATAAGCGACCATTAAGGTTTGTTCTCTGAGATGGGTTACACAAAAACAATCTGATTGGCTGCGATTGAATACGCGACTGACTCGCGCACTATTACCATTGTCTCTTTTCATCAAAGAATGGCGTGCTAATCATCTATCCATCTCGCAAGACATGAGGAGACACTTGTTCAAGTAAAAAAAAAAAATATGCTGCTTCCTAATGACTTTTTTCTGTACGTGTCTTTGTGGTTATCTTGAATGTACGTTGTTCCTCCAATGCTCTCGGCTTGGGCGAGGCGTACTCGCACTTCCACCGATTATTAATTGGCGACTGTCTTTCAGCGCACAAGTCAACCACACATTCTTGAAGCTGTGCCGCTCCAACATGGATAGATTGTGTCGCGCCACATTATTGCGGTTTTCGCCCGCACAAGATTTTCTTGATCTTATCGCTGGGTGTCCTCTAGGCATAAATATCTCTGTCTAGTATACTCTCGTATATAGCTTTTTTTTTTTTTTGAAGAAGTAAAGGAAATGTTTACTAGACTCATGAGTTAGGCAACGGCCCTGTCTCAATTCTCGATCGCTTTTGGCAAGGAACGCAGCCGTGAAGTCCGGAAATGAAAAAGAAGGTTTATTCCTGTCTTTTCATGTCATATGTCTCGTCCATCTCAATGCCAACTGTCGCCTACAAACCAAAGGAAGTGTCATGGCTTGCTATTTCCCGTAGATGTGGCGTGTTAATTGAGTTCGACACTTTGTTGGCGTAGGTGTTAAGCGACGCGCTACTATTGGGACCCTAAAAGACCTCACTCCTCCAGATCAGCCCCCGTGCAAAGTCGAGATAAAAACAATCTCATCCCTGTCCTCCAGCTCATACTCCAGTTCGCCCTCCAACTCCCAATCGGCACCGTTCACCAGAACAAGGATTCCCGACCGCCTATTGATGAGAGCGTGTTGAATCAAAAGGTCTCATGTTATTTTCCAACAAAGTTCTTTGCCTCTGGTAAGACATGATAGCCGCTAGAGATGGATCATGTGGCACTTCCACTCATAACGCTTACACTGATCCGTCGGTTCCGATAAAGAGTTCTGGCCGTTCCTTGAGAAGATTGCTCGCTGTCCAGGAAATCAAATCCCGGATCGTGGCAGCATGTCTGTCTTCTACTGATGTGTCCAGAGGGAAGGAGGCAGGGACTTTGGCATGGATTGTCTTCTGGTTGTCGAAAAGCAGCTCCATACCGCCACTATTTCCGAGAAAGGATCAGAGAGCAGATCACTACTGGGTCAGAAACGGTATTGGTTGAATGTCATGAGTGTCCGTCGTTAATGTGCTTCCATTGTCCTTGCTGGGTACCTGAACTGCAGCTCGATCCTCAGGGTAGCGTCGCTTTGGTTCATGGTGTCGATCCTCCTGTGTGGTCGGTGCGTGGGCTAAGGTGGATGTCCTTGATGTCAACGACCCGCGATAAAAATGCAAAGGTGACGTCATCTGAAAGTCACGTGCGAGATAGTGTACCTTCTGCTGGGCAGAAGTGCGTAACCCATATGCAAACCACGACTGGCAGCAAAAAGAACGCGCATTGCACACCACGCAACTCTCTTCACCTTTTCTTTTGAACAAACTCATTCGCCCACAAGCAACAGCAACACCCATCGACAACTCAGAGGACAACAGTAACAGCAACAACCATCACAGCAACACAGCAACAGCAGAAGCAAACAACACTCACATATATAACGCCATGGCCACCCTTGAAGACAAGTCCCTTTGGGAGACAACCCCAGAGGAGGAAGTCCTTGGAGCAGACATCTTGAAGGCCAACACGGAAGAAATCGTTAACAGGACACGACTCTTGGACAACGACATCAAGGTAAGCGTATAGTCTACCTACTTGGACTGACTACCGCCCTTCGAGGGCTTTGTAGGCTTGCTGTTCATCGACACCGCTTCTAGGGCTAAGCAACTCTCCAGCTCACTCAATACTTTTCTTACGTTTTATTCTTGCAGGTCATGAAGAGCGAGAATAAGCGCTTGGCATACGAGCAGCTTTCAATGAAGGAGAAGATCAAGGAAAACAAGGACAAGATCAAGCTGAACAAGCAGCTGCCATACTTGGTTGGCAACGTTGTTGAGGTAGGCCGGGGAAGGCGAACAAAAGCGCGATCTGATCATGAAGTGCGCGTATTGTCTATGGCTTGCGTATTTTGCATACGCGTCATTTCTATTTTCTTGACTAACAGGGATGAAACGCCGATTTACTTTTCACAATACTAGTTGCTCGATATTGACCCAGAGGATGAAGAGGACGAGGATGGTGCCGCTATGGACCTGGATGCCAACAGGAAGGGCAAGTGCGCTGTCATCAAGACCTCTACAAGACAGGTATACCGCGAAATCCCGACATTTCAGAGAACAAAAGTTTTCGTTCGATTGAGGCCCAAAGTGCATCAACTTGTACTGACACCTCTGCCGTTTGATGTTCATTGAATATAGACAATCTTCTTGCCCTTGATCGGATTGGTCGACCCTGCGACTTTGAAGCCTGGCGATCTCATTGGAGTCAACAAAGACAGCTTTTTGATTCTCGATACCCTGCCCACGGAGTAAGTCCTCAACACTCAGGAAATGTATTTCATGAAGCGCACGTTCACAGGGATGCCCGAAGAATCTGTAGTAACGTCATATTCACTTTCTCAATGATGATAGATACGATTCTCGTGTCAAGGCTATGGAGGTCGATGAGAAGCCCACAGAGCACTATAACGATATCGGAGGACTGACCAAGCAGATCGAGGAGTTGGTCGAGGCCATTGTCCTCCCCATGACGCACGCAGAGCGCTTCAAGAACTTGGGTATCAAGCCTCCCAAGGGTGTGTTGATGTATGGACCTCCCGGTACCGGAAAGACCCTGCTGGCCCGTGCTTGCGCCGCTCAGACTAACGCCACATACCTCAAACTCGCTGCAACCTCGTTGGTTCAGATGTTTATTGGAGACGGTGCCAAGATGGTGCGCGATGCTTTTGATTTGGCCAAGGCCAAGAAGCCCACCATCATCTTTATCGACGAGTTGGATGCCATTGGAACAAAGCGTTTCGACAGTGACAAGACCGGAGATCGTGAGGTCCAAAGAACTATGTTGGAGTTGTTGAACCAACTGGACGGTTTCGGCAGTGACGACGGCATCAAGGTAAACACATTGTTCTTCTGGCAGTTTGAAGAAAGGAGTCCATCATCAACTACAGAATGCAGGTGTTTAACGCCCTTTTCTTGTATCCTTCTCCAAAATGGGTGAAATAGGTTATTGCTGCAACGAATCGTATTGATATTCTGGATCCTGCCCTGCTTCGCTCTGGTCGTTTGGACCGCAAGATTGAGTTCCCAATCCCCAACGAGGAGGCTCGTGCAGATATCTTGAGGATCCACAGTCGAAAGATGAACGTGTCGGAGGACGTCAACTGGGCCGAGTTGGCGCGCAGCTGTGACGAGTTCAACGGAGCACAGTGCAAGGCTATTTGCGTTGAGGCCGGTATGCTTGCCCTCCGTCGCGGTGGCAACCAGCTCAAGCACGACGACTATCTGATGGGTATCGCAGAGGTGCAGGCCAAGAAGAAGACCAGCCTCCAGTACTACGCTTAATGGAACCATTTGTCCCCCTCACACGAAATAAACGTTTACAAAGACAGTCACCAGTTCGAATGAATGAATGCACAAATAGGCAACTGTGTGCTTTTTTTTCAATCCTTACTTTTCGCTCTTGACCATCACACGCATGTCGTATCCAGGAACACCGAGTGGCGCAGGGGGATCAGGGTCAGGGTTCCCTGCAAGTGTCTACCCTCAACCCATTGGCACACTCTCAGGTGCATCACGGCCTACAGGCTTACCAGGAAACACAAACACATCATCCATCACACAAGCAACAGCTGGAATGTCAATACAAGGCGGCAGCGCCTCTCCATTTACTGGGTCCTCTTCGAGCACGCTGCCTCACCATCAACAGTCAACCATACCCATTACCACAACACCTGTCGGAACCGCACCTCGGAAACAACTTGCAGCTGCTGCCGCTGCCGGTGCAGCTATGGGCGCAGCAAAGTCCGGACGACCCAAGGGTCCATACAAAAAGGCAGGTGGAGCAGGCGGTGGCGGTGGCGGACCCAGCAAACGAGGAGGCCGAGGAGGTGGTCGAGGAGGCAGAGCAGGCTCATCCTTCGGTCCCGACGACGATGATGACAAGGGCGGCAAGGATTCTGACGACGACAACGAGGACGAGCCCGAGGTCAGCATTGAGGAACAGTTTATTCTGCGCTTGCCCCCAGGGGAGATGTTGGATCGGTTCCGTGAAAAGGTCATTGCACGCGAGGTTGATGAATCTGTGAAGCTCAAGTTTACAGGTAACAATTGGTCAATAAAAACAATAGGAATGCGCGTTTGCGCTGCATGCTCTATTACTGCTAATAACATTGATAAACAAACTCACGCCCATTACCTCAACCTTACAGATGCGCGGCGGGGAACATTCACATTCGAGGGAATCGATTTTCCGACAAAGCTGGTTGATCTTCCTACAATAATTGAGGCACAAAAGACGCTGAACGGGAAGCAGATGTACAAGATCGCGGATATCTCGCAGATGCTGATCGTGGATGAAGCCCCAGCAGAAAAGGTTATCAAAACGGAACCCGGAGCAGGATCACGCAACCCAGCCTCAGATGTCATGCCAGCTCCAACATTACTACCTCTGAAACCAAGCGAGTACATCTGGCCAGATGGTCTAACGAATCCACTAAAGAATGTTCGCAAGCGTCGTTTCAGGAAACGCGTGTCAAAAGTGGTATGTAAAAGTTATGGTGTGTATTTCTGGAGCTAAAGAACCGACGTGATATGTACAGAGTGCTAACTTAATGGTCTACTTTTCGTCGTAACCAACTAGGCCGTGGAGGGTGTAGAAGCCGAGATTGAACGTTTACTCCAGGAAGACGCGCAAGCAGAAGAAGTGATATATGAGATGCGGGAACAGATCGATGGCATGGACCGATATGACTCGGAAGATGGCGCAACACCAGCTCCTGAAGGTGCCCAAAGTGATTTGGATATGGATGATAATGACGGTGAGATGATGGATATGGACGAGGAAGAAGAGGACGACGAAGACGAGGAGGATGACGAGTACGAAAAGGACCTGTTGGCAGAGCTCGAGCGAGAAATTGGTGGCGGAGAGAATGCCACAGATGAGGAAGGCGGAACACCACAGCCACAAGAGCGCAAACCAGCCTCACAACCTTCAGGACTTTCTGGAAGCCACATCAGTCATGCAGCTCCTCCACAGAACAGTGTGCACAAATTTGGCGCACCAGGGGCAGGAAACATTGGTGGCGCAGGTGGATTGTCCGGGCTGGGAGAAATCAGAAGTGCCAGCGGCAACCATACATCTACCACAGGGTTACCGTCTAAATCATTTGCGGGATCCATTGGAGTCTCCTCGGGCACCGCCAATCAAAGTGACAAGGGCAAGGCCAAAGCTCAGGACGAGGATGACGAAGATGACGACGATGATGACGATGAAGAGGAAGAGGAGGAAGAGGAAGAAGACGATGACGATGATGAAGACAGTGGATCAGACGAAGATGATGAAGACGACGACGAAGACGACAAGGAGAAGGCACAGGTGGAGAAGTTGCTGAAGGACGAGATCAAAGAGCTGGACGGCAAGATTCAAGAGAACGAGGAGAAACTCCAGTCGGCACCCAACGAGATTTTGAAGGTAAAAATGCAAATGTCTGTCGATAGGATATGTTGCTACTAAGCAGTGTATGAGACAAAGGCTAACAGAGGTTTCGTTCTTTTCTGCTTTTGGTTGTGTCGGTGTCCTATAGAAACGCTTCAACCTTATTGTGGAGCAGCTTCGCAAGGAGCTTGAGCTCAAGAAGTCGCAGCTTGAAGAAGCCCGTGGCAAGCCCAAAGGCAAATAAAAAAGTCACCCTCAGTGTGGTCCTTGCAACGAAGTAACGGTATTGCTGCAATTGCAGTCGATATAAACTATGCTGCATGATAAGTTCCAACGCGCGTTGACTGGGCAAAGCGCGTGTATCATTTGCGAGGAACAATTTAGTCTTGAGGTGGTGGTGGCTTTGATGTTGCCAAACAAAAATGGACTGCGTTTCTGCGGCTCACTTCTTTTTTCTTTTTCATAGCACAGGGTTGAACTGGCCTTCTTTCATTACTTTCGCTTCTTTCTCTCTTTTCCTTTCACAACAGCACTTTCTTTTTGTTGGAAGGGAAGAACCGACATCGGGCTCAGCGAGAAAACAGTGACACACACAGCGACCATTCATCGACCATAGCCACAGAATGAGCCTCCACGGTAAACACACCAACAACAACACATCTCTCCTTTTGGGAACTGGAGGCGTGGTCGCGACAATGAAATGCAACGAAAGCTGCCGATGGAGCAAACAGAAGGTCATGAACGCGTTGTGCACAGATGAATTTTCTCACTTACACCTGCTGCTGTCTTACCATCTCAACCGTGGGTAGAGAACCGGTTGTGTCGCCTTATTGTCAGGGAACACTTCGGACCTATCGTCGAGGTAAGTCAATCTACCTATTCCGCCGTAAACGAGAGGACTCAATTGACGCCTCCAATTACTAATGGAATATATCCACTTTTCTTTGAACATGTATCAGAAAGTAGCCAATGTTCTCATCAGGAAGGGACGTATGCCTGTCGGCCTGATCGTCAATTTTACAGCGCTGAAGCCTCGTCAAGTGCGCGAGTGTCTCTTTGTCCTGATCCAACACAACTTGGTGGTCTATGCAGAGAGTCAGGAAAAGTCCAGGATCGTCACCTACTATGAGATCAACCGAACAGAGCTCTTGCACAGGGTTTTAATCCCTAAGGTCTTGCATTCTTCGCAGGAGTGGTTTGAGCGCGATGGAGCACTCATTGCCGAGTCTTTGCTAACTCATGGAAAGCTGACCATCACAGACTGCGTTGCCGATGTCTTGACGACCAGCGGTGTTGCCCCAGGAAAGACTACAACCCAACGTAAGCGCGACAGATCTGGATCTTTTTTTTTGCACAACCTTTTCGGTATCATTTTGGCTTCAGTTCACAGATGGCGACGGGAATTATACTAAAGAATTGAAATCTGGGTCGATATGCTGATACCTGAAAATAGGCACCCAATTGCTGAACAAGGCGTTCACAAGGATGGTCAAGGAGAAGTGTTTGATTGCGGTTCGACCCTCTGACTCATTGACTGCAGCTGACAAGGACATGGCAGAGGAGAAACGGGAAACAGATAAAATGACTCTGCCACCTACCGCAGCAGAATTGGCCTCCATCCGCAAGGTTCTCGGAGCACAGAAGCAGGCGGAGCAGAATTCCACAATTGTCGGGCTGGTATGTGTAACTTTGGGCGATGTCTTCTTATTCTTGTGTAAAATGGCACGCGTTACGTGAATATTGGTCTAACCTCTTTTTTATCTTGCATTTACGACTGACCATAGAAACGTAGGCTGGATACCATGGATGACAGCTACGGAGAGAAGCGCCCAAGATTGTTGACAGACGGAGACCTTGTGATTATTGAAGAGGTTGAGACGGATGTCTATTTCAAGGTCAACTTTGAACGCTTTATTATCAGATGGAGGAACGTGGTGAGTACCTAGACGATTGTATTGTGAGCTTGCACCTTTCCCTACTATTGTCGCATATGAACTCATGGGAGCTATGTGTTGCTGACTCACCTTTCATCTTGATGTTCAAAAATAGCAAATCGCCAACCTGTATGAGGCGAGACTGAACCCAACGGCAAAGACGATTATGCAGACAATTATGAACTTGGCAGAGGAGCGTATGATCAACTGCAAGGAGGAACACTCTTCGCCCGTCAGCATCATGCTTTTGCTCAACAGTCTCCCCAAGGACACCAATCTGATCGACACACTCGAGTTCGACCCTTCAGATCTCGGACCCAACAACACCAAGCCTAAGATCCACGAATGTCTCGACAAGTATATCCAGATTCTGGAGGAAGACCTCATGAAGATTCTGAAGAAGGATGGAGGACGGAGCGGACAATATGTCATCAACCTCAAGTCGGCATCGCAGATCCTGAAAAAGAACTTGATCCAGGGTATCGTCTCTGCCCGGTTTGGAGCGCCCTATGTCCGGATCATGAACATGCTTGCAGACAAGGGCAAGCTGGAGGAGAAGCAGATCTCAAGGTTCTCGATGATGCCTGTCAAGGATGTTCGGGAGAAGTTGACGACACTGTGCACATTCGGCGTGTTGAACTTGCAGGAGGTGCCCAAGACCAAAGAACGCACACCCTCAAGAACGTACTACCTCTGGGAGGTCATTCTGCCCAGGGCTGCAGACACCTTGACCGATCGCCTCTATCATACCATGGGCAATCTGCGTCAGAGGCGGTTTGTGGAGCGTGCAAAGCGGGCTGTGCTGTTGAACAAGTGTGAGCGGACGGATGTCAAAGCCGACGATTCGCTACTCAACGCTGCAGAGAAGAAGGAATTGGAGACCTTAAACAGCGTCTTGGAGATGTTGGAGATGCAGGAGCTTAGGATCGCAGAGATGGTCATCACGCTGCGTGACTTTTAATTAGCATCGTTTCATTTTTCTTTTTCTTCTTTTGCATACAAACAAATCATCAAATAACACTAGCAAAAAATAATATGATAAGGCAAAGGACTGAGTAGGGTAGTGTTGTTCTATGCTTTATTCGGAGCTCAACGAGAGAGCAGAGAACTTTGATTCTGATACAAAGGTCTCTACAATTGGAGATGTTGGCGCAGACTCTTCGGGTGATGGCAGCGAGAATGCTTTCACCGCTGGCACATTGTCCGGCCCTTTGTCGTCGTCGGCGTCTTTTTTCACTTGAGAACCGGTGGGTGGTTTAGGGAGGATTGGCGGGGCGACCTTTCCAGCGGCGACTGCAGCCGGCAAAGCCTCGATCTGAGCAACCTTCTTGAAGGAGATCATCTTGATAAACGTGTTGTTTGTCGATCGGTTGGCCTTCAACACACATCCTTCCTTGAACTTTGCAATCTTTTCACCACTCCACTGCGGCGCCACCAGTTCTGTGTTCTCTTCCTGGAAGATGGGGTCGTTTTGGTCCTTGCGGAACCCCTGGGCGAGCCGCTTGGCGATTAGGGCGACCATCCGTGCGTCACAGATCCCGCTATGTTGACGGCCCTCAAAGGTTTCGCCCAAAAAGCCCAACATGCGTTCGAGGTTCTTCCACTGGATCAAGTCAAAGTAGTCTCGGAACATTGTGCGGACGTCGATGTAAGGGTGGGCGAAATACGAAGGGCGGAGGATGTTGGAGTGAAGACATTGTTTGCTAATAAAGTCACGGATGTCGAACGGTCCGTCGGTGACAAAAGAGTATGTGGCCCCGTATTTGAAGTCGTTGACGGCATTGGCGACTTGTAGGTTAGAAGGGCTTCCATTGTTGCTGCCTCCTCTACCAGAGTTGTTTTTGGACTTTTTGGATTTGACCTTTTTGCCGAGGGGTTGAGCTGTGATTGTGGTTGATGCAGTGGTGTCGTTGTCGGAGAGGATGATTCCGTGAGATGTGAGCCAGTCTTCGAAACGGGCGAGGACCTCCACGAATGTTGGCGCGTTATCGACCGTTTCCTATGTGGGAGCAAACGTATTGAAGGGTAAATAATTATGGTCCCAAGGCCGTCTTGAAATAACCTTGCGCCATATAATGCTGTGCTGTGATGTGTATACGATACCTGGCTGATTCCTGTCAACTCTTTACAAAAGTCGCTGAGGATCGGTCTGTGTATGGGCCGGACATAGGAGTGGAATTCGTCCACCTATTTCATCATACCGTAAATCACAAAAGAGCAAGGGCATTGTTAGGATGTCCATTCTTTTGAAAGCGATACAAGTAGAATGTTCAAACTTTTTGCGTGCCGTCAACAAAAAAATTTAAAAAAAAAAAAAAAAAAAGGCTGACTTACGATTTCAAGAGTGGATCCGTCAAGAAGCACGATAGGGAACTCGATCACCTCGCTCGGGAACTCGAATCGGAACCCAAGCTCACAGGTCGCCTCGACATCGAAGCAGAGATAATAGTCGTATCGACTGTTCTTGTGCAGCTTCTTCTGACTTTGACCAACGTCCTGCTCCAGCTCTTGCTGCTTTTGTGGCTGTTTCTTCTCGTCCGAGGGTTTTTGTTGCTGCTTTTTCTCGTCCAAGGGTTTTTGTGGTTTTGAAGTTGTACCTTCCTCATCCTCATCATTGTCGTCGTCGCTGCTGTTGCTATCTTTGGTGAAGCTGGTTTTGGCGTCCTTCTTGAGATGTTTCCGGAGGCGTTTCTTTAATGCGGACTTGTTTCCGCGGGTGTCCAGTCCCAGCTGATTGAGTTGTTCACGGATGTCTTCGACTACTGTCATTGGAAGGGTATATGTATTCTTGATATGTGCTGTTGTTGTTGTTGAAGAAGAAGAACAGTGTCCAGTGCGTGCGTAGTGTGGGTGGTTGGGTGGGAAAAGAAACGAGAAAAAGGGCGAACGAAGAAAGGGGGGAACCACTCTTTTGCTTTTAAGAACGGTGGCTTAGCATATCCAGATTTTTACAATTTGACCATTTGCTGCGGTGGGTTGCTGTGCACGCGCCCCTTCGTCCACTTTTTTTTTGTGGGTGTGTTTGCCGCAGGACCCGTTGGAGCATCGAAAGAAGATGTCGCGGAATGACGCGTTTCCATGTTCTGGGATCTTCTACTGGTCCAACGCTACGACTCTTTTCACTTTTGCAAGCAGTTGTTTCTAAGCACTAACTTTTTCTCTTTACTTCGTCCATAAATTAGCGCACCAAGAAAAAGAACATAAGACAAAGAAGAACTTGCAGAATGGTCGATAGATCATTTCCCTCCAGATTAACACGGGGTCGATATGAAGAAGTTAGCGGGCCTATGGCCGATGGAATTTTACGTGACTAACTGACGGGACGCGTCTGATGGCAACCACATTTGATCACTAACGCGTTTTTATCAGTGATCAATGATTAATGATATGACGGCAACGCGTTGTCACTCACCAGGACGGAAAGGTATAATCGCCCCCTCTCTACACCTACTTTGCTTCGTCAGGGGGATGGCGAACGAGAACATTGTCGCCACAGGGATCTATTACTGTCATACGGATAACATCACCGAGTCCTGACCGGACTTTCGGATCCAGGTGGCTGAGCCTAGGTATGAACAGTCGGACAGGGAGAGGATGTGGTACATGTACAGACTCTGCGATGGCGATGAGGATCTCATCGTATCGACGACGTTTGTGCCACCCCAGCAGGCAGAATGGCACTGTGTGATCGAAATCTTGCAGGGGATCGAGCCGGGGTTGCCGTTGGAGCTTGTGCAGATGATTTCGGGACTGTCGGATAGGTCCAAGCTTATGGAATTGGAGGAAGCCAAGAAATACCGCGAGAAATTGATGGAAGAGCGCAAGTTCTTTAATCAGACGACCAACGACGAGGTCTTTGCGCAACCCTTCAGTTTCTGTGAGCACAAGTCTTTTTGTTTTTGCCTTTTTTTTTTTTGTTCTTTTGAGTTATCGATGGAAAATGAATAGCGAAATCTGCTGTTTATTTGAAGGCTACGTTACCACTCTTTGGATGAAAATTAAGGATGCCGGACAGTGGACGTGAACCTGCTACCTACCTCCAAAGCTATTCCCTCAACAATCGACCCATCCTCCCCCAATGCCACAGGCAACATCTGCGAAACAACCCACTGTGCAGTCTTGGTATGTAAACTACCTTCCACCAACTGACCCTCCTCATTCCGTCCTGCATCGATATGGCACTTGCCTCTGGCCAACGCGCTAAAGATAACTAACTGGTCTCGCAAGTACTCATCCACACACCCGCCATGCTTAAGCTCCATCTGCAGCTGCTGGACGACCTCTTTGACAAGCTGCTCCACAGGCCCGTTCAGCTCCCCTCCGCGTGTCTTGCGATCGTACAGCCAATCCCGACCCAGGAGGTGACCATTCTCACTCTTGGCCACGAGGAGCAGGTAGAGTCGCGAATGATGTCCACTATCCTCAAAGGTGATGGTTGTAGCAACTCCCGGAAAGTTGGCCGCCAACCTGATTGCAACCTCATGTCGGAACTTGTCCTGAACGATCTTGGGTCCAAGAACTGTCGCCTCAATATGTTGGATGGTCCCACGATTCGTCAATTCGAATGATGGGAGGTATGACTTGGTTGGGAGTGGGGTGATCTCGAAAATGACAGTACCAATCTGAGGTCCTCCTGTGCTCCAGCCACGAGACTCGAGACGGGCGGTGATGGGCGGTAGTCCAATGCGAGAGAATGTTGGGAGGAGAACCTTGTTGATGTATTCGAACGAGGGTGAGAAGCTGACGTTGGTGCCGCCCTTGATAGTGATGTGGATCGGCGCTGGCAGTGGCAATGACCCATCACTGGCATCTTGAGAAGTCGAGTCAGAGAAGCGTTCAGAGTGCGTCCAAAGATAATAAACGGTAGGATAGCCTGGAGGACGAGGGCAACGCTCCCAGGACTACCAATATCAATCATCTTGGGCAAGGACAAAAACCGATGGCCATCCAAAGGTTCATCGTCAGTGTCCCTGTCCCACGATAGTCTCAATCCTGTGCTTTTGATCTCTGCGCCCTCGATGTTGGCCTCGCTCGCCTTCGCCAGCCAATTGACACCTGTGAGGTGCTGGTACTTGAGTCCACCGCCTCTGGGTCGGTTGCCACGAATCCGTGTAATGTTCAAAGGTATATTGGTGATGGCTGAGAGACAGACGGCGATACGAAGGATCTGGCCGCCGCCTTCTAATGTGGTCCCATCCAAGACGACTGTGTTGATCATGCTATGTGTGTTCCTGTGGGAGCTGAGGGGGACTAGTGATAAGAGTGTGAAGTGGAAGAGAAAGAAGAGGAAAAGTGAAAGAAAAAAGAAAAAAGAAAAAACACATACCGCAGTGAAGCCTGTGAGCCTGGAGGCGCAAGGTGTGGCTTTGATTCGCCCATTGATACAGTACGAACCCTATGTATGTGTCATGCGCCTATTTGTCTTTTTTATTCGTGCTCTCAGAACTACTTCGAAGATACCTCTCACACTTAGTGCTCTTCTCGCTCGTCATCGCCGCTCTCTACAAGTTCTTCTTTTATATATACACCACTGCCAATTTTCGTGGCTATCGGAGGGCATTGGATCTAGATTGCCGTTGTCAAGCGCCCGCCCCGCGTCGCTGCTCATATAGCCTTGTAATGTGGGAAAGCAAACGATAATAGCACAGAAGATGATGGTTTTTTTTATTTTTTTTTTATTTGCATACAGACGAATAAAATATTGATCCGTTCTTTGTCTTTTTCAGGGGTACACGTTGCACAACGGAATGTAGAGTGTGAGAAATGCTCACAAAAAGGATTATCGTGCTACTCTTATTCCTTTGCCCCAATTTCTCTTCATTCTCTTTCTTTCTTTATCATAACCAAAATGCTGCTCCCTCATCTATGGACAAGCAGCGGGTACGGTAATGACAGAGACACTGATGACGACGGCTTTGAAGACGATGACGAATCCTCCAAAGGATACCCTGTAACCCTCCTCCCAGAACTGACCATGTGTGCCGCCTCGAATGGGATCCGCGAGAAACGTGACTAGTGGACCAAATTCAAGGATCCTCTTATTGCCGCCCCGTTAGAAAGATGAGTTCTTGGCGTCTAGTCAAGAGGAGGTGCAACGGCTGGTTAAGGGAGGAGCAAGTCCAGTACGTGTTTCTGGAACTGGAGTGGTTTGCGCAACAGCGTCAGGACCAGATCGATCACGCTGTGGCACGAGGAGGATGGGGGGAAAGGTCTCAAGGAGCGATTGATAACGTGTGTTCAGAAGCTGGAGGATGTTCCGGAGGATGAGAAGGACTGGGATCCGGGGACAGATGATAAGATCTTGGACTTGGTTCATTCGTCCTTGTTCCCTTTCATTGCTAGCTGGACACTTGTCACTACAAAGGAAATGATCCCGCCGCTGGCGCATATCGGTGGAGGCAAGACCAAGAAACGCGCGCCTCACGTTGGTGGATTGGATTCGACTTTCTATTTGAAAAGGTATTAGTGGTTTCCGACGGATTTCACCTTCACCAGCACAGTGAACGACAACGGCTATGAGGCACAGGAATGAGGCATGAGGAGGAAACTGAAGGTCAAGGCAAAGTCGTTTATCAACAACTTCCACCCTATCAAGCATAGAGACATGTAACCGGTCTTGGAAGAAAATCTAGAAAAGTTCTTGTCAATGTTCGTGCAAGTCCTAGGGGAGATGGGGTCCCTTATAAGTAAGACACCTTGACTGACAGCAAATTCCTATACCTGGTGTGATGGTTAAATAGAGTCCCAGTTTGGCGAGGGTGATGAAGAAGCCGAACAATAATACTTCCGCACCCGAGTTCCAAACCCAATCCACACCCCACCCTTCTACCTCGCAACCAAGAACATTAACCGCCCGTCCACCAGCTTAGTTAATTCTAACAAGCAACCCTTCCAAGTAATCATCAAACTCGCCAACATCGAGCTAACACCCTCGAGCTCCACCTATGACGGCAGATCCTGGCATGTCAAAGGCATGGCGAACGAAAACATAGTCACCATCGAGATCTACTACTACAACTCCGAAAACATCACTGAATCCCGCCGCCTCAACTTCTGTGCCTAGGTCCAAGAGCCGCCCTACCAACAGTCCGACCCCCAGGCTGTGTTACACATGTACGACTTTGAGAACAATGGGGCCCTAATCCAGTATTTAGACGGTCGTGGCAAAACAAGACCACTACATTGCCTTTCCAAATACCTTCCAACACCAAGTCCAGCCGTTTCGATTACAGGCACAACCGGCCCTGGATTCAGTGTTCTTCCTCGCCGACCCCGAAGAAGGCCCCCATTCTGTTCACAACATTCGTGCCACCACAACAAATGGCTGCTCTTCAGGCACAGTGACCGCTGCTTCGCTGAACAAGAGGCTGGCCAAGAAGCTGTCGCCAGAGATTGCACGCGATATCGAGCGGCCGGTGTATTAGTCGATGACGCTGGATGAGGCCAAGAAGCATCGGGAGCTGTTTGATGAAGGAACGCAAGTACTTTGTCACCACCATGAGCGAGGATGTCTTTGAGCGGCCCTTCAATCTCTGCGAGCACTAAAGCGTTTCAACCTGCGAGCAACTAAAGAGCGCTTGATTTTTTTTGTGTAGATGATGTTATTGTTGTGTTTTTCTATTGTAAACGAGTAATGTGGAAAAAGGAAAAGAAAGAAAAAATAGTAGAAAAATGCTGGATACAACTCCTTCAACTCTCCTCCGCATGAGAGAGACTCCCTCCTCTCAAACCGCAAAAAAAAGAATGCCCCTCTAAACAATAACAGGGGTGTCGCCGACCTTTGTTGGTGTATAGACAGCGCCCTGAACCTCAACATCCGAAGGCAGTGCAAAGTCCTTCTGCTCCTCAAGGTAGTACTTTGTCAATGCGTCCTTGTTCGCCCTGAACTCGGCCATCTTCAACGAAGATCCGAATCCCTCTCCCATCTTTTCCGTGCCAGAGTAGACGCCCACGATAAAGACGGGTGCCTTCGAATGACGACCAGTCTCGGACATCAAACGGGCCACGGGTCTCTCGCGTCCCAAACGCTTCATCAGGAAGGACAAGTAAAGCTTGGGCTCTTCAATCTCCAGCAGCTGGACCAGATCGAAGTCACGCGACAAGAAGTGGGCGTGGATGAACTCGCGTGCCTTGATGGGGCCCTGGTCAACGTACAATGCTCCAACTGTTGCGCGAACAATCGATGCCTTGACAGTGTTGAACGCCAACTGGTGCTCCAACTCGGGCTATTATGATGTAATATGGATAGGGACAATGTTAGACCATCGGAACACTGCGCCAATAGCAGCTCCTGACATGTCATTCCTAAACAAGATAAAGTACCTTAGAGCGGATCCAGCGGGCAGCATCCTCAACACCAAACTCCTTGGCCATGAGAGCCAATGTGCTTGACTTTGTGTAGGTCGAGACTGCATCCTGCAACATCTTCGTAGGCATCTTGGGGTATTTGGTGTGAAGGTACTCCAGCACAAACATATCCAGAACCTTGGCGCCTGATTTTCATTGGATAAAAGTAGTGAAGAATGTTAGTTCATGATGTCTGTTGTAGGTCTGTATTGCGCACTGGCAATTGTACTATGCATAATTTGATCCGCTCTCCAGATCGGCCGTCAGGTTGCGACTTCCAGGAGTAGCCAATCTGCTCAACCTTTCCCGTTGACAGATAGCACGAGACAGTCTAAGAAAAAGAGAGCCAAGTAAGCTTACCGAGGTAGTCGAGTCTCTCGTTGGTGGCAATGCCAACCTTCTCGTAGCTGGGGTGAGTGACGATACGCATGAGCAAGGTCTGGTCCTTGAGCTGGTTCAATCCCAAACGGTGAGCAAAGGCAACGACCGCTGCTGGTGGTCTCTCTATCCTGTATTTTGAGTCCTGAGTCGTAGTAAATGGTTGTGCCTTCTCATTGTCCTGTACTGCAGCTGTCTTTTTGGTGGGCTTGACGTCGATACGGTAGGTGCGGATGAGAGCAGGAGGGCATACTATTTTGGAACCAAAGAAAAAAAAGTTGATCAGGACGTGCTTTCGTGCTGGGTGTAGGGTCATGAGTGTTGGTAGTTTCTAGGGTTTGTTGTTCTGTTGTTCCAACGGTGGTATGCGTTGTTGAAAGAGTGTTGTTGTTATGATGGTAAGGTGCATGGTTGCGTCTGTGTGTAAGTTCCTGCCAGAGCGCATGGTCAGCCCTTTCGTGGGGAGAATTGTTCCTGGATTCCGAGTTGATTAGGTGTTAAGAGAAGAGAAAACACACCTCGGACAGCGGAAGCACGGAGTGTGTTCCTGGCGAGGACGAGGGGGGAGCGGAGGAGTCCGGCCATGGTTTTCTTGTGTCGAGGGGTTGAAGGAGAGAGTAAGAAAAGGAAGGGAAGGGAAGGGACTGCAAGCAGACTTGAAGAAGGGGACCGTGGTTCGGAGGGTGTTGGGCTGGACCAGCTGCTGGGCGATAGTTCTATCGCAAGGGCAATTGCTTGTCTTGTGTGCCTTACAGTACAATGTCGGTGCAGCGTGAGTGCTGGAGAGGCATTGTAAACATAAGCCACACCCATGGAATTCATCGATCGAAAGAGGAAGACCCTTACTTCCTCGTCGAGATTAAATGTCTCTATGGATTTAACTCACTCAACGATCGTCTCGCCTTGTCTAGCCTTGTCCACCTAGGTTGCACAAAAAAATGCTCCCTTTTGAACAACAGGAACTAACAAACATTATAAAAAAAACAACAACAGAGCTTGCCTCATCATCTTTTTTCCTCCTTTCCACTCTTCCTTCTTTCACTCTCACACGCGATTCACATTCCTCCTCTTCTTCCTCATGATCCTCAACCCTCTCAGCAACCAGGTCGGCGGACATGACGGCGTCCTCTCCATGGGCGACGACAACGAGATCATCGTCAAGCCCGCCCTCCCCCAGGAGCTCAAGTTCTACGAAGAGTCTGTCCTCCACGCCGAACTCGCCGCCTGGATGCCCACCTACTATGGCACCCTAACCCTCACCCGAAGCATGCCCGGACAACCTGGCGACGATCAGTCTGCCCCTACTATCAAGGCATTGAACGGTTATGCCTTGTCGGACATGATGGCTGCTTCTACTCTCGATCAACAGGATGGCGCCAACGCTGCTGCTGCTTCTATCGCCGAGACTGATGTCGTTGCGGACGAGGCCGAGGAAAATGGCGTAAATGACGATGAGTGTATCTGTCTCGAGAATGTCTCCCTGGGATTCAAGAAGCCCTGTGTCCTTGATTTGAAGATGGGCACCCAGCTCTTTGACGATGATGCCTCAGAGGAGAAGAAGGCTCGCCTCGGTGCCGTTGCTGCCAACACTACCACCCTTCCTCTTGGTTTCCGTATGACCGGCTTCGAGGTACTGCAAGCGAAGTTTTATTCTCGAGATTTTTTATTTTATTACGATGTGATGAGTGCATCAGCCGGCTGATTATGCATGATGCTCCCTCGTTTGATGGTCATTATCTGCTCCTATTGTTTTCACATTTTAGCTGACCCCTTTTTCTTCTCCAACTTGAATAATAGGTCTATGACAGCGAAAAGGGTGATTTCACAAAGTACTCCAAGCACTACGGAAAGGGATTGACCGAGGACACGGTCCTGGACGGATTCAGGAACTACTTTGCCGCAAAGCTCGGGCCCGAGCGCATGCGTCTAATCATTGAGCGGTTCGTCAACGACCTGACCGACTTTTTGGCCACCATCGAGAACCAGGAGTTGCGCATGCGGTCCAGCTCGCTGTTGATGATCTATGAGGGCGATAGCGAGGCATTTGATGCTGGTGTTGCGATTGAGCAAGAGAAGATTGGAGCTATTGTTGCGAGGGCTCAGGCACATATGGAGAAGAGCGCTCGGGAAGATAACGAGGATGAAGATGAAGATGAGGATGAGGAAGGCGAGGAAAACGATGAGGACTTTGAGGACTATGATGAGGATGACGAGGAGGATGGTGAGGTTGGACAAAAGGTCACAGATATGCGCTTGATTGACTTTGCCCACTCTACTTGGACTCCTGGTCAGGGACCCGATGAGGGAGTTGTCAAGGGTGTCAAGAGCGCCCTTGCCCTCTTTGAGAAGCTCTTGCAGGAAGACTACCCATTCGACTCCTAAGCACTCACTCGTAAATAGACGGCCATTCCTCATCTCATTTCACTCGCAAGCACGCAAAATACTACTCCTTTTCATAGATCTTCCATATCCCACCTAATGCATACCACTGATCTACTCGCATCTTCAATTCTCTCCTTCATGAAAAATGTGTCTATTTGTATGATGATGCAATGTATGAAAAACATGAAAAGAAAAGGAAAGATGAAGACTACGTTCTAATCGCAACGACCATCAGAAGGCCCATCCCTCCACCGCTCATCAACCTTATTACAATCGAACTTATCCTTCCCCAACATCTCATTGACCTTATTATGCATCCCACACATCCACCAACTCAAATCTCTCCGACTCTCAACCTTTGGCGGATCGACCTTCATTTCTTCCCGCAAGTGCTCGGCACAATGTCCACAGGGGTAGAACTGTGAGAAGGATGTCAGGAGGGACTTCATGGTCGATTGTTCCATGGGCGAAGGTTTGTCCGGGTAGTATGCCGCCATTGTGTGCAAGAATGTCCATGTCGCCCGGCCGAGGATTTCCTTGTCTGCAGGGCATTCCTTCTCATAGTCGAATGATGATGACCCTGTGGCGATTGCAGCGGTAGCTCCGATGGCGGCAGCGGCCGCTCCAGCTCCAGCTCCAGCTCCAGGTCCGGGTGTCGAAGTAGAGTCTTTGGAGTCCTTCTTGGCTTTGGATTTACCGATCTTGGACCAGCTCTTCCAGTCTGTGCAGGTGCGGCAGGGTTTTCCGTCTGGTCCGAGGACCATGCCTGGTGGGAGAGGAGTGCTGGCCTCTGTTGTCGACGACGAGGATGTTGAGGTGTGATCCGGTGCTGGCATCATTGTACGCGTGTGTATGTGTGTGAAGGAAGGAAAAAAGGTGTTGGCGATATTAAGTGAGAAAGTTGGAATAAGGGTGTGTGTTCTGGCTGTTTGAGGATTAGAGCCAGGAAGAAAAAGGAGAGGTCGTGCGAAGCAAGGGGAACCCGGGAGTAGAATGATTCCCGAGTTTGTCGAGCGTGTGTGCAATGAATGGAATGGAAGAAAAGAAGGAAGAAGAGAGAAGCGTGGAGAATTATGTTGACAGAAAAGGAGAAAAAAAAAAGTGCGAAGCAAATGGATATAGTATTAGCTGATCGGAATTCTCATCACGTGGTCAATCGTCAATGGGAACACCTCTTGGCTATTCAACGTGCAGTGACATATGAACAAGAAACCGAGAACATCAATAACGGAAGCAGGACATGTGGCGATAAGAGACATGGATGCAATCGAGTGAAGAACCATATGACAGTGTTTATTATTGCAAGACACGCACTGCATAGGAGCAGCTTAATAACAACAACAAGACACTGCTGCAAAAAGGGTATCAACAATTTTTTATGTGTACATGGTGCCTGCCACGGACATGAAAAAAAAATTGGATACTGCAAGCAATTGAATCTCGGGAAAGAAAGAAGTAAGGGTAGGGGGGGATGAGAGAGAAGGGACGAGAATAGGGGGATAGAGTACAAGATGGGAAGATGAAAAGAGGGAGAAAAGAGGGAGAAGAGGACTTTACAAGGTGGATGGGAATATGTACAAGGTGGAAGAGAAGAGAGGGGTTCAAGAAAAAGCTAGGAATAGGGCCCTTACTTATCCTCGCAGCCGGTGGTGTGGCGAGAGAAAGAAAGTAAGGACAGAAGGAAGGATAGCACACCTTCTCTCTCCCTTGAAAGAACCAAAGGAAAGAACCATGAGACAGAAGGGGATCCGTTCCTGTTCTTGTTCTTATTCTAAAAGAGCCATGACTCCGAGAAAAGGCGCTGGAAAGGGCTAGCCTCATCCTCATCGAAGACTAGGCTGTCCATCGCGCTCTGGTCGCGCAGACGGTTCTTGTCCGTCTCGGCGTTGATTCGGCTCAAGGCATGGTCCTCCTCGACCCAGTCCATCCACTCGTCCATATCTCCCTCCAGTTCCTCCTCCCACTCATCCACCAACCACCCTTGGTCATGGCGAGATTCACCTTCTGAAGAAGAGCGACTGGAAGACGATGATGATGATCGGTGGCCCTTCTCGCGGAGGATGCCGTCCTCGCCGACCTCGAGCAGCTCCTCCTCGTCAAAGAGGTTGATGGAAGGATAATGCGGCTCAATCAAGGTTCGCTTCTCATCATCCTCCTCGTCGTCGTTGTCGTCCGCCCAAAAGTTTAATTTGTCGGTTGGCTCGCTGACTTTGATATCCTTGGTGGTGCTTGAGTGGTCAAATTTGTAAATTTTGTGGGTCTCGACCTCTCGTTCTCGGTTCCCCTCGTGAGTCAACTCAACCGTCATTCTCACAACAGACTCCTCCTCTTCCTCTACATCCTCCACTTCTTCTTGTTCTCCTTCCTCATCCTCGTAGTTACCGGCGTTGATGATATGAGGGCGTCGTCGAATGACAGCAGGGAGGCGAGAAGGAGGGGAAGGGGGAACAACAATGTCGTCGTTTACATGGGAGAAAAGACTCCGCTTGCGGAGGAGACTTGCACTGCCAGTCTGAAGTTGTCGTCGAACTGGCGAGTCAGAGGAAGAGTGGCGGGGGTAGAGGGGGAGTCGGTCCCGTTTCCAGAAGAGCGAGTTGCTTTTGAGGTCGTCGATGGCGGCGGCCGAGGCCCCTCGCTGACTAATGGATGCTTCGCCAAGGGCGGCCAGGCGCAAGAGCAGAGCCAGGGACAGGAGGACTGTTGAGCCCAATATCCAATTGACATTCGATGGGTGTCGCATTATTGCTGGTACTGTGTATTTAAGTTGGCGGCGTAGGTTGGTAGTTGTTGGAGGGTGGGTGTGTGTGTGGCTGTTGAGGATTGTTGGTTGAAAAGGGATTGACAAGGATGGATGTATGGTGAGAGTGAGCGAAGGAAAGTGGAGGGAGAAGGAACGTGTCGGTAGAAAGTAAAACGAGTGGAGGAGAAGTGCGAAGTAAAGTAGGAAGGAGGGCAAGAGGGCTGAGGTGGGTAAGGGAGGAAAGAAAGAGAGAGGAAGAGGAGGAAGGGAACACACAGATGCAGGGGACAGGGGAAAGAACAGTCAGCGGGTTTTCGTGCTTTTCTTTTTTGTTGTTGTTGTGTTTGTTTGGTTTTTTTTTGTTGACGGTGACAAGAAAAAGCAAGAAGCGGTTGAAGCGTACTTGTGTGAGTGGCAGGGAAAGAGGAGAAAGGGACGAATTTTAATCGAGAGCGAAGGTGGTGTCTTTGAGGATGAGAGCCTTCGTTGTGGTGTGTGTATGGTAGTTGCCGTTGTTTGTTGTGAGTCGTTGTAGTTGTATGTGAGATGGGTTGTGCTTGAAATGGTCGGATTGGTCGGATTTGGGATATGGATAGGGGTTGGTTCTTTTGAGATGAATACGATCAATAAATATGCGATGGTTGGGATGCGGCGGTATATGTAAAAGGAACGAAGGAAGGGGCGCAAGGGAAGGGAGGATGTAGACAGGGGGAGGATTGGGGTCTAGACTGTGTTCGTAAAAAAAAAAAGGAGAGAGGGGGGGGGGAAGAGGATATGAGGATATGAGGGATGGTAGGATGCGTGAAAGAGAGAGAATGGGCGATACTATAAGAGTACAGTGAGGGAGAAGGAAGGAAAGGCGCCAGAAGGGGATACTCTGGGGGGTAATGGGAAGGGGTGGGGATGAAGGATGAAGAGAGGGAAGGAGAGGAAAGGACAACAGTCAACGAGAACAAAGGGACAAGACGAGAAGAAGGAAACAAAAACAAAGAAGAGAAGAAAGAAGAGTTCAAAAGGTCGGGCTACCCGAGCAGCAGTATTTATTAAAAGCCTGGCTGGCTGACATGATGTTGCCTGTTGCCTCCCTCTCGGCGGGCGTAGGCTGCTGGTTGTTGTTTCGTATTCTCAAGACCAGAAATAGAACAATAATAGTTAGTACCGCATGCTAAGGTGCGGATGGATCCTCTGCTCATCCTCCTCCTCCCTTCTTCCTTCTTCACGACTCTTCTCCCTTTCTATCTTCTATCTTCTATTGTCTGCTGCAGGCTATTCTCTTGTCGCAAGGGGGTTCATCATCATCACTTTATCTTGCCTTGCAACAATAATAACAACAGACATAGCCGACGCCCTTTTGTCCACTTCTCTCTCCCATTCGTCCCCCCTTCTTCAGCAATGCAAAAGGTTCAACGTGAATGTCGGAGACAAAAAGACAAAAAGACAAAATGACAAAAACAAAAAAATGAACAAATATTCACCGAGAACGGGCAGCCATCCCTCTCAAGGAGACATCAACGAGGAGAACAAGGAGACAGCAAACAAAGTGGATAGAGATGTCATGTTTCGAAGTTCCAACGGAAGAGGAAGGAGGACGCGGAGGAAGGGGAAAAGGTCGATGACCATGTACCGAGAATCACATTTATTTAGCCAGCTTCTCTTTTTTTTTGTTTTTCAATCGGTTCAATGGCCAGATGTCCGTAGGCTGTGCCCATTTGTTCCTCGGTACTTTTCGTTTCATACCCATTGCGCCCTTCCTTCTTATCGTTATCGCTGTATCCTTCTACCTCATCTTCCTCTTCTTCATCACTGGTACGCACACACACAGAAAACCAAGTCCATGAAAACTGGACACAGCCAAAAAACGACCTTGAATTGGAGCTGGGTAGAAAAAGGAAAGCCAGCAAGCTTTTTCAATCAATAGACCTTGTCGCAACCAACCAACCCTTGACAGCGTTTGTCAGGGACGGGCTCTCCAACTTGCTGTCAACACGACCATGAACACGAACAACAAATGTGTCATGTAGTCGGCTTATTACTTGAATCCCACACCCCACGATCAGCAGGTTCATCCCGACCAATCGACTGGTCGGTATCCCAACTAGGCGTAATTATCCATGATGCTCAATGGTTTTTTTTCTTAGCTGGAATGCCTCGATAGCATGCGAGCCTGCCTCTCTCGTTCGCTAGCCTGCATCCCATTCAAGTACAACTCTTGCAAGTAAACTTCCAAACCTCTCCTCTTTTCCCTCTTTTTATCCTTTTTGTTGTGAGCCATCATCGATATGCCAGTAATGAAATAAGTCTTATGCCGGTTCATTGTCAGCAATTGAACTAATAAAGAGATGGCCCATGCTTTTTAAAAACTCTTTATTTTCCGGTTCATCCATTGACTGATTAACTTGTATAGCCTTTAGGCGTAACTAGAACTGTAATTTGAAGCCAGGTTGGCGCCGAGCTATGTTGGTGCCAAGCTACGTTAGCGCTCAATAAGCTTGGGTTGGCTCCGCTTTGTAAAAATAGAGCAGGTCCAACGTGAGCGAGGGAAAAAGAAAGGAGAGAAGAGGAACGAACAAAAGAGAGAGAAACGGGGTGGTGACGAGGGTGGATCTGGATCTGGATAAACCGCGAACTCTCTTTTTGACCTTTTTTTTTTTTTAGTACGTTCCTCCACATTGAGCGATACAGCTCTGTTCCCGCCACAAGGTTGTTCCGTGCCTGCTTGCTTCAAAACCTTCGATAAAAAATTCTCCTTGCAGGCACATGGATATCATTCACATGAGGATTGGAGAAGGAGGGCTATTGTAATCACAAGCGGAAAAAGAGACGGAGAGAGAGAGAGAGAGAGAGAGGGGAGGGGGATGAGGAGTGGAGCAACGGTTGAATGACAACCCAGTGTTACTTCAATGACAGGAACTACTGGCGCGTTGCCATCCATTCTTCATAGTCAACGCAGGACAAATATAGTCGTTAATTCACACCAACATTTCATTTCATTATTATTCCAACGCGCAAGGAGAATAAAAAATAGACCTTCGGTCGCTTTATGAGAATGTGAGCATATGATATGAAGAAGAGAGGCGGAATGGAAGGGACAAAGAGGGAGAGAGGGGGTGAGAGGGCTTAGGAGGTGAGCCGTTGGATCTCTTGGTCGGGCCGTAGTCCAACCTCCCCGTCGCGATACAACGAAATCTTGCGGAGAGATTTCCAGCACTGGAAGTCGTCAGAGTCCATCTCCTCCATCATCGCCTTCACATCCACCAACAGACCCAAGTTATCCAGTTCTTTTCTCACCTCTGCCGTCCCCTCGTCCTCCTTCAATGCCGCGGCAGATGTAGCGATACTATTATCACCGCGAGAACCTGACTGTCCATGTGTCTGGATTCGCAACACCTCCTGCTTCTCCTCCTCGACCAACAACTCATCCCACTCTCCCACAATCTTGCGTCGCTGTCGTCGGTCCGTGAAACTGTGCTTGTTGGTCACCATCCATTTCAGATCCCAGCTCTTGTATGCAATCAGTCGTTCCGACGAACCGATCCGCAGTCTCTCTAGCCACTTCAGTCGCGCCAACAGACAGAACCCGCCTTGCAGTCGCATATGGAGCACAGGCGCATAGATCCGGTTGTTCAGCACACACGACTCCGTCGTAAAGATCGCCAGATCCCGCAACTGTGGGCACACTCGAGCCAAGTATCCAAAAATAAGTCGCGCGTTGGTTGGAGACGACAGTGTCGAGTCCCGTCGACTGTGGAATGCCAAGTGAAGAGTCTGAAGGTTGCGACACTTCCAGATTCCTGGCCGGACTGTCTGTGCTAGTCCTGTGGCAGGGAGGTACCGTCCACGAAGACGTTGGTGCAGATCCAAATGCTCGACTAGGTAGGCTGTCTTGGGTGCTCGGAGGTGCATCAGATGGGGCGAGGCGCAGAGGTATCGGTGAAGCCCGCTGTCGGGGCCGCAGTTCGTTATGGTCTCACAAAGGATTTCCAGCGTCGTCACCACATTGGGCACCTCGTTCAGGTTCCGTAGCATGGACGGCGTCAGATCTGCTGTCCAGAACGTCCATTCCCCACGGGATCCCGGTGGCAGGTGCACGATGTCAAACATCATCTCCCGCAGCTCTGACGTCGTCAAGGGTTGGTCCCGGATCGAAAAATGGAAGGATCGTAATGAGAGGTCCAGAGCTCGAACGTGCTGAAAGAAACGGATAGGGTCGTACTGAACGGTAGGGTCGTGCTGTGGGAGTGCTGGGTTGACCTTGAACAATCCAATGATCTTGAGTTCCTGAAGGTGGGGTGTGATCGATAACAGGTCTTCGAGACTGTACTGAGGCAACCGGACCCTCTCCAGCACCAGCGATAAAAGTCGTAACGGCCGTTGCTTGTGCGACTCCTTGACGAACGGGAACCATGGCCCTGGCAGCTCCAAACAGTGTGTCGACAAGGCCGAGACATGAACGTCCTTCAACAAAGGACAAGCCTTGAGCAACTGTCCCATCTGCAAGGTGGTATTGCAGCTCAGTTCCAACTGCAGCCTCGTCAGTGCGTAGAGACAAGGCAGGATGGGTGGTAAGGAGGCTCCGATATCAATATCGCCAATGATCTCCAGCTCCCGCAGCGGCGAATCCGTCAACGCTCGTTTTGTAATTGAGTCCTCCTGTAACTCTTCGTCACTGCTGCTCTGATCCACATGCTGATATTGTCGGATCTGGTTTTGAAGGAACTGATCATGGTTGCGTTTGAGGACTTTGCGAAGCTGTACCCAGTGAGCGTCCCGATTGACGTCCCGACCCGTGAACCAGCAGAGTCGCCCGGCGCCAGGCAATCGAGTTAGGACCTTGTTCAGTTTCCGGGGGTCCGAGTGTCCGTCAAAGATCAGGCCGCGGATCACACGGTGCCGATTCATCCAGTACCACTGGCGACAGACCAATATCGCAGATTGACAGAGGGAGTGGTTGTCGACATAGGAAAAGATGTGGTCCAGAACTTCAGGGATCTTCAAGGGTGATGGTGTGGTTGATGTTGCTGTTGCTCGGCTTGTCGAGGGTATCGGATCTCGCAGTTGCTGCTGCGGTATCGCTGAGGTCATGGTCAGCAGGGAATAAATATGGTTCGCCGAAAAAAAAGCGGAGTGAAAGGAGAAGAAGAAGGGAAGAATGGAAGAGGGGTGTCGTGGGAGAGAAAGAAAATTTAAGGAAAAAAGGCCTTTGCGCACGTGATACGTGACCATGACCATGACGCATGGTCAAGTTTATTCTCTTCGGGGTGCAAGGGGTTGAGCTGGGGATTGTGACTATTACGATGGCGGTGAGTAGGCGCTTACACTACTATATGTCAAGGGCGCCACTCCCCAACAAAGTTACAGACTGGGAGCAAAGGTCAGTCTTGGTTCTCTGAGGATAACTCAGCAAAGTGTTATGATGTCTCTTCAGTTTTCCCGATCAATTACAAACTCTCGACGGTGGATAAAGCCCGCTGCTTACTTCGACAAAAAGGTCACATTCGAGTCGACTATGATAGCGATGCTGATGAATGGTTTTCATACGTTGCTGCTGCTGCTGCTGCTGCGGAGGAGGAGGAGGAGGAGGAGGTTGTCGTTCTACTTGCTGCCGTCGGCGTTGCTGCTACTGCGTTAGAAAGGGCAATCCTTGGTCGCTTGTACAGTCGAGGCGGTGGTGGTGGCGATGTAGGTTGTTGTTGTGCTGAAACTGTGTCTTCATCCATGCTTGTGTCCTCTGTTACTTGCTCTGGGGTCGTTGGTCTCTTTGGATGCTCGTCCGTCGACTTCGGGACCTAGTAGGGTAAAATTTATGTGTTAAATTGATGTTCTCCTAGGAGGGGCTTGTATCCTTCATGTGAGCCAACAGGAGGCTACATTACCTTGTTCTTTTGACGAATGACGGCCAGTATGAGATTCTCATCACTACTGGGCAAGACTAGTAGAGAAGAAGGAGAACGACAGACGGTGAATGTCAGCATTCAACTTGTGCGCTACAACTGCAATGCAGCAAGAGTGAAAAAGGATGTCCTTGGAAAATTACTTTGAGTGGGCACTTGTCCAGAGGTGGCGAAGAAGGGCTTGTTATGGGAGTGGGTGTGTTCTGTCCTAACGCGTTCGTAAGTTGCGGTCTGGAATGCGTTTGTCTTTGAGGGCAGGTTCCGTAAACACTCCATTCGGGTTTGCTTGCTTGCTTGTCAGTTGTCGGTTGTTGATGGTAATGTAGGTTACTTTTTGGTGGCAAAACAGGTAAAAGGCAGAAGGTGAAAGGAGTGAAAGAGGTGTGGAGGTGGAGCAAAGGAGCAGGAGCTGAAGGAGAATGAAATGAATAACTGATCGATCAGTGTGATTGGCTGGGTTTGCATGTATGCATCTCAGCCCCTCTGTTGCTTTCTTTTATTTCCCCTCATTATTCTCTTGTCTTTCTACAAGAACCGCCCCATATTCACCGCCCCAGCAGCCTCGTGAAGACTTCAATCCCTCAAACAATGAAGAACAAGTGGTCTCTGTTGACAGTAACGTAAACAAAGGAACACGCCACTGCCCTTGTCCTTCTCGCCTGTATCTTACTCTGAGTGCTGAAAAACAACATCAAAAAAGGCTGTATCTTTCATATCCTCTTTTCCTTCCATCTTTTTCTCAGCTTCTTCTCACTTATTTCTTCGTTTCCAACACAATGCAACAATGAACTTGCTCAGGAAGCCGTTTTCAAGGACGTCAAAACACCGTCCAACCTCTCCTTGTCACTCCTCGCCATACCTGAGGTCCTGAAGCTCGTCTTCTCCTCTCTCGACGACGTGACCACCCGCAGGTTAGTCGCCCTTGTTTGTCGACAGTGGTTTCTCCTGAACCACAATCGCCTCTCCCGCACCGTCATATGGCATCCTTCTATGAGCAAAGCAAGGCTCGACATGGTTCCTCTTAAACTGGCTGGGGCTGCTCGGTATTACTGCTACATCTCAGTCGGCCATCTTCTCCTCCGCAAACACCAAGATAACGTCTGGAATGTTGTCGCCCAGTCCCAGGCGATAAGCAGAGCAGAGGAAACGAGAGGGACCCAGCAAGCAAACGTCAACACTCCACAATTTTTTCCTTGCTCAAGGCACTCCATCTCGACAACCATACATTAGTCAGCAGCACATGTGTTCACTGCGTACTTTCCAGCACTGGTTCTCAAACCTGTCTTTAGTCTCGACTCACCTAAAACTAGTACTGACCTGGCAGCATCCTGCGCGATTGTACGTTGCTGGAGTTCCTTGAGGTGGGGGGAGGATTATTCCTGGAGCTGACTTGGGCCTCGTACTTCGATATTTTTTCTTCTATAGCACCGTTTTCGAGAAGGACAGTCTCGAGAACTGTTTGGCCTTTGCTCCCCAACTGAACGTGCTCAAGCTAGTTTCCTTTCGGCATCGTCGCAATAGCAACGAAGGATACAACGAGCCTCGACTCTTACGACATATTTAGTCGCTTACGGTGGATCTGAATGTCATACATTTCTCCAAGCAGGGTCAACAATTGCCTCCTCAAGTCTAGCAAACAACTGCTGGAGATCTGCCCGATCCTTTTAGAATGGCACCTATGACCACGCAACATCTCGCCGTCATTCCTCAAGCAACTGGACGTCCAAACCGACCGCTTGACGACCTTGGAGCTTTACTATGTGCCACGGGGACTTGATCTTCCATCTTACCTCAACGTTGCGGCATTGACAATACACGATGTCCTCTGCATGTCCGACAAGGTTGTGCATCTCAAGACTCTCAGGACCGTTGTGCGCCTGGAGGACATGGATATTCACCACCGAGGAGGCCACTTTTGCTTGGATGGGCTAGTCGTGGACGAGGACACAGCAGATGACGACACAAGCGAATCCTCAGCACCCCCAGCACTTTGGCGTTGTCGCAGCCTGCGAACACTTCATCTCGAAGTCCACGGTCATGGAAAGAGATTTTGGCGTATGGAGCACAGACATAGTCGCATCATCTTTGGCTATATCCCCAGAGTGTTTCCTCTGCTGGAGGAGCCCCATGTCCCTACGCCTCGATATTGCAAGAGTGGTGATGTTTAGGGCCAGCCACGATTATCCTTGATGCTGGAGGGCAGACTTTGTTTGCTTGGCCGACTGAAGTACCTACAGAGGTTACGGCTGAGAGTTGAAGTGGACAAACAGTTGGTGATGGGTAATCTCAAGAAGAGGGACTTCAACTGCATGGTGCCGTCGGGACACAACACCATGTACAGGTAGTGGAGACGATTGGCGGTTAGACGATGGCAGTAGCGACGGGTCTTTGAGGACCGACTGGAGGAATCGCGATCGCGGAGGTCGAAAAGAGATACAAGTGCATCATTGGATACCGAGGTGCTGGGTCAACTCCGGACCTGGGGCATTTGCTCGTATCGCCCGCTGCCATTCCTGGGAGTGCTTTCGATCAAGCACCCGTACGTTGCATAGCCTGAGGGTGAGATGACAACATGCCCGTCAAGGGCAAGTATGCTATACTACTGCAATAATAAAGTTGCATGCTGCTATGCTGTCAAACAATAATAAAATACCTCTCTTCAAACCTCAGTTTTGAATGGATTCAGAGAATTGGGTAATCGTCACTGATGATTTAGCATCTAAACCATGACCATGAGCAGATTCAACAAGATCGGTTTCATTAGCAAGGTTCTCATTTGAGGGTGCTTCTTGGTCCACTTTTTACCATCCCTCATCGCGCTTTGCCCGTCAATTGCAAGATGCTGGACTGGGGAGTCAAAATATAATTGATGTAGCAGTCGCATTTTTCCCATTGTCCACCCACTGAACTTTATTCTCCCTTTTCTTTTCTTCACCAACAGCGCCCATGCTGCGATACATCAACCTCCTACGTCAGAAGACGCCAGTGTCGACCACCAATAACACCAGGACAACGTTGTCACCGCTGGACCTTCCCGAGATCCTCGAACTCATATTCTCCTACCTCGACGACTACACCACCCGCCGCTCGGCTGCTCTTGTCTGTCGCCAATGGTACTTCCTCAACCAGGGCCGGCTTGCTCGTGAGGTCACCTGGAGCCAAGATTGGAGATCATCAAGGAAGGAGAGAGCTCTGCACAAGTTGCCTGGTGCGGGTCGGCTCTATATCTGCCACCTGGGCAATCGATCCGATTCCATGCAGGATGCTATTTTCGCTCTACACCGGCTCGAGTCTAAGTATCAGAAGCAATTAGGACAAGGGGCCAGCACAAGCGCAGTCAGCGACAACAGCAACAACAGCAACAACAGCAACAACAGCAACAACAGCAACAACAGCAACAAACGCATATCCACATCTATGACCGCTCTGACGCTCTACAACTCCACGCCTCTCAAAGAGTTGGTTCTGTACACTACGTTCGGTCGCCCCTTTATCGAGTCGTTCCCTATCCCATCGTCCCTCACCCGACTGACCATCAAAGTTGGATACTCGCATTATGTAGAGTGGGACTTTGGCATGATACTCAGTAAATGTCCGTTGCTGGAGTACTTTTGCGCGGATACATTTAACACATCCGGCATCCATTTTCGACTGTCGCCATTCGACTCTACAACAACACCACGTCTCCCACTCCGATCCCTAGTTCTCCACAACGTCGCACTTTCACAACCCGAACTCGAAATCCTCATGCGACTCACACCAGACCTCAAGGAGCTCAAATTGATGGCGATGATGTGGGATGAGGGCAATGAGTACAACTGGACTCTGCTGTTCACGTTCCTGATGGACAACAACATCACCCTCGACAGGGTGCACTTTTCGTCCCTTGACCGCAAGATGTCAGCCAAGGAGACGGAGCAATTGCTGGCAGACATTTATCCTCATCTGTCGTCGGAACGGTCTCTATGGGCGCTGGATGTGACACCACAGCTCCTGCAGACGATCACCTCTCAGCCAAATACGCTCACAACCTTGGAGGTCATATGGAAGGCACCAGAAAGATTTGCTCCCAAGTCCTGCTGCCTCACCTCCCTTGCCCAGGCCCCAGGACTCATTCATCAGTATCTCTGCGAATCGCCATACCTCGCCCACCTCACAACGCTAAAGATGATTGTACGAATGGATGATATGGATCTCTTTGGTCGATCAGGATACCTTCATCTGGACAGAGGAAACGACGCCATCTTTCCAGACAACTCCTCGACACCTCTCGACCATCCTCGGTTCTGGCGGTGTCGCGGCCTCCGCACCCTCCACATCGAAGTCCACGCCCCTGGCCCGTTTCGACTTCAGCACCCAGTCCACAGTCGAATCGTCTTTGGTTACGTCGCTCGTGTCTGCCCACTTCTCGAGGGCCTCCAGATCTGTTTCCCAAAGGACTGTGAGTCGGAAACCTTCGGAGGCCGATACCGCACATACCCATGTCTACAGCTCAAGGGAGGACTTTGCCTCCTTGCCCGATTGAGATACCTGCAGAGACTGAGGGTAATTGACGACACGGGAAGTTTCATGGCCACTGAATGCAAGGAATGGGACATGAATTGGATGGTGGCTTCAGGATGGAAGAGCTTTCATTCAAGGAGGAAGAGACAGAAAGAGGTTGAAAGCTGGCGGGATTGGCGGCTAGGTGAGGACCGAGCGGAAGCCATTCGATCTCAAACTCGACAACACCCTTTGGAAACTGGGGGTGATGGCTCCAATGAAATTGATACGGTGGTCTTGAGTGAGCTCCAGAATCTGGGCCTCTTGATGGACGTAGAGGAAATGATAAAGGAGATGGAGGGGACGAAAGGGGTGCAGCCAATGCCTTTGTTGGAGAGGTTGTCGTTCACATATCCTGTCATGTTACGACCGGAGGAAGAACTTGAACGGTTGTTTCCGAGTTGGTTCAATAAGTTGCGGTTTGATTGATTGAATAAAGAGAGTGAAAGCACACAACGACCGGTGGACAAAAAAAAAGAACATGTGCAGGATTTATTATTGCGAGGAGGGGAGGGGGGACTAATGCGCGGGTGTCTTCTTCATTTCTTCCAGGTAACACAAAAAGACAGAAACAGAGGGGACTGAAAAAAAAGAACAGTTAACTTAATAAACCACTAAATAATTCAACCGCAGATGTTTGACAAAATGGACTCGGTAATGTATTGCTTGGTCAAAAAGGCCGCCTTTGAGCAGACAAACTCATGAGCGAGGGAGGGTAATTGAAGAACCTTTGCACAGGGCGAGATCTATCACTGTACATGCCTCCTTTTGACCCTTTCGACGATATCTTTCATCATGCCAAACTCTTCGAGCACTTCGCTGGCTTTTTCCAAGTGCATACAAAACTGCTCGGTGAACTCGTTGGTCCTGGAGCCAAGAAGTGTCTCTGTCGACCAATCGTAGTGCGCATGTAAGATGCTAAGGGGAGTGAGCTTGGACAAATTGAGACACCGAAATGTGCTATCCAGAGCTTCCAGTGGTAGACCGATCATGCGTAGCCCCTTCAGAGGTAAGGCCTTCAAACCCCCTGGAAGACCCTCAATTCCGGTCATACCGCCTAGGAACAGTTTCTCGAGTTGACAGGGATGACTGCCCGACAACAGGTTATCGAACATAGGCTGGAGGTAACCCTCGTCCATGCGGAAAAGACTAATAGAATGTAACGTGTTGAAGTCGACATACTTCAAGAGGCTCTGGGGCCGCTGATCCGTGCCGAAGTGAATGAGGGGTAGTACTGGCAGGATCGAGGCGAAATGACAAAGTGTTGGCTCTGTAAGATCCACGGCAAGATGGAAATGAGTGAGCTGAGAGAACAGGTAATCTGGCCTGGGGCGATGCGACATGTAGATCGACATGGTGTATCGTGAGTGTCATGTTGTAGCGAGCGCGATCAATAATCGTTTCTGCGATGGTGTGTCCAGTACGGTGACTTACAGGCGGCTTGACATACGTCGCTAGTATATTTGGCATCGATGAAAACGAGCTCCGTCAATGAAGATAGAGAGGAATTGGTCGGTTGGAGAACCTTGGCGAGCTTGTAGACGACTCCGTATGTAGGACCATATGCGCGTAGAGATCGTAGGTTTGATAAAGAGAAAATTGAATGGCGAAGTTTAGACTAGGAAGATGTGATAGAGTATGGACCATCATATGTCGAAGCTGCTATCAATGGAGCGGCAAAAGAGATAAAGTCGGAGTAGGAATGCTTGGTATAGTCCGGCAACTTGCCTATTCGCAAATCTCGGAGCTCTAGGCTGAACTTGATTCTTGACCGGGACGGGGCTGGAATTAACCTTCTCTTGATCCTCGTCAATGCTGCAGTGCTCTCCACACTTGCACAAAAAATTCAGTCGATATCCCTGTGACACCGCTCGTCTGGGATCCAAGGTGTTGTGGGAGTCTGGCAGGATGACAGACCGTCTTGGGATAGGGTATTCGTGCAACTAAGGTAGAGGAGAGCATGAAGGCTAAGAGGAAAAAAAGCGAGAATTGAGGCAGATAGTGACGTGAAGTATTGTAAGTATGACACCCACCTTTTTTTAAGTCTTCGCCGTCTTTGGCCTGGACCCCCTTTGGTTTGATGTTTATACATGTGACCATTGTTGATCGCACTGTCTACCCAAGGGAGATCTCACCGTTGCCCCTCCAAGAATTGACAGCGATGCCGAACGTCGTTACCTCGCTAGAGTTGTTTGGGCCCAACCACGACCGTCGACACCATGGCTTTGCGCGTTCCACGACAACATGATCTCAGCCGGACTCCTTCATGACTTCCTCTGCCAGTCGCCTCACTTGGCACACCTCAAGGCTATCCGGAGCCCTGTCTTTATCGACCACCTAGACATCTGTGACCGAGCCCAATATGGAGATCTAGGCGATCATGCTATCGGGCGCCTTTACCAGGCAGCGTAGAAAACTGCCAGTCTGTCGACCTGTCTGGATGTGCCGAGGTCTGTGTTGCGAACACTACACATGGAGGTCCACGACATGAATGTCAGAGACGGTCCAGTCAATTCTAAGATCGTCTTTGGATACATCTCTGCTGTCTGCCCGGTGCTGGAGGAGCTCGTCCTTGTTGCGAAATGCACCGAGAATCGGAATGCAGATGTTGCGGGGTTCAGTCATGTCCCCCTCTAGCTCGAACTGGATGGAGGGATATGCTTCCTAACCAAGATTGCATCGCTGAACAAACTATCTGTGATTGGGCAACCACGAGAGAAGGCTCACCAAATGGGCGAGTATGAACTGAGTCGCACTATGCAACAACCAGGGAAGGAGCTTAAGCCGAGTGAGTTTGAATTGAACTGGATTGCACCGAGTGGACGGACACCTGGAAATACAGCCTTGCGGGCGACGACTGTGGCGACATGGGATAACTGGTTGTCGAGTGGAGGAGAAACTAGAGGCACTTTGGTCGGTGTCAGTCGAGTCCCTCTCTGACGAGCAAACGGCTGCGTTGAAGGAGCGAGATAGGCTAGACCCTCTGCAGCAGATCGGATTGTTGTCGACTGTCAAGAGGGTGGTTGCCGAGAGGGCAATTGTACCCTTCCCAGTCCTACAGAAGCTGTCGCTCGGACCTGAGCTAAGGATGCCGCCAGAGAAGGCGCTTCAGTCTTATTTCTGTAACGCGAAGTAAACGGAAAAAAATAATGCTCCTTTGCATGAAAAAGTAAATTTTTTTGACAAAGTACAAAGGGCAATGGCGACTGTCTCCAGCTTCCCCCCCCAATCCATCCCCGTTACTCCTCTCTTTACCACTTTATCAAAAAACATAAACACAAAGGAGCTAGCTAGTAACAAAGACCAGAAAAAAAAAGAACAATTGCGTTCAAGGAAGGCGAACGCAAACGACAATTGGGTTTCACTTGTTATCTGCCCCAAAGCAATGTCTCCCATGCATGTTTGACAAATGACAACGGGCGCATGAAAGAACAATTCAAACTCTACCGAAGATAAGAGTTGGCAAATTTGAACGCAACCTATTTTTTTTGTTATCTCGTCCTCGTCCTCGTCCTCCTCGGCCTCGCCTGTGGTTGTTCCATGTTGTGCAGTGGTGTGGCATTGAGTACTCTGGCTTGACTCTGGCTGCGTGATCAAGGTTTAAAGGTAAACAGGCATGACCATTTCAATCAAACACAACACAAAAAAAATAAATAAAAAAAAATACACAATTGAACTTTATTCGTTCTGAGAGTTGTTCATGATGTTGCGCCGGGTAGCCTTAAAGGCCAGGGCCTCATCCTCTTCTTCCCGCTCCCGTTGCTCTCTCCGTGCCGCCGCCACCGACTCCTTGGCTTTCTCAGCCTCGACAATCTCGCGGAGGATCGAAGTCACCTTGACAATGTTCTTCTTGTACTTTGCAGAGACGGGTACAATCTTGATGTCGTAGTTGTCGCTTGCAGAAGAAGGTTCAGACGAAGAGTTGGCGACACGACGTTTGGCCCACTCGTCATGAACCAGCTTCTGGAAGAGCTGAAGGTTCTTGGGTGCGACCTCGGTCACGTCGGCCTTGTTGGCGATGATCATCGACGGCCTTCTGGTCAGTCCTGGCTGGTAGGCTTCCAACTCGTCCAGTAGTGTCTTCCAATCCTCAAACGGCTGGCTGTATTCGGCGTTTACAGCGTTGGGGTCCTCATCTTCTGATGACTTCAGCGATCTGGACTCCTCGGTCTCATCCAGCTCAAGATCCTCCTCGGGTGTCCAGTCATCCACGCCCTTGACCTTGCGCTTGACACCAAACTCGGCCGCAATGTCGATCACATAGACCAGCACCTTGCTACGCTCAACGTGACGAAGGAAGGAGTGACCCAATCCAATGTTCATATGGGCGCCCCGAATCAATCCCGGGATATCCGCCACCTTGACTTGATAAGAGTCCGAGTAGTCGACAGTGCCAATATAAGGGTTGAGTGTCGTGAATGGGTAAGGAGCAATGGCCGGATGGGCATTCGAAACAGCCTGCAGAAAAGTCGATTTTCCTGCATTGGGCAAGCCCACCAGTCCCGCGTCCGCAATAGTCTTGAGCTCGAGCGTCAACCAACGAGTCTGACCCTCACGTCCTCGGGTGGCGTACTTCGGGGCTCTGTTCTGGGTCGTCAAGAAATGTGGGTTTCCGTAACCTCCTCCACCGCCGCGTCCGACCATGAATTGTGTTCCATCCTCGGTGTGCTCATTGACGTCGAGGAGCATTGGCTTCTTGCTCATCGCAGCTCTCCGGGCCTCAACAATCCGATCCTCCTCTGCGACCCATGCCTGCGCTTCCTCAAAGTAGTTGACCTTTCCTTCTGGAAGGGCCGAAAGGGAGTTGGCAAGACGCGGGTACAGCACCCACCGCTTCGACATCTCTTTATCCTTGGCCTCGGTCTCTCCAAGCTCCAAGGCCTTGTGGGACAACTCCTCATCCTCCTCCTCATCCTCCCTCTCCTTCTCCGGCGACGGCACCTCACGGATAATAGTCCCCATCGGCACCTTAATGATCATGTCCTTGCCAGCGTGTCCGTGCATCAACGAGCCCTTGCCGTGTACTCCGCGTGGTGCAGATCCAGTGTGAGGGATATGTTGGAGAGACGTCTCGTTCGATGACGCCTCAAAGATCACGTTCCCGCCTCGACCGCCGTTGCCGCCGTTAGGTTGACCGAAAGCAATAAACTTTTCGCGATGAAAGGATACACATCCGTCGCCGCCCTGTCCTCCTGACACCTTGATCCTACAGAAATCGACAAAGTTTCTGCCCTAATTTGAGAAACGCGAATGATTATTAATTAGAAAGTGTGCTCTTTTCGAGATGTTGATGTTCTTTTGTTACACAGAGGACCCCCCCCCCCAATGTCCGTGTGAGACAAGTTTACCTTGGCTCGAAGCTTCCACTCGACACCTTTGGCTCTTCCACGGGGCTCTGCTGTGTAATCCGGTAGACCGTCAATTGTCGTCTGCCAGCCCTCGACGGCTGTGTTATCCTCAGAAGAGTTGTTGTCCTTGTCCTTGTCTAGTGATCCGGTATGGTCTTGTGCGCGTGTAATGAGTGAAAGTGAGTTGAATGTCCTTGAATGAGTCTGCGTTCTGAAGAGTGTCCTCGCTGGGAGCTGCCACCGCTGTGCGGTGCATGGTGTCATGACTCTGTGCATTGTAAGGTAGTCGTGGTGGTGTGAAGTAATGAGTAAAAACGCGGATCAGCAAAAGGGGTGGGCTGCCGCAAAAGGGAAAAAAAAGGCGCTCAAAAGCAGTCTCCTGAAACAATTTTTTTTTATTACAGAAATTATTTCATAGAGTCAAGAGTGGGCATAGTCTCGAGTTGGCCAAGGTCCTTGATATGTGTGACAACCTTGACCTTCTCCCCTGCCGATCCATCCGCTACTGCTGATGATAGTGAAGCTGGCGATGACAAGCCAGACGCCAAATTGGAAGCTTCGTGCATCCTCCGGATCTTGGTCGTGTGTCCAATTCCGAGCTGTGGCAGGCCCTTGTTCAGACCCTCAAGTAGCAAACACGCCTTACAAAGCTCGTTCGATGAAATGTATCCACACCGCGTGCAATTGGCCATTGTTGGTAACTTTGTCGATTCATTCGCCTGTACTGATGCCGACAATGCCTCTCCCGAATGAATAATATCTAACAAGTGACAACGTAGGAGCTAGTTAGCTGCAAGTTCACCCTAATGAAGAACATAACATAGTCCGATCAAACTAATAGAGCTGAGAACTCACCAACAATAGCTGTCCGGCGAACAGCCTCCAGATCTTTGAGGAAAACACGAGCATGACCACGGTAGGCGTTGGGGGAGTAAATACACTCTGTCGAAAAGTAGTCCAGCTTCTTGAAGTAGGCGTACATGACAATCTCCTTCTCGTATGTGTACTTGAAGGGCTTAGACCGCAAGATCTTGGATGTTTCGATTCCTGAAGAGTCCTCTGATGTGTCGTTGGTAATGATAGATGTGCATCTTTGAAGGCGAGGCAGATCTCCACGGAGGACTTTTGTTCGTAGTTCAATTGGACATGGCAAAGTATGATGGTTAGCATCCGAAGGACTGTTCTGTTTCCCAACATATCACTTTCGTTCTCCATTGAGTACGACCAAGCGTAATGACTTACTGTTCATGAGTACAGTCTCGGCGATATCGTCCGCATTGTGTCCGGTCACAATATGATCCACGTTCAGCATGATAGCACCTCTGTCTAGTGCCTGGCGACGGAATACTCCACAGAATGTGCCTAGTGGTTATGAACAAATGAAAGGTTTTAGTCCTAAGATGCCAGGAGAATGGAACAGAGAGTAATAACGACAAGGCCGATCCTTGAAGATGAAAGTAGGACCCTTACAGTTGTTCTTGCGTCCAATCTCTTTGACGATATCGTCCATGCTCCAGCCATAGAGATCCTTGTAACTGACGATCAGGAGGGGGATTTGGTACTGGTCCCTGTTTCTCTTGACAGTCTCCAGCGAGTCGTCTCTGTAGCCCGTGATTCCCTCGTCGATCGAGAGAAGGACAAGGTCGAGTTCGTATGAGTATCTGTCGTTCAAAAGCTTCATCACATATGCCAACACCGTTGAATCTACATTTTGTACAATAAAAGGATAAATGGTGTGAGCAAATATGCATATTTTTCAATGTTGGCCGCAGCAGCAGGCCAGTCGGCGAGTCCGCAGTCCTGACAAACAAAGTAAACAAAAATAAAAGTCCAGCATGCGAGGAGTGAGGTGAGTATACCTTTCCCTCCACTGGCACCGATAGCGACTCTATCACCCTTGTTGAAAAGCTTGTTGTCGACGATGGTGTTGTGGATCTCTGTCTCGAAGACATGGAAGAAGCATTCCTTGCAGAGCTGCTGGCCTGTCTTGGGTCGCTTGAGGATCGCCCTGACAGACTGACAGAGGTTGCATGGGTTCTTGAGTGGCTTTGTGGGTTTGATGTCTGTTGCTCCTGGCATGGTTGATGGATTGTTGTTTCTGTGTCTCAGGGGTTGTGGTGATGCTGTTGTTAGAAATGTGCTCGTCGCTGAGAAGTTCAATCAAAAAAAAGGGAAGGAGCTGATCAGTTTGCAGATCTCCGGCTTCAGAGACGTCAGTTAAAAAATTAAAAAGCAAGATTTTCCTCGGGCTAAGTACCCCTCCTTTCAAAACTTCACAGCTCTCGTCCCTTTCAAACTTGCAACTCGCATGAGCCCCATTCCTGTCGACATTCACCCACGGCGACAACCATGAGTGCCACTGAGCAGGACAGCGCTCCTCCGCCTCTAGACCCCTTCGGCAACGAAGTCTGCCTCCTCTTCCTCAAGTATGGCAAGTGCCGCTACAAGAAAAAGTGCAAAAAAAGCCACATCGTGCCTGACAAAAGTAAGTTTCCTTGGGGGTTCAGTCTATAGTTTCATGGTATGACGCTTCGTCTGCATCATCGACTAAACTCCAGATCGCTTTCACTGTAGATGCGCCAATTATGCAGCAAGTGACATCGGTGGCGCCAGAGAAGCCCGTTGTCAAGGAGGGACCTAGGATTGCGTTCACGGTCAAGAAGACCCCATATGCTCGGCCATCGACGGCCGCGACCTCTGCCAGTTCACCCATCGCTTCGAACCTGAAACGGATTTCACACTTACAACCACAGCAAGGATCTCACCAGGGTTTACAACGTCAGGTGCTGCCGAAACAGCAGCGCAACACTACTGAGCTTGGCTCCGCTCCTCACACAAAACAAGTCGGTCAGGTTGTTGCTGAGCAGCCACTGAAGTCCAAAGATGGCGCCACTGAGGCAATGGATGTCGACCTTCAACCACCAACCGCGTTGAATCAGGGAGAACCCAAGAAGCCACGGAAACCAAAGGCAAAACGACCTCCGAAGGTCCACGTGCATCGCCTCCTATCATCACTGTTCAAGACAACCATCTCTTCAGAAACCGTCGCCGCAAGTAGGAATTCCTCAACAACAACTGGATATCCAGGATATCCAGGACCTCCAACAAAAGGACGACAACTCCGTGGCAATGCCATTGCCAACAGGGGGAAGGATAACCAGGGGTCCAAAAAATCACCTTTTGCGATCTCCGCTGGCCATTGGACAACAGTCAGCAGTAACGAGTTGGAGGTTGCGGACGAAAAGATCGAAAATTGGTACACAACCTACAAGGCTCGACTGGAACCCAAGACACGACGACTCATGGTCATGACCAAACCGACGACAGCGCGACACCAGAGCCAGCTCAAAACCATGCGGAAACACCACTGGGAGTGCCGGACAGAGATTGAGCAGCAGCTGAGGCGTCATGTCCCAACCGCCTTTTCTCTCAAGATTGTGCGGACTCGGATCGACTGGGAAAGAATCGCGCCTTATATTACCCTGATGATCCAAGCTGTAAGCGCGCGCAACTCTACTATGCATTTTTGTTATCCTACTGGAACGTAACACATGAAGGACTGTATAACAGGTTCTAATAATTTGCTTTATCATATCGGGTGTGATGAATTAGGCCTTTGAAATGGATATCCAGAACCCACACCTGCCAGTAGTCGGGACCACACTGTGTGCACTTTTGGAACACAAGGATCTGGGTGGTCTCGCCTGTGAGGAGATGCTCATGTCCTGGGGTCTGACTGGGATCGACGCGCGCCGGTTTACAAGTCACCTTTGGGAGGTGATGGTCGCAGCCGCTGGAGAAGCGTCTGTGCGCGGTGGAAAGGGATTCGGAATGCGGGTCCGCCAGTTGGAAGACAAGGACGATTTCAAGGCTATCCGTGCACGCCTTCTTGAACTCAATAAAGCCCCTACATGATCACTTCCCAGCTAGATTCATTTGGTGTTTTTTGTTCTTATTTTATGCTCTTATACCATCAAAGATGTTGACCTGTATCTTGTCACGAAATTTGAGTGTTCTATTTTTATTTGGCGCTACACTCAAGGGGAAAAAAGCGCATTAATGTTGTTTGTTTTTCGCGATGTCGTGTTTTTTGTTTTGTTGGATGCTGCATGTTCTCACCGCCGCTGCAAGAACCGTGCTCCAGTTTTAATAATATGCATCGCCCCTCTGTCTATGTGGTTATCGCTGTGATGTAGTTTGTCGTTACTTTGTTTGTGTATATTTATTCATTCTACGATTCCTTCGATTTTTTTTGTTCCAATGCTTTGTTTACGCGCGTGCACCTCTCTTCTCGACCATGACCTCGTCCGAAGCATCAACGCCCAAAGACTCCAAGAGTCCATCGTGGGGGTAGTTGCGGCGGGTGAAGTGGGGCTCGGGCTGGGTCTTGACGAGCAAGTATCCGAAACCGAGGAAGGCGGCGGCAGCAGCCAAGAGACCCTTGACTCCGACGGAGGCAGGGAAGTCCCAGACGTCGGGGGACCAGATGTTCAACACCTCATCCTCCTCAGGGACCTATTTGATGTATATTTTTTTTTCCGATCCGGTATAGAAGGAAGGTGATTGTCGTTAGACAAGGAGTGTTGCTTTGCGAGATGGTTTTTTTTTTCCTGAGTTGCAGTTGTTGCTTTTTTTTATGCACGACCGTGTCCAACTGATCCGCGTAGTCTGATCCGAGATCCCGGCAATATCGATCCTGTAAGCAGTAACCGCTTTCACCGGCCAATTATCCCGAGATCCAAATGTCTCCTGCAAAATGAACGCCTACTAATCGACGTCTTAATTGCTCCGTATCCTGTATATTTCCCCGTAGCAGCAATCCTCCTGTATACTATCGTATCGCTCCTGTAATCCAGCTTGTCCCAAATGCGCCAGAAATAAAATAAAACTCCCCGACGAGGGCCGATTCAGATCAGAATCTGATGTAGGAGAGAAACACGTACAGTCTCACCAAAGTTGCGACGATCCTGAAGATCCCAGTACCCTGCAGAAGGGGTGGCATCACGCCATTGCTGGTTGTACATTGGCAAGTTGGGGTAGGAGCCGATCTGGGTCTCGCCGGTGATCTTGTCGCCGGGCAAAAAGCCCGTGGGATCGCCGGGGATGGCGGGGTCTGCCTTGTTGTGGAGGGAGGAGGCAGAGGTGGTGAGGGTGGCGGTGCGGTTGGCGAGAGCGGCGGAGGCTCTAGTAGCAGCCAAGGTGGCCGTCCTGGCGAGGGGACGTGCGGCGGCAGGGAGCATGGTTAGGTTGGGTTGAGGGGGGAGGGGGGTTGGGTCTGGTTGATGGGAGAACGTCCTTGATGGAGCCAACATTGATTAGTCCGAAGCCTCTCTGCCACATCGTGTTTCCGAAAAGCACGTGATCTTGACGTCACCGAATAATTTATTGGAGAAATTGTTATTTTTAGAAGAGTTTGTTCGCTGACTCTTTGACCCTACTTTTGGGAAAGGAACAAAGTTCCGACTAAATGGTCTGTGTTCTGGGCCGGAGACCTTCATTTGGGTTGATTTGAGCAAAACGACAGATGCACATGCGATGCATATCCGCCCAAACCAACTGGCAAAGAACGAAAAGGTATTGGTTCATTCGAAATACAAACAACGACCTGTACACCTTATCCTTCTCCATCTCTTCTCCCCTTTCTCTCCCCAACAATTCGATGTCTTCTCCCCCTTGTCCAGGCACTGAATCAGTACTTGGCAAAGGTATACGCCCACTGTCAAGGCGCAGGTTCAACTCTGACAAAGAGACACTCTATCCTTCCACTTCCCCACTCATTCTCTGCCAAAGGCCCAGGCCTCCAGTTGACATGCGTGTTTGATTGTTGTGTTTATCACGCATTCAAAAAGTCGTTATTATCATTTGCAAGAGGATTACCAGGAGGTTCAAAAAGTTCAAAAAGTAGAATGATTTCGATGTGGTATTAAATGATTGCGAGAAAGCATTTATTAAAGATTAATGTACAGAAGGTTTTTTTTGGTGAAATGGATATGTGTAGAGTAATGTGAAAGAGTATATGCATTTGAGCTCGCCCTTCTTCGCTCCTCGTCATCGTCGTGTTATCTCCAGTGCAAGAGTAGGGGGTGTGGGGTGGGGTGTCCATGAAAATAATAATATGCTTTAGAGGGCCAAAAGAGGCTTCTCCAATCCAAGAAGCTGTGTCACACTGGATCGGCGACGCTGGTGGTTGACAGGAGGAGGGATGGGGATACCGTCGACGTTGTGTGTGATGTGCTTCTCGGCCTGCTCCTTGCGCAACTTCTCCATGAAGACGGTCTGGGCGCGGATGATATCGCCGTACTCGCCGGTCATGTCGGACGACTTGCGGGTCGAGTACTCAAACTCCTCGGGGATCTCGTTGCCGTCGATGCTGTTGCGCTGGGAGCGGGAGCGGGACTTTGAGCGGGAGCGAGAGCGAAGACGCTCGGCAAAGGCGGAAAGGGAGGAGCGACGGCTCTTGGCAGAGTCAGTAGTCTCAGTCTTGGTCAGAGGGATGGCGGCGGGGGCGGCAGAGATGGGGTGGGCAGTGTGGTTGCGGCCACGCTCGGTGGATTCATCCTGGGTGAACTGGATGGAGGGGGCGGTGGTGTTCTGGATAGGCTGGGTCATGGCTTGGGTTTCTGTTGTAGTTGGTTGGGTTGGTGTTGGTTGTTGTGGCTGTGGCTGTGTGTGTAGCTGTTAAGGCTTGAGAGTTAGTTGGTTTGGTTGGATGTTGAGTGTGATAAGGTATAGAAAATGGAGGGGGAGGGAGCGGTTTTTATATTTGATTGCGGGGGCGCATGGAAGGAGTGTACCGAAAGTCCAGAATAAATGACACGCACTAAAAATAAAAATCAAAGCTTGAATGATCTAGAAGTGGATGGAAGGATTGAATCACGGCACACTGGTCTTAACCCCGGTTTCCTTGGAAAGGGTTGTAGCGGGCTGTATCCTTGGTATCGTATCGTTGTATCGGACTGAAATCACTGAATAGACATTGCCATTCATGCAAAACAAAGAAGGAAGAGAAATTGTTTGCCTTTTTTGGCGTCCGGCAACCTTAATCCGAAACCGCATGAAGTCATAGGACAAAGTCTGATCCGCGTCACCTGATATCCCGCCCTGTGGAAGGCCAAGAAACGACCACATGTGGCCTTCCTGATCGCAAGTTTTCCTTTTTCCTTATTCCCTTTCTTGTTGTTCTCTGAAAGTGCTTTCGTTCTCAGACGTACTTTGAAAGGAGAATGACACATCCTTGTTCTTTCTATGTATTCTCTTTCCTTTCTTTTCTCAAACAGAACCTCACCACGTCTTACTGAGAAAAAGTATTTTCGTCTCTGTCGTCATCCGGTGATGTATGTGTGTGTTCAGGGCTGTTCACCTCTTGGTGTCTCTTACGCATTCCACATCCGGCGAATGAGTGAGTGACAAAGCAATTGGGCAATGAGAATGGAGCCTTTGTGATCTATCAACACCACAACCTACCAGGGCAAAGTGGGGTCTTAACATGATTAAGCATTTTTCCCTTTTCTGTTCTCCCCCTTTACCAAGAAACCAATGTAGAAACGCCAAAGGCTATTTTCATTCTTTATTTTTGCATCAACATTAATTACTCAGCCAACCCGGGCTGTTGTGGAGGATAAGGGGGGGAAGACCGCAGTTTTTTTCATCGTTCTATCTTTGGTGCAGAATTGTGGGATCAACGACGTACCCAAACAGAGTCAGACCTCTTTTTGTTCGTTGTATGAACTGCAAAAGGGAGGGGGTCACTATCACTTTTTGTGGAGCAGGCAGGGTCAAAAGCAGGCTGAAGGACAGGGTATGCCGACGGAACTGGCAAGCAGGCGCAGGGTCGTATCACACCCATTGTTTTTTGGTTTTTTTTTTGTGTTTTTGTCTCGCTTCTCCCATTCTTGCTCCAAAAGGTGGTGGTGTGGTGTCCTTTACAAGGAGAATCCTCTCCGAGGTCAACAAGAGGAAGAGTGGGAGGTGCAAATATTCCCTGTTCGAGCCATTGAACCCAAGGGCTGTTTCGGCAGTGTATCGCATGTCCGCATTTGATAAAAAGAGTGGAGGAGGAGAATGAAGTTGGGGGGAAGAGAGACGAGGGCCAAGGGGCAGATGCATAACGTCAATGCGGGCATTGAAGATCGGGAGCAACAAAAAAATGGATTTCTCCTTTGTTCTCCGAAAAAGGGTACAGTATAGTACAGTACTGTACTTGGCTGCGTATGGTCATGTCAACCATGTCAACAAAGCAAAAAGAAACAACAAAGCTTCGAGCATTTTATTCGGAGTCTGATTGGTCCACCAGAGGCTTGCAATGGTCAACCGACCGAAGAATAAACGACGAGCATTCGAAAACATAAACAAAGGAGCTGAGTGGTGCGGGGTGTATGTATGTCTGGGGACACTGGATAGATTCGGGGGAAACGAGATAGGGTAAGTAAGACACGATGGCTACTTTGATTCTCAGCGCGATAGCAAAGGCTTGTCTAGGCCGAGAATATGAGAAAAACTCGCTTGGTGACGAAGGGAGGTGCAACCCATCGACATTGTGGGTGATATGTTTTCGTTCTTGTTCTTCTCGCAACCTTTCCATGGACAGGTTCTGGGGCCTGGCCACCTCCGCATAGGTACCAACATACTCTGTTGTGGGTTTGCGCCAACTAGAATATCTGAAAATCGATGTGTCACGCTGGTGGTGGTCGCCTGAGGGAGACGATGGGGAAGGAGGCGAGGGGAAAAAAGACAACGCGGAGGTGGACGCGTGACCTCGATCGATAGTGCGAGAATAACCGTCCCCTTCAGTCTCAGGGGACGCCACAGAGGACATGGTTCGATTCAAGGAAGACCTAGAGCGCGAATGAGAACAGGAACGGGAGCGAGGCCTGAGACGGTCCGCCAAGGTAGCAAAGGAGCTACTGCGACTGCTGGTCGACTTGGACTGGGTCGAGTCATAGGTGCTGGTCTTGCTCAGCTTGATGTACTTTGGCTCAGCCTTGTCGAGATCATAGGAACTGGTTGTAGGGGCTAGAAGAGGAAGCAGCTGCAGATTGTTGCTTCGATCGCACCCTCGAGCAAGGGCCTGGTTCTCATCTGGAGCAAAACGAATAAGATAGGTGGGAGAAGGAAAGGAGTTCAAATTGTGAGCCATGGTACTTCTTGAGGTCTTGGGGGGTCAATGGTGTGCATCTAGTGGAAAGGAAGAGGTGAACGAATCATAGGTTAGCATATATGCAACTCCAACATACAAGACAAAACTAAGAAGGAAAGAACAAAGCGCTATTTATCGGCCTAAATATGCTTCCAACGAACAACACGACGGACATGCAAATCGGTTCTTTTTTTCTGGTATGTATCTCGCTGCCAACCGCACTGCTGTGTCCTTGATAATTGATGGGTAAAGAGGGAGGGTACAACTGGCCGTGGATGTAATTTGCCACTGGTTCGATTCTTATGTGTTCTCACGAAAGGGTATAACTGCCTACTACATACTTGATCACGATTCGGTTGCCTCCATAATAATGTTGCTGTCTGGTTTTCCATTCAAGGGACAGTCGCGTTCGTGTTTTAACAGAGTTGTGTCTCCAGCTGCAAGATTAATTGATCGTGGTACTTGAAAGTTACGTGGATCCATACCTTGTCCTTGTTGTTGTCCGTTGTTCAGACGTGGTTGTGCTTTACTGTCCTATTCTACGGCGACACAAAGTATCTCTTGGGCGTGGGAGAGATGTCTGATGACCCTCGCAGTCACAGGTTCGTGGGAGCGAGGTCGGGAATGAAAAACGACTCACAGACAAAGGTTCTTCGGTTCCTTTGCTCTGCTTCCCACGACACTCTCCCTTCACCACCAACAGTAACGACATGCGCCCCTCATTGCAAGCACTGGTAGGAACAACAACAACACGGGAACGAACTTGTCGAACCAGGACGAATTGCTGCATTACCATTGCCTGCATTCATTCAGCTCACCATCTCTTCCTTCTTTCTTCTCGCGGAATGAAAATAGCGCCCCTGGACGCGTCTCATCAGGTAAAAAAAGAGACCAACTTGTGTTTCTCAACGCAGTTACTAGCCCACTAACGCGTCCTCCTTACAGATTCCTAGGCAAGGACGGAAAAGTGTACACAGGCGAACCACAATCCCCCCTGACCTGGCCAAAGGCATCCGCCAACCTGAAGGCCTCCGCCGGAGACCAAACTTCCCTCACCGCCAAAGTCATCACCGGCGACATCTATTCCCCCTCCGCCTCCTCTGTCACCGAGACCGTCGTCCCTGTTGCAAAGTTGCTCTCGCCCCTCGCCTATGTCCCTTCCATTCGTTGTATCGGACTTAATTATGCTAAGCATGCTGAGGAGACCAAGATGCCGATCCCTAAGAACCCGATTCTATTCATGAAGCCAGCAACGTCCCTCCAGGATCCTTTCAAGCCTGTGGTTATTCCTACAATTGCAGAGAATAATCAGGCGGATTATGAGTGTGAGCTTGCGGTTGTTATTGGCAAGAAGTGTAAGAACGTCAAGGAGGAGTATGCCCTCGATTATGTCCTCGGTAAGTTGCCAATTCTTTTTTTTTTTGTTTTTTTTTCCTCCGTTGCAAATTTTTGTTTTTTTCTTGTGGTTGGACGCATTCAATTGGAAAAGTGCCCGCTTTTTTGATATGTCCCCAGGCCAAGCAAAAGCAATTCATACCTTTTCTCGTCGCCAAAATGTCCACGTTTTTCCTAGGATACACTGTGGGAAACGATATTAGTACACGCAAGTTGCAGGGCAACAACCTGGGCTCAGGACAATGGTGCTTCAGCAAATCGTTCGACACCTTTGCACCCCTGGGACCATGTCTGGTCTCGAAGGACCTGATCAAAGACCCCAACCAACTTCGTATCAAGACTAGGTTGAACGGCAAACTCATGCAGGACTCTTCTACCTCGGATATGATCTTCAACGTTCCTCGTTTGGTAAGGCGACTCCCTCGCTTTTTTTTATTCACTTTTCACTTGGAGATGGTTTAGGGTTATGTAAATGAGATGGGTACATTCTGTATGTCTTGCATGGGGTGGCGGTAGGGTATTAGAAATCCTAAACATATCAATTTCCCTTGCATCTTTCGCATAACACATAACACATTACATACATTTACACATGCATACAATTAGATTGCCTTCTTGAGCCAGTCGACGACACTTATGCCTGGGGATGTGATCCTGACAGGCACACCCGAAGGAGTAGGCTTTAAGCGGGATCCTCCCATTTACTTGCAGCATGGTGATCATGTTGTCTGTGAAATTGAGACCATTGGCGAGCTTCATAATACCATTGCCTATGAGAGCAAGTATTCGTCAGAGTAAAGAGTCCATGGAGAGACATGGTAGTAAAAAGTCATTTTTTTTGTGCAATGCATATGATTGTTTTATTTGGGCATTTGGTATATTAGGTGGTTTTACAAGGTTGGCGTGAAGGCAGCAGAAACGGAGGAAAAGTGGATGAGTGAGAAGAAATGTGATAGAAATGTTCGTTTAGAAGGAGAGGAGACTCATGTCGAACCCCAGCTTGCTCTCAATGCTATCCGCAGGGACAGCAAGAGCGGCCCCATCGACTTTCTGGGACTCCTCCTCGCTGCTACTATCAACGACTGTATCATAAGGTCCTGTGATATCGTGAGATTTGCGACGAGGCTTCTGGATCTTGCTGGGGGTGTTGGATTCATCGAGTTCGAGGACGGTATCTTTGATAGTGTTGCAGTTTGTGCAGGTCTCACAGTCGCTTCCACAATGGTCACTCTTTTCCTTCTTGCTGTCCTTGTTGAAGTTGAGGTTGTTGATGGTCAAGTGGGTGTGGTCGTGCGAGTGCGAGGGGTGAGGGTGAGAATGGTGGGGGTCTCTGATACGGCTGTTGCTGCGACTGTTGACACGGGAGTTGACACGAGACGAGGGGCGGGACTTCTCCTCGAGCAACTCTGCATACTCCTCCCTCAACTCAACTGGGTCCCTGATACGGCTGTTGCTACGGCTGTTGGCACGAGAGTTAACACGGGAGTTGACACGGGAGTTGACACGAGAGTTGACACAAGAGTTGACACGAGACGAGGGGCGGGATATCTCCTCGAGCAACTCTGCATAGTCCTCCCTCAATTCGACCGAGGAACGACGAGAGTTGTTTGTACTCTGCTTGGGTGACGCAGGATGGATTGGAGCCCTAGTGGAGAGCGAATACAGAACGGGGGCGGGATCGGAAGCATCCTGGATCTTGATGTTGGGACGAGATCTTGACCGGGAGCGGGTTCGAGAGTTGGACCGAGAGTTTGAGGTTGAGGAGGTAGGGAGGCCATAGCAGAAGTTGAGCATGGAGTTTCGACGGCTGCAGGATTGTAGGGGCTCGACGTGGTCGTCTTCTTCGTCTGAGGCGTAGGTTGAGGAGGAGGGTGAGGTTGAAGTGGTGGTGGTGGTGGTGTTGTTGTTGTGGAGGCGACGGCCACGTTCTTCGATGGTGATCATGGGGGGGCCCGTTGTGGGGTCGACGGTTGTGTACATAGTGTAGCTGAGCATTGTTGGTTATGTTTGTTGTAAGTGGTTGTGAGATATGTGTTGTTGAAGTGAAAAAGAAGGATATGGCGAAGAGATGAAAGAAAAAGAGAAGAGTGATGGGGGGTGTACCTGGGCGAAAGTCCTTCCTCTTAAATGACGATTGGGCCAAGCCATAAGCGGCTCGTTCTATCAAACGCACTGCTCTAAAAAAAAAAATGAAAAATTCTATTTTGTGTTCCCCTGAGATTCGAACCCCGTAGGGGAATCGGCCTTGTCCGTCGTTGTCTTCTGTCACACACACACCCCCCCGACACGACCACTTCCGATGGATATGAGAAGAGACCAAAAAAAAGGTTTCACATCGCATCGTCCATAATTGGACCTTACCGGGAGGGGCAGAAGGGGCTTATCACAGGCGCATACATACGCTGGTAGTACAGCCCATCGGCATATACTGTGCACCGCACCGACCCTACTTACCTTCCCTGCCTTCTTCTTTGGAATGGAAACCTTGATTTAGGAGGAGCTTGTTGTCGGTAGTTCGGGTCTCGCAAACCCTTATTAGCAAATCCTTTTTTTTTTCTTTTTTTTCGACCTCTTCCTATCATCATGTGCGGGGTAGTAATAGCACTTTATCTCCTTCATTGAAGGGACCCTCATATGCAATCAAATCGGCATCGAGGTTCTCCCCCCTCATCTTCTCATCAACTTCTCCTCACACACTGCAATTGAACAGCCTGTGACTGACCCTATCGTTTCAGATACTGAACACAAATATAATCCACATGCATAGGATGAGCGAGATAAGGAAACTCAACCCTTTTTTTTTATTTCATCATGGACTTTAATGACGTGCAGGAAAGATAGGTTCAGTCCCTGACTGAAGGAGGGTCGACAAGACAGGCTCCGCCGGGCTGTCCTGTTCTTGTTCTTGTTCTTGTTCTTGTTCTTCAATTCCATAGAGACCCTCATGTTCCGTCGCCCTCCGCTGAAGGAGCCGTCGCACATCCTTCTCAGAGTCCTTGCCCTCAGTCATGAGCGATTGCGGTGTAACCATGTACGACGAACCGTCGCCACCAGTCGATCTTTTCAACCCACTACGAGAGAACATTCTTAGTGGACCCGAGCTTGCTGCAGACGACATGGACATGGACCGTGCTATTGACGTACCATCTGTTGGAGTTGTCTCAGCTGTGGTCGAAGAGCCTATCATGGATGCACTCGTCGCGGTTGTAGAAACAGTCGGAGGGGAAGAAGGTGCTCCGCCGAGTTGAATATCGCCCACCTCTCCTCTCAACTCCCGAGCCTTCATCGCCGCAATCTGAACGTTTCGCTCCCAATTCACAAATCGACCCTTGATACCACTGGGCGCATAGGCCACCATATACCGGCCAATTGTTCGAAACCACTGCGACTGAAGCGCCTGCAGCTTGTCCATCCACAATGCTAGTCGTCTCTGCGATACCGGTAGTTTGGTATCAAGATAAGATATCTTGTTGAAGAACGCTCCAGTAAAATCGCGCATCTCGACTAACTTTCCGACCATGCCCTCGAGATGGTATACGGAGCGCTGAGTTGCGTGCTCCTTCTCCCGGACCTCTGCTAATAGATCACGCCGTTCTGCCAAGATCCCTGCAGCTTCTTGTTCAATCTCCTATTTGACCCAGATAAGCGTGAAAAAAAATGAGATTAAAATAAAATCTCAGCAACATGCATATGATTGTACTCAAAGTTCAAACACAAGCAATTCGAACTACAACTTTTTTTTTTTTTTTTTTTTTCCGTACCTCAAACTGTTTTCCACGATCAGCAAGGATGGCCTTTAGTGAATCCAGTTGCGTAGAAAATTCCTTCTCCATTGCCTATCAATCCCGAAAAACAAAACAAAAAGTTATCAGACATTGCTGGTCTCCAATCAAAGGCAAGACAATCTGATAAGATTGATCATCTCCATCGTACCTGCATCCTGGCGAACACGTTCTTCAAGGTCTCTTCCTTCTCTTTCAACAGTTGGTACGAATAATAGCTCTGTGTGTCACACTCCACCACAACGCTAAGGCGGCAAAACGAAGAAAAAAAAAAAAAAAGAGTTGTCAACAGCCAAGCTATTGAAGATCAACGAACCAAGGACTCACATTCCCAATGCCACAATTGTGAAAAAATTTACCTCTTCAGTGGTTTGAGACTAGAGTCCTTGCAGCCCATGCACGAGTACGATTGAGACCGTTTCCTGTAAGCCGGATGTTTTACAATCTTCCTGTACGGGCCAATTGTGATCCCTGGGATGCCACCTGTACTCCTTGCGCCCTCAGCTCGATAGCCCAGAAGCCTCTCCTGCCCAACCAAACCCGACATGGATGTTGATCTCTTCCTGCCCTGTGGGTAGTTTTTCTTGTCCAGATAGAATGCAACAATCTCTGGTTGGCCGCGCGGTTCTGGTTTTTGTGAGAAGAGCGAGTTGAGAGTATCGAGAGATGGCACGACTGCGACTGGGGCTGCTTGCTGTGAGGCTTCGCCGATGGTTGCGAGGTTGGTTTCTTCTTCTGGTGGTGCATTAAGGTTGGCTGTAGACGTCTGGACTACGGTCGATACCCCTTCATCCGAGTCACACCCTTCGTTCTTTTCGTCGTCTGATTTTGGGCTTGTCTCTATTGAACCTGAGATTGGGGTTTAGTATCATAATTACAGTAGACGTTCAATCAGATCCAGGACGACACCAACGCAGGATTGCAGCTAGACTTACGGTCCTGTGGCAAGGATGGGGCAACTGTTTCGTCGTTGAAGGTTCCTTCCTTGATGTAGGCCAAAGGATTTCCTTGCTTGCCTTTTGGAGTTAACATCGATTGTCGGTTCTTACCTCTGTAATTATGATAGCAAGGAACAGACCGATGTTAATGAGACAGTATAAGGGTTTCCAATGGCTCGTACGTGAACAGAAAACAGTCTTACCCTGCGATACTTTTCAAAGACTGCGAAGCGTTCTTTGTGTCCCTCGTCTATTATGCGGACAAAAACATCATCGCCGTTAGCAACAGAAAGTAGGATCCGCAAATGATTGACAATCTTGCGACAGGACATCTCACTCGTGTTCTAACTTACAGTTTTGGCAAGACCGCGGACCAAACTTTTGCCCAGCTCTTTTCCTCCAGTCAGCCAGTCTCCGTTTGCTAAGGCATCGGCTACGTCCGTTTTCTGCTTTGTCTTGCCCTTCCAGACCTGCTTAAGTGAATCGGTGGTGATATGCTTTGCAAACACATCCAGATCTGTCGTCTCGCCTTCTGGGTTCACGGTTGTCATTCCTGAAAAATCTTCGATCTTGGACTTTAGGACCTTGTGCACCTTGAGACCTTGGGGATTGAACGATGACAGGTACGCCGCTGATATCGCCTCCACTGTCTTAGCGTCCAAAAAGCACGCCTTCAGATCCGGTTTTTTGATCTAGTGTATTCCAACAATCAGGCGAGAATGATGCTTGTGTAAGTGTTCATTCTGAACCTGACATTATTACTAATTAAACCGACTACGCATTCGTACCTGAAATGTCTTGACAGCATTGAGAAAAGCCACGGGTTCTGCAAACGGATCTTTTGGCACCTGTCAAAAACGAGAAAAGAGAAAAGCAATTGACGGGTGGTAAGCACGCGGAAATATACCTCTCTATGACCTTCAATACTATAAAGGAAGGTGATATTGGATCCTTACGTTGTTGACCATGTGCTGGAGTTTTCCTCTGATATTAGACAGTTTGCTGAACATTCCTGCGAGTACGTTTGGGTCGAGGACATTATCCGGCGTAGGGAATTTCTACAAAAGTGATAATAGTTTTGTTTAGACAGTGGTCATGACAGTGTTGGCGTTCGCTCTGAGACGGCCGTAGGCATGGCGCGAAGGATGATCGCAAGCTGTGTACCTGAAATGTTGATTTGAGGAATGTGTCGTAGTATACTTCGAGGCCCTTCTCTGTGGCATTGCACAACAGCCCATCCACGTCCAGGAGGTTGAACAGTCCAAAAATGTGCAGGCAATTCTGCACCAACACGACCAGTCGCAGCACAGTGACTTCAAAGTCCGTAGAGTCTGAGATTTTGTAGAGCTGATTGAACTTTTCCCGCTGTGCATCGCTAGACAATTGGCCAGGGGGAAGAGAAACAACGTATCAGCCTACTGCACGGCGGTCAACTGCTGAAAAGAGGCAGCATCAAACAAGGAAAGGGAAGGTACCTTGGTGACTTGGACGTGAGCGCACTTCTGCCACTGCATCCCATTCTCCTGAGGTTTAGATTCAAGTAGAATCGCTGTTGATAGTAGTCAAAGTCTCCTTGTTTCGGCACCAAGACGATGTTCAGTGACGAAGCGAACAAGCTGAGGTTGGTGACAAAAAGCTGGCCATATGGTGTCTAAAATAGTTATGAGCAAAGTACCACACCACCCACAGTTAGCTCCCATGACTTCCACGCTCTTGCTTCCACATTGACACCAGACTAAAAGCGTGGCAGACTGCAGTGGACTTGCCTCCTTTGGTTTTGCCCCTTCCTTTCTCAGCTTTTCAAACACTTTTTCAAGTCTTGGGCAATTGACGTTCGGATATTCAATCGTGATAGAGGTAACCAGGATCTATGAGTCGTCAACAGCAACGGTCTTAGTAGTTGTCGCTTCCTACAACTTTTGCCTTCTTGACAGCTGTTGCCTCAAGTCCACTGTACCTGGTGAACTGGATCGCCGGTGAAGGATACTGCCGTGGCAACCTCGCGGTTTCTCTCTATGGCCCTAGAAGAGTGACAGGTGGGATGCTGGTTAAACCTTGTGCCTTTTGTCATTCCACAAGTGCTTTGTTCATTGCTGTAGGCATTGTTTTAGTTGGCGAGCTGTTACCATTGCTCCACGAGGTATATCTGGTAGCCTTCTAGGATAGCCTCCTCGTGGTCGATGCGGATGCCATCAATGTCGTAGCAGATGTCGCTGATGCGCCGTCGTTCGCAGAAGACGTAGCTCCCAGGTATGAAAGGCATGTGAGGTGAGTTGGGATGAGTAGAGTTGGAGACTGTGTGTGAGTGAATGCTGTGACGAATGTGCAGGCAGAAGAGGAGAGAGGGGAAAGGGAGAGGAGGAGGAAGAGGAGGAGGAGGTGGAGTGAGAGAGAGAGCTGGAGAAAAGAGGGAGAGTGTGATAGACACAGGACAAAGAGGGAGAGGGAGAGAGAGAGAGAGAGAACTGTGTGCTTTTGTTACATGCTGTGCACGCCTGACATAGCCAGATGGGAAATGAAAAAGTGCGCGAAGTGAAGTCACATTCAGTTTGATCATTGAGTCCCCCCCATAGTTTTTTGTTGTTTGTTTCCGTCCTTTTTTTTTTGCATCTTTTCCAGGAACCTCAGACGGACCTCTTCTTTGCCTTTTGCCTGCACCAGGACCAACCCACTTCGCCTCACCTCGCCTCGCCCTCCTTACTGCTCGAATGTCCTAATGCTGCCACTATCCCTGGGCCCACTTTCCTCCTCTTCATCCACACTGGCCGGATCCTCAGGAAAGACTCCCATAAACGTCGTCTTCATCATCGACACTCATCTTCCCCATGTCGCCTCCTCCTCAACCTCGTCTTCTGCTCACGCTGCCAGACGTGCTGCAACTCTACTCAAATGCTCCATCGTCCGCATCCTCCTCTACTTTCAGTGTAACATGGACCCAAAGTTCCAGTGGACCTTCACCTTCTACAACTCGCGTGGAACTCAGGAGATTGGCCTTGTCACCAAGAGGATGCTCCGGAGCATGGATATTCAGACCATCGATGACTGTGTGCAAGAATACACAAAGATTGTCGCGAGTGAAGCTGCATCATCACCAACCTCAGCCGCCGCGGCAAGCAAGGTTGGAGCGATCGGCCACAGTTCGCCCTGTTACAGTCTGCGGCGTCAGCTCGTGCACTCCCTTGCCGACTTTGGACTCGACATTGCCTCCTACCAGTCGCCTATAAAACCCTCTGCGACTCTTGCGCGTGCCCAATCGCTTCAGAAGCACTTTCCACCTGTCAACATCAAGAATTACATCTACGTGATATCACCTTTACCACGATCGTGGTCAGAGACCACATTTTTTCTGGACGGCAAGAAGTCCAACGACACCAACTTGCTCGGACCTCGCAAGGCCGATATCCTGGATGTCCTGAAGGGTATCAAGGACACATTTTTCGAGCAGCAGCTGTGGGATCGCTTTCTGGATCAGCGAACAAGTTTGAGCTGGATCGACACCAACACCAAGAACGACAATGCCAACTCTGCCAAGGTATGGGTTTTACAAGCTGACTTTCATAACTTGCTAATCGAAAAGATAGAATACGTGATGCTGACTGTTCTATGGACGTTCCACCTGTTGCAGGCACAGACAAGGGTCTCGACAACACTGCTCGTTCGTTCGACTCTGGAATTGATCATGAGGGCTTTCGGTGGCCACATCATTCCTCAAACCGTCCTCTCAGAAGTCGCGGGATCAAGGGATATTTACTCGTTTGCCACCATTTTTCAGACCTACCGGTCCTTGCAGATCAGGCCTGGCTTGGGCGTGACCATGAGCATGGAGAGTTGGCAAGCAATTCCATCCATGCCCAGCGTCCCTTCCCCGGAAGCACGTCCTGCCAAGGTGATGTGGTCTGGCGAAATCTTGTGTACCAATACACTACAGTGTAAGTTGGCCAAGAAAGGTTTATGTGTCGGTCGTTTTTTTGACCCAAATAAAAAACTAAATAACTGACAACTGCTGCCTTCTTCCTCTATCCATTAGTCATCTGTTCGGTTGACATCTCTACACCTTTGGTGTTCTCAGATCTGGACAACCCGTTTGCGGACCAAATTGTGTCGATGCATGTTGTCAAGCGGATCTCGACGATATCACTGAGCTCTTGCTTGCACTCAGTCAAGATTTCTCACACTATGTTGTGCTTCCCACGGAACAATAAGGATGTCATGTGCGAGCGCACCATGTACCTTCTTCGGTCACTGAGCTCCAAGAACGATGCATTGCTCATCCAGATTACGCTTCTCAGTGTGGATGCAGGAGAAGAACAGACGGACAAGATTTTGGACGGGCAACAAGGAACCCAGCAGGTACAGGCGCTGCTATATGCAGGGACCCACGGAAGCGGAACTTTGCACATTCTGAAAGACTTTTCGTATCTGGAGGATGTCCCATTGAGCAAGGATATCAACAGGACCTCGGCAAGACCGTTCAGTATGGCCATGGTGGAAAAGTCACTGGGAGCCATTGGAGCGTTTGTGGATCAACAAAACAGCCGACACCGATCCAGAACGCCATACCGCTTGGAAGAGATGCCCATCGATGTCGCTGAGTGTTTTAAACCGCCCCAGGAAACCACGACTGCTGTCACCGAATCAAAGTAAGGCATCCTCAAAGTTGTGTGCAACTAGACTGACTGTATTCGGTTGATTGATCGAGCAAGCACTTACATATCTCTCCTCACTCGACATTGTAGACAAACACCGTCAAAGCCACTGCCAGGAGACACAATTAGCATGGATGACCACATGGCAGTCGTTTTGGAACCTGTGGATTCTATAGACGATCTCTGCCTGGGCATTCGCAGGGCTTATATCAAGCATCTATACAACAACGACGTAATATTTCAAACACATGTCGAGTTATTACTTCCTGTTACAGGAACTCTTCGCCTCAGGACGTTAACATTTTTTCTTTATTCAACTTACATAGTACACGGTGGTAGATTACGTCAAGCGTTTGAATGCTGCCAGTAAGGAGATCACAGTTCTGGCTGCAAAGCTGTCGGTCCCGCTGAAAGAGGCTCAGCAGAAATTGGTCACGTTTATGATTGAGTTTTTGAGGATCTGGCCTTCAAAGTTGGGGTCCAAGTACAAGCAGATCGACAAAGAGCTGAACATTGGGAAATCGACGGATACAAGGACTCAGGATCGGTACATCATCATGCAGGATGAGCGGCCAGAGTTGGATGCATGGAAGGGCAGAGTCAACACCAGCGTCAAGGATAACGATGTCCGCATGTTCGTGAGGAAGCTAAAGACCAAAGAGTATGTATTTTCTGTCTGCCAGCTTGCAAATACTGTTGTGTTTCATGGTGATGTGCTCAGACCGACTCACCCAAGGCTTGCGATTCTTCCTTTAATAGTACCCAGATCCAAATTGTACAAAATCTCCACGTTCTGCTGCTGATCAACAAATACGGCCTGGAGGAAAACAAACCGTTCAAAAAGGACCCCGGCGCACTCAAAACGACTAACCACTTCATGGATGAACTCTGTATTTCAGCTGTTATCGAGGACCGACCGGCGCCAGGATTCTTGAGTCCTCAGACCCCTCGAAGCAAGGACTTGGACCCAGCGAAAAAGTTCTTCATCCGGGCTGTGGCGCGATACTATGGGCCAGCGCTGCCAAAAGTGGTCGAGAAGCTTTCGGTTAAGTGTGGCGTGGAAACAAATCTTTTAAAGTCGCCAAGGCCATCCCGAGGCTCCAAGAGAGCTGGACTCCACAGATCTGTCTCGATGGGCGTATTGCAGAAGCCTAGTCGCCTGGATCTTTCTGCAGCCACCCAGACTGGGACTGACGGGCCCCTGAGTTCGACTTCAGTAACAACTCCCAAGGATGAAGCGGTGGCACCCAAATACGGATTCCCAATGAGCCGTCAGTCTACGTCTGACAACCCTGCCAGAAGCGCTCTGGATTCGATCTTCAGGAACCGCCAAGTAGCTATGACACGTGGCGCTGTGAAAGGCCGAAATGCGACGAAGAGTTCAGCAAGTTCCTCCTCCGCTTCAGCTTCGAGTGCGGCTGCCCAATCTTCACATGGACGGCCTACTACTCAGCCTTCACAGCCACAACCGCGTCCATCTTCGCAGCGGTCAAAATCGATGAATTCACTCCTTGACGAGAGTAAGTCTTCCCCTTGAGTCCTTGCGCGTATGCCACTGTGGTTGCTGCTTTGATTTCATGATAGTTCAGAACTTAACATGCTTATACCTTTACTTGATGGAATAGTGGAGGACGAGACTGGTCCCCCAAAGTTGGCAAAGCTGAAGCTGAAAACGTTCTACCACGATAAAGAAAGCGAGGAAGTCCTTAAAGTAAGTTTAGGATTTGTGTTACAGGGCATTGACTTGCCTCAGAGGACGAAAGAACAGACACTAAGACTGCGGTCTTTTCATTCTTGTGATTAGATGTTCCGGCGGAAAGGACCACTCTCAAAAGCAGACGCAATCCAGTCAGGCGCAAGCAGCAGCAGTAATACTCTCAATCAAACCGGCAAAGGCAACAACGACGACCAAGATGACAATGGTGACCTTTCTCAGTACCTCTCTCGGAGTGGTACAACCTCTTGGGGAGTTTTTGGGGGCACGACTAAGTCTGGCGAGGAGCGCACCTCTTGGGGTCTGCAAAGTCCCAAAAAGCAGCGGGATCCCTCTCCTTCGATAACGTCAGCCAGCTTTTTGACGGTTCCTATTGACTCCTTTGTGCCTTCTACGCCTATTGGACACCATCAGGGTCGCAACTACAATAAGGAAGATCCTCAAAGGATCCCCTCAACACCTACTGGACGCGCTCAGTCTCACCAATATCACTCGTTGCAGTTCATTGGAGATGGCAGTCATCCGGATACCGAGCGTATTCCTTCCACACCGACCAGGCGTGACCAGATCCATCAAGGACGTTCTTTTGCAGCACAGTTGCGCGGTGGGGTAGGAGGACATGGTGAACTACACGACATGGATGTTCTCGGGTCTCCGGGTAAACGACGTCGTGGAGGCGCGGACAGTGACGATCCTAATGATGAAGGATACGACAAGAGGATTCTCCTGGACACCAGTGCCGTGACCACACCAAGGTCTATGACCCAGCCGCACCTTGTGTCAAAGTTCATCTCTTCTCCCGCCACCGGCCATCACAGGACACGTCGCAACATCGACTTTTCGGTCTTCAATGATTAAAATATGCAGGCTTTGCCCAATCTCATCTTTTCAATTTCCCTCGTGATTGTGCCTGGCTGCGCTAAAGTCGACTATTCAGCAAGAGCAGCAGCAACGGCCGTTTTTTTTGCTCCTTTCTTCCACTTCACTTCACCTCCATACCCTCCCTCTATCAACCCCCCCTCCCCCCTACAACAACAACAACAGCGACACAAAACGTCAAGCAGCTAAAGCGAACAGCCAAACAGGAGCAATAATGTCATCCTCAGAACCTCCAACTCTCAGCAGGCGTCAGATATCACCCCTCGACCTACCGGAGCTGCTGGAGCTAATATTCACCTTTGTCGACACGAAGACCCTCGTTACCTCCGTCCCTCTCGTCTGTCGACAGTGGTTCTTGATCAAACGGAACCGCTCTAATAGAGTCTTTGAATGGGTCGACTCTTTCTCTGATCCCAAAGTCGACAACGCTCTACGAAGATTACAGAAAGCAGACACGTTGTGTTGTCGTCTGTGTGAAATTTCCCTCAGCCCAACTGCGGCTGCGATGGACGAGAAGCTCTGGAAGGCCATTCAAGAAAACCACGCTTCTCGATACGTGGTGCCCTCAACTTCGTCTCGAAGCGGCCGTTACCACCTGGGGACTGTGCCTGCGACGGGGAGGAGTATTGCCGGCACCGCATTGAACACAAAGAGTCCCGACTTGCGACAATTGATTTTGGAGGGCTTTATCAATATGAAACTTGTCACGGAGCGGTTCTTGCCGTATTTCCCGAGTCTACGGATCCTCAAGATACACACAACACACAGATCCAGGAACGAGTTTTGTGTGAGGTCCATCATGAAGGCCTTGCCGTGCCTCGAGGCACTTCATTTTCAGCATACAGGAACTATGAATGCTGTGGAACTCCCTGGAGCGTGGACGGAGGAGTCGACAGGATTGGCGACAGTCACTCGACATTGTCTGCGATCCCTCGTCATAATCAATGCCTGGATCCCACAGGCTAGTCTTGAGGATTTCCTTGTCACCTCACCCCAACTCAAGGAACTCAAGCTGGTGCTCCTACAGTACCCTTATAAGCCTGGACCCTATTACGACCCTGCACGCCTGCTTCGACATATCCGGAGCCTCTCACTGGAACTCGGCAACTTTCATTTCTCGGACAGGTCTAGTCTCAGCAACCCGGTCCTTGAACGCGAACTCAACTTGGAGGTCTGTCCACAGTCGACCAACAGGATTTTTCGGGGTGGCCATTTTACTCGGGACGTTTTTAGGGCGCTCGATCAACTGCCGAACGTGTTGACTACTCTCGAGCTACTGGGAGCGTGCACGTTCTTGCATGACTACCTCTGCGAGTCGCCGTTTCTTGTACACCTCAAGGCGCCCCTGACCGACATGCCAATCCAACACCTGGTCATTCATACGAGCGGGAACTCGCAACCGACTACCTTGGAGCGTGGTGGTTCTCCTCTGAAAGTTTGGGCGTGTCGAGGACTTCGAACGCTACAACTACTTTTTCGAGGCGGCACGAACTGTATCCGCGACGGCAACAAGAACAGTATGGTCGTCTTTGGATACATCTCTCGAGTTTGTCCTCTCCTTCAGGAGCTTGAGATCTATGGACCGGACGTACAGACGGACGGATGGGTCGACCCCTCTAATCACAGGATCAATTTGGATCTTTCAAGTGGGTTGGTCCTCTTGGCGAGACTCCGATATTTACGGCGACTTTTAATCGGGGCGAGTGACGCTCATCGGCCAACCCATTTGGGACTCAAGAGAGTCGATGTTGACTGGATGGTGGCTTCAGGATATAGCGAGGAGAGGAGACAGGCGCGACAGGCAGTCATGGATAGTTGGGAAGTTGGGATTCAGGACGATGTCAAGAACTATGAGACAGGTGTCGTTATCATCCCTCAAGTCTCGTCCAACTGCAATAATCAAGATCCGTCAGTCGCAGGAGGATCAGAGCTGACGTACCACTTGAGGCACCTAGGGCAGAGAGTGGATGTCATATTGATGCTGGAGGAGCTGCATGCTGCCGGGGTCGGGTATATGGTCTGGCCAGAGTTGGAGGAGGTGTCATTTTATTGTCAAAGGTACCGTGGACTTTCACTGGACCAGGAAGTTGATCGATTGTTGAGTCCTCCTTCTTCTCTTCGAGCCAAGAGCAAGTCTTTGACGACACCTCAGTCGAGACGTTCTTTGCTGTCTGGCCCTCGGTCAACGTTCTTCTTTCCTTCTCTGAGGCGGCGCTTCCTAAGGCTCGCAAGAGGTGTTTTGAATTCTTGAGTTTGAGGGTGGCGCGGCGGTGGTAGCAATGCATACTTTAATAAAATGTTTCTTATTGGGTTGTATTTTTTTGCGATGAAGTAAAACCACAGTATGTTGGTCGTGGCATTTATTGGGCTATGGTACAAAAGGTATGTACAATTTTTTTTTGGAGGAATGTTGCTCATGCCTCCCGCTTTACGAGCTGCAGCTGCACTGGATGCCTTGACCCCATTCAGGCACAGGTCCGACATACTCGCCATAGACTTCCAGTCCAGCATCGTTCCTCTTGATCTCGCAAGTTCCGTCCGCCGTCGTGGTCGTCTCCTCAGCCTGGCTACTATCCTCTTCGCCAAAGGGATGCTGGCACATCCAGAGGACACGATCCAACAGATCCTTGTCCGGGTCCTCCTCTGTCGACTCTTCTCTAGTCTTCATCACGCTCTCCGTAGCACGCTCAATTACCTTCTGAGCGACCCAGTTGCGGAGTACAAATGCGGGGTTGACCTTGTTCATCCTGGTTCGACGTGTCTGGTCATCCTTCAACTCCAAGGACTGCACAAGCCGCGTGTGGTAAGGTACCAGCCAGTTCTTGATCTCTTCCACAGCGACACTACCACGCGCCAGATGAACAGGTGTAGGGAGCAGCTTCTTGACCAATGCCTCGATCTGAGCTCCGTTCTCGTCCACAGTGTCTGCTCCTTCAACCTTGTAGTCCGCCAAGTCCCGGAAGAATTGATGGTAATCAACCTCGTAATCATCCATCCACGCCAATGCAGGGACCACAATCTCCGTCAGGTCCGCGTCCTTGACCTGGTCTGCACCACCAAGACCGATCTTCTCGTTCATCCGACGACGGTAGTCCTTCAAGAAGACGTCCCGGAAGGACTTGTTCAAGATCTCGACCACAATGTCTTTTGCACCTTCCTTGAGGGTCTCCTCCTTCTCAGTATCAGACTCTTGCTGACGGAGCCAGTCCAAGTCATCGACTCGCTCCTGAGCACCGATCAAGTTCTCCAATGTCAAAGCCAACCGACCCAGGTTCCACAGACAGATACCCGGTTGCTGCTGGAAGGAGTAGCGTCCTTCAGTGTCAGAGTGGTTGCAAATGAAGAGCGGGTCGTACTTGTCCAAGAAAGCGTATGGGCCAAAGTCGATCGTGAGTCCCAGGATCGACATGTTGTCCGTGTTCATCACTCCGTGACAGAATCCGATCGCCTGCCAGCCCGAGACCATGATGGCTGTCTTGTAAGCGACTTGTTCAAACATCTTGGCGAACCGGTTGCGATAGAGTGCCTTTGGTTCTCTCGTCGTCACTGGTGCACCCTCTGCTTCTCCCTCAACAGCTGCGCTGACATGCTTGGGTTCGTCCGATGCTGCCTTACGAGCCTTCTCAAGCTCGACTTTTCTGAACTGTTCTGTGAAGGCCGCCATTTCCTGAGGATCATCCCGTGGCAGATTGTAAACCTCGTCGCAGACATATTCGGCCAGCCGTCGGAGATTGATCCTATCCTTGCGGTAGAAAAAGATTTCAAAGCTGCCAAAGCGGATCCATGAGGGAGCTACGCGGCAGACAATCGATCCGGGCTCGCCTCCGTCTTCGCGCGCAACCATGGTCTCCGTCGACAAGATCGCCAGCGATCGCGAAGACGCGACATCCAATGCCGCGATAGCTATAAATAAACATAAACAAAACGAGGGCTGGTAAGTGAAATGTCGTCTTTTGTTGCTTTCGCGTCGCAAAAATTAATCGCAGATCTTTGTTATTACCTTCTGCGCAAAGGTATTCGCGGATCGATGATCGGAGGACGGCATATCCGTCCGCGAAACGACTGTAGGGTGTCTTTCCTGCGCCCTTGAGCTGCAGCTCCCAAGATTGTCCTGTCGCCGGGTTCACCGTCTCATCTATAGTTGTATTGAGGATGTACAGTTTTGTCAGCTCGCAGATCTTTGACAAAGAAGAGAACATGATCGGACATGATGGTATAATGTATGTAACGATGACGATTATTAGAGCGACTTACAAAGTGAGATAGCTCTTCCATCACCGAGCTGTCCAGCATAGTATCCAAACTGGTGTCCACCGTAGCAGTGTGCCCAAGGTTGAGCCTCTCGTGGACCCTTGTCAGCATCGTTCTCATCCTGTTGGGGCGCTGGGATCTTTCGTCCACCGCCTGTCAGAAGCTTTACGAGGTGATCGAGTTCCTGCTCGGACCACTGCGACCGTTCGATCTTGTTGGTATCGACCCCGAGCTCCTTTGCAAACTCCTTGTTCCAACCGAGGAGAAAGGCATTCTTGGACTGATCCTCTGGGTTGACGAAGGAGTAGACGGCGTTGCGGACCATTCTTGGCGTACTGAGGATGTTGTCGGGGACGGGGACCGCTTCGTCGCCGTCATCTTGACCGAGGGCGGAGAGTTCGTCGCAGGGGAGGGAGGAGGTGAGGCGGGTCGGGTGCCGTGGGTGAGGGAGTGGTGGTGGGACGATGGTCTTGACACCAGCGGGTGCTGGGGCCGAAGAGGAAAATGCACAGGATGCCATGGCGACGAAGGGAGGTGTATGTGTTCTTGAGGAAAGTGAGTTGCGAAGAAGAAAGTGGGTGGGAGTATGAAGAGGCCGTCGAGTTAGTTGTTTTCGCGTGAGTGTTGTTGCTGAGGAGAGTGAGTAGGAATAAGAAGGCGAGTTGGCGAAGGGAGTGTGAAGGAGAGAGGGGGAAGAATGGAAGAAGGAAGAAGAAGAAGAGGAGAAGAAGGGGTGTCGTGGAGCCAGCGAAGACCCGAAGCGAAGCATGGGCGAACAAAAGCGTGTATGACAAAAATACGTTCTCTTTGTCTGTCTAAAGGGCAAGAGGAGTGAGAGTACTCATAGCGCAGTCCCCCTTCTTTTTCTTACATACGTCGATCACACGGACCCCTTAACCCTTCCAGTGACTGTCGTTATTTCCAGCAAAGGCAAAAAAAAAAGAAAAAAAAAAGAGTAAACAGCAAGCGAGCACCGAGGACAGGCGGCGGGAGTTGAATACCCCTTTCCTTTCTTTTGCACAAGGTCCTCTCCCGTCACTTTTCCTTCCTCTCTTTCCTTCTTCCTTTCTCTTACCCCCTAATCTCTCACTCCCCTCACACCGACCAACAAGAACAACAATGTCCGGACTCCTCGCATTCACAAAGATCGCCTTCTCGGCACCCCGCCTCGCCCTGGCCAACACCTTGGCCGCCCGCGGCTATGCCACCAAGAAGCTCTTTATCGGAAACATCGCCTGGGGCACTACCGACGACGAGGCCAAGGAGTTCTTTAGCCAGTACGGCACCCTCACCGACGTCTACTTCCCCAAGGATCCCCAGGGACGCACCAAGGGTTACGGCTTCATCGAGCTCGACGAGACCGAGGCCGAGAACCTCGTCAAGGAGACCAACGGCAGAGACTTCAACGGCAGAGAGCTCCGTGTCGACCCCGCCAACCCCCGTGAGGATCGTCCCCCCCGTGAGGACCGCCCTCGTGGAGAGTTCCGTCCCCGTCGTGAGTTCAACAACAGAGAGGGTGGTGACCGTGAGTTCCGTCCCCGCCGTGAGTTCAACAACAACAGGGATGGTGGCGAGCGTCAGTTCCGTCCCCGTCGTGAGGGCGGTGGTGGTGACCGCCAGTTCCGTCCCCGTCGTGAGGGTGGTGATCGCCAGTTCCCCCGCGGTGATGCTCCCGACCGCGAGTAAAGCGTCAACCAGTCATCCGATCCGCATGTCGAGGTGAGGGAAGTTCTTTTGTATCTTCTCACGCAGCCTTGCACCGGATGATGACGATGAAAGGGAGGCTCTTGTTTTTACAGGATGAACATCGTCAAGGATACCAGCTTATTTTCAATTCTCCAGAACGCCTCCCCTTCTCTTTTCTCTTGTTCATTCTCTTTTTCACTCACAACACCGTTATTGCGTTCAGTTTTATTCATCCATGTTCATATCTTTTGTAGTTTTATTACCGCACTTTCCTTTCATTCATAACTCATACTTTATACACTTTTTTTTTTCTTCAATCCCTGTACTATTATGAAAATAAACAAGCAGAACAGAACAACAAAGAGTAAAAACAAAGAAACAGACACAGCGACCGTAAATTGAAAGAGATGACAAAGTTATGCAGAAAACACCTTCAAAACCCACGGTCGTTTGCTGTTCAGTCTCCTGCCTGAGGATTCGGCTAGACACGGACATCATCGACATCCAAGCCTTTGATCCATTTAACAATAAACCCAGACCCCTTAACCCAGCCACTAAATATTCCGAACATGTCATGACGCTCCACAAAGAACACGCTGAGCACAAAGGACTATCGACCTCTTTATTTTTTGACAACCATCCATTGTACATACTTATCGGGAAACTTGACTCGAAGTAGCGTCTTGCAATCGTATCCAAAATCACGAGCGCCCTCCAACGACACCCTCTCCAAGCACTGGAAGACACTCTCAAGCACCAGGAGACACCCAAACTCGTCCGTATCCACAAACTCCTCGACAATCCTCTTCACACCGAACGATAAACCCACCTCCTGATAGAGCACGCGATCAACTCCTCCGCTCGACTTCTTGTTGACGATTCTCTGCGGCAACACCGGTAGCAGCAGAAGAAGCTAACAAGATCGGGTGCATACTTTTCCAATCGTCGTCCCGTCGCCAGAAATGGGCTCCATCGTTCCAACTCTACCAGGCGCTGCTCCCTCACCTCCAAAGACCGCCTTCCCGCCTCGGTGATCCAACTGATATCAATGTCACGACAACCGATCTACATCCTCAAGTACAGCCCGTTGATCGTTAGTCGCTTGAGCTGAGAGCAGGACAAAAGTTCTAATGGGTAGTAGCGAAAGGAATACAATCGTAGGCGATTTTCCTAACTGCTGCTGCTATTTGCCCACAAGCTGATTCCCAGTCGCTCAACAACTCGTCTTGGGTTCCAGAGTCTCGAATCGGGGACAGAGGGTCGCAATGTATCCAAAAATGACTCTTGAGAAGAGCATGTCATGAACCCAGGGGGTGTATGTGGACCTCGATCCGAAGTGTCTGATGGTTCCTGTTGGTCTTGAACTGGAGATCCAAAAGTCGAGATGTCACAGCCAACAGTTCCCCCTCATCTGCCATTGTTGAGCCATTGTATTTGTGAGGATTAACGAGCAAAGTCGTAACAGTACTGGATCAGAGGACTTTGCAGTTTTTTTTTTTGGCAATGTTGTTGTTGTTGTAGATCGGCAGGAGAATGGGCGCAATCCACCACAGGTACAGGGCACAAACCGACATAATAAGTTGTCTCACTAGTTAGTGGCGTGCTTTCATTATTTAATTTAGTAACACTAAGTAGAAAGCACACATAGAACATCTCCTTACGCCGCCGTCCAAGGGTGCTATCAAAAGAAAAACTCTCCATCCAGGGCTACATCTGTCCATCCCCATCATCAATCTCATTCAGCTATCGCCCTCACTTCTGACAGCAGACCCAAATCATCCAACTGTGACACCAGTCTTCTATCAGCCGTACGTTCAACGCTCTCTGATGGTTGAACCTGTAGAGCTTCGCTAGAGATCACCCGCTCATTATCCAATTCCACTGCAAGTTCCTCGTTCTACCCCAACACCCCCTTCCGTCGCATCTACCTCATCATCTCCTTGTTATACCCTGCAAGGATTATCCAGCTTAGATCAAAGTCCCGGCACTTGACTCCTCTCGTCCACAACGGCACGCCCACAGATAGTTACTTCAAATACTCCAAATGGTGACATAGATAGCACATGTAGGCAGCACAAGGAAGACACGGAGATGGTTATGGTAATATTATATGCGAATAAATGTTATATACTGTATCTTGAGCAACCTAGTGGTCAGTCAGAGCTGGAGTTGCCCAGGCGGTAGTGGCTGTCAAATCATCTCTCTGGCGATCATGATCGAGGACAGAGAAGCAAGGAGTGAGTTAACAGTTGCACCGGTCTTATTGCAAGCCAGTGGACTCCTTTTTCCCCTCCCACGCGGAGACTATCAGGTCCAACTGCAGACCCAATAGTGCCCAGAACATTACCGACCTGGCCTAAAAGATTGTTGTTATCGTATAGAGATGCGGCTCCAGTCTGTACTTTCCGGTCAGCTTCCAGGCTGCGCCAGCCTTACCGAAGGTCTTCAGCAGGCCATCGACAAGTGATCGGAACTGGCGCGGCGTTTGTGAAGGAGGTACTGAAGATGATATGGCGAGAAAGGCGGCAGTGGCCATGGTGAATGGACTGATGATCTTGGAGACCGGTATCTTGGTGTAAGGATTTTCTTGAGTTGGAGAGAATGGACGAGAACGCGCGGTGTTGGAAGAGAGGTTGAAATCGAATGAAGATGTGAAGCAGGAAGGACACACGTTAACCTCTCCTTGTATTTATCTGGAAGCAGAAGCCTTTGCTAATGTACATGTTCATGGCAACCATTTCTCGACGGTAATGATAAGAAACCTTATCGCCTCATGGTGTGGTCTCCCATCATGGTCACCTCTTTTCCCTTTCAATTGTCATTCCGCGAGAACAATATCGACGGACTGGACAGATGCCTAACTCCCTTTCATCTGGACATTGAGTCATTTTGTTTTAAAAATTTCTATATGGCAAGGGATGTAGCACAACCATACACACGTTGCACGTAGGACCAAAGACTATTTATTTATTTTCTCCCCCATTGTGCGATCAAGGGACGCATTTATTCCGGCTTACTACCACACCTTCGCCTCCGCACACCCTTGCCAACACGTCTTCTATCTCCCTCATCTACTCAGATTTGGTCCTTACTCCGCTAGCGGAGAGCACCAATGCCTAGCTTTGCTGTAGTAGAGCAAAAATTAACCCTCAATTGCCAACAATGCCTCACAAGAGAAAGAATAAAGAAAAGCAAGAACAAAAAAAAATAAAGCAAAAAAGGCAAGGAACAAAAAAAAAGCAAGGAACAAAAAAGAAGAACAGGAAATGAAGGGCAAAGAACAAAAAAAATGGGCAAGCTCTCAGTTGCCTACAATGTCTCATAGTGTCACAAAAAAAGAAAGCTCGCATTGAGCGGGGGCCTCAGACTTTGTGCTGGTCTTATCATAGGCATAGCGCCTTAGACTTGCTGCAACTATCATCATAGGCATATAGCCTCTCCCATCCTAAAAAAAAGAAGACATGCAATGACACAGAGATTAGCACCCCCATTACGTCTTCCTCCAACAGCATATATCAGTGCTGGGAGGGCCAGACGCCCCCAAGGCGACCACCATGCCGGCGCACCCACTCCCTTGACACGGCCAAGCACACGGCCACCCATGCCAAGTCGGGATTGCGGACACTTAGGTATGAGGGGGAGGGAGGTCGTGACTCCTCTTGACCCCTTCCTGATAGCCTCTTGTCACTAAAGTTATACGACGATAAGTAAGTTTCGTGATTAGTAACATGTTTGCGCCACCAAAACTACGTGTCGAGAAAAATATAACCACACCCACGCGCGCACCCACTTTCTTTTCTTGTTGCTTGAAGGGAAGGGAAGGGAAGGGGGGTGTTTATCTTACCAGGTGTCGGTCTAAACGGCAGGGGTGGGTGCAAGGAGGGCGTCACTTCCTCCTAACACCCCTTCATCTCGGCAGCGGCGGGTGCCAGGAGGGGCTGAATCCCCCCTAACACCTTTTCATCTTGACTAGGACGGGTGCTAGGAGGGTTTCATTTCCTCCTAACACCCTTTCATCCTAACAGGGGCGGGTGCCAGGAGGGGCTCAATCCCCCCTAACACCCTTTCATCTCGGCTGGGGGGGTGGGGGGGGGGGGGGGGGTGTAAGGAGGAGCAACGCTCGACTCTACTTACACCCTTTCATCTCTGAAGGGGAGAGTGTAAGGAGGAGCAACGCTCGACTCTACTTACACCCGTTTACTTGGCGGACCCAGGCATGAGGGTGAGGAGGGGGTCAATTCCTCCATGCATCCTCTCTTGCCCTAAAGCGAAACGGATGGCAATAATTAAATCTCTGATGATTAGTACATAGTATACACGTAACCGTGATGACACAATCACTCAAGGACAAAGGGGCGGGGGAACTGAGAACCGTGGAGTTGTGTAATGGCGTAAGGAAGGAAGTAGGAGAGCGTAGGAACTGGAAACCGTCCGTGGAGTTGTGTAAAGAAGGGGAAGAAGGAACCTAAAAGACACACGAACACAACGCTCACCCCCACAGAAAAAGACAAGGAAGGAACAAAACGAAAGCAAGCCAAACGCGCAACCCATACACGACAACTCAAAAAAAAGACTCCGAAGAGCGTGGGAGCTGGGAAACGACGTGGAGTTTAAAGAACGCAAGGAAGGAACAAAACAAGCAGCGCAAAAGCAAACGCTCACCCCCACAGAAAAAGACGAGGAAGGAACAAAAAGAAGGTAAGGCAAGGCGTGTGCTCCTGCACAGAAACACGAAGAAGGAAGAAAGAAACTAGGACAAAACAACGCACACGCGCACTCAACAACGAGAAACAACGGGGAAAGGAAAATAGAACGGGAAAGAAAGTGTGGGAGAGGAGATACAACGCGAAACACAGACACACCCTCTTTCGTTTTCTGTTCCTGAGAAAGGGAGGAAAGGAAAGGGAGGAAAGGAAAGAGAGGAAAGGAAAGAGAGGAAAGGAAAGAGAGGAAAGGAAAGAGAGGAAAGGAAAGAGAGGAAAGGAAAAGGAAGAGAAGGAAGGTAGTTTTCTTACCAGGCCAGCGGCGGTTTCCAGACGGTAGAGGTGGGTGACAAGAGGAGGGGCCGAAGAGGAGTGAAGAAGAAAGAGAAGAAAAGAAAACAACTGTTTTGGCCGGAGAGATTGCCTTTTATACCACGTGGCACGTGCAAGCAGCAAATATTACTGCGTCATCTTGGGGGCAAAGGCCGAGTGCGTGTGTAACGAGAGGGGTTGACAGGGCTCTCAAAAAGGAAGTACACTTTTAGGCCTATGCGATATTCTCATCCCTCTAAACACAGGACCTTCTATCATAGACCCATTGACCACGCAGCCATCCTTCGCTTGGAGAAGGACAGAAGAGGCATGAAGAAAGGGAATTGCGTCTAGAGAGATGAGAATATCCATACTGGTTAGTGTTGCCGAATGTAATGATGGCTAAAAGCCTATTATTCGACAACGCCATAACTAATTCGCTCAACGGGTTCTGAGCTGACACCATGCGACCAGTGATTGAGACCAGTCGCATGGTTGACTCTGTTCTAAAAGACACGCCGCTCTCAGCTCTTTTTTCTTTTTTCTTTTCTCACCTTCTCCTTTGCACCAACCTCAACATCCCCCCCGCTTGGGCCACCTTGACCACTCACCTCATCGCCATGCTCAAGCCCCCTCATGGACACATTGGTCAAGTACGCAGGCAAAGGATCACCACATAATGCCATCACCCGGGCCTTCCCAGTTCCTGATCCTGATTCTGCACCATCAGCACGTCCTCAATCGGCTCTACTTTGATGGTAAGCAGGGAGGAGTCAATGGTATCGGTTCCTCAGTCCCTACATACTACCATCGCCCTATTTACCTGTCTTCTGGGCTCTAAATATCTTTCAACGACGACGCAAGACCAGGAGGCCATCTCCTCCAAGTGCGTTCTCAGGACACATGGATCAAAGGATGAAGAATGAAGACGAAAGAGGCCTTGGTCTTGGCTGCCACCTCTTCTTCCTCCAGGGCGTCACTTTCTTCTGTAAGCGAGCGTCAGGAGTGGATGACGCACCGACAGGAGAGCCTCGTCGTTTGAGTTTTCGCTTTCCACACCATCGGCATGCCGCTTTCGATGCAGCACCGACACCTCTCTGCACTCGGAGCAACTATGCTACGCCAGTACGACGTTCTTCTCTCACTCGCCGAACGGTCCCATTGCCAAATCCCCATCAGGAACGGACGAAGCACAAGGACTCGGGCCAACCTCGAACTCTGTCATGAACTGTCGTTTATCATGCCGTCGTCCATGACTTACTCGCCGTTGTTCTTTCGGTTACTGAAACCATCACCACCAGACTTGGTCTGGACTGAAAGGCAAATATATCCATCCCATGGCTCTTTCTTTCCATTGCGTTCCAACAACTACCAGAGGAGAGCAGGACCCCTTGGGAAGGTCTCCAGGGTCCGGATTTTACCCGACAGACTGCGTGAGTTTGAAGTAGATCTAGTCCAATATAGACTAAGGGATTACTAACAACCAGGTCTGAGCGGAGAATCTGGTCGACAGGGACAGGAAGGATCTGGAGTTGACAATAGATAAGTTGGCCTCAAATAAAAATGGGGGGTTTTTTCTTTATTACATACACCATGATTGCTCTGGTCTATAGAAATGGTGAAATGTGAATGTGTCATCTTACGGCAAACAACAATCTCTTCTTGGTTTCTTGTCTTTTTGAGCAATACCACTACTCGCCCGCGTTCAAAAGGCAAGGTACTTCTTTGCTTGTAGCCTCACATTGAGCAATCGGGATAGAAAAAATTAAGGTAGGGAAGGAACAAAAGTTGATCATGTAAGAAGAACTAGAGTGACAAAGAAGGGTATCAAAAGACAAACGCAAAGAGTAAAAATACGAGAGGAAAAACATTAGAAAAAGATAAAGAAGTGGGACAGAAATAGAGAGAGACGGCCAAAATAAACACTGCAGACATGGTGCCCATGGTTGTATAGGTGGGACATGCGACGAGGATGCGATGGGGTTGGGTGGGCCTTTGTTTGTGGGAGCAGTGTAGATTCCTCGGTACAAGTAAAAAGAACTCAAAGTCACTCAAACAAACAGTTTATTTGTCCGCCGTGTATTATGAAAATAGTAAACATTAATCTTCCCGGCTACAAACCGGTGGTCTCCTCAGTCCCCTCAACAGCACCCGCAACGCGGCTATCTGGTCCAACTGTAGACCCAACCGTGCCAACAACAGTACCAACCTGGTACAAAAGACCCCTGTCGTTGTACTTTGGAGGGGCTCCGGTCACGGCATGTCTGTCCACGTCCTGGATTCCCGCAATCAAAGGACGAGGCAAAATGGGGGCGACGAGATATGCAGAAGCCTTGCCGACGATCTTGAACAGTTTATCGGCGATTGAGTGTGGTTCGGCAATTGAGTGCGGGGCGGGTGATGGAACGGGTGCGGCGATGGTAAAGGAGGCGATGAAGAGGAGGGTGACGAGGAGGGCAGCAGCGGCGGCCGTGGTGAAAGTGCGGTTGATGTTGGATACTGACATTCTTTGTGAATATGTGTTAGGAGTCGGAAGACAAGTTTGTTAATATGATAGTTGACAAGCAAGGTAAGGATGCGTCGCATTCGTTTTCTTTCCTTTATTCAAAAGCAAAGTTCTTGCTGGTGCTTTGTGTGCGTGGGTGAGTGTTTGTCATTGCTGATGATAAACTGGCGAGCAAAGTCTTTCAATTCGTAGAGTTATCACAATTGTCTTTCACACTCATGCTTTTGTGATTATATGCAAAAATCAAAGGAGGGTAGGGAATATACCATTTTCCAAGCCCCGTCCGTCTTGGCCAATTCAGTCTATGCCTTTGTGATGCTGTGCAAGAATTAAAGGAGGGTAGGAGAACATACCTTTTCCTAAATCCCGTCCATCTTGACCAGGCCAATCTATGCCTTTGTGATTCTAGCAAAAATCAAAGGAGGGTTGAAGAACATACCTTTTCCCAAGCCCCGTCCATGTTGACCAGGTCAGCCTATGCCTTTTTGCACGGCAGGCAAGGGTGTTCATGAACCTATTAGTGTAACAGGAAAGAGAAGGAAAAGAAATAAAACGAGAACGTTAAAGAGGAAGAGTAGACATTCTAGTTCCATTTACAAACTGATCGCCATAAACGTTCGTTTTGTTGTTTACTCCGTTCCCGTCGTTTGACGAATTAATTTTAGTGTCACCTTGGTTACCTTCATTTGAGTCCACGCGTGTTGCTAAACACCGTCGAGCTTGGCTCTTGGAGAGTAATAGAGCGGCAGAACAACAAAGGAGACAAATGGAGCCCAAAAAAGCAAAAGAAAGAAAACATGCAAGGGGGTGTTGATTTAGAATAATAGGATGCAAACGCACATGAAGGCGCTCTGCAATGAGAACAAGGAGAACATGGCGATCTTCCTAGCATCCCCATTGGCAGGCATCAGTCGAGTATCAACATTGCCCGAAAAGGGAACCAATATCACATATCGCGGTATCAGCAACAGGACCATGTCGATCGTACGACCAGAAGAGCGGTTCTAGACAGGGAGCAGAAATATTTTCTTGCAGAGCGGTGCTGAATGGAATGATGGGGTAATTGTAGCAAAAGGATGAGGTATGCAATCGAGTTAATGGTGAAATGGGCAACATATGAAGACGCGTCGTAATTTTTGTTTGAATGATGTTTATTTGCGAGTTCTTCTTGCATTTTCGTCGTGATGGGTCCCCCTGAATTTCCCTTACGAAAACATGCAACAAAGGGTGGCAAGTCCATCCCATGTTAACAACAAGATTTTATCCCACCCCTCCCCATCTCTCAACGATGCAAGAAGGTATTCCTCTGTGACAAAATGAATATCGGGGGAAAAGAAGGCGAAATAGCAGGCATCCCGAGGTATGCATTTTTCACGCAAACAAGCCAAAAGTCATTGAACAACTTCCCTTCTGGATAGCCTTGAGGCTCCCTCAACTTGAGCATTCTTAGGTAGATGCGCTGACAGCTGAACGAAAAAGAGACGATGATTTCGTCCAATGATCCGGTCTTACCGTACATTCACACTGGTAAGTCACGTCGTCTACTGGCGACGACCTAGGTTCGCGTCCTACGGTAAGGAACTCTGTGACATGGCAGTGGAATGTTAAAAAGGGTAATTTTGAAATCGTAGGCCTGCTTGCTCAACTTTGTCATTGGCAGGGACGTGGGATTCAAGACGCATGGTGCCCTGTTCGCATCGATAACGACTCCATTCCAGGCAACCGCGTCTCATACAAATATAAATGGGTGCAGCATATTACTTCACGATATTAGATAAGAAAAGATGTTTCTATTAAAAGGCTACGATGGGGGGGGGGAAGAAAATATACGTCGATGTACTCAGTCTACACACCAGCTGCATTCTTAGCAGTAGCAGCAACAGCATCAACCAAAGGCACCGGTGCAACCACTGTAGCAACTTTTCCAACGAACCTTCCAGCGGTTTCCAAAGTATTATCGACAGCGGATGGAGATGCTTCGTCACCAGATGGGCTGCCATTTCCACGGACTTCATTGCAACCTTTCAGTTCACCTTCAATCACAGGCTTGGGTAAAGTGCTGCAGGCGACGGTGCCTGCAGACTCACCAGCGTGACGAAGCAGCGTGTTGGCGTCAGGGGCCGGAACCGGGGCGGCACTGGTAGAAGAAGCACTCAGAGCAATCGGCGAGGAATGCAGCAGCGGTCAAGGTGAAAAGGCGGTTGGTCTTGGTGGCAGTCATCTTGAGAAAGAGGGAGGGTCTTGAGATGTTAGAGGTCGGGGGTATGGGCCTTGCGTGGAGCGGGTCTTGGGAGGGAGTGTGAGTGTGAAGATAATGTTCAAAAAAGAAGTGCACGTTTGTGTTCCTTTTATTTGACAACAAGGTGTATACGCTCGTTGCCGACTAAACTACCGTTTTCATTTCATAGAACCAAACATTTCTTTCTCTCCCTTGCATTCTCCTTGCAGCTCATTGTCGGTGGTTTTTTTTTTCTTTTTTCAAAAAAGAAATTAGGGGGTCAAATGGTATGTTCCCACCTTAACAAAGAATTACCTTTGGTACTCCAGGTCCTGGCAACGTCTACATGAAAGAGATATCCGCCGAAAAGATGAAAGGCAAAAGCAAATGGGACGTACAGGAAAGAGATGGAGCAAGGGTAAAAGAGGACACATTCTCCATGCAAAACAGTCAAGGTCGCCGAACTCTCGCCCTTTGGTTAGGGCAATCTTTTTTCTTTTTTTCTTTTTCGACTCTTTGATCTTCATTTGTGGTGTAATGGCTCGAGAGCCGAAGGTGCTTCGGTGCTTTTACTGCCGATTTAGGAGTTATCGTCGTATCCTAGACCACCATGTTCCGCAACCTTGCAATTCTGCTTTACATGCAAACCGAAAAGAAAGAGAGAGAGACAGAGAGACAAATGCCAGATATGTGCATGCGATGAGAAGGAAGTAGGGGCCAGCTCCTTTTTTCTCTCCTTGTGGTCATCGTACGAGATGAGATAAAAAAAAAGGTTCCAGTAAATGTAAAAACGCGCACAAACATTGGACAAGGCAGGCATATTTAATACAGGCAGATGTAGACCATATGGGCTTATTATGAGAGTTGGTAGCATAAAGTACGTAGAGGTCAAAAACAGAGCGCCAGTGTCCTGTCCAGTCGACTATCGACGGCATGGATCGAAGAGTAAGTCGTCTACTAAAAACCAGTGGCCGCGCGAGTGGCCTCAACACCGGCATCGCGAAATTGCGATGAACGGTTTTGGAATCAAGGTAGACGAACAATCCAATATTGTACAGTACAAGAGCGTGTCGTCAGAGTGTTCAGGGTTATTAATATATTGAGGTGCGAGGTCTTTTTTGGCTACTATTGTCAAGGTGCTCGCTTGTAGACCCCGTAGTTCCATCCTACGGTCTCAAGATCATCCAACCCACGCCTTTCAATTATTTTGAAGAGCGTCCGTAAGCGATCTGGTTGGTCGTCTGGAAGAGACCCCGGTCCCTGCAACCAACCCATCGCTGGCATGGTGCTCGACATCACGTTCAAAGCCATGATATCTTGAAGCTTTGCCTTCTTTTCCTCTTGAACACGTTCGAAATACACATCGAAGCTCCTTAAACATCCTCCTCCTCCTCCTCCTCCTCCTCCTCCTCCTTCCCCTCCTCCCCTTCGTTCTCCTCCTTCTTCTCGTCCTCCTCCTCCTCCTCCTCTCGCTATCAACAACCCTGGTATTACTGACGAAATCGTCGTATATTGAGGTATCACTCTTAGACGAAGCGCCTTGAGTCGACGGCACATCCAAGGGTGTTTCGCAAGATCTAGCAAAATGTCGCGCCCCATGTACGTCTGAATCGCCACTTCCAGTAACTCGAGACCCTCGCAAGTCCTCAATAGTCCCAGGACAAGATCAGCAGTCGAACCCTCGCAAAAACGAATCGAAAGATCCAAGGACTTGAGTGTGTTAAAGAGGGAGAGAATCTCCAAGCCAATCTCGCATCTGTATCGACCCAAGGAGAGCCTGAGGTGTTGCAGGCCCGGCGTCGACGGATAGTCTCGCATCAGCGATAGCCCACGAACTGGCGACATCTCCGACCGGGCATTCAAGGATCGCAACTTGGGGCATGAGGATCGGATCATCTGGGCAATTGGATCGATATCGGTCTCTTCAGATATGTAAAAGTCGAGAGATTCCAGGTTGGGACAACATCGGATCAGCAAGTCCAGCCGTATGCCACCTGACATCTCGAACGAAAGGCTTGTTAGAACAGGGAAACATAAGGAGGTCGTGGGAAGCTTCAGTCCATGAACGCCGACGCCCAATTTGCTGCTACTGTTGTTGCTGCCTCTGTCAATACCCTCGCTCGAACCATACTGGTCCATTGCAATAAGATCCGCCCCACTGACCCCCACTAGGTGGTGTAGTTTCAGGGTAGTAAGCGATCCAGCAACAGGCTTCAGAATACGCGCCAAGTCTCCTGCAAACCCACACCACCTCAAAAGCGTCAGTGACTCCAGTCGACTCAATCTCGTAAAATCCTCAGGGTCAAGCGTCGATTTTGCCTTATAAACCATCCCATCCCACGAGAGCGCCCTCAAGCCAGGGTTGGCGCGCACAAATCCTCTGTAGACATTCACGGTCTGGACAACGGATGATCCAAAAAGCAAGTCCATCGCAATAGTGAGTTCAATTAGTCGGGTGCATTGTATGATCACCAGAGGGGCGCTGGCGTAAGCTTCCAAGAACCTGATATGAGGAAGAAAGCGCTCGAGGGTCGCCGCGGGGACGGCAGTAAGTCGAGCGTGGAGGCACGTGCGCCACAGGATGGGGACCATGACCTGGTACCAGAGTTTTGAGACGAGCATATAGTTGAGGAAGGTTCGGGGTTTGTCGAGGAAGGGGATGAAGACGGGAATGTGCTCCGAGCGAGGTACCCATAATGGCAAAAAGTAACCGACACGAGTCAAGATTTCTGGAATCGCGAGTGGGTCTGCAGACATTGGATATCGTGTTGGTTGTTCGCTGTTGTTATTGTTGTTATTGTTGTTATTGTTGTTATTGTTGTTCGTTGTTGGAATGTAGCGATTTGTCGTCGTCGTCATCGTCATTGCTGTCTGCTTGTCTGTTAGTTGATGCTGAATGAGAGTATGTCGCTGTTCGTGTTTGAAGAGGGTAAGGAAGGGCTTGGGTAACGAAGAAAGAAAGAGCAAAAATCAACCTTGTTTTATTCTCACACACTGGCCATGGTCTCGCTTTGCCATGTGTGCGCAAAGAACTATGGCACAAACAAATTTTTAAAAAAAAAACCAAAAAAACCGCTATTGAATTGAATTGAATAGAATAGAAGTCTCAACGCTGATCTCGATGTCATGATCGACCCCATCCCAGGCACCAGTCCTTGATCAGATAAAGAACTTTATCTGTCTCACAGTGACATATCAAATGACGGCGATCGTAACAGCCGCCATTGCCCGTATTTCCAGCATCGTTGTCGTCGTCAGTATCCTTGTTTGACCCATTGTGCTCCATGACGATGATAACACCGCGCGCTTGTGTCCATCAACATGCCTGAGGCTCAGTCCTATGAGCGTACGCGCAACAGCCCTGAAAGCGCTCGTCAAACGTCCTCCAGATTCATCTCACCACTGAAGCATCAGAGACTTCAGTCTAACTAATCCTGAAAAGTCTGCCAGGGGTCAAGGGTAAACTTGTCATTGAGCGACAGCCCGCTCCGCAAGAGACCCTTCAGTCTTGGACTGCATTGAACAGTCGTCTTGTAACGATTCAAAGAGCGACTGCGAGGCTTGTCGTCGGCGCCGTCGCCACCCTAATCTCAAGGGAAGGTCCGCATAAAAATCGAAAGCTCAATGAGTCGGTTACACTGGAGGGCGACGAGAGGGAAGAGCATATTTGTCTGCAAGATCCTCATGTGGGAAAGGAAGTGTCCAAGAACCTGCAAGGGCGTAGCTGTGATCCGAGCCGAGAGGTAGGTGTGCCAGAGGATGGGAACCAAAACGTCGTACCATTGCCTTGAGACTAGCATACAGTTTATGATCGCGCGAGGTTCGTCATCATAGTTCCCATGGCCATCCGGCGCCTATAAAGAGAGAAAGCATCCTACTCGAGTAAGGATCTTGGGATGGCGAGAGGACTGGTTGACGATGGGTGATCTCCTTCGGTCATGGTTGTTGGTTGATTGTCCATGTCTTGTTGCTGCCTATTCTCAGCTTCTGCGGTTGTATTTGTAGTTGAAGTTCTGTTGCTTGCTTTGGTGGATGAGAAATCGTCGTTTGCCATGTCCGTGATGATCGCGTTGAAAAAGGAAGAAAGAGAAGGGGTAAAAAGGTAGAAATCGAGGCTCCAATTTAATTGTGTACAACACCCTTTCTTGTCCTTACAAACACTAGACCATTCCACCGTACAACCCGCAATTGCTCCAATCCTTGAACCGCCCCAAAAAGATCCTGGAAAAAGCCCTTCTTCATCTTCAACACATACGAGGTCGTTATCACAGGCCGCTTGGGACACAGGGTCCAGCCCAGATCAAGACCATCCTTGAGAATATCTTCCACCGACGCTGAGCCTTCCTGCTTGCCCTCCCCCTCAGGTGGTGTAAAGTCCAGAAACAACTGCTCAATCCCTCTGCATCCCCAAGTTTGCACCTGCTGGAGTCCTTCCAATATGGTAGCGCTGCGGGATGCACGGTTCCAAATGCAGAAAGAAAACGACTTGAGGAGCCGGCACCCTTCAAGTGGCAGAAACGCAGTTGTAATGCCAGAATCCTCCGTTCCATTCACGTCCACCTCCTGAACCATGATCGTCAAGTACTCCAGTGTTGGTGCGTGGAGCAAGATGGCCGAGACTAGGCTCTTGGTGATGAGTACTTGAGAGACAGTGATGCTGACAAGCCTGTGTATGGGTCCACGGGGCCCGCCTCCCCCCAAATTCCTGACAAGTGTCTCGCCAAGATGAAGTTGCGCATAGTCCCGCACTGTCAAGTTGTCGAGTCTTGGGCAGCAGTCCATAAGAGTATTCGACAGCCTCATGACATCGATTTCGCCGGTGAGGATCGTGTCGCAGCTCCTCAGATTCGGGCAACTCTGAACTAGGTCGGACGGGTCAGGACCATTGGGCCAATTGCAGGATGAGGTGAATGTTTCCAAGTAGGGGAGGACCAAATCGTCAGTGTGCTTCTTGTCAACCCATTCACCACCGGAGACCTCTCCGGCAAGGCTCGGCTTTGGCATCCCCTCAATCCACCCCAAGTAAAGCTTGACTAACGATCCTGCGACTGCTTTTAAGGTCCTGGTTAGCTCACCGTTTCCTCCAATCCAATGAGAGATGACCAAGGACTGGATCCGCTTCAAGTGCACAAAGTCCTGTGGATTCAGCGGCACTTTCCTGTAAGGGCCATGCCACCGCAATACCTTGAGACCGGAGTTAGTGCGTACAAGTTGTCTCTGCGCAGACATGTCTAGAACGCCCTGAAGAATGCTGAGTTCGGCGAGGTTGGTGCAATGAATGGGAGATGGAAGTTCACTGTGGGCGTCAAGGATTCTGAGATAAGTACTGTTGCGGTCGAGGACCTCCCGGGATGCTCTCCTCATGCACTCGCAGGTGTACGTGTGCCAGAGAACGGGGAGTAGTGTCTGGTGCCAGAGTTTAGAGACGAGGAGACAGGAGAGAACAGTCTTGGGCTTGAATGTCATCTTTGGGACACCGGACTCTGTCACGACTTGGAAGATCCATAGAGGGAGGAAATAGCCAACACGGACTAGTATCTCCGGCAACTCGAGCGCATGTGTCGTTGGCATTTTTGACACGACAGGGGAAGGGGCGGAGTTAAAGTGAGGAGTTAAAGTGAAGAGCGCGTGCGAAAAGTAGAAAAGTGTCAAGTAGTGTCAAAAGTGATGTGCGAAGAAGAGTGCTGGGTCGAACAGGGTTGCTGAGTTGTCCTGTTGTCTTGCGAGGTGAAAGGTGTTAGGTCGGTGATGCCGCTGACTTGTTTTCTGGGTATGGTAGTTGTTGTGAGTGAATGAATGGCAATGCAAGCAGAGACAATGTGGCCAAGAACCCTCTTCGTACAATGTGACTTTGCATTCAGGAGGTAAGAGTCTATTACACTAAAATCAACGTTCTTGTGTAGCCATAAAGTCCCTCTCCTTACTCCTGATGACCTTCAGTGAAAAGCTCTCGAGTCGTTGACCAGCCATCAGCACCAGTCGGATGCACTCCACGCCTGGGGGATCGCAACGTGCAATAGATAGATCCAAAGTCTTGAGGGTGGCCGCATGGGACAAAATCGTCATTAGAATCTCCTCATCGACAGTCTTCAAGCAAAGTCTCAACTCTTCCAAACCTGGCGTCAACTGACACCTCTGAAGAATCGTCAGGATGCGATCCGGATGCATGTCATCTCCGATATGTAGTGATCTCAAGTCGGGGCAAGAGGACCGAATTCCCTGAGCAACACGATCAACAGCGGTCAAGTAAATAATGTTGAGTTCAAGAGACTCCAACCATGTAGCTCAAGACATCCCGGGCTCTGTCGAAGAATCGCCATCGCCAAAGTCCTCGCCACGTGGATTCGGCACGCAAGAGGGAAGAAAGAGCCCAACTTGAGTCAGGATCTCCGGGATGTCAAGGGGCTGATGGTCATTCCTCGAATGTCAATGCTGTCGGTTACTGATTGCCCCTGTTTTTGTTTCTTGGTCTTTGGTTTGTTGGCTTTCGCTTTGCTATCTGCTTTTGCTGTCGCTGCTGCTATTGTTAGTATTGCTGCCTCTGCTGCGGTCGGGTTCGCTTTTGCTTGTTTTGTTGTCTTTATAACCACTGTTGTTCCTGCTAGGATTGCCACAAAGGCGCCTTCTACTTTTTCTGTTACAGTCCTAGCCCTTGGCTTCCCCGCTGTCGTTGCAGTTGTTCGTGCCGATGCTGTCACTGCAGCAGTTGTCGCCTTGCCTTTTGCTTTGGTTGTGGTGGTGGTTGCTGCTGGAGCAAGTGTTATGAACGAGTCTGATCCTGTCTTCCCGGTACCAGCCCTAGTCCTAGATTTACTGGCCGTTGTTGTTGTTGTTGTTGTTGTTGCCTTGGTAGCGTCAGTGGGTTTGCATCTTCCGTTGAGGTGAATGTGGCAGTCGGGTCTGGTTCTGCTGACTTGGATGCAGTTTTGGTCATTGGTCTCCCGACTGACGTGGTTGTTGTTGGTGATGGTGGTGGTTTGGCCCTTACTATGGGTTTTGGTGCTGGGGATCGTTGTTGTTTCTCGGTCATGCCTGAGCGGATGTGAATGTGAAAGAGGGGCAAGGGTGTGACTTTTAGGCTCTTCACTTACTTTTTCCCACCCACTCCTTGTTTCCTGTTCTCTCCTTTTCATTCTTCCTTTCCAACCGTCCTTGCTCGACAATTACAATCACAGTAAAAAAAAATAAAACCACCCCTCATTATAACAATGCGAGATCCACCCTCCAAACAAAACTCATCGTCGACTTTCTCCCCCTCAGGTCGACCGTTATCCCCATTGGACATCCCCGAGCTCCTCGAGCATATACTCTCATACCTCTCCCGCTACACACTCGCTAGGACGGTCATACATGTTTGTCGAGAGTGGCTTCTGCTCGTTCAAGGGCGTCTGCATCGCGAGATCACCTGGGATTCGGACTGGAAACCCTTTGCCCCACGACAAGCGCTGGATGGCCTACTTGGCGCAGAGCGCCTTGTCATCAGGAGTGTCCAGCCCGGGTTCAATTGGTATGGGCCAGATATACATGCCGCCTTTCATGAACTTCAGAGATCTTCCTCCCAATTGGCGCTCGACGATCGATACAAAGGGGCAACCCTGGCAGGATTCAATCAGCCCCTCCGCGACTTTGTGCTCCAGATCGCCTACAACTTTAGTGACGAGCTGAAGAATACTCTACCGTTCCCGCCTTCCTTAACGAGTCTGACGATCGACCATATGACCAGGTTTGCGGTTGACATTCGAAGGATCCTGAGCATATGTCCGCTCCTAGAGAGCCTACGCTTACTCACATCGACATATGTGTATCTACAGGGTGCATGGATGAACGAAGGAGAAGCACCTCTTCCGCATCGAGTTCCACTTCGGTCTCTGGTCATTCAGCGCTTCGACACAAGTCAATCAACGATGGAGAAGATTTTGACGATGACTCCCAAGCTTGAGGATCTCCAACTCGCCGCTATGCTAAGGAACCGTAATGGCTCTAGCTGGGACTGGAAACGATTTTCCAAACATATCCAGTCGCTCTCCCTCCAACTAAAGCGGTTCCACTTTTCGATGTCCCAAGAGGTACTGCCCGATGACGAGCTGCAGGAGGCGACCTTTTCGATATGTCCCTATTCCAGAGATCGAACCTTTTCGCACTACGACCTCACTCCGACTGTTGTCCGTAGGCTGACGGAGTTGCCGTTCTTCTTGACCAGTCTGGAGATTCTCCCGTCACCAAATCACCTTTGTCACCCACTGGGCTGGAGACTGAACGAACGCGTCATGGATTCAGTGTATTCGGCTCGACCTTTGCATCAACTTCTGTGCGAATGCCCTAGTCTACGTCATCTCAAGACCCTCAGGATGACCTACATACTGGATTTCATGGACATTCACCGCCGTCTCGAGATGTATACCCCAGGTGAAGAGGAAGGAGGAGGTCAACCAACTGTAGCGTTAGCGAGCGTAACCCCCGGGATCTGGATCTGTCGAGACCTGACAACTCTGGAGGTGGACATTCATTTCCACAGGGAGGGCATGCAAAGAGGAGCATATCTACCGCGGATTGTCTATGGCTATATCTCCAGGGTCTGCCCGCGCTTACAGGATCTCCGAATCACGTTCCCATTCTCTTGCAACATCCACATCCATTCCCAGAATGGCCGAGAGAACCCCTATGTTCTAGAGGCAGGATTGTGTTTACTTTCGCGGCTTGTTTATCTGGAGCGCCTCTGTGTACATTACCAGACGGTGATGTGCAAGGTTTGGGAGCTGAATTGGCTGTGTCGATCAGGAAGGACAGTCGAGGACAGGAATGAGAGGCGACGGACTGTTGAGAGATGGACAACTCTGCTGGAACTGGAAGCTGTTAAGGAAGGGGCACGATTTAAGACTGGTACTGGAACCAACTACGTACAGGGGGCAGCAGCAGCAGCAGCAGCAGCAGCAGCAGCAGCAGCAGCAGCAGCCAGAGGTCAGGATGTAGAGTTGATGACTGGACTGCAGAAGTTGGGTCTGCTTCAGGACGTGAGGGATATGGTGTTGGAGATGGATGGAGACGACTTTGTGTGCCTTCCTGAGCTGTACCAGCTTGCTGTGGGACGACATCATTTGGAGCAAACTCCTGAGAAGGAAATGAGGTCAACCTTTGAAACCAGGCGAAGTATGTGGTCAAGACAACGAAGCGAAAAATAAAAACGCGACGTTTTTTTTTCTTTTTTTTTTTCGATTGGACATGGATGGTGCACCGTGCAACAACTGAGAAACATTAGCGCCGAATGCCCCGATGAGAAAAAAAAGTGATCACATTACCAACCGAAATCATTCAAGAGTCGAACACTCTCGTGTTTGTCTCTTTCTTTTCATTTTCTTCCTCACTCTCAACACAACCAACAACTCAACAACAAGGATGTTACGTCTTCTTACTCGCCGACATCAAAGGATACCATTAACGACCACCAGCGCCAGTATCCAGACAACTCTCTCACCTCTGGATATACCCGAGATCCTTGAACATATCTTTTCATACCTCGATGACTCTACTCTCCGCCGCTCAATCGCCCCTGTCTGTCGACAGTGGTTCCTCCTCAGCCAGAACCGCCTCGTCCGCGACATCACCTGGCACCAATCCTTGGGGTCATTCAGGAAACGGAGGTTGCTGCGCAAGTTACCTGGAGCCGGTCGGTTTTATTACTGTCAACTATTCACACCAACGGCCCAGACTGAGCGCAAACACCCGTTCGACAAGGATGCCATGCACGCTCTGGACCGTCTCGAGTCCGCGTACCGACAGAAGCAACTTGAAAGGGAGCAGCAGCAGAGGCACAGGAGTCAAGGCAACACAGTCGTCAATAACAACAACAACAGGAAACGTCATCCGACATTGACAAGCACGACTCTTTACGACGCTACTTCGCCTCTCAGAGAGATGAACCTGTATATTGCGTATGCCAGGCTCAGTTGCCTCGAAACTTTCACTTACCCTTCCTCCCTCACCAGACTGACGATTGCAGTGGGCTACTCCTATTATACGCATTTCGATCTCGGCAAAGTCCTGCGGGTTTGTCCATTGTTGGAGCATTTCCGTGCAGAGGGATATGGATCGGTTGTCCGATGGTCCCAGTTTGTACTTTCGACTTCGAACATGGTACACCAGCGGCAGAAGAAGCAGCAGCAGCCATTTCGACTTTGCTCTTTGGTCCTTGTCAATGTGTATCTTCCACAGGATGATCTTGAGTTCCTTTTGCGGTCCACACCAAAACTCAGCGAGCTCAAGTTAGTGGCAAACATGTGGCTCGACGACAAAAAGTACGATTGGACTCGACTCTTTGCATCTCTCAAGGTGAACAATATCACCCTCGATAAGGCACACTTTTCGACATTGGGGAACAAGATGTCGGCCAAGGAGATTGAGTCGCTCTGGGCAGATGTGTGTCCTCGCTCGTCGTCGGAACGATCCCTCTGGGCGCTGGATGTGACACCACAGCTCCTCCACACGGTGTTTTTACAGCAAGACATCCTCACGACTTTGGAGGTGTTTTGGATGCCGGACAAGTATCTTCCTTCCAGAACTAACTGCGAAGGGTCCCTTGGTGGCGCCCATGAACTCATTCACCAGTACCTCTGCGATTCGCCTTATCTCGCCCATCTCACGACCCTCAAGACGGTGATACGACTGAAGGAACTGGACCTCTTTGATCGAGGAAGGTACATCAACCTGGGCAGAGCATATGATGCCATTGAACCGGACAAAGGGAGGTACTTTTCAATAACTACTCCTGGCCCTACTATACCTCCACGGATCTGGCGCTGCCGCGGCCTCCGCACCCTTCACGTCATCGTCCATCTCCCAGACCCATTTCAGCCTGTCTTCAGTCGGATCCTATTCGGGTACGTCGCCCGTGTCTGTCCTGCGGTTGAGGATCTCCAGATCTGTGTCCCACGGGCATGTCACTACATCAACATGGGTGGCCGTCTTTCGGGATTACATTCTCCAGAGCCCCTTTTGCGACTGGATGGCGGGTTTTGTCTCCTTGGTCGATTAGAGTTTTTGCAGTGGCTGAGGATTTTTCGGGATTTGGGCTACAGGACGTCGTCGTGTGAGGATTGGGAGCTGGACTGGATCGTGACTTCGAGGAATGGAGGGAAGGGAAGGAAGATAGCTCAGTCTAGAAGGAAGAGGCAGGAGGAGGTTGAGAGTTGGAAGCTATGGCTGGCGAATGAGGAGCGAGTCGAGGCTGCTAGATGTCATGCTCGACAGCAACTTTCGGAAAACGGGATCGACAGCAGCAGCAGTGGCAGCGGCAGTGGTACCTCTGTGAAGGACAAGGAGGTATTGTCCCAGTTGAGAAACCTGGGGCTGTTGCTGGACGTGGAGGAGATGGCGAGGGAATTGGATGAGAAGGAGGTTCGACTGATGCCGTCTCTTGAGAGGTTGTCGTTCAATTACCCGACTCTGCTGCGACCTGAGGAAGAACTTGAGCAGCTGTTTTCTAAATAGTACCAATACTTTGTGCTAATAATTTATTCTTACCTAGGCATGTGCATGAGCACAGCAAATTGTTTTGACCTGACCTTTTGTGCAATCTTCAATCCGACGACTTGATTATTTTTTTTGCTTTGCAACGGACAAATCCTCATAGCCACCGGTTTGCTACTGACCGATTCAGGAATCGCCACTAAGGCTCAGGAACCATCACTAATTCAAACGCTGTGGTGACCTCATCAAAGCACCTTGATCCAGCTCTGAACCAAACGTGTCTGTTCATTTCTCCCTTTCTTTTTTTTTCTGCACGTTTTGCTTTTTCTTCCTTTTGCCCTCACTTGCAAAACCCTTACTTTTTCGAAGGCACGACTTTGCCTAAAGCACTTGACAGACTTGAAAATTGTGACAAGATAAAAAGGTTGAGGATAGAGAGCAACCAAAGGCGTTATGGTCCATCCCTTCTCGAAAAATGACACACGTAGAGGTATCAACACCGCTTTGGACGCGCCGTTCAAAGCACTTTACAGTTTGAATGGTCGCAAGTCTCTTTACCGCGGTTGTATACATGCATGTCTCTTTTTGTCGTGGGTTGTTGATATGAATGTTTTTGGCACATAAAAGAAATCGACAGACGACTCCGTGCTGCACCCGGTATCTTGTTTTTCTTTTCTTCAGTTCAAGCTCGAACCGTTCAAGCGTATCACCAACGTTGCACACAAGCGTCGTGGGGTCATTAGATGCTGCCTCTAATCTTACAACCTTCAACGCATTTATTTGCGGGCGTTTTTAGCGAGGCTACGCGCCGACTGGCCAAGGACATTTGCGAATTTTACCCCAAATTGATGACACTTGTTCTTGGTCAGGATGGAGGAGAGGCGGCGAATCTGATCGTAGCTGCCTGCTCTGCTGGCAACAGGCCCTCGAGGATCAAGATCACGATAAGTGGAGTTAACATCGGCACAGGCTCGGTGATTGCCCTCCACGTTGCAACCTTGAAGGATGTGATTATTGTCGACAAGAACGACAGCCGGCGATGGATGGGGACGTTGATTCCGCTTGTGGGCTGTCCTGGGCTCAAAAGCTGCCGGATGAGCGAGAGCCTTGTGTTGAATAAGATTCTAGTCGAGGCATGGAAGTGTCGGAAGCTGGAAATCCTCGGGTTGGACATTCCTGTTAGACCTGACGTTGGTCGATACGACAGTGATGGCAACGAGGAGGAAGAAAAGAAGGAAGAGTACTCTACCGATTGTGTCAGCCGGGTCATGGACAGTTGGTACCACCATCCACGGGCCTCATTTGCGTGGAACGGAAACGGGTCGTTTTGAAAAGGACCACGTCGGCTTTTCGATGAGCTGTTGAGACGTTTTCAGGGAATGTAGAGTGTGCAGGTTGCGGTTCTCAGTGGACGAGAGTGTTCACGCGCGGTCGAGTGATCCTAGTAGTGCCGTTGTTCGCGGGATTCGGGCTCTCTTCCTCTACGAGTTAGAGATAACAAACAAAATAGATGAGAGACATGCCCAATCGCACCATGGCTCTCAACCTTGATGCTTTCGTGGTGTCTCTGCCACGTCACAATTGAGCGGCGGTGTTGGGCGCCCAATGGTGCCTTCCGTCTTGCCTTAACTTTGTTTTTCTCTTCTACTTCTTCTTTTGCTCCTTTCCTCTTGGCTGCTCATTATCGACCTTTCCTCTCTGCCCTCTTGGTCATTACACATTCATCAACTTTCTCCTCATTTCCCTTTTTGTTCTCACATTCATTCATCACACTTCACACTCCACACCCCACACCTCACACTCCACATTATACACTTTACAGTCTTCACGCCCGTTGCCCCATTCCGTCTTCTCTAGGCCCTAAAAAAAATCTTAATGGCCAGGACCCAAAGAAACCCCCTCGACGTCTCCGAGATCCTCCTCCGTGTCGGTTACCACCTCCCCCTCTGGAAACTCGTCCCTCAACAACCACCACCACAGCGACGCCCACGATACTACCAACATCATCATCAACAACAAAACGAACCCATAACTTACGCCTACATCTTCTACCCTCAAGACCTCCGCTCCTGCCTCCAGGTCTCAAAACACTGGCACCAAGTCCTCCTCCCCTTTCTCTGGGAGATTTACACCTACCCAGCCATGTTCAACGTACCCTCGACTCGAATCAACCGTATTGGACATCATATTCGGACCTTCCGACTCCAGGACGATGCATTTGACCCCGGCCTCACGGGACTCGAGTATGTCAACCAGCTGAAGGAGTTGGATATCCCGCAGCAGAGTTGGAACCAATACGAGTTTGAGAATGCTTTTGGAGTGCAGGTACAGAAGCGGTTGGTCAGGACGAATGGTGAGGGGTTGAAGGCATTGGCGTGGTATGGGTATGGGATTGCGTTCCAACCGGCGTACTTTGATGTGGATGATTTTGTGCGGTTGAAGCATGTGACGTTTTTGAGGCTGGATAGTTGGTTTGGCGGGGAGGGACTGTTGGCAAGGGTGCTGGATTGTGTGGCGGGGACGGTGGAGGTTCTGCAGTTGCATCAGATTCTGGATGTTCTTCCGGGAGCGTTTAATTTGGATGACCAAGCTGATGACGCCATGTCGCTTTGGACTACCATGACCTCAGATGAGCCGCGGGGGCCTAGACGACTGAGACGACTGGTGATGCCCAAGGTCAAGACGCTAAAGTTAACTGTCGAAGGGAAAAGGAATGAAGGGCTGGTGGAGCTGGTTGCCTGTTGTCCCAACCTCCAACGACTGTCCTTCACCCCTCACGGCAAAGCTGATATTGTTCGGGTCGCCGAGGATATTGAGAAGTGTGGTCTCAGGAGCGTCCACTCGCTCACGGTCAAGAACGAAGCGCGTAACTTGGATGGCGTTCAGTGTGCGACGCTGTTGCAGAGCATTTTGGAAGCCTCTAAAGAGCCCACCTCATCAATCAAAACAACACATGCGACAGGACAAGCATGCAGAGGATTAAAGAAGATCAACATCAACCCAGAGACGCTCGAGAACGAACCCCGTCTCGTCTCCAGGATCGTCCTCCACGCTGACACTCTACGGTCCCTAAAATTGACCATCCGCAGCAACTCTGAGGTCATGTCCGACAACTTTCTGCCGCAGATCCTCTACCAGTGCCACAACCTCGAGGCCTTCAGCGTCAAGGTTGAAAGGGTCCGGTTTGATCTCTTCAAGGCTCTTGGGTCCTCGTCCGGACCCTGGGCTTGTCGTCGGTTGCGCAAGTTTCTCTTCTCGGCTGTTGAATTCCCCATTCCTGAGCTGGAGAAGGGCGAAGAAGACGACGAGGAGGAGGAAGGTGGAGTAGATGTGTCGTCGGTGGGTAGAAATTGGTTCAGGAAATTGAAAAACATGACGAACAGGTCGACCAATAATGCCTTGGACGTGTTGGCGAATTTGAAATCCATTTCGTCGACACAACCGGCGATGGGTTGGTACAAGCACACGTCTGCGACCACCCAATTGGGTTTTCAGTCTCAGGCGTTCGAGACGATGCTGTTGCGGAGAGCGTTCAGGATGCTGAATAGTCAGAATCTGAAGCAGTTGGAGGTGCTGGTCTGGAATGGAGTCCCTTATGAGCGGTCCAAAGTCCCAAGATGGATGTTGAAAACAAGGACGGCAGTAGGTGACCATCGCCCGTAGCGTAACTGCCCACGCAAATAATTAAAGAGGCTTGACGGTTGCTTGAAAAGACAGAAATAATATTACTTTTTTTTGTTTTTGTTTGCCTGCGTTGAGACGACATGTGTAGGTGTGTGTGTATGTGTGTGTGTGTGTGTGAATGTGTTGTGTGCGTGTGCTACTTGAGTCTGCTACCTAAAAACCCCTGATTTTTTTTGTTTGTCATTACCAAATAAACCCTCATGAGCCCCATTCTTTCCCCATTGACTCCTCCTCAAATCTCCGTCATAAAAAAATAGTCCTGTCCTTGTTCCAGCGCGCCCCTCCCCAAAAAAAGTCCTGTCATTAGTCCCGAGGCCAGATACCCAAGTTCTGGAAATCAGAAATAATCTCCCTCAGACTCTGTTCTGTCAATTTAGGGTGCTCGTACTTGAACCCTGTCGAGTTGGCGATCTTGCATCCGTCAAGGGAGAGCGAGTTTCCGGCCAGGAGATCTGCGTCGAGGTAAGGGGTGAGAGGGGAGGTCTTGATATTTTGACCCTTGAGGATTTCGGCCCATGGTCCCAGGTGCATGTCATTTGTTTCCTCTGCTGTTTCCTTCTGTCCATACTATATGGCGAGGAAGAAGAGAGTGGTGTTAATGAAGGGGAGAAAATAGTTGCTATTCATTGATAATGATGTTGATCGCATTTGTGGGGGCTGGACGAGGGAAAAAACGTTGAATAAGCGACTTACGGCTGCCATGGCTGCATTCGAGAAGATTGTTCCTTTGAATCCAGTCTCAATTCCAAAGATACCCCTGATATGGGCATTCACTGCCTCTTGGTCTAGTTATTCACAGAAGTAAACAGCGCTCATATTAGCCCATGGCGCATAACAGCATACCATAAAATTCCCGCGAACATTCAAACGCACACTTTCAGAAAGTTCATGCTCCTATGATGCTTACCAGTGTCGTTTTGATCGGCAAGGTTGAAGGTGACGGGAGAGCCGGGCTGCGCATTGTCGGAGGAGACATACCAGTTAGCCGAATGCCACACGGCGGAGACGACATCCTGTACGTGGACCGTGTTCAGCTTCAGGCCTCCTGTCCACAAAAACTCCATCTTGCTCTTGTTGTGCTTGTACACCCTTCCGCAGATCAATCGGGGTGCTATTTTTCATTGGTTTGAAGAAAGGGAGGAAGGAGGTTAGGTTTTAAGCAACTGAGGAGAGAAGGGAACGCATCTAACTGGCTTGCACAGAATCCCAACTGTGTTTGAGAAACAAGAACTTCAAAGCCGACCTCTGAAAAAGCAAAATGGTTTCATGGTTTTGCAATATATTGACCCTCTCTTCTCTTTCCATATGATATTAAAGGACTTACTAAGACCAGTCATTGCCCCGATGCCATAGACAACCGCAGGGCGGAGGATCACCAGGTTCAGCCTAAACGAATCGGACGATTCATGCAAAAAAAAAAAATGAACGTTAGAACACGACAACAGACAGCAACTGCGCGGAGAAATAAATAAAAAATGGGGATGAAGAAAAGTACACCAAACGAATAGGGATGACTTACCCAGGCATGTTCTGGAGCTCCTCATCGACTTTCAACTTGTACTTGGCCAGATCGTTCCAGGGTTGCGTCTCGGACGTCTCCGTGCTAGGTGTCTATTGATTTTGTTATTAAAAACCGACAATGCAAACAATGTGGTTAGGTAGGTACCCCCTGGACGGAAAGGCCATCCTTATCAGCAACAAAATCAAAAAGGAAGAAGACTTACATTGCCGCTCTTGTAGACATCGGCTGTGGATAGTTGGACAAAGACCTTGCACCCCTTCTCGACCGCCTGCTTTGCACAGTTAATCGACAGCTTGTAGACACGTTCCTCATACAGCTATTCATATGTGGAAATGGGACAGAGTGATATGTGAGAAAAACATGGTCAACTGTGGCATGCATGTGCAGCAGGGGTGAAAAAAAAGTCTGGATGAAGAGGCGTGTGCATGCCAAATTGGCCATGCAAGAAAAAAAAAAGAAAGGGGTTGGGGGATGGGAGAACAGGGAGTGGGTATGTGCGTTGCGCTCCGCTTTGATAGAATCGTGGATTGTTGGAAAGGAAAAGCCCCTTTGGATTGTGCGCATTGATGAACGAACGACAAGAAAAGAAAAGGAAAACAGGGTTTGTTGTCCTCCTTCTCCCTTTGAAGGATGGAGTCAAGGAGGAGGAGGGTTGTTGTTGCTTGTCAGCGTGTGCGTAGAATGGCTTGTGGTGGATAGTGTTTGTGTACCCACAAAACCAAATTGAAATTTAAAAAGCACAACCATCGCGGGACAAATGGCATGGGCCACTGCCACAGACCAGGTCTATCCCCCACTCGCCCATTTTGCTTTTGTTCCTCATTCCTTAGCACTCTTGTGTAGTCATTGGTCCATGTTGGTCAGTAAGGTTGGTGTGGTTCGTTGCTGTTGCTGTTGCTGACTGCTTGCTTGTTTGTTGTCTGTTGTTGTTGTCGGTTGTTGTCGGTTGTTGTTGATTGCATTGGTGTCACAGCTGGAGAGAAAGTGAGAAATGATTCCAACACCTCACGCATATTTCATGCAGCCAACGCCCTCGATACAAACAAACTATCCATTCCCTTTTTTTCAGCCATGCTAAATGATGCTTGGTACGGTTGCTGCTTGCTTGCGATAGATCCATCCATGGCGAGCCTTTTGCAATCCTTCATCCCCCTTGTCTTTTCGTTGTGTTTTTTTCCCTTTTCCTTTTCTACCTCATCCTCCCCCTCCTTCTCTCTGCCCCTACCCCCTTATTCTAACCAACCCATCCACCGGGCAGAAGAAGTGAAGGAGTGCTTTTTTGATGCCTGTCTGTCTACCTGTTCCTTTCCCTTCCTTCCCTAACCCCCTCTTCACCCCTTCCTTCCTCGAAAATTATTCCCATCCAATGATGTCGTTCCAGATCTGGACTTTTTTCTCCTGAACTGGCTGACCTTGACTCTTTTGCATGCAATGCAACAGGGACCATCCATCCACCCTACCCGTCCTCACTTTTTCTTTTTCGTTTTCTTTTCCGCTCTTCCCGTTGTACCCGCAAACAGGCAGACAGACAGACCCTCCTTCTCGCTAATCCGATCTTCCTTTTCCATTCCCATTTTTCGTGCAAGGATCACTCACCCTTCTCTCTCCCTCACCCCTCTGCACCACCCTGTCACTCTTGTCATACCTCTTTCTCGCTTTCCCTCTCTGTCTCTGGGCACCCATCCAATCCAATCGAAATTCAAACTGTCATTGCAATGCAGCCCGTGCTCTTTGTTGTTGTTGTTGTTGCTGTCCCCGACTTCGTCTTGCCTGTTGTGCGATCCCTCCCCCTTTTTGTTAACGAAAGGGTGGTCAATGGTCCTTTGCATGCAACATCGCCAATTTTGCTTCCTTCCTTCCATTGTACGCCAAAGTATTGAACAGCGATTTCCATATTTTGTACGCCGTTGTGTGGTTCCTGTGTGGCTGCCCGTTGCTTGCGTGTATCCCTTCAGTGCCTGTCTGATATCCCGTTTGCGCGCGTGTGTGTGTGTGTGTGTGTGTATCATAGTCCTCGTACAAGAAATAAAAAGTGTGTAAAAAGCAGAAAAGGTGCGTTCGCGCATGTGCGACAAGGTCTCTGCTATTTACCTCTGGAGGCTGGGAGAATCGTGTTTCTGAGGCAAAGTTGATCACATAGTCGAAGGAGGAGCCATCCGCGCGGGTGTACATCTTTTCAAACTTTTCAGGAGGAACTATTAAGGTTCAGGATAGATATCGAGTCGAACGAGTCAGAGAAAACAAAGCCAAAAAAAAAAAAAAAAAAAAAAAAGGTGGTTAGAGGATGGAGCCAATTAGACTAAGGTTTTCGTTTTGTGAACGCCATACCACCTTCTTTTTCGTCCCCCTACTTTTTTTGGAGTTCCTCTTTCCCTTTCAATGTGGGCGATGTACCCATGGGCTAACTTCCTTCGCGATACCATCAATATTGAGACAAATGGACGACGGATGGAGGGAGAGACTGATAACGTGATATCATCGTCTATCCCCCATCACCCAACACTCATCCCTGATAATTGATCAGAAACAAAACGAGAAACATAAAGAGAGAAATGAAACGTACTGGTGTTGGAGAGGTCGCCCTGGAGGAAATCAACCTTCTCAAAGGCGGCCTTAAACCGGTCATTGAAGTAAGCTGTCTGGGGAAGAGCCTTGTCGACCACTCGGATATCCGCCGCCAATCCGTTCTCGACCAGGTGCGCGACAAAGTTCCGGCCAATGAAGCCAACGCCTCCGAGGACAAGCACTGTAGGTTGTGGTGCCATTTTGTGTGTTAGCTAAGTGTTGAAAAGGGTGAAGAAAATAGGTGTGTGGTGGTATGCGGCTCGATAGGTCTTGGTATGAAGAAAAAAAAACGAAAAGTAAAGAAGAAAGAAAGGACTGCAGAGAGATGGAAGGCAAAGAGAAAGGGTATCGTTCTTTTGGGATATTTTTTTTAAAGAGAAGAGAAAAGCGAATAACAAGAAGAGTAGAAGTGAACTGCAGAAAGATCAGAGACAAACAAGGCAAATGTAGGAGAAGGTATTCAGCAGAGTGAGCAGAAATGAAGAGCAGTTGAAAAGGGGAAAGCAAGCAAGAAATAACGTGTTCAGAAGTGGAAGGATATATGGTGGAAGAAGTAAAGAAGAAAGAGAAAAGAACAAGTGGAAGAGGAAGAGAAAGAAGGAGAGGGGCAGAAAGAAAGAAGAAAGGAGAGGAGAAGGAGAAAGAGAAAGTGGACAATGCGTCGAATTTCTCGGGGACGCTTTTATACGTGTGTCAAAGGGGAAGGGTTGTAGGGTTGTAAGGTTGTAGGGTTCTTTTCTTTTGGCTAGACAACAACAAAAAGAGGGCCTTTTTTTTTACTACTTCCGTGCGTAATGCGCACTAACCTGCCAAGAGGAGAAAAAGAGACAAGTACGTAGGATGGATCATAGAGGGAGGTAACAGCGGGTCCCTTTTGGGACCTTAAAACAAAACAAGGACGTTTCTTGCTTTGTTGCGTCTTTACTCCGTTGTCTCCAAGGCGAGGTACTCTAGTGAATGTAAATAAACGCGACAATCACAAACAACAAACAACAACAACATATCATGCTCGATTCAATTGCTCATCCATCATTCTGTCCCTCCTCGATGTATGGTCACTTGCATCCATGCACCATTTCGTGTGCACGTATGTCTATCTAACTTACCTCCGTTCTTGTCACAGGAACGAAGGAAGAGACGAGACGAGAAGAGAAGAGACGAGAGCCGACAATTAAATCAATCGGAGAGTTTTGCTCATTGTCAATTGACCCTGTTTTACTTCTTCCTTGACCCCCTTTGCCATCCGAAGGTTGGATGGTCAGTGTTGACTGAAACGCATATGTCTCTGTCTCGATTCAATACCCTTCATCTTGCTTCGATCGTCCGATGGACATGGAGTACATAATCTTGTTGTATAAAGTACAGTGCGTGAGTCAGTGTCTTGTGGATTGGATGAATAAAATGATGAACTTGCGCGAACCTATCTCGTTTCTCTCCCATCCTTGTCCTTCCCAAGCTATTGTTGTGTTTTTTGTTATGCCCAATTTTGAGTTCCGTGCGCCCTCCTCCCGTTTTTGTATCATCTCTTCCTTCGTCCCTCATCAGAGACAACGTTACACGACCTTATTTTTGCTAACCCCTGGCTGGTCCTGCCACTAAATTCTGTCCAGCCTTTCTACCCGTCTGTTGTCCATTGCTCCTTCAATCTCTGCCCCTCGTTGGCGTCTTGGCCAATCTGTCCACATCGCCCTCTTGCCTTTCTTGTTCAATAGTTAATCAATGAATGCTCTGGCCTCCTTTCTTTTTTTTTGTTTTTGTTTTCAGGGCCGATAAACAGCACAGGGTTTGAGGTGGAATCAAGGACGAGAGAAGGAGAAAGAAAGAAAGGAGAGCAAATGGGCATGGTGATATCATTGATGCAGTTCGCACACGCCTCCACCTCCACCCCTCCTGCTAATCTGCAGTTGGGCGATATTGGATGTCCCATCATGCCGAGGAGAATTTTCGTTGTTTATGTTTGTGTCGTATTGTTTGTGAGCCATGAACATTTACAGCGTGCATGTAGACTGTTGAAGGACAAGGTTATACCACGCTTTATTCTTCTTCAGAGTCGTACAGTACATCATGACATCTCGACATGCCGAGAATGAGTCTCAATTGGGAAACAGGAATGCATGGTGGGAACAGAGAAGGCGGATCTGCCTTTCTTCTATCGTAAGGAATACCTTTGAGCAATTAGTGTCAAATGCGCGTTCCTGACAAACAAAACCCACATGCTACTCCTATTCACACTTTTCTTTATCCCCCTATGTCTCTCTCTCACACACAATTACAAAAGTACAAACAGCCCTCTCTCGAGTGTATGTCGCACATCGCGAAGAACCATTCTTGGGTTTGCTTATCCAACCCAGTAGAGAGACACATGAATTGTGGAAAAGTAGACAGAGGAGGGACGAATGTAAAACGCTTTGCAACCTATCCTCTCTTCTAATAATTTCTCTCCGTCCGCCCTGTCTACTTGTCCCTCTCTTCCTCTCTTTGCATTATTTATTCCGCTACTCCGTCTTTTTACCCCTGAAAGTTTCGGACACAAAAAGAAGTGTACAGTACAAACAAATATTCGAACCGTCCGCAACTGTTGTCGATGTGCAACAACCAACGTCGCCTTTGCCCACACACACACACACACACACACAACACATATACTCGCATTACTCGAGAGTCTATACATCACAATGCAAGTTCGATTGCAAATTCTGATACCCTAGATTGACGACCCTCTTCCCCCTCAACTACCACCCCCACTCCACCTGCTGTTCTTGTCACTTTTCAACCTCCGTGTTTCCGAATGGACAGACGAAAACCGGACAACAACTTTTCATTCGCCAACATGCCTTGTCCAAATGTCCTTTTTTTTCGTCATCATCGATTAAGGTATCTGTGAATGATGAACGACTTACGCCTTCTTGATTTACAGGAGTCCTGAAACGTGTAAAAAACCACCTTCAAGCCAACACAACGCCTGCCTTGCTTTTCTTCTTTCCCTTGTCATTCTGGACAGAGCCTTGCTCTCCTCAGCATGGCAAGGTTAATTGTGTATGAGTGCGATGTATAAGCAGGCAAGGCGCATCCTCCTTGCAAAGTACTCTCGTCTAGGTTTTATTTTGCTCATGGTCTTAAGAGAGGGAGCGTGTTTGCTCTCACCCATAAGTGACCAATTGACATGCCAAGCTTGCCCCTAGACCTATTGATCCATGAATGTATTCTTTTTTTCTGCGTATCCTTCTTCTTCGTTCTAGCTTTTTTCTTTCGTCTGACTCTGCTCTTCTTCGCCTATGTCTTTCTCCCCCAACGGCGTTCCCTTTTTCTGCATCTCATTCATCCCTTGTTTTGTGTGACCATGAGACTAAATTGGAGGGTATGGGGAGGTGGTGGGAAGGGATGGAGCGGAGGGAAGGTGTGTGTGAGTGTACCTGTAGTTCACAAACTACTTGCATGATGACAACCCTTTACTCATACCAAACGGATGCGTGACCGAAGAGAAAAAAAAGGGGTGTGAGTCGACCTCTTTTTTTTTTTTTTTTTTTTTTTTTCTTCCAAAAACCACATCAATTTTAGGGCTTTCACTCCCGTCCCTTGTCATTCCTATCCCTTTTCTTGTCATCTCTCCTCATATCTAGTGCCAGCTGGTATAAGAAATGAGGTGGGACAATGCGTTACAAATAAACGCGAGCGTCGTTTTCTTTTGAGCTTAGTGTCTGACTGTGTGCGAGTGACTGTGAGCGTGTGTATGTGTTGCTCAGCCCTATATCGTTTGTTGTTGTTTTGATGGTTTCTTTTGTTGTTTGTTTGTTTTGCTGTCGTTGCTACAGTTTGTATTGGCTATTTTTCGTTGTTGCGCCCATTCAGCCAGCAAGACTACAGTACAAAATCGTACATCAACAAGGATTGGAGACACAGGACATCAGCAAAGGAGCCTTGTACGTCAACAAATGCGAGAAGGAAAAGGAAACATGCCCCCCCCCCCAAGGCATGCAGGTGGCGTGTCTGTGTGCATGCGATAATAACAAGAGCAAACACCAAGAAACAACACAATAATATCATTGAGTTCGACCGATACCTGTTTCGTTTTTTTTTCGCATACTGCATCGCAGACGGGGATGAGAGACTCCGTTGAGTGTAGGAAAAATGAGTGAGGGAGATTGACAACAACAACAACAACAACAACAACAACAACAACAACAACAACAACAACAAATAAGAGTAAGGAACAACTACAAACGAGATGATGGACATCTCTATCTCTCATCTTTCGACACGAGACCCTTGACTCCCAAACAGCAAAAGAAGATGCCTGATCATGTTGGATGTTTTTTTTACGTGACAGAAGTTTCTCCAGCATATCATGATGGAGCTAGACCTAATGGAGCAATGTTGCGAGCCCTGGTGGTTAACGTTGGCTGAGAATCATCTGTGCTTTCCACCGACTTGTCTGATCGTTCCTGAACCTGAGGAGACTGAGCGCTTCTTTGTTTGCAAGTCACATACATCCACAAAAGGTACATGGACCATGCATTGCATTGGAACACTCAAAACAAACAACAGTTAAATAAGTTACTAGAGCTATTTGTATTTTCTCAACTTGACTTCCATTCAATCTATTACTACCATCACAACCAATATGTACAACAAAGGACTCAAAAGAAAAGAGAAAATACAGAACTATCCAAAACTGCACCCCAACATTCAAATATCCTCACGAGCGATTCTTGGTCTTCTTGACCCGTAATTGGAACGTGCCGTTTGCCGTTGCAGTTGCGGTTGCCACGGGATTCCTCACACCATCATCCTTGCCATCCGAATTGCTATCCACCAATTTCCATTCCTGTTTCTTCTTTTGCTGCTCCTGCTCCTTCTTCTCTTGACGCTCCTTTTGCGCCTTTCGAATCCGCCGTCTCAGCCCCTGGATATACTTGTTGAACCAAAAGATGTGCATCAGCAAGGCCAAAAAGTAGATGAAGCACCCTCCCTTGGGTGTATCATAATTGAATGCGGTTTCGTGCAACATGAGGCTGACGAAGACGATCCGGACCAGGAAGAATGAGGACGGGAACCAGAAGTCTTCGCGGAGGTGCGGGTACATGTATCCTGATGCCAGGAATATCGTCGATACTATTATGACGGAGAGAGAAGGTAAAGAACAGGAACGAGAGGGTTAGTCAGTCCGTCCGCCAGTTAGGGGCTTGATCGGCAACAACGAAAAGGATAGGCGAAGATTGAAGGCAAAGAAGAAAAGGGGGTCGATGTTGACATATAACTAAAAGTGGAAAAAGGGAGCATGTCCAAACTTCCTTTCTCCACCATGTCGTCTTTGTTTATCTCCTCATCTATCTCTACACACTCAACCGCCCGTTCCCACGCCAACTTCCCACTCCGTGCACAGATAATCTCCCATGAATGATGAATAGGAGAGAGAAAACATTATCGAAACAAACTAAAACAAGTCTGTGGTAGACAAGTGTCAAAGGGCGAAGGGTTCGCAAGTGTTTACTTTAACCTAGTCCTTTTCTCCTTCTCTTTGACAATAAATGAATGGCGTGAAAGAACGTCCCCCGTTTTCCAGCCCACATTCCCTCCCGAAAAAAAAGAAAAAAGAAGATGCACGAGTGCATTGAGGATAACGTACCTTCGAGGACACCCCCACAGATCAAAAACATGGAGAACTGGCCATGGCAGCCCAATTGCCAGATCAACCAGGTATAAAAGAGATGGTGGATGTATCCTGAGGCCGGGTCAATGTGTTCGGGGTAGTGCATCCAGCCAATGACCATGTCACCCGCACAGTATGCAACAAAGTAGCCGCACAGGAGTGAAGACCAAACAGACTCGCGAGGAAAGTTCTCGAGGGAGAGCAGAAGCCGTCCTCCGCCCCCCAGGAAATAAGGTGCAGACTCGGAAATAAATCCTGGAGGGTTCAGGGGTGCAAGAGAGAAAATTGGGAGCGACATGAGCCAGCGCAAGTACTGTCCTGCCAAGATCTTGATCGTGAACCGTTCCAATAGCAGAACTTTGACCGATTCGACACTTGAAAGAGATAGGAGAAGGTTCTCAAAGGTCATGTCCTGAAGAAGACTACTTCGAGAGTTGGGGCCGAGTTCAAGCGCCCAGGCATGGAAGGATGGCAGCCAGTACGAAAAGATGTTGCCCGTTGTCGCTGCTCCGTCCGGACCTAATAATCCTGATTGCTCCCAGCCCAGATACGACCACAGGGGCGTACGGAGATAGCCAAGTTCGGACGAAGTGGTGAACAGGAGCCAACAGGCAGAACAGAATGTCAGGACCCAGGCAAGACCCCGTCGGTTCTTGGTGAATGAGGGATTGAGCCACCAGGCTAAGTAGAAGAGGGCGAACTGGGCAAAGAAGGCCACAATGACGGTTTTGCCAAAGAGAATGTTCGAGGGAGTGTTTTCGAACCCCAGGAATCGAGTTGAAGCGGCATCAGCGGCAGTAGCTGCTTGCTTGGCGTATCCTGGAGAGTTGCTGGCCGTTGCTGTGAACTCGCTCACGGTCCTGAGGACCTCAAGGATTGTGTTGGAGGGACTGTCGTGGGGTTGTTTTGTTTCCATGCGGACAAGACCAAGGTGGGTGGGCGCTATTGTTGGCGGATGCTGAGAGGAGGAGGGATAAGGGTCAACTGGGTCGGTCAAAGTGGAAAGGAAGCAAAGAAGAAGGAAAAGGAGAAAAAAGAAGGAAAAGGAGAAAAAAGAGAGAGTGGAGGGAGATCCAATCAGTGGACGCATTTATTATGATGAAAACGGGTCCATTATTCACACTCTCCCTTGTGCCTTGTCCTTCGTCCAGCCAACCAAACAAACAAATTAAGAAATGTGCGCAAATGACAAGAACAGAAGCAAGGAAGGCAAGGCAAGGAAGAAGAAAGAAAGAGCAAGAAAAGCGCGCGAAAAAAACCAGTGGGATTCAGTCGGTAAGGGTGGGAAAAAGGAGTGGAAGAAATGATAGGAATTGAGAATCCCGACTAAAATATATAAAAGAGCGAAAGGGTGATGGCATAGGGAAGAGCACAAACAGAAAGGTCGTAATTTCTGTTTCTATGCTCATCCACCTCTCTTGTCAATTAGAGATGGTTCATGCGTGGTCAATTAGTTTCATTAAGATATGCGATCAAATTGGGAGATCCTTAATGCAAGTCACGACAGCGAAGAGGGTCGATGAAAGGTCTCGATGCTCCCCTTTCTTTCAAAGACTTGACCACCTTCTTCTTGCACTGCACTTTCTTTCACCCTTCTTACCCTTCTTCCCTTTCTAGTTCTCTCACCCTTCTAACTTACAGCCTTCCCTTTCCCCACTTTTTTGATTTCATACCCGTTAGTTTCCTTGTCTTTTCACGTCAGAAAACCAACGCACCCTCCACTCTTTATTTTTCCGGAACTCCTCACGCCACGCGTCTCATTCGCTCTCTCACCACAAAAAACCAACTCGACAACAACTTCGCGCATTCAACCATGAACTTGTCCTCTATCCTCCATCTCCAGCCTCCTTCCTACGAGCGCAAGAAGCACTATGAGTTTGGTCGTGACCTCGGTAAGTTGAAGAAGGAGCGCGCCAAAAGCAGACAAGAGAGCAGCTGTTCAATAAAGATAATGAACTCACAAATATAATTCACACTTCCCGACGACACACGAATAGGCACTGGAACATACGGTACAGTCAAGAAGGCAAAGGCCTTAGACACCGGCAACGATGTGGCTGTGAAGATCATTTTGAAAAAGACCGTCAAGGGACATGAGGACATGGTCGAGAAGGAGATTGGTGTCCTCAAGAACCTGAGCCATCCTAACATTGTCAACTTTTTGGACTGGTGAGTTGTTCGTTGTTTATTTTGTCTTGTTCCCCATTGCTCTTTTTTGTATTTTTATTGAACAAAGGAAGGAGGACAAAGTGGCTGTTCAATGTCTTACATGGAAAGAAAGAGCACTGGAGTGTTCCATTTATTGTTCTTTGTGGGCGCTGCCTTGCTATCAACCCTTTGTATAGCAACCCCCGACCATAGAATGGGCAGGGTCACTGCTATTGTCCATTGGTGTGCTAACGGACCGATATGATATGAACTAGTGTTATTAACCGCCATTCATCCTTTCACTCTTTTGCTTACTCCACGTTAGGTTTGAGAGTCGCGACAAGTACTACCTCGTCTTTGATCTGTAAGCAACAACACCTTCAACAGCGATCCGTGAGAATATCGGAATTCCCCGCCCTTTCTTCGTGTTCGATCTGAAACCCGCTCAGACAAACCAGTATCCTCAACTTCACCTTACTTTTTCTATTTTTGTTGAATAGTGCTGCAGGAGGCGAGTTGTTTGACAGGATCTGTGAAAAGGGCGCCTTCACCGAGAACAATGCCGCGACGATCATGAAGGAGGTCATTGAGGCGATCGAGTACCTTCACAGCAAGAACGTCGTCCACAGAGGTAAGCACACATCTCTGACTTGTGTTAATTCGTGTCACTATGGTTGTTTCCCATCGAAATGCTAACTTGGCCCGATTATCGTTGTTATTCTTCCCCCTGTCCTCTTGGATAGATTTGAAACCTGAGAATCTACTTTACAAGGACGAGACCGAGGATTCCAAGCTGATGATTGTCGATTTCGGGTAAGATTGAGGATCGTCCTTCTTTTCTTCCTTTTCTTTTGATCAGTCGTTGTTGCTTCTTGATTGATCACTTGTTGAATATTGAGACTAATAACGTTCGATGACTACTCTATGATAATAGCATCTCCAAGACGATGGAATCGGAGGATCAGGTCTTGACGACAATGTGTGGCAGTTACGGGTGAGTGGTGAAGCGCACCTCTGATTTTTTTCCTCAAGGAATCGAATGGGAGGCACACTTGAGAGATACTGACCACATCAATTTATTTGAAATTAACTTACTAGTTATGCTGCCCCTGAGGTCTTGCTCCGCAGAGGACATGGAAAGCCCGTTGATATGTGGAGCATTGGGTAAGCAAACAACAGCAAGGCATGGTGGACATTGTTGCAACGGGATCAAATATATGAGCCATGTGGACCTTTTGACACTAACAGAACCGCCTTGCGTCCACTTCGACTTGACTTTCACTTCGTAGAATCATCACATACACCCTGTACGTCATTCATGCCCTGCATTTTTTTTCTTTTTGGTGTCGATGAGCCCGATGATGACGTGAAGAACAGGATCTGACAGCTGTGCTATGTTTTTTCAACCCTTTTCTAGTCTTTGTGGATATGCACCATTCCAAGCAGAGAATGATCAGCAGTTGGTTGCAGAGATTGCGAGATGCAATGTTGTTTTCCACCAGCGTTACTGGAAGGATGTCTCCGTTGAAGGTACGCTCCAAGGACAAAGTTACTGTTATCATATTGGACTTGACAGTAGAATCCTCGAACTAACGACAATACTTGACTATTTCAACATAGCTCGGGACTTTATCAAGTGCTTGCTGCGTGCACACCCTGAGAAGCGATTGACAGCTACCGAGGCGCTTCAGCACAAGTGGATCACAACCGAGACCGGCAACAATGCTGATCTTTTGGACAACGTCAAGGAGGGATTCAACGCTAAGTATGCAATGCAAGCCGCTTTTTATGAGAGATGCTATCTTTTTCCTTGTCAACAAGCTAATTTGCACCTTTTACTCACACGAACCCACACTTTTTTTGCATCATTCATAGGAGAATGTTCAAGAAGACGGTTCGCGCTGTTGCCGCGGCAAACCGCCTTCGCTCGATGACCCGGAGCAATACCGAGATGACCAATTCTGACGCTGGAAGTCTTGCATCGACGGTTGGCGCCTCTGAGACTCAGCAGCAGCAGCAGCAACAGCCACAACAAGCTGAGGCTATTGTCCCTGTCACCGCGGAGAAGTCTTGAACGAGCGACACCCATTTATGCAGACCATTGACCATTGTATATTTCTTTCTATCCCACACACACATTTCGCTCAATCTCTCGTAATCTGCTTGGAATAAAAAATGGCGAAGCACGCGGTAAACAGTAATAAACATCACTGTGACCTCACGCATGTGCACAAAAATATTGGCTAGCAAGGTCGGAACGGCGGGAATATTTAGGTGGACGTAACTCCCGTTCGTCGAATAACTAACTAAAAAAAATAATTGAGCAATCGAAATCACCCACGACATTGCGCCTTTTTTCAACCTCTCTCTTTCCAAAAATCAAAAAAAGCAAAGACGACACCGCCCAACAAAACCTCCACGGAGCCTTTCAAAAAAAAAAAACTAAAAAAAAAAACTAAAGGAATAACAGCAGACACGATGGAAGACCCAGCCCACGACCCGGACACCACCACCCATTCTTCAACGACGCCTTCTATGACACTGTCATTATTAAAGTCGTCCTCGTCTTCGTTTCCGCTTTCTGCCCTTGAGATACCAGAGATCATGGCAAACATCTTTGAATATCTGGACGACGAGGAGGCGAACCGGACGCTGATCCTTGTCTGTCGAAAGTGGTATGTCTGGAACCGGGACAGGATCTTTCGGGACCTCTACTGGAATAGTGATCAGACCACGGAGGAGCTTGAGGGAGAGGTGTTGTCGAGGTTGGGTTGTGGGTTGGGTCCTAACCGGTTGTTTTGTCATATCCGCGTTCGGTATGGGGATTCGGATTCTGCTTTAGAGAAGTGGAGGCAGTTGGTTGCAGCGTTGGCGTGGGCGGATCCGATGAGGAAGCATGTACAGGCTATGGAGGATGCTCAGAGGGATGGTGATGAGCGCAGTGGAGGAGCAGAGGAAGAAAGCAGTATGGAAAGGGATGCAGATGAGGGTAGTGCCGTTGATGTTGTCGGTGGTGCTCGTCAGGAGGGAAGCAGCGGGGCGGAGGATGACAGAAATAGGGTCATCCGACACTTGACGATCACAGGGATAGTCCAGTTTGACAGCCATATGTGGCAGATCCTGTCTGGACTGAGCCACTTGGTCAGTCTGACGGTGAAGGTCGATTCCTGTGGGTGGGTCTCAATGCACAACATCCTCAACTCGTGCCTGCATCTGGAGAATCTGCACCTGGAGACGACGACGTGGGTCAGCATACCGGGGAGAAATTGGCTTGTGGGCGAAGATGAAGAGGAAGATGATGACAACCGCTTATCGTCACTCGAGGAACAGCCGGTACGACGACGGCGATTGCAGGCAGGACCGCTGGCGCTTCGATCGCTTGTGCTGAGGAACGCCCAGTTTCATCAACCTGCGCTAGAGGCGTTTCTGTCGTTTGCCCCGCTCCTCTACCGGATCCAAGTCGCCGTCTGGTTGCCGTATCTCAGTCGACCTACGCAAGGGGACAGAGAGCGGCTGTATCAGCTCGTACGGACGCATTGTCCGCTGGTCAGGGTGTTTCATTTCTCGTACCAGGGGCTACATGTTATCCGGACGACCCCCGAGGATATGGACCCCGTGTTTGACCTGTGTCCTCGGATGACGGACTGGATGGTCTCTGCGGTGCACTTTACGACGACTCTGATCGAGAGGTTACCGCAGGATGTGTTGACGACCTTAGAGATAATTGGCGCGGATTGTAAGAATTTGCATACATACCTTTGTACGGCCACGCATCTAAAACATCTACGAGCTCCCAGGACCAGGTTCCCCTATGAGCATATGGATATCCACCTCCGATCGGCCGAGGAGTTCTCGCATACAGGAGGAGTTCGGGGGATCGGATATGGAGGAGTTGAACACCGATCCGTCCGAGATGTTGCAACCACTGTGTCCAAAGTCTGGGCCTGCCGAGGGTTGCTGACTTTGAAGCTCGCAATCTCGCACATGAGTAATCAACCACAAGCGTCCCGGATCGTATTTGGCTACATCTCCCGCGTCTGCCCCCGATTACAGGACTTGGAGATTTGTGGGCCCGAGGGTGTGAGGATGGATCGTAAGATTCGCCCGACACCGATGTGTATGACACTCGAGGGCGGGTTCTGTCTGCTGTCAAGGTTGGAGAGGTTGGAGAGACTGTGTATCGGGATTGTGATGTTGGATCTGAAGCTCAAGGATGTCGACCTTTTGTGGATCAAAGGAGAAAGCGGAGGTAGTGGTAGTGGTGGCGGAGGTGAGGCTGGGGGGTTATTGTTGAGTGGTGCGAAAGTTCGGCCGAGGAGGGGGTCGACAGCGAGTATCAAATCGATCAAGAAGGGGTGGAATACGCTTCTGAGACGAGAGAAGGAGCGGGAGTTGGCACGAGTTCAGAACTTTGAGCGATCGGTCGACAACAGTCCTGGAGAAGGCGGACATAAAGATGTAAGTGGGGGAAACAAAGCGGTCGCAGCAAGGAGTGAACAGGATGACACTGAGCTGGAACAGAGTCTGCAGCACCTGGGGCTGTTGGAGGATGTGGTTATGCTGCTGAAGGAGATCGAAGCCACCAGTAACAACAACATCACTCCCACTCTTGCAAACAAATGTTGGCCGAACATGAAGCGAATGTCGATCTATTCTGGCAACAGTCTGGGCGAGAGTTTGGACCGCGAGTATGAGCGTCTGGTGAGAGTACCTGGGCAGAAGGTCAAGGAGAAGAAGAAAGAAAACGGAGGAGGAGGAGGGCTGTTTGCGAGCATTCGAGGTCTCGTGGGGTCTCTTGTTGGACTGTAGAAAGATATTTACATGCCCTTTTGCCACAGATCTTGACATTCATCATCCGCCGCGCACGTGATTGCCCTTTTAGCTATTCTTGCACCTCGAGTAAAAATGGCAATAATATGATGACAAGGATGAACGAATGGTGCATTGAAACTCGCATATGCATAAGTATTTTAACTAGATACATTCAGTGGAAAAGGTAAAAGGAAGCAGCAAATGCAACGCTAAGGGATAAAAGGCTACCAGACACGATCCTGCTCCCAAAGCTCGGCTGGTTCGATCCAGTTGGCACAGGCACAGTCCCAGAGCTCGTACCACCAGCGGTGGCACCTGACCCCTTGACCTTAATAGTAACCGCCGGACGCGTGTCAAACAACTCACTCCCATCCGGGTCAGTAGCGTTCGGGAACTCGTTCACAAAGACAGGGTACCCAGACCCATAATTGGCAATCAACGGCGCCAACCCCTTCACCGACCCGCCATCACTTCCCTCGACCCTAATATCTGCACAATTCGAATAGAGCTCCCTTTGTCCAATCGCATTGTACCATAGCCATATGAAGGTTACGTTTCCAGAGGGCAGGTCCTTTGGCAGAGGAACCGGGATGCGGTAACTGGCTTCCGTCCCTGGCGTGACTTGAAGGCATGTCCGGATCATGGTCTTGATAACCACCCAGGTCTTTTCTCCGTCATAGGAAAGAGCCCATTGACAATGCCCACCACCGTGCGCGGACCCGATGGAATAAGCAGTCTGGATAGTATCACCGGCTTTGTAGATGGTCCGGGAGGAGAATGGGTAAGGGATGGAGGTCTTGCAGAGCGGTTGGTTGATGCCGAGGTTTGTTCCGATTGGGGAGTTGATGTCGACGTCGACGACTTGGCCTGGCGGTGGGGCGGGGCAACCGGCGGCTTCTTGGTACCGTCCACAGGGGTTTGCAAGCCCTGTGTGCGCTTGGACGAGTGTTGATGTGAGTGTGAGTGTGAGTGTGAGCGTGATGGTGAGGAGGTAGAGTGCCAGGGTTGTGGAGAGGGTGGTTTTGAAAAGCATCATTTCGGATTGAAAAGGAGGCTGTGCTCGGATATTACGGTTGTGTTTCAAAAGTAGGGAAAGGAGTGAAGAGATGGTGCTAGTGTAAAACGCAGACAGTTTTAATGAAAAAGGAAAATGGAGATGACAGTCCAGGCGAACAACAAAAAGTGAAAGAAAAGGAAAAGGGAGAAAGCAAAAGACAAGGTGAGGAGTCGCTTTGTGGATTTTTTTTTTGAAGTTGGAAAAGGATGAGACAAAGAGGGCGAAGACGGAGGGGGGGTTTTTTTTACGTCTTCTATTCCCTCTCACTGCTATGCCTGTTCACCAATCGAAAGGCGCGAAGTCAACAAAGAACAAATCGACGCCCAAAACCTAAAAATAATGAAGCCGCAAAATAACAGGAATAAGCCAGGGAGAGGAGGGCTGGGCTGGACTGGGCTGGACTGGACTGGGGTTGTCGGAAAACGAGGGTGTAAACGCAAGAGTTTACACTCATTCTTGATTATTCAGAAAATAACCATTTCTTCAGCCCTTTTGAGCTATAGACATATGGCCATAACAACACCATCTTCGCCAACAACTTTGTATCGACTTTCTAAACCTTGACTGCGTATGTCCTTAGGAGAGGAGAATCAAAGTATGAAGTAAGCATCCCGAAAAAGGGAAAGAGGGCGAACATGAGAAAGTCAAGGAAAGAGAGAAGTCGCCACTGGGCCGCTCGACTCGGAGAAAATTCTAAAGCAAATAAGAACAGCCTTTGTATGTTGACGAGGGTTGGTAGCGGGATGCAATTGCTACTCTTTTTGAGAGAGGGATGGACACTTGTCGCTCCTTCCATAAAGTCGAAAATGGCCATGCCTGCATGCGAACGATAGGAGGCATTTCTTCACGTAAGAACAGCGTCCCTTCGTGCTTTGTTGTTGCTTGATTGTTTATTGTTGCTTTTCTTTTGCATAGCCCAATCCCTTTTGCCCGTCAACAATTTCCTTCCTCCTGTTACTCCCTTCACACACATACGCTCGCACAACTCATAAACAACAGTAACAGCACACCATGTCGACGAAGATAACGCTCTCGCCACTTGAGATTCCAGAAATCCTCGAGCAGATCCTGGCATATGTCGACGATGATACCATCAACGATTCGGTCCTCCTGGTCTGCAAGCAATTGTATTGGATGACCTAACACCGACATATCCGAGAAGCCGTCTGGAATACCCGCTGCGACTAGACACCCAGCAATGGCCCTTCCGGGATTGAGTTGACGCTGCCAATAGCACATCGACTCGATTGCTATCTGCATGTGGGGCCTAAGAGTGAGAAGTAGAAGTAGATCTACGACTGGCTCAGGACGGCGTTGATTCATAATCACAACCAACAGATTGGCGTTCCAAGTCGCTGATTGGTTGAAGAGACTGCTGCTGGCCCCGTTACTACAGCTGTCCAAGAGCAACTACAGCAGACCCTTCTGGACATTGAAGAGATTGGCGACATGGACGCCAAGGCCAACTAAGCAATATAATCACAAGCACAACAGGGGCACGCCATCGACGCCCTCGACGTCGACACCTTGCACCAGAGGCGCCACCATTGTATAATGCTGTGTTTTGAGACGTATGTATACCTCCTTTCTACGCACGTCTACCCTTTATTCCCATTCTTGTACTCGACCACCAGCCCGACGATCTGATGTATCAAGTTCAACTCGTTCAACCATCTCTGGATATCTCACCTCATGGCATGGTGCCCGCACCTTGAGGACTTGAGGATCGACACCAACAAGAGTATCATGATGGACGGTCCTTGGTTCCGACCCACCGACGCAACACGCAAGACACCTCCTGAGCTCCGACTCAAGCCGACTCGTCTTGTCTCGTTGGTTCATGTCAATGTTTGTGTTAAACATCAGGACCTGCAGGACTTGCTGGAGGTATCGCCGTGACCGGGATCTGCGGGCCTTCTTTACGGTGTACAATGAGAAGGGTGAGGTCCTTTTGATTGTGAGGAGTTTGTGAGGTATGCCAGGACCTTCTTTTTCGACAATAATCGACATCCCCTGGAGATGTTTCATGCTTCGGCCAAGAGGGAGCCTATCAGAGATGCCCAGATGGAGCTTCAGGATTTCGGACCGGCGCTTTTGGATGTATTCTCGGGCCGTTCGAATGTTATCATGAGCTTGGAGATTGTCAATGAGGGATGGACATCCGTCGGAGGTCTTGCCCCGGTACCTGTGTGTATCTCCACATCTCCTCCACCTCAAGGTGCACAGGATAGGGATCATCGTTGAGGACATGGATCGACCTTCCAGCAGTAATGTCGATACCACCAAGAATTTAATCAAGTCGCAATATCAGGAGTCTTCAGGTATGATTCTTCATTCAACAATCGTTCGAATCTCAGGATCGCGGTGGTAGTGGCGCTGCGGTGTGTCGATGGGCCTTTGGTTACGTCTCACGGGTGTGTTCTCGACTGCGATACCTCGACATTGCAAACATAGAGTCGATAGAGTTTGATGGTAAGTTATCGTACAAGGGCAAAATGTTTCCTGGCTGCTTGGCACTGGAGAGTGGATTCTGTCTGCTGGCGAGGTTGAAAGAGCTTAGGTGAATCCGGCTGGCGTACGGCGATGTGAATCTGGATGTCAAGAGCGCGGATATGAGTTGGATGATGTTGGCGGATGTTGGCGGATGAGACGGGCCAGACGAGGAGGGTTGAAGGGCAGAAGGTCGATTCTGCATGGACGGTTGAACATGATCTGGGATCGAGTGAGAGTCAGCCAAGCGAGGGAGATGTAAAAGAGAACGATCCGCTTCTTCGGCAAGTGGGGACGCTGCAGGACGTGAAGGCGATGATCGAAGAGATGAACGCTGTGGAGAACTTTGAGTGCTGGCCATGCTTGCGAGGGATCACGATCTGTCGCCATGGATCGTATCTTGCAAGGGGCCGCCCCTCAATCGAATCGATACTCAGTCCATAACGAGGCGTAGTCAGCACGTGATACAATTGCTGTGGGCTGGCTGAGTCGTTGGCGTCAGTGCCCGGTTGAACAGGGTCACTTATCGAGGGAGAGGGAGAAGGGAGAGTGGAGTTTCTCTCGGCAACTCCTGTATCCAAAGGAGTATCTTCGGGGTCAACGGGCATGAGGAAAAGGATGTATGTATATATGTGTGTGATATGTGTGTGTGTGTGTGTGTGTGTGTGTGTGTGTGTATGTGCTCCCTCTCAATATCGCAAATAAAGACAGTAACTCTCAAGACCTGCTCGTATCGTGGAAGAAAGGTGTTTTTATGTCAATAACTATTCTCCAAAGGCTAGAAACTACTATTGCCACCAATGGTCAAAGGGCACAGTGCCTACCTGCTGTATCGTGGAAGAAAGGTGCTTTTCCAGACACTCGCGTAAAATAGCGAAATGGTCACCAGAAGCTAAGCCACTCCAAATCACCACATTGCAATGATTAAATTGAGAGCCGCCGTAGTCGCATGGGACTTTTCTTTTGCTTTCCTTTTTCTCCTTGCAAAACCAACAGGAACAGCACTCTCACTCCCCCAACAATACCAAAAAAATGGATACGCCCACCAAGACAGGCAGGTCACCACTGCACCTCCCAGAACTGCTTGATCACATCTTCTCCTTCCTCAGCGACTACACCATCACCCACTTCGTCATCCTCGTCTGCCGGCAATGGCTCCACGTCGGACAACACCGCATCGTACGAGAACAAGTCTGGGGAAACAGGCTATCCAAAACGGAGCAGGACTTACTGCAAGCGAACATGGGCAGAGTCGACCGACTGTGTTATTACTATCACAGCATGTACGATAGTCCTTACGTTCTCGAACAACTCTGGACCGCGCTTGGTGAACGGTCTCGCCAGCATCGGTTCTTGGACTGGGAGCAGCGGAGGCTTCAACAGCGACAGCAACCCTCGACAAGTAATGGGTACATCAAGCCGTGGTTGACCCCGGAGGAGACTGAGGATGAGGATACAGCCAAGTTGCCGTTGAAGGAGTTGAGACTGCAAGGCTATATGGGTCTGTCCGGCTTGAGGTTGGTCTTCCAGGTAATGGCGCACTTGACTTCCCTCGAGGTCAGCACTGTATGCATTGTACTATCAATGCTGGACGTCCTGGAGAGCTGTCCGCTCTTGCAGCGGCTATATGTCGATTCTATAACGACCACTAGCCGCGTGTTGCCGAGACCTTGGTTCTCGCCTATGGGGATCAACCCGCAGAATGGTCAGAGACGGAAACGACCACCCTTGGCGTTGCGATCGTTGGTTCTCAGGAATGTCTCTGTGCCGCAGTCGTGTGTCGAAACGTTGATTACTATCACGCCTCATCTTCGAGAGTTAGTTTTAGTCGTCAAGGAGTTTTTCCCGGATGATGATGATGATGCCATTGCTACCAGGACCGCTGACGGTCCAAGACGGATCCGTGAGCTTGTGAGGTTGCACCACCCAGCAACCCTTTGCTCGTTCTTCTTTTCCCCTCCTCATACCGCCCTCTCGACAGACACAATCCAAGGCTGGATCCAAGATTCGCCTGCACCACACATAAATTTGGATTGGACGATTGAAGGGCCAAAATTGACGCCCTCCATCATCACACACCTTACCGTCCAGGTGCCCAACACCATCACCACTCTTCATATCTTGGGCAAATGCCCAATCCTCCACGACTACCTCTGCGCGTCCCCTCATCTGCTCCACTTGATGGCTCCCAAATCTGCTATCACCCTTGACGCCTTCGACATTCACTTCCGCCAGACACAAGGTCGCCCTCCTCCTTCGGCCGCCTTAAGATATCAACAACAACAGCAGCAGCAACAGCAACAACAGTTCCCTAGAGTGTGGGCATGTCGACGCCTCCAAACCCTCCACATCGCATTTCTCCCCAAAAAGGCAACCGCATCCTCCTCCCGCCTTATCTTTGGATACATCTCCCGCGTCTGCCCCAGACTTCAAGATCTAGAGATCCATGGACCAGAATACCTCACTCTACACGAGGATGAATGGCCGAACGAGGAGGAAGGGTCAGATGGGCGACTCTGTGTGCGACTCGAGAGTGGACTCTGTCTGTTATCGAGACTGGAAGATTTGGAGCGGTTGGTAGTTGGGACTGTTCACCATGACCGCTTTGTTCTGTTCGAGGATGACGGTCACGACGATGATATATATAATGTTGGCGAGGATGTAGATCTGGCGGTCGACTTTGACTGGATGGTACCTGCAGGTCATTCTGTCGACCGAAAACACGCCCGCCATGCATGGATCGATAAGGAGGATATGAAGGGAGGAGGTGGCTGGGCAAAGAGGTTGGAGATCGAAGAGTCAAAGGAGGCTGTTAGACGGCTGAACTACCAACAGTTCTTAGTTGACTATGGAGTAGTTATCAAGGTCCAACAGGGCGGAGCTTCTGCGAGCGAGAAGATTGATCTGGTGGAGAGTCTGGAGGACCTAGGTTTGTTGAGAGATGTCAAGCAGGTGTTGGAGGAGATGGATAATGCCGCCAAGCAGCAGGAGGGGGATGATGGCAGCTTTAGGTGCTGGCCGCACCTGCACAGATTGTCCATCTACTGCCCAAACATTTTCGGTCTACAACCTGAAGCCGAGGTTGGACGGATCTTGAAAGCAGACGACCTCAAATGTGGGAGAGATAGCGCGCGTGACCCCTGACATTAAACTGCAACGCGAGGCAGTAACCGCCTTTTTTCATCCACATAATACAGAGACAGTATGTTTTATTTTTGACAAACAAGCAGAACGACAATATGTATATTATTTTTCCGCGTTATCTTTGACAACCTCCGACCATCTACTTTCCCGACTGTTGTATTCGCGTGCCATGGTAAGGCGAATAAACTCATTTGGAGGTGAAAGCCCATACACAGCATCGCTAGCAATCGCAGCTTTCTGAAGAGAAGCCTACTGGTTGCTCACTGAGCTGCTGCCTGGGGCAACCATCTCATTCAACCATCTCATTCAACCACCCTTTGACATCTAGCAATTGCAGTTCCTCCCTGGGTCCTGGATCAACCGACGACTCCCATTCTATAGTCCAACGTGCATCACCAACACCACCGCCAACCTGATTACGGCTCTTGCCAACCAACCTTCTTGGCAACCCTCTTGACCTCAGTCTCATCCTCCAGTCGAATGAGCTGTGCAACAGGCTGCCCCCCAGGGTGCTATAGCTCTCCGTCGCGCCTCTCTCGCTTCCACACTCCATCCTTCCTGAGCCATCCAGTTCAGATCATAGACGTGCTCTAAATGCTGAGGCGTCTGGCTATCATAGATCTTGATTCGCTCCAGGTACCACAGCCTGGTCAAAAGACAAACCTGCCCGAGAGCCGCAGTTTCTGGAAGGAAAACGCCAGGTACACACTCCTGTGCAACTTACGCAGTCGCGGCAGTACCCGAGCAATGTATCCAAAGACCACCTGGCTCTGCTCCGGCTGATGTCGCGTGCTCCAACCCCCTGTGACAGGGAGTCAGATACGAGGCGTCTCCTAATTGCGGCACTTCCAGACACTGGGAAGAGCGGACTTGATCTCGCCCGAGTATGGGCTCGGTTGTATGACTTTTGAGGGTTGACGGGCTCTGGGATGAGTCTGAAGAGGTCCATATGTGCGATAGGGTAATAGGCCATGGGGACGCAGAGATAGATCAGATGGGGAAAATTGCAAAGATACTGGCGCAGAAGCGGTGTGCCTCTCATGGTAATCCTGGTTCAGGTTGTGGAACGTCAAATTGGTGACCACGTTCGAGGGCTGACGGATATGTTGCGCTATATACTTTCGTCGTTTTACAATATTGTTTTTGTGGAGGTTAATTCACATGTTCCAATTACTTTTTTCTAATCAATTTCACTATCAAACTGACCGTAAAAACCACTTTCAAGTTTCAATTGTAACGGATTTTTCTTGCTGCATTTACTGCGACCTTGGTAAAGTGAATGCTGCCTTCGACTTAGGTGGTTCTTTCGCCCCTCGACTTCTCCATATCCTTTACCTTCCAGCTTTCTTCACCAATACTTCACAGTACCATGGCCGACATCCCTGTGACACTGTTCTGTCTTGTTGATGGAGAGGCTATTTCCAACGCGTTCTGTGTCAAGATTCCTTCAAGCGAGACTGTCTGTGAACTCAAGAACCTCATTTGGACCAACATCGCCGAAGACTTTCAAAAAGTCAATGCACAGAAACTCACTCTCTGGCGCGTCTTCATTCCTACGGTTGCAACCAACAAGCATAAGCCCATCTTCCTGGATGAGATTGATCCCGATTCCGCATCAGAACTTTACCCAACAGACAATATCTCCGATGTCTTTGCTGACCAACCGCCACGCCAAAATACTATTCGCATCATCGTCCGGCAACCTCTAGGTAATCCGGTCGTGCTTTGCTTTCATTGGCACCTTGCACATGAGCGAATCCATTGTACGAACATAAAGTAATCATTAACCCTGACATCTGGTCCATGCACCTGTCCCTGCCCATCCCTCTTCTTCTCGCTCAGCTTCTGGTGAGTGATTAACTTGGATTGTATATCTTAATTGATGAGTATGCTTTATCATTTTTCTTATGCTAATTCTCTCCTTCCTTCCTTCATTGATTATGCAGTTTTGCCAAGACAGCTGAAGTCTGTTCCGAAGGATCTCATCGAGCAGGAGCTGGCAGCCATTCTCTATAGCGTCCAGCATCGCCCCACTGCTCCCTCTGTTGATCCATTGGAAGTTGAGGCTTCTCAGAATGAAGAACTAGGACGCTTTTTCAAGAGGTCTTTGCCGCATGGCGAGACAGCAAGAGACATCAAGCTGGTGATGTTAGGACTTGAGCTTGACAAACAGGCAAAGGCGAGCGACGGCAAGACTTTGCGCTCTATTGTAGAGGACGACATCGGCAAGCTCAATCGCAGCGTGGTTGCTATGGTCGCTCCTTCCGGGTCAGGAAAAACCGCAACCGTCACAGACCTGGCAACTAGGCACTTTGTCGTCTACTGTGTCTGCTGTTCTACAGGGCCCTCTGTCCCTCCGGACTTCGGGGACCCAAATTTCGCCCAGCTTGCCCGTGAAGTCGAAGAGATGTACGCGACCGTTACCCGGACGCAGGGGGTTGCGCGTGGTCTGCTTGACGTCGAATCTGATGCGACTCTACTCGTAAGACAACGCGTTGAACTCGAGTTCCTGGCTCGATTGCTTTTCCTTCAACGTCTTCTTGGCAGAAACCCAGATCTGGAGCCGCCGAATTTCTTTCGTGAGCAGATGTCCGCCACAGGAGTCTCGACCATCCGTGAGCTTGTGAAAGTACTGCGGAAGTACGACTGCCTAGCGATCCAATACATGCTCGATGACGTCCAGACCGTGCTTCACGCTCAACTTGAGCCCAGGCGCCGTGGTCTGGTAATAGCCCTGGATGAGGCCATCTTGGCCGGCAAGTTCATCTCGCCATCCGCTTTAGCTGCATACTGGAACACACGCCATTCCCCGAGCGTCCTTTTTGACGATAAGAACGAGATACATCGCCATCTCTGCCGCGGCTTCCTTACGCCCTTGTCTGCTACACTAAGCGGCATGTAGGCAATGTTGGTAATCCTTGGCACAGCACTATCGTTGCAGGAAGTTGACAGTGTGTACGGCGCCGTTGGGAAGAAAACCAATTTTACAAGGATAACAGAATTCCCCCAACTGAATGAAGAAGAAACCAGGAAGATGCTCTCGGGTTTAGTCGACATATCGGAGTGCGAGATCCCACATTCTAAGCTCCACAAACCGTTAGGACGAGCGCGGTTTTCCCTCGGTATCATTGATCACCTCGTGCAACAAGTCGCAGCCAGCTCCACTCAGGATTCCAAGCAAGATATTCTAACGAGAGCCGTCGATAAAAGGATCGAGGATTTGAAGCTTGATCTTCGGGGTGGAGCGCACGCTATCCTCGAGAGCGACCGTACAGGCGAGGCGTCACGACTTCTCTGTCGGATGGTCTTGGCCAACCATCGCCAAGAACCCAAGATATCGTTCTCGAGCAAAGAGCAGTCGGACTTTGTGGAGCAAGCCTTGTGCAGACTACACCCACATCCTGACGGCGTCCACCTGATCATGGATGAGCCCTTGGTGGTTGAGGCGGTGGAGGAGGAACTGAAGTCTTCGGGCAAGGATCCTACGTTCATCGAGTACATGGATCAGCTGAACCAGCTCATAGAAAACCTTGGTGCGTCGACACACACAAATGGAGAAGCTCTGGAGATGCTTGTCCGTCGATCGCTTCAGCGCTTCAACGGTGCCCTAGTGGCGAACCTTCCTTTCCTGAAAGGCATCCCCTTGCCCACATGGTGCGGCAAGGTCCTGTTTCAGATTGACCAAATCAACACAGCCAGTGGATTTGGATACAAGGGCAGTGGCGTGGCCGCCGATCTCGCCTTCCTCATTGACCGTCCTCCGTGCAAGATGCTTGTTGCCCAGTCTGGTACACGTCCGGATGGAGTCTGGTTTTTCCCTGACAAACGGTACGCCGGCTCTCTCGCGATCAAGTTTTACAGCAACCGTGTGCCTCTGGACAAGCACAAGGAGAACGAGACCTCCAGCAATGTTCGAGCGTGTTTCTTGAAGGTGGACGGTGACACGCTGAACACAACCTTGGAAGCCACTCGACTTGCTTATGTGAATGCAGGCGTCCCCTCCAACGTTAAAGGAACTTTGCGCATTCACTTGGAGTTTCCGCATGTCCAAGGATTGATGCCATTCACCCACGTCAGGAAGGATCCGAAGACTGGCGCTGAAGATGTGATGGTGTACACCAACTGTGGGAACATGGACAGCTTTTTCGACGAGGCTATCGAAGCACACAGGTTCGATATGATCAAGCTGAAGAACCTGATCAAGTATGTCTCCGCCTCATAAGGATCGTTCTGCAAATAAACACATCAGCTTTCCACATGCCCTTGCTTTATTTTCTTTGTTTTCTTCACTTTTCTTGTCCTCGATTACACCATTAGCCTTCCCCATATTGTTCCGCCTCGAATCTCCTCTCGGAAATCTTGGCAACGCATTTTGTTACAATCCTAATGACATAGCACGCTGTTTTGAACCAAGCACTCAACCTGTACAAACCTGGCTTTGCGGTCGTTGCTTTTTTTCTTGCTTTTCTGTTCCCTCAGGCCAAGGATAGTCTGCTTGCAATGGTTATGCTAACTTTTGGTGACCCCCCAGCTCGATTGTTCAGGAGGCTTGCTCACTCGTCCCACAGATTCGTAGGATTATCTACTGTTGTGTACAAAATGGCTGCAACGAACCCCCCTTTGTACTACAGACATGCTCACAACAATGTGGCACGCGTTGCAAATGCAAAAGGGAAAAGAAAAAATAATTTGACAGGGAAGCGCGTTGACATGGTGTCGCGTAAAAAACAACGTACGTGAAAAAGCTGCCTGGGTATTGCCTTCCATTCAATTGTCGCTCATCAGGATCCAACATTAATATTGTCTTCTTTCAATGAATGACCTACAGCTCCTGTTTTTTTTTGTATAAAAGAACGGCACCTTTCCCAATGCTCCCATTTTTCACTAGCAACTCTATTTCTCTCTCGCCCTCTCCCATCTCTCGCCCCCACTCTCTCTCTCTCGCTCTCGGTGGTGCGGTGGTTGTTGGCATCCGTGATTTCGATATTTCAAGTTATGATCCTCCAAGATCTTCCACAGCTTCCTGACATTGTTGTCTCCAGCAGCAGTACCAGTAGGTTTGGCAACGGAGCACCTAAGCCGGGTTGTTGTCCGTATCTGCATCAAGACTTCGTCGAGCTGCCATGTGGAGTCCCAGTCGATTTGCCGGATCAGACGGTGTCGGACCATTAAGAACCATTGGCGACAGACAAGGATTGCGTCTCCCTCCCTCGGCTACTCTTTCTTCTATCATCCTTTGTCACTCTCGTCAACCGCATCTGTTTCTGTTTTTACCACTTCGTTTCGTTGACACACCGTTTTTTTTGGCCCATTTTTCTCACCACAGAGAAGTAATAAAAGGAACTATATTTTTCGTCTAGGAAGGGTACCCTTGTTTTTCTAAGTGATTACGGGTTTAACACCCAAGTCCTCAACCTCCAAAGAGTAACTACGCTGACTCTCACTGCTCTTCCGAACAAAAGTCGACTCTTGACACGTCCTTGCAACCGCCGGCGTCAATGGTTCAGTACATGTTGCCTTTGTTGGGTTCGTAGAATCAACAGTTGGGGCAACAGCATTGACAACGCAGTTGGTGGCTCCAGCGGTGGCAGCAGCAACAGTCTCCTGGATCTGGTTCTTGTCCTGGTCACTCGAAACCACCCCGCAAGCGGGAACTACTCCAGGGACGGGGAAAACGATACTTCCATTACCGCAGCAAAGAGGCGCCGGAGGGAGACTCGTACAAACAGCTGCGCACGAATCGGTCAGACCGGGAGAAGGCACAACCATGTTCGACATCAAGGCAGCCTCAAGACCATATCCCTTACTTCTCAAGGAAGAGACCCTCGACAGCATAGATTCTTGGCCCAAGAAGGACTCTACGCTCACTGCTCGCTTGACTTGCTTCCCGCTGCTGCTCGTACTCGTTCTTGACAATGACGGTGGGACATCAGTGTGCACACAGTTGATCGCGGTCTTGGAAAGAGGAAGATTATGGGCAACAGTCGAGGCCGCATTAGCGTGGGAGAAGGTTGAAGATGATCCGTTCCTGAGAGGGAGAGGACCAGAGCTGGGCCGTCTGTACTCTCTAGGATACTGCTGGTGCTGTTGCGGGTGGACGTGGTTATAGTGATGATGGTGATGATGGTGATGATGGTGGTGGTGGCTGTGGTTGCGGGGTCCATGGTGGTGGTGTTGGTGATGCTGATGGTGGTGGTGGTGGTGACAGTCTATAGGACACTCCATCGCCATCACAGAATGACTCTCCCTCAGGGCAAGGGGGCCCATAGCCAAGAACCTCGCCAAATCCTCACTACTGTCCCCACACATCTCATCATCGTCGTCTGGATCTGCATCCACCCTGCGCCCTCGACGCGCATCTCCACTCTGTCTTCTGGCGCGTCCAGCAGACGACAGTCCAGGATCGTACCGTTGCTGTTGAAGGAGCGAGTCTCGCGCAGAGGAGGAGGAAGAGGTCGCCGATTTGAAGCTCATATAGTCCATCGATGGCCTGTTCAGGTTTCCTATTCCTGGCGGGAACGCGGTGGGCACTGTTGTCGTCGTTGTCGTGCTGGTACTAGGTCGACCTCCCAAGCTGTCAATTGAAGTCCTGGAATCCATAAACTTTGATCCTGATGTGGGAGGAGTCTGACCTTGAGGCGTGTACGGCAAAGGTGACTCTGCGAACTGGAATTCATCCTGCTCTCCGTCCGCCATGTCAACTACTTGAGTTGGGTCCGATGAGGGCTTTTCCTCCGCCTTGCTCTGTGCTGTATCACCACTTATAGAAGCCAGAGCTAGAGCATATGTCAAACCCTCAGAACTTGACCTTTCGAATCCTTGGTTCTGTGATGGTGAAGACGTCGAACGGGGAATGGCATCCCTTGACGCAAATCTCCGGAGCGAATGTGAAGAGAATCCAGTGCTGGTGGACGAGGATGGTGTCGCCAACGTCATATGGGGACTGCTACTGCTGTACAGACCGCCACTGCGATTTTTCACTACTCCTGTTCCTGTGGCAGGGCCCCAACTACCAGATCTGACAGCAGTCGAGCCAACCGTATGGAGTGTCGAAGCTGAAGGGAGGGAGCTATGGAAAAGCGATGGCGAAGATCCAGAGGAGGCTGTCGACGCTGAAGGCGGGTTGTGGTTCAGATACGACGATTGCTGATAGTACTGGTTTGGGCGAGACGGCCCCAGTGCAGCGGCGGCAGCAGTGTTGATGTGGATGGGTGTCTTGTCTTTACTGAACCCGTCCTTGAACTTGAGAGGTCGACTCATGATCGGAACAGCGGTCGAGTTCTCCTGAGCCATAGGTGCAGAGACAGGTGCAGTGGAGGGTGCGTTAGATGACGACGGGGTCAAGCTATGACGCTGCCGTGGCGGTTGGTGCTGGTATCGATGGCTTTGGCAGCAGTGTGCATGACGACAGTACTGCTGACGCTGCTGGTGCTGCAAGGTCTGGTCGCCATGGGCATGGGCGTGGTGCTGGTGATGATAATGGCCTCCAATGTTGTTGGCCCATTTACCCAGCGGGGACGACGCTGTAACGCCCAGGTGCGATTGCTTGGGCGCACTGATCTGGTGTGCGGTAGGTCCCAATCCAGAGGTGTCGTTAGAACTCGCTCGTCGTCTCACCAGAGTCGTCAAAAAGTTGTGCGCCCGACCTTTCATCGAAGAGTTAGCCGGCGCCGTTGCGGCTTGATGAATCACCGGTCCTGTCATCGCCGCCGTCGTCGTGCTTGCTCGGATGGGTATCGCTCCACCGGCGCCGAGAAGACTGTGTTGATGACCGCCGCCACGGTGGTGGTGGCGGTGATGGGTCGTCGCAATGATTCCTGCGTGGCTGTGGTGGTGATGGTGAAACTCGTTCAGGCCACTGGTTCCTGACATAGGATAGTTGGCAGTGGCCGTGCCCAGGATGAGTCCAGTCGAATGCCGGTTGGGCAAACTGTTGTGGGTTTCGTGGATGGATGTCAGCTGCAGATCCACCTCCGACTTGGAGCGTCCCTTACTGTTGTAAGCTATGATGTCGTAAATAATAAGCAAGCAGTTAATATCATCCATGTTATTGTTAAACCTAGCGAGAGGAGAAAACATAACAAAGAATACTTACCGAGAGACATTCCTAGAGTGTTGGAATCCTTCCTGTCCGTATTCAACATTGCTGCACCCAGACCGTTCATCGATGTCACAGTGTGGTAGTGCGAAGGATGCTCTGCCTGAGTGTTTCCAGGTCGATTCGTCGCAAACTGTGAATCTGTCGGTGACGAAGTTGCCGACTGGGACGACTGCTTCAGAGCGCTTTGGAGATGGTACTGTTGTTGGAGATGATGGCTTATTTCAGACTTCATCGCAGGCGCACTTTTGTCAGGCTGAGGTCGCGTCCGCAAGGATTCCAGGGCATGACCCGACTCGTCGCAATACGAGCAATCGCAGCACGACGTGCAACAGCAACAGGAAGTGCTCTGACAGCACGGCTCCGAGCATTGGTCCGGATCTCCCTGTTGAAAGAATGGACCAATATCTGCAACAGACAGCGACGCAGGTCCAAAGACTGGCGAGGGCAGAGCCATCATTCCGGGAACCGAAGGTGAGAGCAAGTTCTCAATGTATCCGTGACCCTCGGGGAACTGATTTGGCACCTGCTGCTGCTGTTGCGGTCGGTGAGGATAATCGCCGTTTCCTGTTGCATCCTTCTCCTTTGCCGACGTGTTGTCCGCAAGGAACTGGGCCTCCAGTTTGGTTGAATCCGCATTCGAGCTCCTCCTCCGCGACTTGAACAGTGTCGCCGCCGTCTCCGAACCCAGAACGACCAACGAGCTGCGGGCGGAGTTGGTTCGAATCGCCGCCGGGATGGGGCCTTTGCGACCGTTGATCGAGTGTGCAGGCTGGTGGTGAGGATGGGTACGTTCTTCTCCTAGAAAGGCAGTAGAGGTAGATGCAAAAGGTGCTGCTGAACAACACGGGAGCCCATCCTTGTCATAGGGGCAGAGATGGCAACCATGCTGGTAAAGGTTCAGTTGTTGTTGGTTGCAGTGGCAAGTGTGACAGTAGTTCTGGACCTGGTAATAGCTAGACCCTCCAGCAATCGGATGAGAGGGCGTCAGATTGGGACTAGAGCTCATACTGAGCAAAGTGTGCTGTGAAGATGATGCGCCGGAAAAGGCCGAAGGTGTAGTAGGCGTTACAGCCGCTGCAGGAACAGAAGAGGAGACAGCAGGTGCCTTCTGCTGCTTAGGCAGCTTCTTGTCAATGTCCTTCACCTTGGCAAGGGTATTGGCCTTGGCGACCAAATTCTCCAGCATGCCAGAACGAGCTCGCTGGTGAGGCTTGATCAACCTGGGAGCCTTATAAGCCGCATTCTCGCCATTAATCATCTTGCATAACAGGAACGCGCGCAGTTCTGCTGGAGTCCTGAAGATGGGTGGATCGGGGAGAGGCGGTCCAAACTCGGGGACCTGTTCGTCACAGGCAATAGTCGCGCTGTATCCCTTGGTTCCGTCTGAGAGAGTGACCATGCGGATAATGACAAAAATATGGAGGAACTGGGACTTGATGGCATTGGGGACAAAGGGCTGGTCTCCATCGACAAAAATGATGCATACAATGTCGTTGCCAATATGGCGCTTGCGCTGGATCTGTTGGCGATCGACGGTGTTGTACGGCAGAAGGGTCGACACGTGGTACATGATCTCGAATCCTTCGCCCCAGGTGTCATAGTACGAATACTCTCCACCTTCGCCTATTATAATAGTAATTGAGTCACACAAAAGTAAGTGCGTATGAACATGTAGCATCCTCATTTCATAATAACGTGAATAATATTTGCGGACAAAATTGACAGATACTTACTACGAGTGTCCAAGCCGGCCGAGAACCTTTCGAATCCCTTGAGGGCAACCTTCTGACCAAGAGCACCGCTTTCTAAAAACTCTTGGAACCGAGGACTCGAGCTCATCTGGTTACTGAACCAGTCCTCCTCCTTTGTCTGACCAGGGTGAACCAACAGGACTCCAAACTTGTAGTTGAACCTGAGCATCGTTTCATCAAACTTGGCCAACTCCATTTCGAAATGCTGATTGTTCTCCACCTTCTTCAGCTTGGATGCGACTTGTTGCGTGATGGCGGGATGGATCGACTGAAGAATGGTTTTCCATTGAGGCTTTCCTGCACGGCGCGTCAGGTTGTTCAGCGGGCTGGGTTCTGGCTCTGGGAGCGTGATCCGGATACTGTCAACGTCCTTTTGCCGAAGAATGCAACGATACTGCCAACGAGGTGGAGCGTTGGTGTTGTTGTTGCTACTGCCTGAGAGGTGGGTTGACTGAGGGGTGTTAGACGAATAAGGCACTGGCGTTGATGGAGTGGATGGGGCTAGGTGTGACGACCCTATTATACCAATTGCCGAACCTGGCCCTGAATGAGGCCCTCCAATCCCTGACAAACCAGATCCGTGGTTATCATGACTACTATTAAAAAGAGTATGCAGTTATCAGGCATGAGTTAACGGCCGCGCAAAACACATGTTCATATCTACGATGCTAAACCAAGAGCATTAACAACAAACCTTCCCAGTCCTGGTGTCGCGGCAGTAGACGCAGACAAGATGATTCGCATGGCCTCTGAGCTTGAGCGAGGACTAGCCATCATGCCGCCACCGCCCACTCCATTCCCATGATAGCCTCCGGCTCTGCCAGGGTAGAAACTCTGTGCGGAATGCGCAAGTTCAGGACGGCTTTGACGTGCCGAGTGAGCGCTCGATCCACTACTGCCCACTCCAGTACTTGCAGGCGCGGCAAATGAAGAGTGATGTGTGAGAGAGCTTGGTCCGGTCGAAAATCGCGAAGAAAGCTGAGGGCGCGACTCCGTCGGCACTACCATGTCTTTGATGATAGAGATAATGACGGTTCCCAGACCCTCAACCTGGCCCACAAACGTGCGATGCTCTATGAATATTCAGGTGTAGCATAAAAGAAAACGCCAGTTAATATCGTCAAAGGCTGCTGATGTGCTTACAAGAAGCAACATACCCATAATATCAAACAAAAGATGCACATACCTTTCCCAAGGAACCAGTTCCTGTAGTAGTATGCTTCATGACCCATATGTTCCTTCGAGTACTCGCCCATCATTGCGATTCCAGTCCCTGTTGCCATCCCAGCTGCCACTCCAGTAGCGCCAATTCCACCAATGCCTCCTCCGATCCCAGCGCCTGTGCCAACACTAATGCCGACTGCCGCAGGTGTACCCATAGAGATGGCACCAGCGACGCCAGGACTGCCACCCATTTCCTTGCGCTTCTGCAAAGCTGCCCATTCGTCCTTGCCTTCGGGCAAACTCTTAACACGGACCATCGCCTGGCCACCTGGGGAAGCATTCGATGGAGTAAAGATATCCATCGTGGGCGAGGGAGTGGGGTCCGTGCTTGATGCGGTAATTGCAGAGATGGACCCTGAAAGGTTGGGTGAGTTGTAATTGGCGGATGTGGCTGCTGAACTTTGAAGTACAGATCGTTCAGGCAGAGTCGTTTCATCTGCGGGAGCATTCTGGACAGCCGAAACACGGCTCATAAGCGAAGGCTGCTGAGAGGATCCAGCACTTAGGGTTGTAATCGATTTTAGAGGCATATGAGGATGATCTGGTCGAAGATTCCGCTCGATCTTCTTCAAGTCGTTAGAGCCCTCTATCCTGTATCCATTGGTCGGGACCACAAGCATCTAATAAGAGAATGACGATGAAGTAAGAAATCGGCTGAATGAAAACACTGGGGAGAGGAGCTGAAAAGAAGCGGAAGAAAATGGACCACACAGCTGAAAGCAACAATAAATAGCCTTACTCGGTTGTATGTTCGCATGTACTCTGCCATGACAGCCTCTGCCGTAGCCAGCACTGTCTGGATCTATTTTTGTACAATGCATGTTGCCACATCAATTAGTACTGCATCGAATGTGAAACATTTGATGGCCCTAACAACCTGAAAGATGCTGCACTTACATAGCTATAGACTGCTCCCTGATATTCTTCGGACGACATCTCTCCATTGGCATCAGCATCTCCAGGATTTCGCTCTTGGGGTTGGTACTGGTACTGGTGCTTGTAATGGTTTCGATCCCGACGATGTCGTATCCGATCCTTGGAGTCCTTCTTCTTCACCTGCCTGTCATCAACATTACCAGTTGTCTCTTGACCTACCGCAGGCGTTGTTACCGGTTCGATCGTCGCCGCCACATCTGTGCTTGGCGGTTGCTGGGAAGAGCACTGTTGGGTAGGCAACGGATTAGGTTGGCCCTGTCGAGGATCGTTGGTCTTCTCCGATGTCTTTGACTCCTTGTTGACCGTTAGCTTCTGAGATTGAGGCTGAGGCTGGTGATGTAAACTTGAAACTTGTTTCTCCACTGCAGCTTTGAGTTCCTGAACAACCTCAACAGCCACTCCCGCTTCCCGTTCCGGTGCTTGTTGCTGTAGTTGATGTTGCTGCTGTTGTTGGCGGAGTTGCAGGTGTCGTTGTCTACATCTGCGATCCAACTCGACGCGACAAACCTCCTGGGCCTGATAACAAATCTCGTCCGATTCCTTGAGGAGACTGGAAAACTGGTCTGTTGAGATATACTTGGCGAACATCTCAGTCATCCGGGTCATAATCTGATCCATCTCATCAAAAAGCATCCCAACCGCCTCCACCACGTCAATCTGATCCACGTCAACGGGAGCAGAGCTCTCCTGACTACGTTCACTCGACTTATCAGTTGGTACCGCTTCTGTTGCCCTTTCATTCCCAGAGTTGGATCCGCTGACAACCAGACTGCTCTTCTTTGGTCGAATTCCTCCTGGCGCTACTGAGGACACAATACTTTGCTCGCTTCCTCGACGTTTGCCATGCGTGTCATCCACAGACACCCTCCTGCTGCCAGTCCCATCCTCCTTGAAGGCCGACGATGTCTGGTTGTCCTCCGCACCGTGAACGCGGATCAAAATCTGTTCAGAAGGACTAATAGCCAACGAGACTTCGTTTTTCTCCGCTCGCTTCCGAGCCAGCTCTGTTGTCGAGGTTGCCAAAGACTCTGATTCTGAGAGGGAGAGGGTCGATAAGTTCAAATTTGAGGACAAAAACGTTGAGGAAGGGACGAGTGACGCCGAAGTCGTAGTTGAAGCCATGTGCCGAGGTGCCGACGAAGCTTGCTGGTGGGTCTGCTCCTCTCTCTGCTGCTGTTGCTGCGTGAATGTGGGAGGAGTCGAGGATAATGGAGCGGAAACCGCAGCGAGGTGTTTCAATACCAAGTCGCATTTGGTTTTGAGGGTACTATGTAGGGATCGCAAAGTCGTTGGTGGATCTGGCAAAGGAACGTTCTTGGCTTTTACGCCCATCGCCCACGAATTGTTGTCCTGTAGCTAATTATGATGGTAATGTAATAATAATATGAGGATGAGGAAACAAAAAATATAAGTGAGTAGAACTGTCCAAAGAAGCACTATTGTGTCAAAACAAAGGCAACTTACAGTCTCCTCGGAGCTGAACCTTCGTTTGGTTGGAGCATCGTCCGGCATCAGGGCAATAAATTGGTCCGCCGTCAGAAGATCTGCGTCCTGAAGAGACATACTCCGCTGTCGCTTGTAGTGGATCGCAGGGCGATAATCAACCACAGCGCTGCGAGGCTCTAAATGTAGAACGGGCGATCCACTGCTTCCAAGGCCATTGCTGCTCTTTCCTGGGAGTGGTGTCGACGACGAGTGGTGGGGCATGTAAGGCGCTGAAGGCGAGATCGAAAGTGGCCCCACTCCATGGTTCTTCGAAGGAGTTGCAGACGAAGCCATAGTAAGGCTTAGCGAAGGGCGGCTTTGGAGGTACGGGAATCCAGAGCTAGGAGCTGCCGAGGTGCCAAGAATCGAGAACTTTGACTTTGTCGGCGTTCCTGCTGCGGGAATTTGTGGACCCAAGATTGGAGGATGTGTCGAGTAGGATAGTGGTGAGGAAGAACTGTATCCGGGAGATCCTGGGAACTTGCGAGATGCTGCAACTGCTGCAGGTGACCGAGGAATGAACGTTGGCGGTTTTGGTGTAGTGGGGGTCTCCTGCTGTTTGGTATTCGGAGTGATCTTTGAGCCCAGTGTCAGCTTCCTGTCCCTTGGAATCATGATCGACCCTGGCGTTGGCTTAGTGTCAGTCGTGTACAAATGTGTCGGTGAAATCGAGGCGGCTTTGGGCGAGGTGGTTGATGTCGGTAAGGTTTGGGTGGATAATGTCGAGTCCTTTGCACTGGGAAGAAATGAATCCGACTTCTTCTTGCCACCCAGCAACTTGGAGAGAAGCGCCTTTTCTGGGCCTGCCGCTGTAGTCGTGGCACTCGCCGGCGATGCTAATAGTGTAGTTGGTATCGCCACCGGAGTCACAGTCAGAGCCTCGTCCGAAACGGTATTTGCGGGCGCCGTCTTGAGTCCAGGCTCAGTCTTGAAGATGTCTGCCCCAGTTGTGTCCACTGCAGAGTCGACCTTGACCAATGTAGAATCGCGATCCCCGAATGATAAGTTCTTGAGCTCGTCTCCAAAAAGATACTGACCCACAACAGATACACTTGACTCGACAGATGGCAAATCATCTGGTCCCGAATCTCCTGTGCCTTCCCCGCTGTCACTGCTATCCCTGCCTCCGTAGGCCTCTTTATTGTCGGCAGCGGCGGGACCGTGCAACAGCGCTGTCGACAAAATATCGCGATCGCTCTTGAAGTGCCTGAGCGGCGACTTGACTTCTACTCCGTTGTTTCCACCTCCGTCTTCTGATCCTCCTCGAACCTGGGATTCTATCAAGCCCCCATACGCAAGTGTCGCTGCTTCCTGGCGAGAGGCTGCTGCAGAATCCCGAGCAAAGATGTTCTTGGAGGAGATGTGGCTCGCGCTCATTGTCCTCCTCGAGCTTCGTCTCAACAATCCTGAGCGGAATCCCAGACTCAGCCCATGGTGATGCTGACTGCTCGTGCTGCTAGCACTACCACTGCTGCCGCTGATGGATCCTGTGACGATTGTTGTGTTGGCGGTGAACTTTTCGGACCCAGTAAAGCTCTTGCCTAGACTCCGTGATTGCTGTCGCTGGTGTCGATGAGGATGCTTCGGCTGCTGGTGCTCCTGTTGCTGTTGAGCCCCTGCTGCTTCGTCATTGTTGCTCAGGGCTGGTCGATGGATTTGCTGCTGCTGTGATGGAGGGGCGACCGAAGATGTTGATGGCAGACCATTCATTCCGTTGGTAGAGCTGTGATGAGGATGGTGCACTTGCTCTTCCAAAAATGCTGCGAGTGATTGTCTTGGCTTCTTAAAATCGCTCATGCTGCCACCAGTCGCCGCCGTGTCGAGGACATAATAGCTGCTGCTGATGCTGCTGTGGTTGCTGCTGCTTCCTACTGTCGAAGGCCCCAAAGTTGTCATCCCCATGGTGTTGACCGAAGCAAATGTCGATGCAGAATCAGAGACATGGATATGCGATGCCGGAGAGGGTGGTTGGACAGCAACAGTGGGTTCGAACATGGGAGACTTGAAAGGGATCGATAAGGAGCTCCGTCGCGTGTTGTTGAAGTTGGCGAGCATCATGGCGTGGTGCTGTTCGTCAGAAGAGGACTGGATCGAAGAGCTACTCCCGTTCAGGCTGCTTTGCTTGTGTCGGTGGATGCTTGCGATCGAGAGCGACGGAAACTTGAACCGACCCAGCTTCCCCAGTCGCGACGATGTTGACTCTGAGGGCGCGATCGAGGATGTTGTCATTGTTGCCAGAGTTGAACTGTTTGAAGTGATCGATGTATTCAAATGTGACAGATTGGCACCAGGCGAAGATGCACGACGTAGGCCATGGTGCTCCGGGGTTCCCATACTGTTGATGCTGCTACCGGATCCAACACGACCAGGAAGGAGGAACGTCGACGAGTGGCTCTTTCGGGGACCAGAGCCACTGCCATAGAGCTGACGGATCATTAGCTCAGATGGCTCCTCGCCTGTTCCGGTGCTGTAGTGAATCTCCTGTAGCCCCAAATGGTTGTAGAGATTTAGTCGCTCCATGTCTCCTGGCTCGTGGTGGGGGTGCAGTTCCTGAGCAGATTCGACCATATCCGCAATGCTTGGAGGCAAAGGATGTTGATGGCGATGCCGCTGCATTGATGGCAGTGGCATCAGATCGACAATCAGACTTGGTCGACGCCGAAAGCTCTGCGCCGTCAAGGTGTCGACCAGAGACTTGCCGCTGCTCAAGCTGCCTCTGTCCTGCCGATGACGATTCTGAAACCTGCGCAGCGCTGCCATATCTTTGTCCTCCCCTGCTGCAAATCCCGATCCGTCTGCACTATCACGTCGATGCGATTCGCTGTCCAGGCTAATGTCACTGTTGGTCACAGATTGGGCGAATGATGCATCCGGAAACTTGAAAGAGTTGATCTGGCTCCCGCCTAATGCTTCCATGCTAACTCCTACTCCTGTTGCGCCTCCTGTTGAGCTCTGTATCGACCCTTTGGATTTTATGCCGTCATTGGAACTCAAGATGCGGGGCCGATGCAGGAAATGGTTCATGATGCCTCCCTTTTTCTCCTTCTCCTTCCCCAGGGTCGGCTTTCCTGTCTGTCGCTGTGCATGTGGCGGCTGCGATTGCTGCTGCTGAGGAGACTCGTCTGAAGTAGCTGTTATCCCTGGGGTCGGGCCTGTAACTGCATCGATGGTTAAGAGACTGTCAACTGACAGTTGTCGTATCCGCTGTTGGTGTTGGTTCTTGGAGGACGAAGAAGAGAGACCAATGGCCTTGGACAAGCGTAGTCCAAAGTGACTGTGGTGGCGATCCTTGTCCTTTGCGCGCCTTTTGTCGTCCTTGTCTTTGGAAGAGTCGGGAAATTCTTGTTGCGGTTCGCGCTGCTGCAGCTGTTGATGAAGCCGCTGACCCAGCCGAGGGGAGTCTGGTTGATCAATTGACAGCTTGCGGTTGGGTGAGCTCATAGTGGACGAGACAGCGGGTTGGAGGCGCTGAGAGGTTGGAGCGTAGGCTTCCTCAGGTTGGGTGAAAGCGGGTGAAATAAGGGAATGAGATGGTGGAAGAGGAGTAGCCAAGAGTGTCGCTGTTTGTGGTGCGCTATTAGTGTGAGGTGATGGTGGTGCTGGAGAAGGAGGACGTGGCGAGTCGACTAGAGCGGTTGCTTTTTTGTTAGAGATTTTGTATTTGCTGTTTTTGGGGCTAAGGGATCCAAGAAACCCAAGGGTCTTTCCACCAGAGGTCATTGTGGAGATTTTGCGGACGGATGGCGACTCGTTCTTGGTGGACTTGTCGCTTGCAGTAGTGCTGGAGCTTGGTGAACTAGCATGCCGGGAGAGGTTGCTGCTGTTGCTGCTGCTGCTGTTGTTGTTGTTATTGTTGTTGTTATTGTTATTGTTGTTGGCGGGGGTGGTTTTTTGTTCTGTGTCGCTGTCGGTTACGGTGTTGGAGGTAGTATTGGTGTTGTTGTTGATGTCGAGAGTGCTGCTATTATTATTACTAGTAGTAAAAGGGGTATTGGATGCAGGGGTGACGCTGGTATCGAGTGATGTGGTGGTGGTGTTGGAGTTATTTACAAGTGGGTGCGTTGCATTTTCAGTTGTTGATTGGAGCGGAGTAGAAGGAGTGGGTGGCGAACAAGCCGGTGAAGGAAAGGAAGAAAGGTTGTTGGCTTGAGGAGGCGACATGGGTAAAGATGGAGAAGGCTGAGTGAGGGCATAGGTATTGGTGACGGACAGCTGCTCGAGAGGATGGAGTGAAGGAGAAGAGGTAATTGATTGGGAGGTAGTAGCCATTTCTGCCGTCGTTGTGGTCGTTGTTATTACTGCTGCTACTGCTGCTACTGCTGCCGACGGTGGTGTTGGTGTTGTTGTAGCAGTAGTTGCTGTAGTGATGAAGGTGATGGTGAAAGCCTCGATCAGAGGCTCATTAGCAGTTGTTGGCGTCCAAGAGTCGCTGTTGTTGTCCATGACTGCGTGGAGGTCCGGAACCTGGTCGGGAGATATAACGACTGTGGTTCTGACAGTACGTTCATCGCTTTCCTCAGAACGACGTGCCACTTGTTGCTATTCCTTTCGTTGTCCCTCCTCCGAGATGGTAGCAAAAAAGGGAGAGAGAGAAAAAAAAAGGGGAGGTGTTGACGGGAATAATGTAAACAGGAACAGAAAACGTTCGCTATGTGCACATATATGAAATAAAATATAAAAAAATGGAATGCATAAGCAACTTGAATGAATGAACGAATGCAGGATACAAATCCTAACAACATCACACACGAGAGGTACACAGGAATTATAAAAATAAAGCAGTGCTCTTCTATGTCAAAAGACAGGATCCTTGTTTTTTTTTTTAATAACTCTTGTTTGTGAGTTGCATACGTGTGTTGTATTACCTTCTTCTTTCAGTCCCTGAACGGAGAAGGCGAGTCTATAGCTACGCTGGAGAGAGTATTGCCAAAGTCAACGTGGCGATGAGTGTGTTTGCGAAGGAATGAATGAATGGCAGCGAGGCTAATGGATTGACAAAGGAGAAAGAGAGAGAGTTTTGATCAGTCCAGTGATAGCATCGCCAAAGAAAGGTGAAACCGAGTCTGTCACGCTCACACCAATAGGATGCGAGCATCCCACAAGAGAGCGCGTCCATGTTCCCGTGCCTGGCAACTCGCACACCACCCAGAAGGCACGTCTCATCAAGAACAGTCTCCACCCTCATCGCAATGGCATAAGGCATCCAGCAAAATTTTTCTCTGATTGTGCATTCACTTGAGATCTCCTTCCCCTGAACTCTCATCACCGCCTTTGACTCCTCTTTTTTGTGTATTCCTCTTTTCCGTACCGCCCTCTAGCCTTTTACCCCTCCGTTCTGTGCCATTTCTCGACAGCTTGCCAGTCACATAAACAATCTCGATATAATCATATATCAACTCCGTGCGAAGGCAGGAGACAGGCATGAAGGGGTCCCGATGGGAGTAATGGCATGGATTCTGAAGGATGTACACTCCCATAGTATGAACGGGCAAATGCAATAAAATAGTCTCCATTCTGTCTCCAACAAAAAAAAAAAAAAAAAAAAAAAAAAAAGAGGTGGTCTCAGGGTGAAGAAGGGGGAGGACAGTCCAAAGCAGGGTACTAAACTTGCAAAGCCATGTCACCAAGCACAATGATGAAAGGAAAAGTAGGTCCTGGAAGAAGAGAGTGCGTGTATTAGCCATCTGTTCAGATGCTGGGAGAAGCATCAATTTAAGAGGGAAGGCAAGGATGGGAACGGGGAAAGAAAAAGGGATAAAAAAAGGAGGTGGGCGGCGGGATAACTCTCAAGTCCCGCACACTTCAGCCTCCAGACAGAATGAAAAACAGACACACAGAATGTGCTATAAAAACAGAACGGACAAATGTGAGTCGAGCAGAGATGGAATTTTTGTTCAGTGGTGGTGGAAAGAGAGAGGAGTGGTTGCATAGTGTGGCAAGAGCCAAGAAAATCCGTTGTGAAGGAGATTTTTGTTTAGGGATAAAGTTACCCAGGAGGTAGACTAGATAGGAGATGGTTGGGTTTGCAACTCTGGTTTCCGTTCTTTGGGGTGTGTAGGACAGGCAAGCTGCCAGTGTAAAAGACGTATATCATAGGCAAAGAAGAGCGATCTAGAACACGAACGACGAGAGTTGGCGGTAATGGAGCCGAGAAGGAGAAAGATGAAGAGAGAGGACGAAGGAGAGAAAGAGGGAGAGAGAAGAATGTACCCGAACCAAGACAAGGGCAAATTGTGTAGGTTTTGGTTGTGGCATGGATCTGGTATTTGGTTATCAAGAAAGAAAAAGGTATAAGGTGCAGAAGTGAAAGGTGGACCATAAGTGGATGCAGAAGTGAGGAGACAGGAGAAAGAGAAAGCTGAGTACTGGGAGCGGTATACAGGGCGAGGATGATAATAACGCAAAGCGTGTGAGCACTCAAGGCATGGTCGCGTCGAGACTAGACGGAGAACCTCACTCTCTTTTTTTTTCTCTCTCCGTCACCCTTATCCTCGACATTGACGACAGGCAATGGAGGGCAATATGCTTACTCGGCCCTTTGAAATGAAATTCAGACTAAAAAAGAACTCGACTCGATCTCGTTACCGTTTCTGCAGCGAGATGCTTTGTCAATGCAATAAAAAGCAAGCAAACGGGCACAAGACAGAGAAAGAGAATATTCAAAAGGTGGTCCCTCCTTCCCCTATTGCCCGTCGTCTCTCTCTCTTCTGTCGCATTCGTCTTTTTCTCTCTCACACACACACTCTTTTCTCTGTTCATCTTCCCCTTCCCCCCTCCCAGTGTTTTTTTTTCAACCGCATGCATATGTCTTGTTTACAGGTGATAGAAAAGAGGTTCAGAGTAAGAATTACTTAACGCGATTCTACATTCAGCCGTGTTGCATCTCCTTTACCGGTCCAACCAAAAAAAAAAAAAAAAAAAAAAAAAAAAAAGAGGAATGCCCTCAAAAAAAAAATGAGCAGAAGAGGGGAACAGTGAAAAAACAAACGGTACTTGGCTCTAAAAAAAACGGTTATCAGTAATCACACCGATACAAGAATGTGTATCTTTGTCAAGTACGTATCGACGATGAGTAAGAGGTGCGGAGCAGAGTCGAGAACCATAATCAAAAGGGGAACCTCACGGTATCCAAGGAAAAGCAATGTCGTTGGGCTGCGAGGAAGTTGAAGGAGGAAGAGGAGGAGGAAGAGGAGGAGGCGACAGGAGTGAGCAATCCAAATACAAACAACAAATGGAATTTTGAAAAGGGAGTGTATAGAAAGGGGGATACAAAGAGAGGAGAAGAGTGACAAGAAAGGGAGCGAGGAAAGAGAGAAAGTCGCATATGGAGGCAATGTGGTGAAAGGGTCAGGGATAAGAGAGGGATAGATATATAGAAGGAGGGGAGAGGAAAAGAGAGAGGCAGAGGGGAGCTGGATGGACTAAAGCCCGAGAATGTGAAATGGACCATCGCCTCAGTAACGAGCAGCGACAAGGCGAAGAGGGAGGGCGGAGGGAATGAGAAATAAGCAGAGATGTAGAGTGTGAGAGAGGAAGGGGAAGGAAAGGAAGAGACATATGTATACAGAGAGATAATTGGTTGAGCAGAGGAGAGAGTTCGAGTGAGTAGTGAGTGAGAGATGCGAGTGGGAAGGAGTACGATGGAGTAAGGGAGGATGGATGTGGAATGGTATGGGGTTCAAATGATGATGTGCAATAGAAAATAAAAGAGAGAGAAATGATGTGAAGGGTGGTACGATCGACCAATTTTTTGAGAGATGGATCGGAAAAAATAATGAGTGAGTGAATGAGCGAGGAATGAGGGTGAGGGTGGGGGTAAGAGAGGATGCAAAGAGACAGTCAGTTACTCACCTTGTGAGGTAGGATATTAGGTGTGTGTGTGTGTAAGAGATGGTGTGTTGGTGACAAGGATGAGGAGGAGGAGGAGTGCAAGTGAGTGTGCGCAGATCTTTGATATGAAAGATGAGAGCGTCAATAAAGGAAGAGGGAAGAAAGAAGAATGAAGGAAGTGGGAAGCAAGAAAGAAAGGGAAGGGAAAGAAAATAGAAGTAAGAGAGAGAAGGGGAGAGACGAGAAGGAGAGAAGAGAGAAGAGAGACGAGAGAAGAGAGACGAGAGAAGAGAGACGAGAGAAGAGAGAAGAGAGAAGAGAGAAGAGAGAAAAGAGAAGAAAGAAGAAAGAAGAGAAAAAAAGAAACTTGATCGACAGACTTTGAGAGCAAAAGAGAGAAATGAAAATATGATCAAAAAACAACAACGCAAGTAAAAGGTATAATGCACAAACAAACATAAAATGAATAAAGAAAAACAAGGGTTATGTGGATGGATGAAAGGGAGTGTGATTGAAGAACAAGGAAAGGGTACACTTGAACCAGGGGGTGAGTAGGCAGAGCAACTTTTAAAAGAAAGGCTTTCAATGGCTTACTTTTACCTGTACACATTGACCACTCAAATGTCAACGCAACGAACAAACGAGCATGGTAAACAAAGAAGCGGAAGAAAAAAATCAACGACGCATACAGGTTCTTGTCGACGCCTTTTCAACTCGAAATACTATTCTCCCACTTCAACCTCGTGGCTCTTTTTTTTTTTTCATTCGTACTTTGTTCTTTCTGCATCTGCTCACTCCCGTCCTCCCTTTTCCACTCCTCCTCTTTCTCCCAGTCTCCCCCTCCCCCTTACTTCTCCTTCATGCCCCCTCTTTGCCTTTATTCATCCCTCGAATATCATGAGCGGGCAGGAAGAAGCATGGCAGAAAATAACAAGTGCAATCGTAAACAAATAGATAAAAAAAACGTTCACTATCGAACCGAAAACAACGTTTAATGCGGCCCATAGATCCAACGATCGTCGTGAACGCATCAAAGCCCAGCTTTTCCTTTTTGCTCCCATTCTGAACGTGATTCATTTCCCGATGCTCTCACTCCCTACTCCACAAAAGAAGATACCGCTGCCCTTTTGTTTTTTTTCTGTTTGGGGCGTTGATATTTTTTGTTTCCATCTCAATCGCTCATACTTCTTCTCTTCACAATGGCTACACGAAACAGACTCTTCTCTTGGTGTCCAGATCATTGGGCGATCCTTCCTCCTCACATTCCACTCATTTCTCACTCACTGAAACTACCCATGAATCACTTCCCTCTCCGCAAACCGGTGTTGTTGCACAGCTCTGTCCTTTAATTTCCTACCCTTCTTCCACCCTGACCTTGCTCTGGACACCCGTTCGATCCAATTGCCTTGCACTCAATTAAGGGACCAAGACAAACAGAGCAATGCGCGTGCCACCAGGGCGCTATTATTTTCCCAACCTCCCTTTTTTGAGTATGCAATTGCTCAGACTTTCACTCTTTTCCCAGCACCTCTACCTTGACCCTTACCCCCTACTTTCTGCAGCCTTACTTTGCAGCTGCATTTGTACCATGTCCGTGGAGGCATGAAAGGTCGGGGCGCTCATTCGAACAATAAACAAAAACGGAACTGGAGCGTGACTGGATCGGGACTGGAGTTACTGGCTAGCTGTATTTCGGGAAAACGAAGGGCAACCACATACCTACACTTCATGCTACGCCACGCTCACGCCCTAGTCAATGTTGTTTATCGGCTGATGGCCCGGGTCTCTCTCACTCTCTCACCTTCTCTCTCACACACACATACACATACACACTCTTCTTCTTCAGCCACCCCCTATACCTTTCGTTTTTTTCTTCACGGTCGGACACCATCAACAAAAAAAAAAAAAAAAAAAAAAAAAAAAGACCCTGTTGATCCTATCTACGGACCCAAATGCTACTGTTTTGCCAGGGTGTCCTTTTTTGCGTCGTTCGTCATTATGCCGAATCACATTTTATTTTTGTTCGCAGTAAAGAAGAAACCGATGATGAGGGGAGGAATGCACAGGTGAGATGACAAGTAAGCCGCTTGGGCGTAAATTCGGCGCGTGGCGGTGAGGAGAATAGTAGAAAGGAAGCAACCAACGGAGGAAGGTGACCCGGCCAAGTCAAAAGAGGGGGTAATGCAAAGTTGCAAGAAGGTATGGGACCCTTGGATAAAAAAAAAACTGGGAAATCGGGGAACTGGAAAAAAAAATGGACCAATGATGGTGATGAAGAAATGTACACAGACCACATACACTGGATGCGATTCAACTCGTCGCCCTCTTTCGACGCTCCTCGAATGATAAACAACAATTGTAGTCATCGATAAAAGAGAGAGAAAGAAAACCACAAACGGACCAACACGACATAAAAAACAATAAACAGGCCCAAAAATGCAATCATCACCATAGGGATAGATGACGAAGAAAGGAAGTGACAAGAAAAGGGGGAAGTGAAAAAACAAGTGTCATCATTTTCGATTAAAGACCTAAACCCACGCCTCACTCAACAAATTCTTGTCTTTTAGTCTTATTTTTTACTTGTGAAAATTACTGATTGGTTCAAATGGAAAGAGTACAAAACAACACACCTTTTTCAATCATCGCGTGACTCAAACTCCTTCTTGACGCGTCGCAAGAAGTCCGGGTCCAAAATACACTCAACACCTGTCATGGCCAGAGCCTTGGACGCCCTCAGTGTCGCGGTATGAGCAACCGGTGTAGCTGCTGCTGCTGCAAATTCGACCGTATGAAGCCCACCGGGGGCGTCGATTCCCTCGAGGTTGATAATGTTGAACATGGGATGGATTCCCGGGATCGCGTGGGTGATGTTGCCCATGTCGGTCGAGCCAGAGAGTTTCGATTGTTGTTGGGCCTTGCTTGCGTATTTCAATCCCTGGCTGTTCATCCATTTCTCAAATCTGACTACCAACTGCTCATTCGTCAAAATATCTGCAAACGACGAAGGAAATGGATAAAAAGAGAGTAAAGTAAATACGCGATTGTTTAGACAATCAATTGCGACCATGAATACAAGGAAGTGTCACACGCGTGTACGGAGTAGACATAAGAGGTTACCTTGGAGGTGGCCATCCCAGTGGTACTTGACTTGACAGCCCGTGGACTTGGCGGCAGCCTCAAAGATCTTGTTCACCCTCCTCTTCAACTCTTGAACCTGCGCATCCTTGGGTGCCCTCACCCTATAAAGACTCTTTGTATACTGCGGGATGATATTTGCCGCCTGTCCACCAACCTCGATAATTCCATGCACCCGCTGGTCAGGCCTCATCTGCTGTCGCATCAACGCAATTCCCGTATAGACCTGCATCGCCGCGTCCAGGGCATTGATCCCTTCCCAGGGGGTTGTTGACGCGTGCGAGGCCTTGCCAAAGAACTCTACTGTGGCCTTTTCGAGTGCTAGGAACGGGGTGTAAATCACGTCAGCATTGGCGCCGTGAAGCATCATGCAGACGTCGACGCCCTCAAAGTCTCCGGCGTTAAGCATGGTGACTTTTCCATAGTCTTGTTCTTCAGAGGGGGTGCCAAAGAGCTTGATCTGTGCTGGTAGGTTGAATTGGCGGATCACCGCCTGCAAACCCAACGCTGCCGCCAGTCCACTATAATGATTTTTTTTTGGCAAGAAATAATGTTAAAAGATTTTGAGACCTCAATGTCGTGAAGTGGGTGCCAGTTATACCGATGAATTGTGAATGTACCTGATGGCAATGAGGTTGTGCGCGCAGGCGTGAGAAGTGGTCTGCTCTGTCGAGCCAGGCTTGGACAGCGGCAACGCATCGTACTAATATCGTTCAAGGTTTGATGTAGCAACTTGTGTTAGAGTGTCACTTGCAGACATGGTTACCGTAACAGGAAATAATCCCATCCGCCACTCCGCAAAAGTAGGGACCATCACTTCCCACGATCAATTTGCTCGTCGCATTAATATCAAACAAAACATCTCAAGGGCTTTACTTCGGAACAAAGACCAATGACAAGTTTACTGGAGGGGTCACCAAACTGTGCAATGAACGCCGTCTTGAGCTCTGGGGCGGCACTCTTTCCAATCGTGAACCCTTTCGAGGAGAGGTACTCTGTCAACCATGTGTAGGCCTTGAACTCCTTCAACCCCAGCTCTGGATTCTCGTGGATCTAATTTTCACACAAATAAAGGGTTATTAGGCTATTTGGTGTGGTTATTTGGCCTCAAGTAGTGGGATGATGGAGGCCGGGATGGTTGGGTGGTTGTGACAGGGTATTGGCTCCACAGTATGAGTGAGTATAGCGATGAGGGAGGAGAACGAGCACTCACCTTGAGGCTGAGGGAGCGGAGCTCTTGTGAGGCAGTCTCAATGGCCTCGTCGATGCATTTCGCATACTTGTTCGACAGCCATGCTGTTCCTGCATCCGACGTTGTTGTTGTGTTTGTTGTTGGGTGTGATTGGACCATGGAGTTGTAAAACGTTGTGAGGTAGCGGTTTGGAACTTGGGAGTGAATGAGTAAGGTAGTGAGAGAATGTGAAAATTGTAAACTGAACCAAAGGGAAAACTGTAACTGTTGCTCCTTCAAAATGACTCCTAACGGACAGAACGTCACGGGTTAGTGGCGCCGGAGGATAGATAATACATGCATTTTTTTATTACTTTTTACTGCGACTTGTTGAAGTCTTCGAGAGAGACTATTCTAGTCCTTCTTGAGGTTGGCCTTGGTCAAGGTGACCAACTCCTCGGCACTGGTGGGGTGAAGAGCAACCGTGCTATCAAAGTCGGCCTTGGTGGCACCCATCTTGAGGGCAACAGCAAAACCCTGGAGCATCTCGTCGCTTCCCTGTCCGACAATGTGGATACCAACAACCTTCTCCTCAGGTCCAGCACAGACAAGCTTGAAGGCAGAGGGGGTCTTGTGTGTCTTCATCGCATTGTACAAGCCCGAGAACTTGGACACATACACGTTCAGGTTCTCGGCACCGTATTCCTTCTTGGCCTGCTCCTCAGTCAAACCAACAGCTCCAGCGGTAGGGTGAGAGAAGATGACCGAGGGCACGTTTCTGTAATCTAGCTTCGAGTTCTTGAACTGCTCAGGTCCGAACAGGCGATCCGACAAACGACGACCAGCAGCGATAGCGACTATTATTAAAATGCCAAATGAAAAAGGTCGTTAGTACTGTATGCTCTGTCATGACGGTACATATTCCCCCTTTGTGAGTGTAATAAATGCAAACATCAATATGCGCAAAATCATGGAATAATTGAGAATAGACATACCAGGGGTCAATTGCTCAATTCCGCAGACATCTCCGAGGGCATAAACACCGGGGATAACTGTTTCCTGGTAGTCGTCAGCAACGACGTATCCCTTCTTGTTGATGGTGACGCCAGCCTTGTCAACTGCAAGCTTCTCGAGAAGAGGTTCACGACCGATGGCCCAGAGGACGGTGTCGTATTCTGCGGTGGCGTTCTTGTTGTTGGAGGTGTAAGAGAGGGTGATGGCCTTGTCGTCGGCCTTTGAGAGGGAGGTGACGGCGCTGTTGGGGACGATGTCGACGCCAACCTTGATCATCTCGTCGCGGAGGGTCTCCTTGATAATGGGGTCGAATGAGCGAAGGATCTCCTCGGTTCTCGAGAAGATTGTCACCTTTGATCCTATTGATTTTGTGACTTTTAGTGATTAGTGATCAACCCTTTTCATCTGATTAATCAGAAACGTGCTACTGGTGGAGCAATTGGTGCAATATTCCCTTACCGAGAGCGTGGAAAATGCCGGCCAACTCTACACCAATATAACCGGTTCCGACAACAGCAACGCGCTTGGGCTGATGCTCCAGATCAAAGAAACCATCGCTGTCAATCCCCAACTCTGCTCCAGGAACCTTGGGGATCGTAGGGCGACCACCTAATTTATGATACAAGCAACAAAATATATTAAAGTTAGCGCAGTCCTTTTGTATCATTATTTGGCAATGAGATCCGAAAAGTAAACAAAAGAAGAAAGACATACCGACGGCGATGAGGATCTTCTTGGCGTGGATCTTCTCGCCGTTGCCGAGGGTGACGCTGTCGTTGGAGACAAAGGAGGCCATGCCGGTGATGTATTCGACACTATCCTTCTCGAGGTTGCGCTCATAGATTCCGTTGAGACGCTTGATGTAGGCGTCTCTCTTGTGCTTTAAGGTGTTCCAGTCAAAAGTGGCTGGGCCAACCTCAGGGAATCCGTACTCCTTGGCATCATGAATAGCCTCAGCAATCGAAGCTAATGAGGGTGAATGAATGACGCAAGTTGTTAGTTCTTGCTGCGAGTTCAATTGGTATCCGTGTGAATGCTGTGGATTCTAGTCCATTGTCGAGAAACACTTTTTTTCTGTTTCGCTGAACCAAGGACAAAGTCTTACGATCCCGGTGTTATCCTTCTTTCTTTTGCTTTTTAGCACACAAAGTCCTTATCCTTGAACAAGCTAACGATCCAGGAACGATATCAAGAGACACTCCTTTCCTGTCTGCCTCTTAGCGCCACAGAAAACGTATTTATCTTTACACAGACCCATTGCAGCCAACAGCTACTCCAACAAGAAGAAAGTGTAACGTACCGGTGTTCCACATGACCTTTTTAGGGACACATCCGACGTTAACACAGGTGCCTCCGAGACGGCCACTGCCCTCAATCAGAGCGACCTTGGCGCCATACGAAGCAGCGCGACGAGCAGAGGCGAGACCTATTCCAGCAAGGAGTCAAAATCAGATACGCATGAGAATTTGAGCATGGTGAGAGCATGGAAGTTTGGCTACGCGAGAGAAGAATGGTGCGAAGCAGCGCAATAGTATGTGCGTATTACCGCCAGAGCCGCCTCCGATGACGAGGTAGTCGTAAATGGTTCCAGTGGGAGGCATTTTGAATGAGTGTGCGAGTTGGAGGAGACGACGAGTAGGGGATGCCAGGATGGGTAGAGTCTTGAATTCAAGAATAGGATCCGATGTCGAGCTTGTGATGAGGCGACGGGAATCCGGGAGAGGCTTGAAAGGAGAGTTAGGGTGGGTGGTGTAGTTGGGGCGAATGAATGAATGAAAGGAGGAAAGAAGGAAGGAAGGGAGCACCGAGGTTCGATCTTTATGTTCTTTTATTTTTCAGACCTCGTTGCGCGCAGTGCTCGGAGTATGGCGTATTTCGAGAGATGATTTGTCAGTCACCCACTCCGATGGAAAAAGAGAGAAGCGTAAAAAGCGTAAAAAGCGCAGGCAGGCCAGGGCAGGGCTCGGTGGCAACTGCTCTTTTTTCTTACTCAGAGTGGACTGTACTTACTTGTTATCATTATCATACTACGCGACCTTGCTCCTTTCAATCGATCGAACGAACCACTGCTTCGCTCCCTCCTTCAGTCCTACTGTACCTTCCTCCTTCTTCGCGTACCCCGACTTGTCTTGAGATTCAAATCTCGAATCCAAAATCGCAGGATCATGTGACTTGTGACTTGTGACGATGGTCTGAGTTTGGGCCACTCACTCATTCGGCCGCTCCATGGATCGTGCGCACCTCTGACTCTCCTTTTATTCTTCGTCTTCCTCTTCCTCTTCCTCTTTCTTTCCTCTCCTTCTTCCTCACCCTCTCCTCCCTAACCACTACTTTCACAAACACTTCCTCTCTCTTTCTCAAACAGCAAACAAGCAATCAATCATGAATTTCACCGAGGCAGATAGCAAAGCCATCAACACCATCCGTGTCCTTGCCGCCGATATCGTCTTCAAGGGCAACTCTGGCCACCCTGGTTCGTCCTTCTTCCCTTTAATGTCACTTCATATCATCGCACATCTATTTGCGCCTTGATTTGGCTTTTTTTTTTTTCTCACGACTCACACTCCTCTTTTTCATTCCGTCCCATCGCATTTGCTAAATAGGTGCACCTATGGGTTGTGCCCCCTTGGCACACTTGTTGTTTTCGCGTTACATGAACTACAACCCCAAGAACCCCAAGTGGGTAAGTAATATTGTTTTCTTTCTTTATATGTGTGTTTGGGCGTTGTGTCTCTTCTCTGTGCGTATTGGGATGGGTGAAATTAAGAGACGGACAGGGAGAGAAAGAGAAAGAGAAAGAGAAAGAGAAAGAGAAAGAGAAAGAGAAAGAGAAAGAGGGGGGTGGGGGACCACAACTACCACAGGATTTGCCTGGTTCCAAATACCATGTCACGCCCTATCTCACTCTAACTATTTTTCTCACACTCAATCACTCAATCATTGACGTTAGGCTAATCGCGATCGATTCGTCTTGTCGAACGGACATGCATGTGCCCTGCAGTACATCCTCCTCCACTTGACCGGCTACCCCACTACGATGGAGGACTTGAAGCAGTTCCGTCAGTTGAACAGCAAGTATGTTTCTACTCAACAATTGTTATCCCTTTATGATATCCTTGTTTGTTTGTTTGTTTGTTTGTTGTATGAACATCACTATTATCATCATCACGCCAGATCGATATGGGAAACGTTCTCCCACATAGCGAATGGGATGGGCTCCTTCTTTCATTCATTCATTCATATACACGCCTATTTGCTTTGCTTGCGCCCACTGTGTCTATGTCTATGCAGGACAGCACATAAAAAGAGCAGTCTGCATCGGACCCTTGAGAAGGGGCTCAGACCATGACCAATCAGGGCTAGAGAACTTTCTCCCCGTCATAGTTACACATGCATACACACATATGATATATTTGTCACCCACCAATATTCCTATGCAAAGCCTCTTCTGTCCGGGAAGCCAGTTCATTTTGCTTACCATCGGAGACACAACGCAACATAACACTCAGAGCGGTTTGCCTTCGCGATTACAAGTTCTAACCAGCGATGCTCCTCTCTCTTTACCTCTCTCTTTTCTTTTAGGACCCCTGGCCACCCAGAGTCACATATTACCACTGGCATTGAGGTCACTACTGTAAGTGATGGGGCGGGGCGTATTTGTATGTACCAGAGCTAAATTATTGTACCCTCATGCGCAGCCCCATTGTATCATGCTCACATCACCTTTTTGTTCTACACTAAACCATTCCTTAGGGCCCTCTTGGTCAAGGTTTCGCCAACGCGGTTGGCCTTGCCATTGCCGAGGCTCACATGGCTGCCACCTTCAACAAGCCCGGCTTCGAGATCTTTAACAACTACACCTTCATGATCGCCGGTGACGGATGCTTGCAGGAGGGTGTCGCCAGTGAGGCTGCCTCTCTCGCCGGGTACGTCACATCTGTGTCAACTGTAGCGAAAGGGTCGCCATATGTGACTAGTTCGCGATGGCTAACATACATCCATTACTCGCTCCACCTAAAATAGACACTTGAAGTTGGGAAAGTTGGTTGCGTTCTACGATGATAACCACATCTCGATCGATGGTGATACCCAGGTCTCGTTCACCGAGGATGTCGCCAAGAGATTCGAGGCCTACGGCTGGCACGTCATTATCGTCAAGGACGGAAACCACGATCTTGAGGCGATTGCCCGTGCCATTGAGGAGGCCAAGAAGGTCACCGACAAGCCCTCGTTAATCAAGGTTTTCACCACCATTGGATTCGGATCCCTCAACCAGGGTACCGAGAAGGTCCACGGATCACCCCTCAAGGCCGACGACATTGTCCAGCTCAAGAAGGCCTTTGGCTTCAACCCCGAGGAGCACTTTGTTGTCCCCAAGACCACCTATGATCTCTACCATGCCAAGGCCGAGAAGGGAGCCAAGGTCAACCACGAGTGGGATGCCCTCCTTGAAAAGTACACTGGTGCCCACCCTGAGCTCGCTGCTCAGTTGAAGCGACGTCTTGCCAAGAAGTTGCCCGAGGGTTGGGCCAAGGAGCTCCCTCGCTTCACGCCTGCGGACAAGGCGACTGCGACCCGCAAGCTGTCGGAGGCAGTGTTGAACAAGATTGCAGATATTTTGCCCGAGTTGATTGTAGGATCGGCTGATTTGACAGGATCGAACTTGACTCGATGGAAGAATGCTGTTGACTTCCAGCCCAATGATTCGGGTATTGGCAACTACGCTGGTCGGTATATCCGCTATGGTGTCCGCGAGCACGGAATGTCTGCAACCATGAACGGTATCGATGCCTACGGTGGCTTGATCCCCGCCGGTGCCACCTTCCTCAACTTTATCTCTTATGCCTCCGGTGAGTCCTCCTTCTCTTAATTTAATCATTAATATCAGTGACTGATACCTTTTACTAATGATTTGTTTCATATATAACCAACTATTACCAAGGTGCTGTCCGCCTGTCCGCTCTAACCGGCCACCGCATCATCTACATCATGACCCACGACTCCATCGGTACGTCTCTTTGCTCTTTTCTTATTTATTCACACCTCGGCACTCATAGCACTGTACTCCTATGATCACACCCAACTCATATACTCTTGATTCCACAAACATGTAACAATAATAGGTCTGGGTGAGGATGGTCCTACTCATCAGCCTATCGAGACAATGGCCACGATCCGCGCAACCCCTAACTTGATCGACTTCCGCCCTGCCGACGGTAACGAGACCTCAGGAGCTTACCTTTATGCCATCGAGTCCAAGAACCGCCCCTCTGTCTTGGCCCTGACCCGTCAGGATTTGCCCCAGTTGGAGGGAACGTCGATTGAGAAGACCCTCAAGGGCGGATATGTTCTCCAGGAGGTCCAGGGAGCCGATGTCACCCTAGTCGCCACAGGATCCGAGGTCTCGCTCATTGTCGACGCTGCCAAGTTGTTGAAGGAGCAGGGCATCAAGGCGCGTATTGTCTCGATGCCCTCGACCAAGCTCTTTGACGAGCAGTCTCATGACTACAGAGCCTCGGTCTTGATTGATGGCGTTCCTTCTGTCTCTGTCGAGGCGCTGGCAACATTTGGATGGGACCGCTATGCACACGAGTCGATTGGTATTGACACCTTCGGATCGTCGGGCCCTTACAAGGATGTCTATAAGTATTTCGGACTTGTCCCCGATGTTATTGCAGGCAAGGTCCAGAAGGTTGTTGCCTTCTACAAGAAGGAAGGTTCCGTTCCCTCCCTCGTCCGCAAGTACTTCCACTAAATCAGTGTGGTCAATTGCATGACAATGATGTTGTTTTGAAACGACGACAAAAACCTCACCAACAACAAAACACACATGTACAGAAGCGAAACGATCGTTTGTTTGTGAATAAAAAATATATTGGGTTTTCAATGGACATGGATGTAGCAGCTCGTTCTTTAAGGTTGTTGTTTGAGATGGTCCATAGGATGTTTGAGATGGTCCAAGGGTGTGGGGGGTCCTGGACGGGTATAGCTCTAGGCCCAACATAATTGAGTTAGTTGGTTCTCCAAGGCAAGAGGACCATGCATTGACATACACGCATGAACATCTTCCAATGACAACCACGCTTTTGTGGACAAATTCACACCCCTTCTTTCCTTTGTTTTTCGTTGTCTTTCATTGCCATTGCTGATTCTCTTTTTCTCTCTCTCTCTCTCTCTCTCTCTCTCTCTCTCTCTCTCTCTCCACATGCACCTATACAACAATCAGCACAATGGCTTCCATCCACCCTCTCAAACTCCCCGAAATCATCACCCTCGTCGGCAACTTCCTCCCCCTCTGGTCCCAAGAACGCGCCCAAGGAACGGGTCGTCTAAAACTCGTATTCCTCCCCAAAACCTTTCACACTTGCCTCCTCGTCTCCAAAATCTGGCACGACACTTTAATCCCCCTCCTTTGGTCCTACTATGAAGCCGAAGCAATGGAAATTGTCCCCCTCCCCATCTTGACGCGATACAGTATCCACTTCAGGACCTTTCGTCAGTATCGCGGATTCGGGAGTCGGGCTCTTGATAGTTTTGGATGTAAGGGAGTCGTCAAGGCGATGCTGAGCCCGGAGACGATCGAGGAGTTGGAAGAGTCGCGACGGATGATGAGGGATAATGGTGGTGGGTTGAAGGAATTGGAGTGGTATGGGCCGACGGGATCGACGTTGAGGGTAGAGGATTTCGCGGGGTTGAGGAGTTTGGAGAGGCTGAAGTTGTCGAGGTGGAAGGTGGATGGGGGTCAGCTTTGGAGGGTGCTGGAGATGTTGGTGGGGTCTTTGAGGGTCTTGGAGATTGATTGGCTTTCTGGTGTCGATGACGATGAAGGAGATGTACAAGGGGCTGCAGTGATACTGCCATTGTTGGAAGCATATCACGCCAGTGGTCCTCCTTTTGGCCATGACCCCGCCAATTTTGTCAAGCGGTGTCCCAATCTGGTACGATCTGTCTTATCACTGGACGCGGGCAAGGGGTTCTACAAGGACGACAACAAGGATATCACACGTCTCGCGGACAGCCTTCGTACCCATTGCCCCAACCTTCGAGCCCTAACCATCAATGGATCCATCCCTCCAGACCAAAAAGCAATTCTTATCCGGAACTGTACATCCATCCCGAGTAGCAGCAGTCTTTTGGAACTCGTCGTCGATGTACAAAGTATGGGCAAGGATCTCATGGACTCGATTTTGATTCATGCGCCGACCGTGGAGACTCTAGGCACCCTCACCTCGACTAGGAATATTATGATGGAGCAGCTACTCCAGATCCCGGTGCAGTGCCCTCGACTGAAATGGTTTGCGGTCCATGCGATCTACATCCGCGAATCGGCGTGGTCTACTCTGGGCGCACTCAAGGCAACTGCATGGCAGAGTTCGGCCATGGAGATCTTGGACCTGGACGCTGGAGACCCTAGCGAGGCATGGGTGAAGGGTGAAGTCTTCATACTGAAGGATTTGTTTGCGAGTGGTCCGATCCTGGGCTGGTATTTCCACCCGAAGGAGAAGTTGTTGTCGTGTAGCGATGATGATGTGTTTTGGAGTGAGGCGTTTGCGCGGGAGCTGTTTGAAGCGGTCCGGGGGTTGGCGAAGTTGAGGATATTGAGGTGGTGTGGGAATGTATTTATGCGGTCGAGCTTTTATGATGGGGCATACACACCCTTGCTCTATTGAAGCCACTCTTCTGTGCTTCAAATAAAAAATATCTGTTGACAGACAAAAGTGGACTCAAAATTGGTTTGCTTTGCTTTACTCTCTCTCTCTCTTCAAGAATTCACACGCTCGCACTTTCTTCCAATAACACGCTCGCACTTTCTTCCAATAACACGTTTCCCATTCCTCGAAACAAACACAATGTCGCCTGTGCATCTCCTCGAATTACCCGAGATCATCGAATGCCTCGGCCACTTTCTCCCTCTCTGGAATCAGGAAAAGCATCAAGGTGGTGCGACAAGGATAGTCTTTACGCCCAAGACGTTTATTGGCTGCCCACTCGTCTCGAAACTCTGGCACAGCACGTTACCGACCCCCTAGTCAAGCAGGATCGACTTTTTTAGCTACCTGTCCGATACCCCCGCCTCAAACGGGTTTCTGTCGGCGCATTGTATTATTGTGAAACTGGACCTGCTGTACTGGACGCTATCAGAACGGCAGCATGGTGAGGGATAAACAACTTGGAGGTTCTTGATCTGGACATTGGAGACATCTAAGCGAGCCTATGCCAGTACTGTTCAAGAGATGTTCGAGGATGGACCTATGATGGGCTGGCATTATCATGCCAGGAGTTCGACTGCTTCATACAGGGCTGATGTTCGTATGAGTAGAGCCTTTGTGGAGGACATGTTCAGGTCCGTGGCGGGTCTTGAGAATCTTCGGATGTTAAAGCGGTGCATGGTTGTCTTTACGCGGTCAGGCCGTCCAACTGGAGCTAGGTTTGTAAGACTTCCGTTCGTCCATGACCATGACTAGATATGCCTTTTTGTTTTACTTTTACGCCGAAGAACAACAAAGGTTCTTTGTTATTTGCTTGATCTTTTTTCGACCATTGGACAGAACGAGATCTGGGCTCTCGCATGAAAGCAAGCATGCATGCTGTTGTTGTTCCCTTTTCCGCCCTTTTCTCTGTCCCGGCTCTGGTACAAACCCCCTCTTCACGCCCTTCCCTTGTCTTTTCCTTTCACAACACCACTCACCCTCGACCCCTACGCTTGCAAGCAGACGATAAATAAAAAACAGAGTTCTTCTCTTTCACAATCAACCTTTTTTTCTTGTTCCATTGCTGTTCATCCTCTTCAACAACAACCATGCCACCTTCCCACCCTCTCGACATCCCCGAGATCCTCACTCGCATTGGCCTCTTCCTCCCTCTCTGGGTCGACAACAACAACAACAACAACAACAGCTTCAGACCAACTTCAGAACAACACACACGCTTCGAACCCCATACCTTCCTGACCTGTGCCTCGGTGTCCAAAACATGGCGCCAGGCCTTTCTTCCCCTCCTTTGGCACCGCTACGACTGTATCCTCATGAAATTCGTCCCCCAGGAGACCGTCGCTACCAACAGCCCACACTTTCGAGTCCTGCAGATCTTTGGCAACGACGCTACCGCCTTCCAGTGCGTCGACTTGGTTGACCTGACCATCAGGGGGGCGCCCAACCAGATGCTGTTGGGTATACTGGTGGCCGCCAGATCATCACGGATAGGAGCAGGAGCTAGAGCAGGATGCGAAGGAGGGATGGTTGTCTTGTCGCCTCAACAACAACTAGTCCGATCGAATCTTTATCTACAGTCGCTGTTCTGGCACGGTCCTTCACCACTGAAATCGCTAGACGTAAACGATTTTTCAGGACTGAAATACATTCAGACCCTCAAGTTATCCAACTGGCTCTGCTCTCCCAAAACGATGGTTGAGCTGTTGAGCCTTGTCGTAGGGACTTTGCGAGAGTTTAAGCTGGACAGGATCAGTGGTTTACAGCCCCTTCTATCAGAAGACCTGAACGCGTTCACGGAGAGATTGTCGACGCTGTTTACACCACAACCGGACAAGGATGGAGGGACCAACAACAACAACAGCAACAACCAATTGGTCTTACCCCGACTCACCGCCCTTGTATCAACCTGCGATAAAGCTGTCAGTCTCTTTCTCGCCGAACTCGTCAAGTGCAGTCCTCGACTGAAGAGCCTCGACGTTTATCTGGCGGATGATAACGGCACCACTCGACTGGCAAACAATCTCAACACACAATGTCCGGAATTTCAAGAACTAAAGCTCTCTCCCGTAGTAACGTTCCGTCGTGTCGACGCCCTGATTCGACAAAGTTCAGCAGTAGGGCTTCGAAAACTGAGTGTCGAGGTCTGTGGTCCTGACGAACATCTGGTAGCGGCGATCTTGCAGCATGCTGAGACGTTGGAGGACCTGGCGATCGAAAGGAGTGTAGGGGACATGGATATTTGTCGGTACTTTGCTTTGCTCGAAGAGTGCCCCAACTTGGAGTCGTTCTCGCTCTCGGCTACTGCTGTCACACTGGACAAGGAGTTTTTGGACACGCTCAGGAAAAACGGTAGTGGTGGAGGCGGGAGCGGAGTTGGTAGTAGTAGTGGTCATAGATGGAAGTGTCGTAGGCGGCTTCGAAAACTGGTGCTCAACCCCAGGCTGTATCACGGAGGTGGAGGTAGTGGTGGTGGCAATGGTGGAGAGCAACTGAAAGCGGACAAGGATCTGCTGAAAGTGATGTCGGACAGCGTGTCGGTAATGGGCTGGTACCGATCACGGCATCTAGACCTGCAACAACATTTTCGTGGCAGCTTTATTAATCACACCATGGTTCGTAAGACGTTTGAGCTGGTGCAGGGGCTGGAGAAGTTGGAGACCCTTGTGTTGGACACGGAGGTGTTTCGGTCAAGTTCTGCTGTTGGTCCAGTCCAGTTGGACTAGGTTCCTCCCTTCAGGCTTTAGCATATGTATTATCTTTTTAAATAAAAAGGATAACAGCGATGGACGAAGGATATATAACAATGTTATCCAGCGGTAGCGGTCTAGGTCGCTAAGCAAAGCATACGAAGAAGGAGTTTTGTTTTCTGTAGGCATAGTCCGCTAAGCAGTTTGTCGTTTTTGACAGGTAGCCTTGTTTTTGGCATTCACCGTCACGTGCTGACTTTGACAAAGTAGATCGATAGACAGCTAAGACAGGGTTGTTCGTTTCCTCTTTCTCTTTCATCATCTCCATCGCCCACTCTCAACAAATGCAGCAACATCCACTCGAGATCCCAGAAATACTCGCCAACGTTCCACCTTCTTGCCAATCATATAGCACAGTTTCAAAACAGACTTCTACACGGAGCATGTACCGGATGAAGTTGTCCACCGCCACCTCACGACCCTCAACCAAAATTTGGACGACACCAGACTGAATGCAACCCGCCTCACCCACAGCCTTCGACTCTGCAGCCTCAACCTCAGCGTCTTGGCCCTTACCACATTCTTCTAGACACATCAAGTCGAGACTCTATTACAGCATGGATCGCCACAGTGTTTCGTAAACTCGAAATTGGAACATAATTTCTTGTTTCAGGGGGTGTCGTCAGGAGTTGAGTTTGCGTTGCGGATGGACCTCTTCGCCATTCCTACCCCGATCACGACAATGACAGCAGAACCATCAACAGTATAACAACCCAGAAGCAGAAGCAGAGACGATTGCTACTGAGATTCTTACGGACATGGGATGGGAGCACGTCATTTCTCGGTACAGGAAGCTGAACCCAGGCCGTCTGAGGATCGATTTGACAAGTCTTCGTTTGGCGGACCTGGTGCAGTTACTGAAGCTGGACAACTTATAGCTATTGGCGTGGGACTATTATGATTTCCGGACATCTGCCACTAGGTTGCCGTACACGCAGAATAGCAGCATATCTCTTGCAGTTGCAGGAGAAAAAAAAAAAAAAAAAAAAGTACCCATTTCATTTACGCGCTTTTTTTTTTTTTGTGTAATGGGGATCAGGGCATGCACGGTCACACACTCTTTGCTTCGATGTTTAATTCCTTGACCCATGTGTCAGACTTTGGTGTTTTTCACTCTCATCACCTTCCTTCCCCTCCCCTCTTTTTAATTCCTCTCGCAATGCCGCCTCATCCATTGGAAATCCCAGAGATCCTAGCTCTCGTCGGCTTCTTTCTACCTCTATGGGAAGAAACATACCTCTACGACTCATGGACTATCACCTTCGAACTCGCACCACAAACACTCTGCCACTGTCTCCTGGTTTCCAAGCTATGGCACACTACCCTGTTACCCATCCTCTGGAGCGGACTATGGGCCGACCTTTCTATGGACCGCGTACCGAACAAAGTCATCAGTCGTCACAGCCACCTCTTCCAGACCCTGCACTTTCATAGAGAGAACCAGCGGCGGGATTTTCGGCTCTTCAAAAACTGCACCAACCTTGTCGAGCTCAGGGTCTTTCATGACGACAAGAAATACCGCAGAACCGATGAGGCAGCAGGATCTGGAAAGCAATTGCTCCGAGCGAACCCACGACTGAAGGTCCTAGGCTGGGAGGGCGACGAGCCTTGGTTTGTTCCCCTGGATGTCGAAGACCTTGCTGGGTTTACGCATCTTGAGCGACTATCGCTGGATGGGTGGGATTGCTCTGGGGGACGGCTTGGACAGGTGCTGAGGCTTCTTGCGGGGACACTGAGGAAACTGAGTATCAAGTCACTCGAAGGATTGCGACCAGAGGAACTTTTGCAACAAACACCGACGCCACACTCACAATCACAGCAGGACAGCAGCGACAGAGATGGCGCATTAGTCCTTGATCACCTCGATTCTCTCACCGTGGATAAATTTTCTGAGCCCATCGACCTTTACCTCTATGAACTGGTCAAGCACTGCCCTAGCCTAACGAGCCTCCAGCTGTGCCTGGACGATACCACCTTGGATACAACACTCCTTGCCAACTGCCTCCAGACCAACTGCCCCAACCTTAACTCCCTATGCCTTCCACTACCCTTGCAGGCACGGCACATTAAGGCATTGGTCCGACACAGCTCGAGAAATGGACTTCGAAGACTCCGCTTTTGTGTCCACGGTCCAGAACATGGCCTTGTTTCGGCCATTATCACGCACGCCCCAACACTGGAGAGCCTTTGCATTTCCAAAGCCGACGATACCATGGACCCTGAGGAATACCTTCGATATCTGGTTGACTGCACAAGGCTGAAAAGGTTCACGTTGTCCCATATCTTTCCACTCTCTTTCAACCTCCTGGAGCTGTGGGGCCGACAAACATGGGGGTGTCGAGATCTTGAGGACATGAGCATCAACATTACGATCCCTCGGGAAGAACGACTACAGCACTACGCAGAAACTGAGGCCCGGACAGAGGAGGTGTTGAGTATTCTCTCTGACATGGGTTGGGAGCACATCTACCGCTTCTATACTCGTGAGGAGATACGGCGATTGATGACGAACGGGACAAGGCTTCGGCAAATATTGGAGCTGTTCCGCGTTCAACAGCTGGATAAGATTCGAAAGATGGAGTTGAACCATCTTGGGTTCCGGCCCGTTACTGGCAGGCGTTTGTAGGAGGAGACCTCGTTGGATTTTATTACATATGAGAATAAACGACGCTTATGTGGGACGAAAAGAATTTTTGCATGCACTCTCTCTCAGCAGTTGTTGGGGATCCTTCTGTGATGATCGATTTCCCTGCCATATTACTCATTTCGTTTGCCTGCAGTTCTTTACTTTTGTTCATCCACTCTTTCTCTTTCTCTCCTACTTCACATTTATCCATGCCTTGATGATGCGACCATGGATGCACTAGGGTACCCCCCCCCCCCTCCCGCCTTTTGATCAAGTATAAAAAGCTCACTCGTTTTGCCCTTCTGGAGCAACGCCCTGCTCTCGATCCAGGTTTTTTAGACACCTTGATGGAGCGGTCGTGGGGGTGTCGTGGCCTTTGATAGTTGGAGTTTCTTCTTTGGGAGTTTGAAAGAGATCAACCGCAAGCGACGACGACGAAGACGATGACGATTGGGGCTGGGACGAAAGAGGAAAAAACGAACATCTTCGGTCGGTTGGGGGGGGGGGAGTCACCTTAGATGCCGAGGATTTTTGTTGGACTCAACGCGCCTGGGGGAGCCTGTCGCTACATAAATGGAGCTGTGATGTTGGATAGAAGGAATCGAGCTTTGCAGGAACATTGAGGAGACTGAACTGGGATGGTTTTTTGGAGTGCAGTGTTTAGAGTATTCAACACTAAATACCGGCTCCTTCATAGTGTTTACTATTTTCACTAGTCGCAGCAAATCCACACCCAGCGTATACATAACAGGGAGATAGCCACAACGAAAGAAAGTAACTAGTGAAGCTCCTTCCAAAATGAGGTGTTTTTGATGACCACGACAAGGAGACGAACTTGATATTCGCTGAGCTTGTGTCTTTATTTCGCAAATGAAAACTGGGTATTTTCAAACCGCAGAAGCAGCAGTAGCTACAAACCCAGAAGATGAAGCGATCGAGGCCGAGTTGGCTGCCAACCGCTCTGCCAACAGTTTCTCTTCATATCGTTTTGAGGGCTTTTGCGACAGGACTGGGATGATCCCTCGATCGGGGACTCGTGGGAGAAAAGAAGCTTGGGGACGGTAATTGAGTGTTTTGGCATAGTTTCGTCGTTGAAAATATTTTGACATGTGGCTCAAGACAAACCGCCGCATTAGACTTTCCTTCCACGTCTAGTTTGCGCACATCGCAAAAGCGAGGCGGATAAAAATAAAAACGGGTATAAATATTAGACGATGCGCGGAATATGAACAGATAGATGACATGTCCCCAATGGTTCAAGTTCATAGCAGAATGGTTTTCTTTTGTACCTGTCCGGCCATGAGCATAGTAAAGAGTTTACTGAATTTGAGTTGATCCACAGCATGTGGGTATCGTTCCACATAGTAATCCTGGAAGGCGGTGGTGATGTTTTCGGAATTGACTGCTCGGATCTCATAAATGGCGTTGGCGAGAATCACTGCGTCTTCCATCGCGTTTACTGGTCCCTGTCCTGAGTACGGCGATATCTGTCAAATGGAAAGATGTATGGTGTGTGATTAATTTGCTTGCTCGTGAAATATAAAGAAAAAGAAAAGCTGTGCATTGATAAACATACCCTATGACATGCTATGAAGAAAAGAAGGGATGACGAATGAAAGCGTTAATGACCTCGTCACCAATAATTCAATGCACAATAAAACACCAGTCAACTACCGTTCCGAGTGCACGAACCATCGCCGATTAGCACAGTCCTTTGATGGTACCAAGTCTCAAACAATTTTTCCTCCAACAACATCCTCGAAATCGAATCCCGCGGCGTCTCATGGATCAAATCGCCCATAGTCCCTCCAATAGGAACCTTGTAGTCCTGGATCTGCCCACACAAAGCCTGCGTCGACTCTGGTCCCCAGTCTGAACTCCTTGATGAGTCGTTTTCTAATTGAAGCTCCTCCGTTAATATCTGTGTCCCGAAGCCCCAACCGATCCTGTTGTTCGTTAGTGAAAAGTAACTCCATGTGAACGGCCCATGACCTATTGTTTAAGTTGAAGAATAAGGATTTAAAGTTGAGTTGGGCTGAACAAAAAATAAACAACATTCAGAACATTCTTTCTTCTTTCCCTTCAAACTTACCAATGACCCAGTCGGCCCGACTAAAGGACTTATGCTGCTGCCTCAGGAGCGGGTATTTGTCCAGATCCAACGGCCTCGTCACACCCACCATCGTCGTATGATTCAACGCCATCTTTTCTAGATCCGTCGATGGGATGAGTCCTTTCTTCTTCAGTCTTTCATACATTGCTTGACGGACTGCACTGTAGCCACCATCAGCCCCGACAAGGATATCAGCCTCGTATACTCCTCCGTCTGCAGTCTGGATTTGAGCTCCGTTGTCGCCTTGTACCAGGGAGAGGACGCGTTTTCCGAAGGAGATGCGGGATTTGGGGATCTGCGAGATGAGGAGGTCGTAGAAGTCTGGCCGTGAACAGATGTAGCTACTATATCCACTCCTAAAAACAACAGCAACATAAAAATAGGCGTTAGTCAATGGTGATTTTTTAGTTTGAAAACCGCAAGGGGTGCATGTCTGAGCACGGTCAACAAATAATATAGACGTTGTTCAACGGTAAACAGATGGAAGCATTGGAGTCGAAATTGAGGGAGGCGGAAGGCAGAAAAGCTAAACACTAACAATGTAAACAAGGTGGGTGGGTGGGTCGGGAAGGTCAGAAGAGCGTGTATGTTGATATTGTTACCTTTCGATATGCTCTTCAATGTCGACGGCGCCCATTCGGCGCATGTCTTGAGCCTTGTGGATGGTGATATGATTGACGGGCTTTGAGATCGCCATAAACTCCTCATACAAACCCAATTGCGTCAATAATGGGAGGATATTGGGTCCTAGTGCGATTGCACTACCTATTGGACGATAAGTCGAATCATGTCAAGAAAAAAAGTACAATGGTCGTGTTAGTCGAACATACTTCTCCTGGACTGATGGATCGTAGAAAATCGAACGAAGGGCAAGAGGGGACAAAGGGGGGTACCGAAGGGTCGGATTTCAGGAGTCTTTTCAAAGACCTGGTACTCAATCCCGGCCCTCTGGAGAAGAATCGCAAGGGTGAGTCCTCCCAGGCCTGCGCCGACGATCATCACGGTTGGTGGTGGTTCGTCGTTCATTGTTTATAGCTTGGTAGTGTGAGAGTATGAAAAATTGAGGAAAGGGGCGAATCGTTGCTGTGAGGAAGTGTTAGTTCAACAGCCGAAGTAGGTGTAAAGGAGGATGCGGCAAGGTCGAAGAGTGGGGGGCAGATGGGAAGGACAGAAAGGTGAATGAGGAATGTAACGAATGGAATGAGCGTGTATGTGAGTGAGAGTGTGTGAATGAGTAGATTGAAGGGATGGAAGGTGGAGTACGTATGGAGCTGTAAGAATATGAACAAGTGCGAAGGAAAAGAAGGGGAGTGAAGTGAAAGGAGACTGAAAAACGAGCTCTGGAGGATTTGGGGGACGAGGAGATGTGGCACAGTTGGGTAACACCAGGAAAGAAGAAGGGGGTGGTTGAAGAAAAGGGCGGTTGAAGAAAGGGGTGGTCGAAGAAAGGTAAGCCAGCATCGGACCCATTCCACCCTTATCCACTGTCCACTGCCTATTGCCCATGGTAACAAACAAAAAATATAACCACAACAATAACTCCAAGATGTCACCAATGCTGCAACAAACAGAAAGTACATGCAAATCCCATACTGGAACATGTAAATAGCACCCCTCCGTCCTGCACTGCTCTCATCAATATGTTGTTTTGCTTTTGTTTTTGTTTTTGTTTTTGTTTTTTTTGTTTCGCAGACAAGATGAACGGTCTCTTGTCAACAACAGAAAAACAAAGGTGGAGAGAGATGGGTCCAGCCCCTTTCTTCTTGTTCTCCCCCCTCCAAGCCTTAGCCCAAGCCAAGCCAAGCCGACAATTCACCTACTTCTCATCTCTCTCTCTCTCTTCTTAATTTGCTCTTTGTCATGTAGACGCTCCTGTTCATTATTGTTGTGAGCACAACGACAGTGCGAGAGCAAAAAAAAACAATGGATCAATGGGGGAAGAAGGGAAGGAGCGAACAGAGACGAGAGACGACATGAATGAGCGGAGCATTTCTTTGCTGGCTGGCAAGCAGACAGAAAGAGAAGAGAGAGAGTCGATACTCACCATCATCGCCACGTTCCTCTCTGTCTCGCTTTTTGGCTTTCTTCTGTGAGCAAATTGGGCGCGGCAACCTTGAACTTTGGAGGAAATAGCCAAGCAAGCGGGGATAATATTTGCACCTCTACGATGGTACATGGATCGTCCACATCTCACTGCCAGGGTAGAAAAAAGTCCCTCTCACTTCTTTTGCAATTGAATGAGTCTAGATTGTCGTTCCACCTCTTTGCATGTACCAGTAATTCATCAAGGCCTTGTCAGTCCTGTTATGATGCGTGAATCCGGCGGCAACACCTCTATCCCATCACCCCTTTGCTCTCGTTTTTTATTTCTCAACCTTGGAGTTCTCTTATGAACGGGTTCATACAACAAATAAATGAGCAATGGTCATGCATTGGAGAGGATAAGAAAGAAAACATGGGTCCCTTTCCAACGTGAGCGATGGATTGGCGCCAAAATTTAGGGGCACAAAAAGAAAAACGAGAAAAGATGAGATACAAACAACAACAACGGCATGAAGGACAATATATTTTCGTGTTCCTCCTCTCTCTTCATCTCTTCACTCCACAAGTTAGAGCCGTATCGTCCACTTCGTATGGAGTAACCCCCCCCCCTCCTTTTTTTTTCTCCTGATCCTAACCATCGCCACACTATCCTTCGAAGACACAGCGCCCTCATCTGAGCCACAGTCCGTACCATGCCCCTCATTACATACTGCTTGTTCAGCCTGATGGTTGTACAGACCTATTCGTGGATTCGTCCGTGGACATCAGGCAATTTCCTTCTTGTTACTCGTTCATTTCCTTCGTGTCTTGCCTTGCATAATCACCACCCATGCAGCCGTACTACCATTCAGTCGACTGCGCATGGCGCAATTAATAAACACACCGTTATGTCTTGGCGGCAACTAGACTTTTCACTCCAAGTTCTGTACTCGTCTTTGAAAACAAGGGAATGGAGCAAACAGCAGCATCGTTCAGGACTCGCCGTCAGTGCATCAATCGCACGCACGCACACAAACTTTAACTACTCAACCTATGAACTACACCAAAAAAAAAAATCTTTATCGTTTAAGCAACGGTTACAGCGTCAACAGGGCTACCTCCAATCTGGTGCTGCTCCCCCTCCAACTCCTTCTGCCGCTTCCTCCGAAGAGCTGCCTGTTTTTTAGTACACCGCAAAGACGCCTTCTGGGGACAGGACAGGAATGGTGCAACGGTCGGGAATACGCTCCAGAAACGACGCCTGGGGTCGATAGTTCAGGGTCTTTGTGTAGTTTTGTCGTTGGAAGAGCTTTGACGCTACACTTAGCACGAATCGACGGAGTATATCTTTGTACCATTTCTTATATGTATTTCATTTGTGCTGTTAGTCATCGTAAGTCTGGTTCGTTATCTGCGAAAAGGGCATATTTACGAAACGAAGAAATAGAACGTGAGAAATGGCCGGTATTACACTGCTCAACATGGGCATGCCGCTGTGTGCGGTAGTTTTCAAACGCAGCAGTCATGTCCTTGGAGTTCGCGTGTCGGATCTCGTACAGCGCGTTTGCGAGGATCACCGTCCTTCATATGTTCACTGCGCCTTGGCCAACATAAGGGAGGATCCACACATTAGTAACGAATCAGATCAGCGGATAGTAACAATTAGTTAAAGATATGAAGTAGTTTAAAAGTCTCAGATGGGTTGATTAGATCATATTTCTGCTTTTTGACATGCTAGAAGACAAAAAAAATGATTACGTATGATCGAATACGAACCACAAGAAATAAAGAATAAGCCATGTCTTACTATCGCCCATGAGAACAGTGCGCTGGTGATACCAAGTCTCAAACAACTTCCCCAAGAGTACTTCGACAATACAGTACTTGGGTGAAGCCCGAATTAAATCCCCCTTCGTCCCGCCTAACGGGATCCTGAATCCTTAATTTCCTCACACAACACCTCAGCCGCCTCGGACCCCCACGCAGTGCTCAACTCCAACCCCCCTCCCGATCCGGCTATTCGCCAACAAAAAGTAGCTCCAGGTGAACGGACTCTGTTCAATCACCCAGACTGAATAGCCGAACGTTTCTGTGTCCCTGAGAGCGGGGTATTTTTCGGGATCCAGGGGTGAAGTGAGTTCGACCATGGTTGCATGATTGACCACCATCTTTTCTTGATCCAAAGTCGGTAATAGACCTGACTCTTTAGCTGCTCAAACAGGGATTGACGGACTTTACTGTATGCCCCGTCTGCTCCTACGAGGACATCTCCCGTGAAGGACTGGCCTTTGGAGGCTCCGATCCGAACTCCAGTGTTTTCGTCTTGGTGGATGGAGACGATCCGTTGGTTGAGGTACATTGTAGGGAGCTGTAGAATTCTGGACGGGTGCACACTCTCATTGTATAACTGATCCTAATGAGTTATGGAAGGCTCAATTTTGCGCACAAACGCAGAGTTGGGCTGCTCTCAGTCCTCATACACTTTGTTTTTCTTTCTTTTCAAAGGAGCCCAAGTAGACTGAAAAGCACAAAGCGGCGGATAAGAGCATTGAAATGTACAAAGGAGGGGACACAACCTGAGAAGGGCAGACTGGGAGGGGAAAAGAGGGAGCCGTTGGAAGGTTGGCGTATTTCACCTTTCGATATGTTCCTCAATATAGACTCGACCCATGGGACGCATGCTGTCATTCTCCTTGTGAACAGTGATGTACCGAATCTTCGATATCATGTAGAACTCACTCGTGAGCCCTAGCTGTGTCAATAGCATTATGATGTTCGGAACCAATGCAATCGTGCTTCTTATTGATTCCCGGTCGCAGTTCAAGCTAGAAATGAAAGAGTGTTAGAGAGGGAGGGGGAGAAAAAAAAGAAGGGTCCGAGTCAGTCTTGAGACGGTATGTCAGAAGGGTACATAAGAATAAGACGTTTGGCGAGGAAAGGAAGAGGACCATACCGAGAGGCTTGACCTCGGCAGCCCTTTCGTAAACGTGATAGCCGATTTTGGCCTTCTTCTCCAGTAACAAAGCCAACGTTAGTCCTCCGAGTCCGGCGCCTACAATCATCACCGTCAATTGCTTTCGTGTCTCCGACATAGCGCGAGGGTGTGGAGGAGGAGGTGGAGGTGGTGGAGTGAGAGAGAGAAAAGAACAAGAGGGCAGGTGGGTGTAAGTGGCGAATGAATGAATGAAGATGAAGGAAGGAGGTGAGCGCGAGAGAGAGAAACGAACGCAAACGAAAATAAAAGGACACCCGAGAGAAAGAAGGGTGCAACCCCCCTCCCCCTCCCCCCATCTTCCTTTCCCCTCGCCCTCGCCAACAAAACCAACAAAACTTAACACAACACGAAAAAGATTGATCGATTCTTATTGGCTATCAACTCATGTATGCTAATTGGCTATCTCTTTGTGTATTCTGATTGGCTGCCAGTCATACACTCAAGCTGCCAGAACAGTGTTATGTGCCTGTCGACACCTTTTTCATCATTTTCCTTCTTTCTCCTTCGCCGTTACACCCTCCTTTGCACATCCTCTCTTACCTCCATCACTTACCGCATTTGTATTTACTCTACCTTACACCGCTCCTTCACTTATACCCCTTCAATGACACACATAGCGCCACTGTCTACGGCACAAACCGTTCTTGCATCCTACATTCCTTCCTCCCGTGGAAAAGATGAAAAAGGTGTGCAATCGTGGTATAGAGGTATCGACAGGCACATAACACAGCTAGAGTGTATGGCTGACAGCCAATCAGAATACACAAAGAGATAGCCAATCAGTATACATGAATTAACAGCCAATAAGAATCGATCAATTTTTTTTCGTGTTGTGTGTCCTCTTTTTCAATACATTTCGATCAGAGAATGCAAACTGCTCTTGGGGGTGGAATCAAGCCTACATCGATACACCATTCAAAGTAAGGAAGTTCCTCCTTCGTGCGTCTGTAGTTGACTTTTCTCTGGAAGGGCTTTGAAACGGAAGCGATCCGGGCACACCGGCCGAGAACTTACAGGGTCTATTATCGCTTCTCGCCAATCGACGGCCTCAATCTCGCCTGTGCTTTTAGTGTGTGTCCGTGCTCGTGGCGCGCCATTCCACAGCAAGTGTTCCATGTTTCCGTGAATGAACGTGATGGCTATTGTTGTTTGTTGTTTTTTTATTCTAAAATGTGTGTTTTGCTTGTCTACATACATGGCTCTATGCGCCCCACCAAGAGAGCAATCCAAGACCATCTCCATGAATTGAGCACTATTCTCACATAATGATATAATACAGGGAGAAAACAACACCAGTCAGTAAACCTCCGTCTTCTCTCAATCCACACGCGCACATCTTAGCAGGCAAACAAAAAAGTAAACCACACAACTTACAGTAAGAGAATAAGGCGCCTGTTTAGCAGAATTTGCGCTAAGGTCCGGCGTGTCGACACCCTCCTTCTTGGGACGGACAGATGGCGAGGTATCAAAGAACTGTTCTGACTCGACTCTGAACCGGATGGTCTCCTCCAGATCCATAAACATCTCGTTCTCGTCGTACATCCACACCCAGACCTGCTCATCTGCATTAAACTCAGAGTTCTCCTGAAGGTAGTGGTAAGGAATGAAAATATCGTCAAAGAATCCCAATGTGACTAAACGTATATAGTGACGAGAGAAGTAAAGGAGAGGAGGAGTTTGTCAGCCAAAATGAGTCATTGTAGTCCACTGTGTTTATAATGCAGTTTTTTTTTTTTTTTTTTTTTTGGCTCCGCCACCACAAGATATCAAGAGAAGAGGCATACCTCGAACACCCTCCTGGTTGCAGGACCGAATCTTTCCTGTGATGATCTCCCCAACAAAAGGACGGAAGATCACTAGGCGGAAATGAACCGTGACATAACTGCAGCCGTCTCCGTGATGAATAAATCCTTCGCTAGCGTATAGAATGTCGTGCATCGCGATACATAATCCCACATCCTGCAAGACCTATAGTCGTGAATCGTGTCCATGGGATTGAAGGACGGAGATAGTTCTCTGTTAGTATGTTGGTCCGATGACGTCCGAGACGCCTGTTCACACAATGTCCCCGATCACGACTAAGCCTCCTCGTTCCGTGGTCTAACCACGGTAGCAAACGATTCCTCCATGCTGTTTGTGCAATTACTCCCCTCCTGGCATAGCAACAAAGCGATGCTCAAGTGCGTACCTTGTTGGCATATTTGCGGTTGATCTCGTCTGTGATAGCCTGAGCCTTCTTCTTCCTGAATCCTGAAGGCTCGATCTTGATCGTATCTTTCATCTCTGCAAGGTTGAACATGATGTATGTGTGCGTGTACTTTGGTTGTTGGTATATGCTGTTGTTGGCGGTCTAGGGAAGCGAGGATGAGAGAGTATAGAGTGAGAGGGACACGAGTGTTGAGAAGTAGGTGGAGGCTGAGCAAAAGTAGTGCTTGAGTGGGAAGAAAGGGGGCGGATATAAAAAAAAGGCGATGGTGTCTCCTTGGTGGATGTGTAATTTGGGTGTCCTGGGTCCTTATGGTTGTTGGTGATGAGAGTTGCTTTCTTGTTTTGTTGCTCGGGCGATGTCCTGAGCTTGCGTGTGTCCGTGATGCAAAGTAGTGATGCCGCGTTTGTCGTTGAAAGTGAGAAATGGCCCTTGACCGATGGTACTTATGGTGAGTGTGCCAAACAACAAAAAGAAAAAAGGACAAACAACGAAAAACATGTCTAAGCCACCGGCAAATCATTGATCTCCTTCAGAAACCAAAACCAAAATATCCTAGAAAGCGGAGCGATGATTTGTAAATTTTCAGTGGACGCGTCCAGAGGAGCATCTTTCATTGTCAAACTACCGTCTTCGTTCATTAGATAATGAGGAGCGTAAGATTCTTTTCTGGTGCATCCTAGACCCGATGTATGAAGATACAGTATAGTGACTCTTTAGAATGCAGAGCGATCCACGACAAAAGTCTCCGAGGAAATACTCTTTCAGTTTCCTAGACCTTTGGTTGTTTGCTTGGATCATGTGCTCCATTGAACAGGGATGAGTTGGCTTGACATGCCAACAGGATCACATCAATTGCACTCCAACAAAAAATGCACCACCTGAACAAACAGATAAAATAGACTTTTGGGTACTTCTCCATGCTCAGGAATGGACTCCAGTCAAAAAACAAGGCAGTCGATGAGATGGTCCAATGTGCACTCACAATCTCCTTCTCTGTTCCAAGGACAGTGTAAGATCTATGGTCAACGTTCGCCCAAACAAACACCAGACACATCACAAAGCATTTCACCCGATGCACACTCTCAACATACACTACAATAAAACAAGGGCGCATGGCCCTACCCACCCTCACAAAGGCAAAAAAACAACCTGCGACCTCCTTTCTCTTGCAGATGCAGAACCAGCACATCAATAACAGCTGATTGCTGACCCTTTGCAATGTTCCAGCCAATGGAAATGCAAAGAACGGGAATAGTGCATTAAGGCGGAAGCATGGCACCATATTTAAAGTTTGGTCTTCCTTTCTTTTCGATCCTTCTCTTTCTTCAACTCCTTCCTTTGTTCAACGTCAAAACGTGCTCTCTCATTCGCCTTCATCTCTCTTATCCACAAAGCCGAAAGAAGAAAAAAAAGACGAGCTTCAGGGCTCACAAAAAAAGCAAGCATGGACAAAGAAACCAATCAGGGATTAGTCCAAAGGGATGGATGCCTAAGTTGGTCACAGATGGGTTGGAGGGAGAGGGATGACTTGAAATGGATTTGGGTGTCGGACATCGCGACAAAGAGAGAGGGTCAGTGAGCAAAACCAACAGCTCTTCATATTGGAGAGAGAGCAAGATACACGAAGGATGAGGGAGTGTAAAATGCAGTATGCACTTTTTTTCTGAAAAGGAGGTGCGAACCCTGGGTTTTCCTACTGCGAGGGCTGCATTGGGCGAAATGACTGTATTTGGAAAACAAACAAAAAGAGTTGTGAGTTGGAGTATGGCGTAATTGTGTTTTCCCGGGATTTGTTTGTCTCTCCTCGCGCACATACACAGCGCACACAAGGGAAGAAAAGAAAGATGTTCTAGACTTGTGGATCCACTTTTCTCTCTCGGAGAAAAAAAGAAAAAGAAAGCGGAGGAGAAGGAGGGCAAATTGCATGCATCGCAAACAAAGGCAAAAACAAACCAAATAATAGGGCAAAGAAGGAGTAGATATGGCATCATCATCGCTCTCCAGACGTATGCCAGAGCACAAAATAGTGTCAACGTACTACCACAGTGACAGCCTTGCCTTGTGCGACAGTCGCTCTCACCCTCTTAAGAGCGTAGAGTAAACGTGCTCTCCCCTTATTCTTCTTTTGTTCTCATCCAAAACGATTTTTCTTGTTCCGACTTGTAACGTTGACAATGTCCCTCTGTTACCTTTTGTGCTGTACCATGTATGCACGGGTTGATAGAGAAATAAGGGTACCAAATTTTATCTGAAACGGAAGAGAAGGTCGATAGTGATACCTCGTTTCCAGTCCTCCATTTCAGCACGACAAAATGGAAGTATTGACTGCTAGTCCTTATCGCATGGATGCAGACATATAAGTTTTAGTGCCAATGCAAAGAAAAACATGTATGCGTTTTCGATTGCTCAATTTTCATATAGCGTTCGAGGCTCCACCTTTTTTTCATCCTTCCATCTAATTTGCCCTCATCGCGCCATTCATAGTGCGCCTTCAACCTTCGTTATTCCTCGGTATCTGTCTCTTCTGGCGTCTCACCATCTCGCGTCATCTGCACTAGATCATAAAATGTTGTTCTTGCTTGAACATGCCCCCTTTTTTTCATTTTGCAAGGCAGTCCATGGTAACAGAGAGACAAAAAATGGTGTCCTGATATGAAAGCAAGCAGGATGAAATATAGCAATTTTCTACGCTCTGTAGCATGTTTCTCCTTTGTTTTTGTTGTCTGTACTCTTACACCATCCTATAGAGATGGGAAAACACGGGATGCACGCAAATTAGTTACATGAACCTTTTTGTGTTGAGATCAGAGCAAAAAAGGAGGGTGGTAGTGGTGTTTCTGCTCTATCGACTTCTACTTATTCCTGACAATTGAACTGGTGGCTATGACTCCCGATGAGATCCATCCCTTCCTTCTCCTCCTCTCATTACTCCTTGCGATCATCGACTGACCTTTGATTCCAGTTGGAGGTCTGCTTGTGTCAGGTCGGCAGTTTGATTCCTGGATTACACTAACTCTATTTTTCCTTCTCAGTCATATCCACAGCTTTGTTGATTGTTGACAAAGACAAGATGGATATCCAACCTGGCAACCCACGCCCTTCTACTCAGAGACAAAATGCCTCCCGATCGTTATTATCCGAATGTACAAAGATACCGGTTGTTTTATCTCATGCCTGACCAAAAGGGCTTTTCATCCCTTGTACTTGCTAACGGTCGACACATGTTGATCTGGAAATAAAATTCGACATCCATTATTGCGTTGTTTCTGAACCGTCATTCTTTTTGATCAGACCGCTCTTCCGTGGTTGGTGCAATTGTTCCTTGTTTCGGGTGGTGATATTTTTTCGATTTCCCTGACTCGACTGACTGATAGATGGGTCTTCTTCAACCGATGGTGAAGGTGATGGATGATCACTATCGAAAAAGATCTTGGTTTTCTAGAGAAAGAATAGTAGGACATGAATTGAAAGAGGAAGAGCCCAGGCAACGCTTTCAAGGAAGAAAAAAAGGGTGTCTCGCCTTTGTCTCCTTTTTCTTTCTCCTTTCTCTCTTCCTAGTAGAAACATAATGAAAAAACCCCATTTCCCTCGTGGGCAAGAAAAAAAGATCTCGCAGCTTTGTTTGATTTCCATCCTCCTCTCTCTCTCCCTTCGAAGGGTTCTTGTCCAAAAGGGTCACATTTACACACCCACACCCACAATCGTCATAGTGTAGACGCGGCCATTGCGCTGCTGTCCATGCTCACCACACACACAAAAAAAATATGAGAGCAGCAAACAAAGGGTGCGATCGCGCTCATCGCAGTCGAAATGTCGCCATTTCTCGAGCAAACTCTATTTTTTGGGCTTCTATCTCGTGTAGGTATTTTTGTTAACCAACTGGGTCGTACCAAGGTTCTACGTCGAACCTTATTATTCGATCTGATTGGTCAGAAAGCAGCTTCTCTCCTCATATTTCTTTGGCGAGGTGGTCTAAACCAGCTTTTGACTGGCTGGATCGAGCATACACTTCACGAAGGGGATCGAGGATCAATTGGGCTACCATGAAGCTGCCAATGATACCTATGGCAGAGTGTATTTTCCTAACACAAGAAAATAGCCGAGGATGGAGATGTAACTGATCCTGGTGGCAAAGTAGGAGGGAAATGAAAAAAAAAAGTTACCGAGGGAACGAGGTGCAGATGGATATATGTGTGAGTGCGGAATACTGCCTTGAGTGAAGAAACAAAAAAAAATGAACCAGCTAACGTTAGGAAAGGATAAGTCCGTTGTGCTATTCAATTGGCCCTGTCATTGTGTGTCGCCAACCCAATAAGACGAGTTCCTGAGGATGGACCAAACACAGTTTGAACAACGACAAGGGGAAGAGGAGTTCTAGTCTTTCTCGTTATTATCCCTGGGATTCTTTAGCCCCAATTTGTCCGACGGACACATGTCGACATTTTTCGGGTCCAACTCTAACTTAGATAGAATAAGTCAGATTTGAATTGTATTGAAAATAAGAGAAATGGCACCATCCTCGTCCAAGGACGATTGCCCATTCGCAGAGATGTGCGAGATGTGCTCCTCCAAAAAAGTGAACAAACTGTGTTCACGCCACTCTGCAGCCTTTCTTTTGGTACTGCTGTATGTTATTTTAGAGTTCCTCCTTTGATTTGTCTTGGACAGTTGCTGACAGACAGACACCCAGTCATTCATTCAATCGCTCAATCTTTTCATCTGTCACACACATATGCGCACACAGATGCGTTGTTTGTTTTCCCTCCACCCCTGCACTCCTTCTTTCTCCAGAAACCAATTCGCCCTTTCCTTTGATATAAAAGCAATCGCCTCCCCTCCTCATTTTTGTCTTTTTTTCTTCTTGTCTTTCATCCTTCTGATCTACCTCACCTCTCCCCCTACCTTCCGTCCTCTCTCAGACTTTTTAGTCTTTTTTCTTTCATCCCTTCACACTTCCTTCTCTCTTCGCCTTCGATAACAAAAGCAAAATAGCATCTTCACCTTCATCCATAGTTTCCCTCCTCCCTTCCTCATCCACATCACCACCTCCTCCTCCTCACACTCCTCCTTGTACATATAATTCAATGGCTGATCGTCAGCTTAAGCAATTCGGCCATGACATCTTCTCCTGGGTCAAGGCTTTCCCCAGAAACACCCCCCGTTACGTTACCGAGCGTCTCCCCATTATCAAATGGTAACATGATCATCACTCTCCTTCATTTCGCCACCCTTGTTACCTCATTTCGTTTTCATTTCATGTCATTGCGATTATATCCTAACCACCCCCCTCATGCGAAAAACAATAACAGGTTGCCTAAGTACAACCGTACATGGGCGTTCAGAGATATCGTTGCCGGTATTACTGTCGGTTTGATCGTCGTTCCTCAAGGAATGTCCTATGCCAAGATCGCTGGTCTCCAGGTCCAGCATGGTCTTTACTCTGCTTATATTGGTGCCATCTTCTACTGCTTCATGGGAACCTCCAAGGATTTGACTATCGGACCCACTGCTGTTATCTCGCTCATTACTGGTGAACTCGTGACTGAACTTGCCGGACGCATGTCTGCCCCCGCTGTCGCTGCTATCTCTTGCCTCTGTGTCGGTGCATTCACCTTGATCCTCGGTGTCCTCCGTCTCGGAATCATTCTCGACTTCTTCCCCACCACCGTCCTCGTCGGCTACACTTCCGGAGCTGCTGCAACCATTGTCATTCAGCAGATCCCCAAGTGGCTCGGAGTACCCAACATCAACAACCGCGCCCCCGTCTACGACATCATCATCAAGATGTTCCAGGCTTTTGGTACCTTGTCTTGGTTGGATCTCGTCTTTGGTCTCGTCTCCTTCGTCCTCCTCATTGCCATCGGCCTCGCTGTCGACCGTTGGGGACGTGGCAGGTTTGCGATCCAGTTCATCAAGATCTCGCGCTTCTTCATCGTCACCGTCTTGGCCACTGCCCTTTCTTTTGCTATCAACCACAACGCCCCTAGTGATGAGAAGGGTAACCGGGTTTTCAAACTTTCGATCGTAAAGACGGTTCCTTCCGGTCTTCCTACACCAGCTGTCCCCTCCATTACCTCTGAGATCTTCTCCGAGATTGCCCCCAAGTTGTTTGCCATCTCGATCGCTGTCATTCTGGAGCACATTGCTATCGGAAAGGCCTTCGCTAGAAAGAACCGTTACCAGATGGACTCCAACCAGGAATTGGTTGCTCTCGGACTCGCCAACGTCACTGCCTCGTTCTTTGGTGCCTATGCTGTTACTGGATCGTTCTCCCGTTCTGCTGTCAAGTTCCAGTGCGGAGTCAGGTCGCCCTTTGCTGGTTTCATCACTGGTGCTCTCGTCCTCTTGGCCTTGTTCTTCTTGACCCCTGTGTAAGTTTGTCGACTCGTGATGCTGTGCAACGTATAATTGGTTTTCTTTTTCCCATCCTTCTGTCTTTTGTACACGTGTGGGCTAAATCAAAAAGAAAGAAGTGTTTGCATCACATTTATCATGCAAGTTGGACAAGCAACAACAACAATACCAAGGAGGGGATGCAATGAGATGACAGCAATGGACATTGGAGAAATAAACAAGGTTCGCGGGCAGGATAGAAAGACACCTCAGAACAGGAGGTGGAGCGATAAGGTCGACACCGATCTGGCGACTGGGTATCGGCGGAATCTGATTGGTTCCCTGAATGCAGCTATTAAGGCTCCCCTCATCTCAATGGAACCAACACTCCCGTCCCCTCATTTTACATATGACAAGGGTCTCTTTTAAGAACAACCATGGCTGACCTTATTCTCTTTTCCTTTGAACAAAACAGTTTCTTCTATATTCCCGATGCCGCCCTCTCCGCCGTTATCATGGTCGCCGTCTCTGTCCTGATCTCACCCCCCTCGGTCTTCATCCAGTTCTACAGGGTCAACCTCTGGGACTTCCTCTCCTCCCAGGTCGCCCTCTGGGTCACCATCTTTGTCTCTGTTGAGACCGGTATCGCCGCCGGTGTCGCTTTCTCGCTTATCGTCCTCCTCTTCCGCGTCGCCCGTCCCAACTTCCACGTCCTTCGCCAGATCAAGGACCGCCCCGATGTCTTCATCGACTCCGCCCTCGACTCCACCATCGAAACCGTCTCGCCCCCTCACGGCGTCCTCGTCTTCCGCATTGAGGAGTCGACCACCTTCCCCAACGCTGAGGCCTTCAAGACCTGGGTCCTCGACGAGACCTACAAATACACCCGCTTCGGTGGCCACATCAAGCCGGCGTCCGAGAAGCTCTGGTCCGACGACATGGACGTCCATGTCCGCAACCTCCGCAAGATCGCTCACGGCGCCGACTCGCACGTCACCGACGACGACCTCCCCAAGCTCCGCGCCGTCGTCCTTGATTTCTCGGCTGTCAACAGCATCGATTCGACCGGTCTCCAGGGTCTCTTTGACTTGCGCGATCTCTTGAAGGACTATGCCGGTGTCACCGACGAGCCCTCGACCTTCTTCGAGGTCCACTTTGTCGGAATCCAGTCCTCGATCCTTCATGTCCTCGAGTTGTCCGGCATCACCCGCCCCGTCGCCCCCATTTCCCTCCAGAAGATCGAGGTCCTCGACCACACCACCTCCGGGGACGAGATTGTCCCCGAGACTGCTAACAAGAAGAGCCATACCGATATCGGATCTGCTGCTGTCTCGGTGTTGGGCCAGTCGCCCTTCTTGAAGGAGGCAGGTTTGGTCCACTTGACTGTCCGTGACGCTGTCGACTCTGTCTTGATTCGCTCCCAGTCCTGGGAGAATGACCACGGCAACAAGGGCTCTGACTTTGGCTCGATCAGCAAGACCGACATCCACTACGTCTAAGATTACCCTTTGCATTAGTTGGTGAAGCAGAAAAAAACTTGTAAAATAAGTTATCTATACCCCTCACACAATCCCCTCCACAAGATCCACATCTTTATACTTTTATTCTCCTTACTACTATCAATCCTACAATAAACAAAATAATGCGCAAAAATCCCCCCCTCCCCTCTTCATCTTCTGCATGCACTTGAAAACCACCCTTCCTCTTTTGTTCGTAAAAACAGAAGTGGTGCCTAGATTCTCAAAGATGGTACTGGTATCGTGCTTGGTCGTCATTACGCGCCCTCGCAACTTGACTTGTTTATGAAGATCCCGATGCAGCCCTCACGTAGGAAGTTGTGAAAGTTTTTAGACGCTTGCCGTACAACTGAAGGTACGTGGGAGTACTTTGTCAAATGGAAAAATTACTCTGACGGCGACAATACTTGGGAGCCAGAGGGCAATTGTGTTGATGGGCGATGCATTGTGGACTATTGGGCCGAGCACCGCCCCACGGTGAGGAACCTCGTCTGCATTCTCGTCTTTATCTGCAAGGAGATCACTCGACGCTTACCCCTGATTAGAATATGAGCGTATCAAATAACATTATTAGTCGCACGAACGCAAAAAACACCTTCAAGTCCAATAAGGCAAACGCAAACATACAAGTCAACACAAACGTTCTGAGCTGAGACATGGAACTCGTTCTTAGATCTGGAAGGAATGACCACAGACCATTCCACCAAATAAAGGCAGATAACTAACAACACCCTTGCCGAGGTTTTTATGGTTTTATTTCCATTTATCCCTCACATCATAAGCAGTAAGGCACCATCCTTACTACATTCAACATCCCAATCAAGGCTTCCAATTTTTATCCTCGCTTAAACATCACATCGTAAGGAGGGTTTCCAAGTTTTTTATCCCCATATCTTAAACACTTAATTCATCAAGGCAATACCCTCCGAGGTTTTTATTCGTTTGACCCTCATCCATACTTTTCCCTAAACAAGACTATCACTTTAGTTGTTTAGTCAGAAGTCTAACATACACTGTTTTCTTTTGTTTACCAACTATCATTAGTTTACCCATTCTGATATCGTAGCACGTACTCATAGGCTCATGTCAGAACCGGCCTGCAGCCTGGAGGAGGGTTATGCGCTGTAATGACGTGTATGATTGGGACGAAGGGTATATAAGCCCCCTTCCTTGAAGTAAGCCAACCTCTCTTTTTGTTTCGTTATCCGGAGAAATATCAGGCGGCTTAACTGCATTCCCATGGAGAATGACAATAAAGTGACCAATTAAATGAGCCATGATTAATTTGTACAAGGTACCAATGGCAGCGAAATGTGGAAACCCTTATTGACGAAGAGACATGGTCCACGGGAGTATTTGAGTTGGATGAGAAGAGCTCTTCTCCGACGGTCACCTACAAGGCCAGGTCGTCGTCATCACGCATGTTCGGTCTGCCATGGTCCATGTTTGACTTGCGGTCGCGTCGGTGAGACTTGGATGGGGAAAGCACGACAAACGGAAGGTCACGCTTGCGGGACGGAGGGGTCGTTGCTCTCTGAGGTGGTGATTCCATGATGTTCGATGTTATCGGTTGGACTGCATAAGTTCTCGATGCTGCGTGGGATGTTGCGAATGTAGGGGTGGTAGAGGCCACCGGAGCTGGCGTGCTTGTTGGGGAGGAGACCAGGGGTGTGGATGACGACAGTGACCATGTCACAGGTGTAGAGGTTGAGCGTGGGGTTGCTGGTGACGAGAGGTCTGGGTTGATGGGGAACATTGAGTGTGGTGTTGCTGTGGAGGACGCAAGTACAGCGATGGCCTTCTTTGCATACAAAGCCATGTGGGCCTAAGTAGTACAGACACAATGTTAGCCGTCGCTCTAGAAAATATGAATAACATGCAGTCATTTGGAAGAAAGCAACTCAAATGATCGTGAACTCAGAAAAGCAGCTAGCTGGGTGTATCTAGATGGCAGCCACACATTCTCTTGAGTCGATCGACCAGCACCAATGACATCGCCGTATCGTCGCAGCGAGTAAAAATCAAAGGTCAAGGCTAGAGTTTCTGCGATGATGGGATGCCATTGTGTTATGTCAAGCCCCTTCTCCTCCAGGGCCAGAAGGATGGCGGTATTCAGGCGAACACTTTCCCCCTGCTGAACCTGGTAGACGTGGTCACTAACTTGGGGCTTAAACTCAAACACGCAAATTTCGTCCGCCCAGGACTTGTCGACAAAAACCCTAATTGTCATGTCCACTTTTCTGGAGCTTATACTGGTCGCCGTCTTGCCGCCAAACACGTTTTCGGTCAAAGAGAAAGACTCCCTAGATGCCCTGCTGCCAAGCTCACCACTATATACAACGCTTAAATAAATACATAGAGACGTTAAACCATAGAGCTGCATATTTGTTTTCTGAATGCGACTGAACTTGCCATAAAGTCTACTTACGGAATGCCGCGTAGACCAGAATGGGCAAATAGCGTATTCAAGACATCGCTCCACGCACTGACAAACACTTGCTCTGATAAAGGCGCAGCAAAGATGTCGGTCTCTAGCCAGTGCAGGAGTTGGGAGACAATCTTGAGTACCAGGTACTTTTCTTTGGCCGCTCGTGTAGGATGCAGACCTAGGCACTGTAACAGCGACTCGTAAACAAATCTCTGGAGTGATTCGACAGACATGGATGCGGGGTCGTCAGGGTCTGGATACAGTGATTTTTGCGGATCGGCGCTCAAGTCTTCGATAGTCTTGGAGTGGTATGATAAGCACGCCATACGAGACTGTTCCATCACGAGCGGGGAGAGGGTGAATTGCTGGCCGACAGGAGATAGCGTGTTGATGATTCCACTAACCAGGGCACTAGGCATATGTTGACAAGGGCATAGTGTTAACACATCTGCAATGCTTGATGGCTAGGTGAACGAGGCAAAAGCTGAGCCGTGAGAGGCTGAGTGGCTTACAAGACTGGTTTCTTTTTGTAACATCGCCAGGTCCTTGCAGAAGCTGAAGCGTCGTACGGAACATCTCGTTGTACGCTGGGGATAGTCCTGACGGCAGGGCTGGCAGAGGAGGGTCCTGCCCCTGTGCCTGTAATGGACGACTCATATGTTAGTACCCAAGGACGCATAGGGGTGCCAACTGTATAGCAGTACGAGGATTGAACACTATTGCGGAACAAGAGGGAAGTATGAGTGGATGGTAGTGGGACGAAAAAGCGAGTATTTGGAGGCATGGAGTTTAAGGCCAGAGCGCAAACCTGGGTCGTCTCCGTCTTCTTGGTCGTCTCTGTCTTCTTGGTCGTCTCCGTCTTGGTCTAGGTGATAGAGAATAAAAGTTGCTGAGAAGGCTGTTCGAGGGCGCAGAAAACACACAGCCAGCGGAGACATTACAATCAAATACCTGCTGGTCGTTCAATGTTCTGTCTGCTGCCTGTCGCAGTGGGTGTCGCCGTAGATGTCAATGTTGATGTTACTATTAAGTATAAAGAACGTGGACGATGAAGGAAGAAAGAACGGGAAGAAAGAGAGGAAGTAGATTACTATGGGACGAAAAGAAAAGAAAAGAAAAGAGATTAACACGTTGATTGTGAACACGAGCCATTGGCCAGACTCTATTTAAAGGTACAACGGGCTTATGTACACTACTGAATACCACCTTGCCAACTATAAAATAGTCAAGTCGCTCTGGTCCACTCACCAACTTAAACAGCCTTCTCATGCAATCCTTGTTCCAAAGCGAGCTGCAGACTCTCTGATAGTTGCTCTTTTGAGGGTGTAGGCGCCAGCCATACGTCCGGCTGATAAGACTCGCCACGTCGAACCCAACCCAATCCTCATCCTCCGCCTCCCCTGTCGCTCCGTTGCGTGTGCCTCCCGACTGGTCCCCTGGTATGTGCAGCTCAAACCTCGCAAGCCCTGTGCAGCTCCATGGCTTGGATCTCAACTTGTGGAGAATGTCGATATCAGAACCGCCCTGCCTTGCATAAGCAGAGTGAAGACCTTGAGTTGGGAGCAGCCACAGAGCACAGCCAGGATTTTGTCCGTGTTGATCGCCCTGGCGATATACGTGATCTTCAAATTCTCCATTGTCAAACCGTTGAGAAGGATGACCGATATAAGTCTCGGTCCTGCTTCAAAGAGTGCCAGGCAGAGTGTCACCAGCTTCCCTGGTCCCGATCCAAACGCGTCCTTGATAAGTCGTGACGATAGACCGACCTTGTTGACGGATGCTCCATAATCTCGGAGGTACAACGCGTCGAGGGCCGGGCAGTAAGTTATGGTCTTGGAAAAGCGGTCAAGGTCGATATTGGCGCCAGATGTAATAGAAATGTTTCAGGTTGGAGTAATGTTGGGCAAAATCTGCAGGCTGAGGACTGTATGGCCGGGTTTTGGAAATGTAAATCGTCCGCATCTTGAGTAAAATTAATGTATCGCTGCTGCGCATTGATTATTCTTTGACTTTGTTGATGTTGCCACTGTCATACGCTCCTGTCGGCATAATCGAAAAGATGCCGTCCTCTGCGCCTCGCACCATGAAGGCGCTCAGCTTGGTTAGCTATCCTGCAAGTCTTTTGAGTGTGTCGCCTAGCGCTCATCCAGAAACATTCCAACCGGTGATCCCCAGATGCTCGATATTCTTCAGTCCTGCGAAGTCCTCTGGATCAAGAGTATTATTGGTAGTAGAGGAGCGATCCCAGTGCAAGATCCTGAGCTGAGGGTTCGCCAGAATAAGTTATCTCTGAGCTTCTACAGATATTATCGGATATATCGAGTATAGGGAGGACAGGTGCAATTCCACAAATTTGGTGCAGTGGAGGTCTCCTGGGTTGCAGTCCAGCACATAAACAATCCTGAAGTGTGGACTGTAGCGGGCAATAACCTCCTGCGGCACATACTCCATTCCGACACTGTTATAGGCGTGCCAGAGAACCAGGATAAGAGTCGAGCGCTAGAACTTGGAAACGAGGCAGGAATGTAGCGTGTGTGTGGTATGAACTGGAAAACCTTCCAACCCCTCCGCGGCACGGCGCCATTGTCCACAGAGGCAGGAAGCGAGCCACATTGGTGAGGGTCTCGGGGATCTCGAGCACGCGTGTTGTTAGCATGTGAGAAGGATGTTTGCTTGTTATGATTTGGTGATTCGTCAAAGTCGTGTCCAGTAGCGATGCAGTATTTCGGCTAGCAAATGAGACAAGAGTTGGTCCTGAGGGGTGATACTGTCTGTTGTGTCCTCCTGAGGTCGTTGTCCTTGCTGCAGATGGTGAAGACAAAAAGTGGTGTGTTCTTTGTTGGCCCTCATTCTGTCGTGAGAGGAAGCTGATGTGACTGTTTTTGGAGTAAAAGGATGGATGACAAAGGCCAAAAGGGTTGCAGTTTGTTTTTGTCGCGTTTGAATAATGGCGTCTTCGTCGATCAGAAAGTGACACGCTTAAGAATATCACAGAGGTCAATGGTTGGTAGTATGTTTCTGAGTAATTATGTCTGAAATAGTGAAACAATAAACATTTTTTATTTCATGTTACTCTTCTACACAAGAGTTCGAGTGAAGGGAAAACCGTTCCACTCGAACGTGTGCAAACACTCCATCTCCTGAACAATTTCAAACGCCTTCTCCAGCAAGGCCCTCGTCGCCGTCCGTACATCCGCATTCTTTGCTCGGAAACCAATCAACTTCCAGTCAGCGTGCCGCCACCTCCATGTCGAATCCTCTCTTGACTTGCTGTGGAAAAAATCCATAACCTCCCCGCGATTGACTCCAGTCTCAAAGCCCAAGCTCAGTCTCTCCAACCGTTGTCCCCACAACTGACTCTTCAAAGTCTCCGCCACGTTCTCATTGAATATGTACATGCTTTGGATGCCAAAGGTCTTTAGCTGCCAACACTCGACCAACATCTCAACGACTGCCTGAAGATCCAATTGAAAGTAGGCGCTCTGGAGACGGAGGTGTTGCAGAGTCGCCGCATGCCGTGAAATGGCCGATGTCAACTCCTTGCCAACGCAGATGTTGTCGAGCTGGAGTGAGAACAGTCCTGTAGCAGAAACCGGCCCGACCAAAGCTGCAAGTTGATCCTCCGACACACCCCATGCGTCCAACCTCAGATTCCGAAGCCTTGGGCAGCGGTCACGCAGGGCACTAGCAAGGCAACTTGTTTGGGAACTTGCTGGTATTCCTGTCACGAGTGTCTCCAAGCGAGGAAAGCCAGCGACAAGCTCTTCCAGATCATGAATTCCGAGGTTGCCTGGGCCACCATTAAAAATGTCGGTCTCAATTGTTTCCAAGCAAGGTAGCGTCAAACGTCCGTCGTCAATCTTAGAGTTAATGTCAGCAATTCCGTCCTGTTCCAGTTGAGGAGAGAGGTCACAAGGTAAAAGTCCGTATATGCGATGCAGCCTCAGAATTCTCAGCTTGCTACCTACCGCCCTCAAGATGCCAAACAATCGCCTGTCCGACAATTTCCAGCCTCCAAGCGTCAAAACCTCCAAACTCTTCAGACCCACGAAATCGTCCGACTCCAGCGTCATCGATTTAGAGGTAGCCCTTGTCCGGGTGAGGGTCCGGAGCCCTGGGTTCTCCCGCACAAGTTGACTCAGTTGCAAATGTTCCTTGTATGTACAGGTCTCATAACGGTCCAGCTCCAATACAGTCAAAAGAGTACAGTGCAGCGGTCCGGGGTGAACAAGAGCAGGGCGGAGGATCCTGAAATGGTGGCTGTATCTCGCAATGACGTCGTTGGGTATCCGGCTCATAGAGTTTCCGCAGTATGCGTACCAGAGGACAGGGAGAAGGCTCTGGTACCATGTCCTAGAGACCAGAAAACAGGCAAAGAAGGTCTGGGGTCTGAATGCCTTCAATGCCACTCGGGAGGTGGGAGATGGTTCCTCTACAAGTGCTGGGATGCAGAAGCCGATTTTGATGATGATCTCGGGGGGGAGCTCAGGGGAGTTGGTCATCTGATTCTTGTGGGGAGGTCGGGTTGTTGATGTCGATGTGTCTTCTCTGTGTTTGCGTTGAATGTGTTGTGCAGAGAGAATAAGAAAAAGGCGACAGGAAAGGGGATAAAGAAAAAGAGCGTGGGAGCAGAAAAGCGGAAATAAGGCTCACAAGCAAGGTTTCTGCAGAGAGAAGGACCGAGTGTGACCGCTCTCCTTCTTGCCCCACTTTGCTCACTCTAATCGGTTCTGGCTCTATTAGGGTGAATGCAAACCTAATATTTAAAACCAAAGGGCTTACGCACATATTTCATCCGAGATATCCTCCTTTCTCTGTCAGCTGCCTTTCTTTATTACTCTCTAACGCCTATTATTTCATTATTTCGCTCAGTGCGACTGCACTTCAATAGGGTGTCCATTCGAGCTGCAAGTGGAGTAAAAGAGGATCGTTGTTGCTCGAGATTATTCTTTCATTTTTCCCTCTACGACGGTCGATTTTTTTTATCTATGACACAGGTAAAGTTATCAGTGATAGACTGATGGTGCCTGAACGGGGATAACTTGTTCATTCCGTAAAACCTCATTGTCGGGGAAAGACACGGTGGGTAACAATGGCGGTGGCAGCTAAAGCAACAACAACAGTCGCCACAACAGACACAGCAATCGTGAATCATCTCAACAGCCTCGATTAGTCGAAGGAGAGTCGACCTTTGGCTGCCTTAGAGAAAACGTTGGTTGGTTACCCCCATTCTATTACGACTGGAGGGAAACATGGAGCTATCGCCTTGAAGTAAACACAATGTCTAACAATCCATAAGATAAATAATAAAAGCGAATGCTTACCCAACCAAGGATGCTTTGTTGTTGTGCGACGTCTTTGTCCTGTTCTCAGTTTTTATTTCTGCGATGCTTGCAAATATATGTCAGTTATGCATCCATTGCAGTCAATGCCTTGTCGAGGACGTCTCACCCCTTATGCATCTCCCTCGGTGCGATGGAAGGTTCGAAAAAAGAAAAAAGAATGAACAACGGAAAATTGGAAATCACGTTGGTCCACTTCTCCCTTTCTCCACGGGAGCACAAAATGAGAGCGAGGGGGTCCCATTCTTTTTTTAGTTTCACAATGCATCTTTTCCCCACTTCACTATTCATATTCTTCCTTTTCTCCTTCTCACATATTTCCCCATCTCTCTCTTCTCCCTCTCCCTCAACCACACCCAACACACAACTTCAGGAAAGATGATACGCTACTTACACCGTCGACTCCACAAAACCTCACCAGCATCGACCACAATCGTTCAGACAAAGATATCGCCACTAGACATTCCCGAGATCCTGGACCTCATCTTTTCATTCCTCAACGACTATACCCTCCGCCGCTCTGTCCTCCGTGTCAGTCGTCAATGGCACCTCCTCAGCCAGACTCGCCTTTCGAGAGAGGTCATTTGGTCCGAACACTCGAGACCATCAAAGAAAGAAAGGGCACTGCGAACATTACCCGGAGCTAGCAAGGTCCACTTTTCTTTCCATTCCATCACACCTGCGGCGTTCAAGACTGTTCGGGATGCTCTCCTTCATCTCGAGGATGAGGTTGAGTCTGGCGGGAAACAGCAACATCGACGACGACTTGGAACCAATGCACTCGACTGCGACACCAACAACTACAACATGACCCAAACAACCCCAACATCAACACCAACTGTTTACAGCTTTACTCCTCTCAGAGAGATGGAGCTGTTTGTGTGGTACTCCCACACAGATTCCTTCGAATGGTTCCCGCTCCCATCGAGCCTCGTCAGTCTCAGGATTGGATTCAGCTATGCGCACTACACCACCATCGACCTGCAAGGGATATTGGAAAAGTGCCCTGCGCTGGAGCGTCTCTGCATCGAATCACACGGATCGCCTGTCATCCTATCAGATGCTGCACCCCGTCTCAAGTCGACTATCAAGGATGCTTCCCAACTACCACCACTCTCCCTCCGATCCTTGGTTTTGTGTGGAATTGGCTTTGCGCAGGAGGATTTGGAAACTCTATTGCTGCTTACACCGAACCTCAAGGAACTACAGTTGAGGTCGATGCTATGGAGTAATGCCCTCGACAAGTACGAATGGGCTCGGTTGTTTCAACTCTTGAAGAGGAGGAACATCACTCTCGACAAGGCACATTTTTCGATGGCCGGGAGCGCGATGTCGGTAGAAGAGACCGAGATGCTCTTGACAGGCGTGTATCGTCCTTCATCACAGGAACGGTTTCTCTGGGCCCTAGATCTGACACCTCAACTCCTTCAGTCGGTTTTCTCAATGGCAGACACTCTGACGACCCTGGAGATCTTGTGGAAGCCGACCTCGAAAGAGTATCCCAGGGAATGCTGCGAACGGTCTCTCCTCAACACCCACGCACTCATCCACAAGCTACTCTGCGAGTCCCCCCGCCTTGTTCATCTCACGACTCTCAAGACAATGGTGCGACTACAGGACATTGATCTCTTTGACCGGGCAGGATACACCGATCTAGACACGAGACATGACGCGACTGTAGCCGAGAATGTCCAGAGCTCTTCTTCGACATCTCGCCCTCCTCCTGCAATCTGGCGCTGCCGTAGCCTCCGTACCCTCCACATCGACCTCCACATCCCCCTAACCACAGAGGAACGACCAGTCTACAGCCGGATCGTCTTTGGATACGTCTCTCGCGTGTGCCCACTTCTCGAAGATCTCCAGATCGGTACCCAGGAAACATGTCACTCCTGGGTCGGACCTATATACTACTTTCGGTACTTCTCTGGGCTCAGTATGAGCCTCGGTGGAGGACTGTGCCTGCTAGGTCGATTGAAGTTCCTGCAGAGGCTACGAGTGTTTTCCGACGTTGGCGATGGCAAGAATGAATACAAGGATTGGGACGTGAACTGGATCACGGCCTCTGGAAGGAAGAGCGTATTGTCGAATTGGAAGCGGCGGCGAGAGGTCAAGAGCTGGAGAGAGTGGCGGCGGAATGAGGACCTGGTCGAGACTGTTCGTGCAGAGATCAGAATGCGGCTGGCGATAAGCGGGACTAGTCATCCTATACCCGACGCGGATGCAGTGATCTTGAAGCAGCTCGAGAACTTAGGTCTTTTGTTTGATGTAGAGGAGATGGTGAAAGAGATGGAGGTGAAGGAGTTTCGACCTATGCCGGCTCTTGAGGGGTTGTCGCTTAACCACCCGACGCTGATGCCACCAGAGACTGTGCTTGAGCATTTGTTTCCCAGCATGCTGGATAAGTTGCGCTCTCGTTGAGTCATCTCATATCTCAGATAATAAAAACTCGAAGGACTCATGCACACTTTGAACGTGAAGGCGTATTCTTTTTTTTCAGAATATAAAATGCCGCTGTCAATCACCCATAAGTCAGCATTGGTCCTTGAACAATGATATTCACGTTTTGGAATCGTTGTCTAGTGCTGTATTATTTTCAGGAGCCATTCATCTCATCCATAACTCATCCAAGCACAGTTAATCAACAAACAGCACGAGACCTATTCCCGAGCGCTTCTTAGTTGAGCGCTCCAAGACGAGACCTGATCTATCTTCCTCCTGCAATATCTTTCGGGTTTCCTGTGGTCGCCCCCTTGAAGGTGCTGTGGTAGTGGCGACGGGCGGAAGTGATTGCTGATATTGTTTGCGTGAGTTGTCGGTTCCGATTGGTATCGATTGTGACCAACACTGTAGTTGTCGTGTTGGTGGTTATTTTTTTCTTGTCCTTGATAATCTTGGCCACCGTCTTGACATGTTCGAACCTGGACGTTCATGACTGCCTTTAGTTCAGACGCGCTGGGGGGGTTTTTTTTGCAAGGATTTTTTTGGCCTTGGATTGGATGGGAGTAGTGAGAAATTTCTTTTTACAATTCACTTGAAGACCCGCAAAGACTCCATGGGTGAACTCTAATTGGAAGTAGCACGTTAAGAAGTACGACCCTCAACACCACCGCCACCATGACAACAACAACATTGACTGTGTGTGGGGCGAGAAATTTAATGAATCAGACGCATGCACACAATCGAAAATCTGGGACGCCTCAAATCGGTAAGATAAGTAAACCACCCGGACCAGCCAAGGGTACTTATATCAAATGTTTTAATTCTTATTACAGATAGAAGGCAAAGAAATCGCGCAGAGTAACAAGGTAATAGGTATGATAAGAGGGGAAAGGAAGAGAGAGGGAGAGAGAGAGAGCAAGAGAACGACAGATAGAGGAAAGAAGAATGGAGTGACATTGGGATATCACTTGTATCCAGTCCTGAAATAGTCCATAAGGTCTCTATTGCTGTATCCCCCTTGCATTAGCGTCGATTGGCGTAAAGACGGCGACGACGAAGGGTACCGGAGCAGGCAGCGCCCTTGGTCCAAACCGAGGCTGAGCCGGGAGTCTCGCCTTGAGTCCACCACTGTGCAGTGTAGACGAATCCGGCATACGAAACCTTGGCGCCACCACTGTAGGCCGTCGAGGAGGACCAAGCGCCAACAGAACCACAGCCGCCAGGGGTAGGAGTGCCAGTGGGAGTGGGACCAGTGCCACTGCAGGCACCAATGTCGGACCAGGGGGCACCAGCAGAAGGGACGTTGTTCTGGGACCACCACAGAGCAGAGTAGAGACGGCCATTGTACGAGACTTGGTCCTGGGCATTATAAGTGGCGGTGGCGGACCAAGCAGGAGCAGAGCACGATCCACCGGTTGGTGTCGAGGTGGGGGCGGTAGAGGTACGAGTGGAGGTTGTGGTGGTAGTAGCGGTCGTTGTCGTGCGGGATGAGGTTGTAGTTGTTGTACTAGGTTGGCTATGAAGGTAGTTGGCGGCGGCTACAGCAAGACCGGACTGTTTGGCGATTCCAACGTCCCACATCATTACACCACCAAAGTTCGAGTATGACTTGACGTTGCCGAGGATTGTGGTAAGTTGACTGGCTCCAATGATACCCGAACCTGCACCTCCGGGGCCACCAGGGACACCTAAAAGCACTCGCACGTTCTTGTTGATGGACACTTCCGTGGCCCATTTGTTCCATGAATCAAAGTTGAAGTTACTCGTACCGTAGCTCTGCACGCCGCAATAGTTGTTGTAGAACTGGACCAAGACCAGGTCAAACCATGCCGCGTTGAGTGCGGCCTGTGTGGCCAGATCTGGGTATGGGCATTGGGGGGCGGAGGTGATGTAGAAGGGGCGAGACGTGGCTGCGAACTTGGCGCGAAGGGTCTCAATGAAGGCGACATATCCTTTGTTGGTGCCGGATTCAAGGTCAAGATCGACACCATCAAGAACGGCATCACCGAATGGACGCGTGGCCGAGTTGCCGCCCAGGAAGATGTTCCAAATCTGCTCCGCAAATGCAGCACCTGCCGCAGGATCGTCAATAGAGTAGGAGCCGGAGGCACCGCCAATGGAGATAACAAGGGCCTTTCCTTTAGCTTGGCAGGCCTTGATATCTTGGCCAACTTTGGGGCAGTTGAGAAGACTAGTTCCAGGGAAGGTAGCACCGCAGTGATTGGCCAAGTTTAGGATGGGGGCGCCGTTCACAATCTGGGAGACAAAGGCAACGACAAAGGCATCGACGGTATCATCCTGGCAATAGGTGGCCAGATCACCTTCGGTGCCTCCAACGGACGAGACAGAGCTGTTTAAAGGAAAAGGAACGATGAAAATGGACATGTTTATTAGCACATAGTGTAGAGCAGACGATCCAAAGCAAGAGAATAACAGGGTGAAGTTCATACTGCTACATACTTTTGTCCCCAGTAGTTGACAACATTGGTCTTGCTAAGGGGGTTGAAGGCCAGAGTACAATGCCCAAAAAGGGCAATACTGAATAGCGCATAAAGCGCAATTTGAAATGGGTTCATCATAGTAAGGCGAGGTGAGGCTGCTGAAAACTGCAAACGTTATGTGGGGAAGAGGTAAGGGGATGAAGAAATCTGAGGAAGGAAGAAGGGAGGAGGGGGGGTAGATCGTAAGTGGATAGTGGGCCAAGTAGAGTGGGTTTGCGAGAACAACGATCTGGGGAATTTCCGCTTCAATGGTCATTATATAGGTAGGTAGGTTCAATCCGATAAGAGGGTGTAGCCCTGAGGAATAGAAACTCACTCCCCATGGCCGTACATGAACGTGTGTACAGCACATGTGGAGAGAAGTAACAGAGACATGATATATCTTTCACACACAACAATCAAAATGCCATCTTCAATCTTTCATCGCCAATCGCCCATTGTCCATCGTTATCGGCATTGATCGCGCTACATAAAGGCGCCATGGCACTTCATTGGCTAATATCCTTTATTACGACGTCTTGTTTGAAAATGCAGAGTGCCTTGCAACATGTCGCATATGCAATCAGAGCCCAAATCTTTGATATCTCCCTTGTATCGTCCCTCGCGATGGACGCTCACAGAGTAAAAAATTTGCATGTGTTGATGTGCTCTAATTTTCATGTCCAAATGCCCTTTGTGCCTGAATTATCTATTCCACGGACGCGATTGGTAGACTAGTACAAAATAAGACACGGATGCACGTTAACTTTGCTAGGGTCCAGACTCTATCCGTTGTAACCCTCGTGCAGGGAGACAATATTTGCGGGATAGAGTGCATAAAGCTTACTCGACCAAATAATCCGTGCCCGTCGTGCAGGGGACAATATTTGCGGGATAGAGTGCATAAAGCTTGCTCGATCAAATAATCATCATCCCACCTCGTATACATACTTGCATGTAAAGCTCGTATTGTCGAGTGGTCACCGCGATCGAATGGACCCATAAGCATGGGCTTTCTTATAGCTGCATACGGCCAGCCCTTTTATCACTTCCCTTAATCTTTCTCTCGGCATTACCAGGTGTGGACTCCTTAACGTTGCGCCCTTGTGTGTCATATTCAACTGTCATACGATGTACTTGTTGCCTGCTCTTCACTCCCCTCTCAATTCCACCCTTATCCACTATCAAACGCTCGGTTCTCTCGCATGTATTCTTGTGATCGTACAAACGGGTCTCAAGCTCGAGACCTCATTCAATTTCACGAAACAAATCCATTCAGAACAATATACGCTGGTACTATCCCGTCGCCTGTCAATGTAAGCTTTGGATAAAACAACTATAGTTTCTATCTGCAATTGTTTGTGTAGGGGTCTTGCAAGGGGCTCGGGCCGTCCTAGAGACTGGAGATAATGTTCGCGAATGATGGCAATACTGTGCGCGCCTACCAAGTCTCGATGAATCCAGCGCTCGCATTCATTACAGGCACACACTCTCATACATGGCTTGGCGAGTCGGGTCCGCTCGACCTTGGAGACACAGATAGGGCATACCGTAGACATTATATACTCGTCTACAAATGCAGCCTTGCAAGCAAGGACTATGTCCCATCAGTTAAAAAATAACGAAAGGGTCAATACACAGGTGTCTCTACATCGCCACCGCATCATGAAGGTACATACAATTAATAGATACGACCATGCATACCTCTTCTACCCACTCTCTCGTCTTGTTATCTTTTGCAGTAGCCGGCGCAGGAACGTGGTATGCACCAATGTGAGGTTCAGTCCCGACTTGAACGTGCCATTGCCGACGGCGAATAGTACTTTTCTCTCTATGACCGGTCGTCACGATGCCCCCCAACGCCTCATCGACCATTCTCGTCACGCCTGGGTGTGGCGAAAATAAGTTGAGAGTAGTATGTAGGTAAATGTGGAGGAGAGTGTGCGGTGTGGATTGTGCTGGAGTGAGGGCGGTTAGGAAGTGAAAGAAGAAAAGAAAGAAAGAAACAAGGAGCTTCTCATTATAATCTTAGGTTAAATAATAAGAGAATGTGGGAAGGAACAAATCCTTGTTTCGACAGGATGCGTCGGGTGCACGTCCTATCGACAGTACACACCCAACACTAAACGGGTGATGCATCTGCCCATCGACTGCGTACATCACGATGTCTTCTCCTGCAGATCGGGATATGCAGATATTAGAGAGATACGGACGACAGAGACTATCAAGCGGCTCAGGACTCTGCAGTTTTCGAGCGGGAAATAAATTGGCTCTTTAAGTCATTCTGAGTATCTCTCTTTTCTTTCTCCGCTTCGATCGACGATTTTTCTGTCTGCCTATTCATGAACCACGTTTTGCAAGGTACACGTGTACAGAACAATTAATGGGGGGGGAGGGGAAGGATTTTTCTGGCACATCCTAATGTTAAGCCCCTCCCCCACTCACACTTTCTCTCTCTCTCTTTTCCCTTACCATAGCGTTCATCAGGACAAGTCCATCGCTTTTCTCATCAGTAGACGCCACCAAACTTTATCGGTTTCAAACTAATCTAAAATTTTCGCTGCCAATCATGTAAACGAGGAACGAAATAAAAAAGAAAGGGGGGCTTTAATTCGAAGGGGAAAAAAATGTGACGATTAATGTGAGAGTACACTTTTTTCTCTCTTCTCTCCCTTCCTCTCAAGTCCTCTCACGTTCTCTGTTTTTCTCAGCATATCTCAATCTCAGCAGGGATTGACTGTTTACCAAACAAGAGGAATCTCAAACTCACCAGCAGAGACACTCTGTACTGTCGACAGGTGCCTCAATGAGAGATCCTGTCGCCTGGATCCAAATCTTGAAGGAGTAGCGCCGCATCTTCCTCTCCCCTGTCTGGATCAACACCTCGAACCTGCAGCAGATCTATCGCTATGATGTCGAAGGGGAGGATGGGGTCGCTGGGTTGTGGGCAAAGACCTCGTAAGATTGATCAAGGAGTAGGAGGAGTGCAGGGCCTGTCGACCAGGTTCGGGTTGGGTAGTTCATCGTCGACCTCTGGGCTTTTAAGATTTTTTGCTCTTACACCTACTTGGACCGGATTCGGTGCTCCTGCTGCCTCTACAGGATTCGGTGCATCTGCTGCCACTGCAGGATTCGGTGCGCCTGCTCCTGCTACGACTGGATTCGGTGCCCTTGCCACTGGTGAATTTCACGGATACGGCGCGAGCCTTTTATCATCACCCGCATCAGCAGCAGTGGCAAAAGCAAGCGAATCCTCACCCTCCTCATCCTCCAGCATAAACACAAAACCCAAAGCCGTAAAGTCCGTGGCCGTCGCAGAAGAGACCATTCTCCTCACCCTCCTCGCCCAAAATCCATACCTCGAATACCTCGCCCTCCCTTCTTACTGTCTCGAGAAAGAGGATGTTGTGGCGCTGCTCTGGGAGTCGTTGATGTCGTTAAAGGAGTTGCGTTCGCAGTCGGAGTCACCGGGGCAAGGGGGACTATGGTGTGCAAGGGAGGGTGCGAGAGCGGCACGGTTCTCGCTGTTTGATCGACCGGTGATTTATGATGGTATGCGTTCCGTTTCGGCGTTCATGGGGCATATTCAGCCTATTGCTGGAGTTGGAGTTGTAGGAGGAGGAGGAGGAGGAGGAGATATGTCGTCGGCAGCATGGGCGCTGGTGGAAAAGTACCCGCGGTTGAGGGATCTTCAACTAGACCTGGTCGCGACTATCAACCGCGAGGAATTGGATGCCCTCCGCGCCGTAACCGACTCGAACTTGGCCTACCTCGAGATTGATGTGGGTAGTCAATTTTGTAGAACAGATCTGTCACCAAGTTCTTGTCAACACCCCGGGAGAGGGGTCCTTCTCGACGTCCATTGAGCTGGCGACTTGTGGGCCAGGGGAGGAGCACCGTTTCGACAATACTGTCATGGATACCTTTCTGAGACATGCATCGACGTTGGAGTACATTGATGTATCGGGCCGTCGCTTTTGTGCGGAGACTTTGCAGGCTTTACTCGATAACGGTCCGAGGTTGAAATTTGTAAAGACCATGGAGGACGATCTTGGGTACCGCCCTAGTCTGGAGACAGAATTGGATTTCATGGGAGCTATTCAGCACCTCTGGCGATGTGAGATGCTAGAAGTTTTCGAGTGCAAGATCATCAACGTCCCCCGGCCCGATGTGTTCGTCGCCGAGATTGAGCCAGAGCTCGACCTCAGCCAATGGACACCGCCACCCCCTGCATTCACCCTCGAAACACCCCCCTCCCCGCTCGCGGTCCAAGAATCCCACACCTTCCAACGACTCCTCCTCAAGAACCTCGGCCGCTGTACGCACCTCCGAAAACTGTGGCTGGGCACATCCGGGAACAACCGCAACGACCCCGAATACTCCTACCTCGACCTGAACGGTCTCCGTAGGATGGTTGTCGACGGCTATATGCAAACCTCCTGCCTAGAACTCTCTCTTGCCAGTGGGTTGGATGAGCTGAGCGGATTGGAAGAGTTGGAAAAGTTAGTGGTGGCGGGGATGGCGCATAGGATTGGGCTTGCAGAAGTGAAATGGATGGCGGAGCATTGGCCCCGGTTGAGGAGAATTTATGGATTGGAGTACTATGATTGCGACGATCAGCTTCTAGATGAGGGGGAGGAAGAAGAGCGAGTGGTGCCAGAGTGCATTGTGTGGTTGAGAGAGAGCCGGTCCGACATCACAGTCTCTTAGCTCTGCTCTTTCTTCAAGTAAAAAGCTACGGAAGAAAATAAAATAGAAAACGCCTGCACACAGCATCCATCGCAAGGTAATCATGAACATTGAAAGCTGAGGTTGTCGGTTCGCTTTTTTTTCTTTGACATACGAGCATATTTTAATGACGACGGGTATAAACAATATGGTTCCACGTCAAGGTCTTAAGATCTCGTAACCCTTCCACAAACCCAAATACCATCCTCAACGTCTCCTTATCAACTTTACTCGCATCCCTTCTCAAAGACTCATGACTCTGAGGGAGAAGTAACCAGCCAATAAATGCCACATCGCTCGAAATAAATGGCTCGGCTTTTCCACCACCAACATCCGCAATGCTCCTGTTGTTCTCCAAGAATGAATATCCGGTCTCGATGACAAGGTGTTCTAATCCAACACACCCCCACGGCTGGCTACTCAAAGTGTCACAAAAGACTTTGAGTGTGTGGGAGACACGTGCGATGAGCTTGAACAGGCGGAGATGTCGACACTCGACCAGGATTCGAAGTACTAAAACAAGCTCGTCCTTCGGATCTGGTAGAATAATGCTTCCATCGCCGTCGCCTCCATCCTCACCGTTATCATCGTCGTCGATATCCTCGTCCGTCAGTCCATAGGAAACAACATGCAAGTCCGTCAACGCCTCAGCATGACCCAGGATCGCCCCCACCAGCTCCTTATCAAGCACGGCGACAGAAATCTCCAACTTCCCCAACCGCCCCGGGACTGGACCTTCTCGAAGCACCCTCGACGTCAGTGCAATATCACCAAAGGAGGACGACACCAGGGTCAATGAGTTCAAATACGGACACTGGTTCCGTAGGCTTATTGAGAGACGTGTAATGATAGTATCTATGGGCCCCACTGAGGAAAAGGAATAGAAGAGGCGTTTCAGGTTTGGGCAGCAATCAACCAGCTCGGTGATTCCAGGGTTGCTGTGGGACTGAGAGAGCGATAGATTCTCGACTAGGGGTAGCACCAGAGGCCTGTACTGCTCCCGAGTTCCTGTGTCTCCAATAGTTGCATCTCGACTTCTGTCATCGGCTGCAACAGTATCCCCTACCTGAACATCCACAACAGCACCCAACCCTAACAGCTGCAGCGACCCCGCAACACTCCTCAACACATCCTTCAAACACCCACCTCTGCCAGACCAACGACTCAACCTCAAAATCCTCAACCCCTTCAACCGCGCAAAATCCTCTCCCACCAACCTCTCATGTGGATCATCAGCCCCACACCAATACAACTCCCTTACCGCAGGGTTCGACCTCACCAACGCTCTCTGGTTCTTAACACCCATCTTGGTCTGTCGATAATACTCCTTGAAGAATGACACCTTGACCAACTGTGTACAGTAAAAAGGCCCTGGCGAATTACCCGCAGCTTCAAAGATGCGGAAATGAATGCTGTTCCTGGATACGACCTCAGGCGGGACAGACCCGCCATTGATGACTACATTGTTGTAATTGGTGGTTTCGTGGGGATTGGTGGAGTTGGCGTTATATCCCATGTGGAAGGAAAAGTAGGTGTACCAGAGGATGGGCGTGAGATTTTGGTGCCAGAGTTTTGAGACAAGGCTGCAGTTGAGGAGAGTATGGGGTTCGAAGCGGATAGAGGTTATTATTCCAAGACTGGGATCTTTTTTGAGGTGCCCAGAGGGGTAGGAAGTGGCCTACTCTTGCGAGGATTTCTGGGAGATCGAGGGGGTTAGTGAGCATTCTCTTTTTGCTTGTCTGTTGTTGTTGTTGTTGTTGTTGTTGTTGTTGTTGTTGTTGTGAAGCAATGACTGAAATTCGGAGGGAAGATGAGCGAGTGAATGGCGGGGCAAGCACAATGGGACAATGTCACAAAGTGAACTGAGGAAGAACAATTAAGAATGGAAGGAGTGAGGGTGACGTGAATGAGAGATATGTAAACGAGGAGTGAAGGAAAGGGTGAGGGGCTTTTCATTGCTCAACTGCACAAATCTGCACATGCTTAATCTATTTGATATGACGACACCTGGGAGGAGTAGATGATCGACTGTACTCAATGTCCTTCCACTTAACCGTGTGCAGCTTCTTAAACCCCTCCACCATCCCAAACAGCATCCTCAGCGCAGCCTTGTCCGTCTCATCCCTGCTCCTCCTCGATGCTCCAAAGTCGTGCGATTCCTGTGGATGACGGTACCACCCCATGTACGGTGTCTCGCTCGATATTATCATCTTTTCTCCTCCATCGCCCTCCTCCTTGCCCTTCTTTGCTGCTAGTCCAACGGTCAATTTGTCCAGTCGAACTTCCTCCTCCTCCTCCCTCCTCTCTCTATCGTGATCTACTGTCTCCTTGTCCTTGTCCTCACTACTACCACCACCCCCATCGAGATAGTCCTCTTCCTTCTCCTCCTCTTCCTCCTCGTCGTCGTCGTCCTCACTGTAATCCTCGTATCCAAACTCGCAATAATTAAACTCGAGCCCGAGTTTCTCCAACCCGGTACAAGCCCACGCCTCCGCCCTCCACGCCTCCAAAACATCCACATCCGGCACAGACGTATCCAGCATAAACCGCAACGACCTCAATTTCTCACACTTGACCATAATCCTCAACACCCCCTCCAGATCCACCGCATCCTCCGCAGTACTGGCGATCGTCAATTGCTCCAGTGTCGAGGCGTGCAATAGGATTGCAGAGATGCAGTCCTGTTCGAACCCTATCACGTCCATATGAATCTTTGTGAGCCCTCCTGCAGAGAGACACGATCGCAACAGTTGGATGGCGTCTTCTTGCGGGAGGAGAACATCCTTGAGAACGAGGACTCTGAGCTTCTGACAGTGATCGCGCAAGCATAAGGATAGGCGATATGTCTCCCCGTGTCCTAATCCTGTGACGGTCAGACGTTTAAGATTGGGGCAACACTGTGCCAGCTCGACATAGTCGGGGTTCCTGTCAAAGATGACCTTGATCTTTTCCATATACGGAAGCACAAGCCTGTCCTCTTCTTGCTCCGTTTGAACGAGCGCAGCAAGGTCCGTCTCTGTCATTGTCGCTGCGCTGTTGCTGTCGCTGTTGCTCCTGTTGTAGTTGTTGAGACTGATGATATAGTCATCCTCCTGTTCCTCAGGATGATAAACAGGATTCAACCGCCGATGAAGCGCCCCCGAAAGATCTCCTGGCAACACACCCTTGATCCTGCTGACCTCAAACGTCCTAATCGTCTCCTTTACAGCCCCAAGCACCTTCGCCAGTCGTCTCTCTCCACCATCCCAATGAAACAGCCTCAACTCCTGTAACGACTTCAACCCCACAAAATCCTCCATCTCCAACTCTGTCGTCCTGTCTGGTCCATGCCACACGAGGTATCTCAACCGCGGGTTGGCCCGAATCAACGCTCTCTGTGCCTCCAAACTAATCCTCTGATCCATCATCTGAATATAAATCGTCAACTCAACAAGGTGGGTCGACAAGAACGGGCCAGAATGACAACCAGAGGAACGGAATATCCTAAAGTACGGACTGTATCGGGTGATGACTTTCTGTGGTATGGCAGACATCTTGATGCCGTCGTAGCTGAACCAGAGGATTGGGAGGAGGGTCTGGTACCACAGTTTGGAGACCTGCATGGATGAGAGGAGGGTGCGGTGCTCAAAGGCCATGATCTTTTCGCCTCGGTTGCTATCGTCTTGCTCTACCCAGAGGGGGAGGAACTGGCCGATCCGGGTCAGGATCTCTGGGACTTCTAGGGGGTGTGTCGACATTATTGTTGTGTTGTGCTATGTATGTCTTGTCCTGCTGCAAGCCTGCTGGGTATGGGTGGGTGGGGTGGTAGAGAATCCGTGATTGTTGTTTGATGTTGTTGGTTGTTTGTATTTGGTCGTTATGTTGTTTGTGTCGTGAGAAGTGAAGTGAAAAGAAGTTAAAAAAGCGCTTTAAATGATGTGGGAAAGATAACGTGTGGCAGAGTCACAGTCACTCTATTATGAAGGGTCAGCGCAGAATCACAGAAAATGTAGTGCTCAATGAAAAACAATAATTTATTTGGACACCGTTGACCCTAAAGTAAAGATAGCGCATATGCTTCATCCTCGCAACCTGCCCAAATACCTTGTCAACCACCGCCTCCTCTCCTCTCTGGAGAACCCAATCACCCCCACCACCATCGGTATTCTCGCCATCGTCAATGTCGCCGTCATCCCTATATATATCATCAATATCATGTAGATCGTCCATCCGGTCAGTCACAACGCCCAAAGAAAGCGCCTCCAGATCTCTCACCCAGGGCACATTACACCAGGTGTCAATCTCCTTCAGGCTAAGCACATGGATCCTCGCATTCAACCGGAACTCCCTCAGCCTGCTCAACCCTGTCAGAAGTAGTAAGACGTTTTTGATGGCAAATTCACTCGGGTTGGTGGAAAATCTTCAACCTCTCCAGTATCCTCGCCCGCGTCATGATCGCCGTCACGATCGCGCCCGTAGCCCCAAGTCCTGACAAGCCGAAACTGATCAATCCTGCCATGGAACAGCTCTCGATAATCTCGACGGATAGCTGGTCCCGCAGAGAGTAGTTCTTGGGGCACAGGCCTCGAATCTTGGGACACTGCGCTCACAGATACTCAAGTCCCTCCTTCAGAGGTGGGGACCTTCCGCCGACCTGCAAGGAGAGTTGCTCCGTGTTTGGGCAGAGGAAGGCTACTTCTTGCAGGTCACGAACTGAATTCAGGCCGCCGAGTAGACCTAGCCTTGTGACAAAGGGGAGAGCCAATTGGTCTCCGTCCTGCTGATTGATGTCAGTGTCGGTTGGGTTCACGCCAAGGCTGTTGTCAAGCTGGTTTTGTTGGTTTTCTGGCAGAAACAGGTCGCTCAAGATGCTACCGAGTTCCAGAGCCTCCAACGTTCCCGCAAAAGCCCTCAACACCCTCCCCAGCCTCCCTCCAGTAACACCCCATTCAGCCAACCGCAAGTGCTTAAGACTCCTGAGCTGCGAAAAGTCATCCGTCTCCAGAGTCGTCCTGGGGCTCGGACCAGACCACGTCAACGGCCTGAGTCCAGGATTCGCTATCACCAACTGCCGATGGATCTCCTTCTGCAAAGTAGGTTCTCCATACTCATTCTCGCTAAAGTACGGGCCCACAATGCTTAAAGTCATAAGGTGCTGACAATCAAAAGGTTGATGTACGTTAAAACTCCAGTAAAGTTCCTTGACGTAGCGACTGTTTTGAATCATGACACTGTTGGGGATGTCGCCCGTTCCTAATTGGTCATATGTATGCCAGAGGATGGGAAGGCGGGTCTGGTGCCATAGTTTGGAGACAAGGAGACAAGAGGCGAGTGTTTTTGGTTTGAAGGTGAAGTATTTAGTCTTCCCAGGAGCGTGTCCAGAGTGGGAGGAAGTAGCCGATGCGGATGAGAATCTCGGGCAGTTCGAGTGGGTGAGTGGACATTCCCGATGTGTCGAGGGTTGTTTGTCTGAGGATGACTGAGCGTTGTTTGAAAGGTGGCAATGAGTTGTGTTAACAAGAAAAAAGGAATGTAAAAAAGACAGAGGAAGGCGCAGAAGAAGAAAAGGCGTTGCAATGGGAGGCGCAGAGAAAGAAGGTGCTGAGAGAAGGGGCGTAGACTAAAAGAACGCAGAGTCCGCTCCTCCCTGTGTCAATGGTGACTTGACAACACGACTTCTTTTTCCTTCGGTCCTGTACGAGATTCGTTTGTTATCCATAAGAAAACAATGGTGTGAGAACAACCAAAGGGGAAGAATGGGAAAGCCACAGGCGTCGGTTAATTTTCATCTGTGCAAAAGAAAAAGGATAGCACAGTACAGCATAATAGGCGCTGACATGTTTCTAAAACAAAATGGCCTCATTTGCTCTGTTTCCGTCGCATACCCACCTTGAACATTGCCTTCTACATGTCACTTCTAGAGTTTGCATGTTATTGACTTTTAATGGCGCAATGCATAGAGTCCACTTAGCTGAATAAAAAAATGGGAAAAAAGGCTACTGTCTTCGTTTATTCAAATATAAAGAGAGGGAGGGACGACCAAGACTGAGAACCGAAGATGCTGTTTGACAAAATCGGTCTCACGTAGAACTACTCGGTCTCTAGCTAATCAGCCCTTCGTTCCATTCACGCCCCTACTGTTGACCTGATACACTTCTTCATGACCCATTCTGTATAGTATCCCAGTTCAACAGTCAGATCTGCCGGAAGCTCCTCCATTCTCTCCGCCACAATTCTCTCGGTCGTCCAGCAATACCACACGTAGTAAATAGAAAGCAACTGGAGCCTTGAAACGTTTAGAGACGCCAGTAACGTCTCTAGTCTTTGTTTGCTGATAAAGCTCAAGAACAGACGCTTCAGAGGGAAGTGATTAAGGAGACCGCCTAACTGGAACACCGGGCTTTCATTGGACCGCAGCATCGAAGAGTCGATCTGGCACACATCTTTTCTTGGAAGCAAGTAGTCGATGAGAGCCTGCGGATCGTCCCTATGCTCTAAGAGGACTGACAAAGACTTCAATGAACTGATGTTGACGTGCTTGAGGAGGCCCTTGGCAAAGCATCCGGTGCCAAAATGAACAAGGTTCAGCTCTGGTAGAATAGATGCGAGGTGGTTGATCGATTCCGCAGACATCCCGGCAGAAGGGTCGACGTGGATCAAGTTGGAAGACAATGGGTGGTCTAACAGTCGTGAAGAGATATCACCCTCGTGAGGCAAACATGTGGAGGACACATGTTCTGATGGGAAAGTGAGATCCACGTTCAGACTCCAAGAAAGTTGGCATATAAGCATCAGGACCCCCAGAGATGTCCATTTTTGGCGAATCAGGGTTTGAAGGTAGGCGGGGTGGAACTTCCATTGAAGTACAGGTCCCTCATAGTATAGGAGGAGGAAAAGTAGTTGTCCTCTTCGACGCCACGGTCTTGTTGGTCCACATTGTAGAGGTGCAGAGATTGCAGCTTCTTTAAGGAGCAAAGGCCGCGTTGCAACGAGGAATCCATCTTGTTCGAGACTTTAGTCGAGTCGAGACGGACATCCGCAAGTCCGGGGCAGTGGTGGAGGATGTTTGTCAGTCGGGCATTATCCTCTGCGGCGACCTCCTGGAGGAAGCGAAAGCTCTGCAGGAGAGAGGGGCTGTGGCTAGAAGGAAGGTCCGAGGTTCGTGCTGACAATAAGAGGAGGTTGGTGTAGCACAGCCCCTGAAGCTTGGTGTTGGATAAGAGGCCGAGAAGAGAATGATAGCGTCCTTTGCCAGGTCGTAATGATGCGATGGCTGTGTTGGCAGCCAGGTCCCTGAAGTCCAAGTTGAAGATCTTGACGTTGGTGCGATGAGGCATATCCACAATCATGACCAGATCGGCAGAGCCAAACTTCCAGTCGAGGGAGACATCGAGCACATCGATCGCGGGCGCTTGGTTAACAAGACGGCGGAAAAAATCCTTGGCTGTTGTGCTGGACGTCAGGCTAATGGAGATTTTGCGGAAGTGAGGGTCGTAGACGCCGCCGGCTGCCTCAATAGACTGGGAAAACGACGTCAGCGCGGTGCGTCGATAGGTTTCCTTGTAGTGATCAAAGCAGACCCATTTGACGTGTCCTTGGTTGGTTGTGATCCTGTAGAGGTTGCCGAGAATTTTGTCCGCTTCCTTGTTCCGCAAAAACGAATCAAGGCGTCTCAGGTCCGCCCCTTCCAGTGCAGCCAGGTCCTCGAACATTCTCTCCTCCAGTGTTGAAATACTGGATTGTGTGCCTACTCCCGTCACCGTCTCGTCATCCAATGTCTTCTCGAGAAAACCGATCGACATATCAACTGCCTCCATGGTACTCTCAGGTATTGACTTGACTCCGTTCATAATATCCTTGACACCACTCTCAGCCATAGCCATAACAGGAGCAACCACCACGGCAACAGCCAGACAATGCCTAAAGATCTTGAGCATGCTAAGAACATAAGGACCATACTGATCAAAAACTCGGTCGGGCGAGAGAGCTCGTATCCTTCATATTTAGTTAGGTGGTTGCTGCTCTTGACAGGTATGGGAGCAAGCGACTCAGCTGTGGCAATGGTGAGATGGTCAGAAGAGGCACTGGTCGTGATGTCGATGTAGCAAAGGTCGCCACACTCACAAAGAAGAACAGCCGGAATCGCTCCTTTACAAAGTTGCGCAGGCCCCATCTCTCGTACGAATCTGGTAGGATGACAAAGTGACGCGGAATGGGGTAATCGTGGAGCTCGTAGTTCTGGACCAGGATGGCTTCGATCTTCTGCTGGGCGACGATTAATCGGTCAATGGTTTGTTGCTGCATCCCGCGTAACTCGTCATCCCGCTCCTTGGCTGCTGTCAGCTCCACCAGCATCTTTTCCTCTCGTTCTTTGGCCTCGGGAAGCTATGTGAGGGTATCGTTCTGTCACCGGACCATATGAAAAAGTTGCTGCATCAGCTGCATATGGTGGGCAGACTGGTCATTGGTAGAGCGGTCCAGTTTGATTTGGATCTGCGAGATTTCTGAGGCAATGGACCTTAGCACTGCCATTGGACGAGCAATGAACGTCGTTTCTTGAAGGGTGGCTGTTGGCGACACGCGATCATACGGTCGTCCGTGAGCAATTGCGCTCTTGGCTCGCTAACGGGGAGGATAGCGGACGCACTGATGATAGCCTGAGTTGGGCTGGCAGTGACAATGTCGATAATGTCGTCAGGGTAGCATGCGATCCTCTTGGTCGAATCTTCTCACAATGAAAAAATAGTAACAAGCAGCGTGAGAACCAATTGTCCATCCAGAAATAAAATAAAATAGCAATTGCGCTCACCATCGATGTGCTTGCCATCTTCATGCTGCTTCTTTCTTCCTTACCGCTGCTCGTTCTCGTCCATGAGAAAGTTGATAACAGTCCCTTTGGCCCTGAAGCGCTGGGCGTCAGGGAAGGTCACTTGGATATCGATAAGAAGGGAGTAGAGCTCTCCAGTGTTCTTGTTCTTTCGGACGGTAAGTGTTTCGACCATGTCGCCATTTCGGAAGCGTTGGTGGAGTACCATGTAGACGGGGAGGGAGAAGGTTAAGACGGTTGGGTGATGTAGTGGAGAAATGAATGTAGGTGAATGAATGAATGAATGAATGAATGAATGAATGAATGAGAAGACAGGAACAGGATGTAAAGTGAGAAAGGAGAGAGGAAAAGCGAGGAGAGAATAGAAGGAAGACAGGGGTAGGTAAAAATCTCGTATTCGGTGGTAGGCACGGCGGTCATTGACCATACAAAACCCATCACGCAGCAGATGCTTTTTTCTTTCCATCTTGCTATCAGTGTCAACAGTGAAAAGGAGATGGCTCATGCGCTCTCTTGCGTACCTCGTTGTCCGACAGTGAAGAGGGGATGGGTCCTGGTCGCTCTTGCCTACTTTGACACATAAGGAAGCAGAGAAGTCAAGAACAGCACGTTCAAGAGGCACCGGTTACTAAGGCAAAAACAAGTAAGTCGCAAGGCTACGAAGAGGAAAAAGGTCAAGAGTACATGCCTAGGCAAGAGCTGTTTGAAAAAACTACTGCCAATTTATATTTTTCGCGACCTCAACACGCACTGATACACGTTTTCCTTTTTTTCAAACCAAAAGGGAAGTGTAGGTGGGACACATCAGACGCAACTGTACCCATCTTTCACCCAACGAAGATTGACATTCAACAAAGGTCGATCAATTCCCAGGCACCATCACCCCCTGTTCCTAATCTTGTTTTGATCTTTCTGCGTCTATGCCCCTAACAGAAAAAAATGTCTTTCCAGTCTCCACAACCATAGATTAGAGTAAACAGCGCCCCCTCAAGCTGATTCTTTCAGAAAACAGCTATGCCGCTCCACGCTCTTTACAGTTGGCCAAGGTGAATAGAGAAAGAACCAGGAATACCACTTTCATTCGAGTGCGCTGCCATATTTTATTTTCTCTCTCCCGTTTTCTTTCTGCTCGTTGATTTTCATCATTTTGAAATATTTTTTATTGCAAGAGGCTCCAGGCACTTGCGTGTCGGGTGCGCTCTGACGAAACTTGTTGTGGAGACCGTTCCTAGCATGGTGCGTGATGCGAATGTTCATGTTGAATAGAAGTATAGGGCCGGGTAAGTAAAGACGGAGCGTGTGTCTTTCTCTCAGGACAGCCAAAGTACCCAGCATTTGTACTGAAAGCTCCCAACATTCCATTGCTCTCACGAGTGTTTCTCCTTCCTTGCACATCAAATATATATAGTTGTCGGGAGATTGTTTGCGACGCTCAAAGCTAGGGTTACATTCCGCATTGATCAAGAAAAGAGATCGACCATTCCTCCTTGCATACCCTCCTTCGTCTTGCTCCTTCTCCATCAATGCTAAACACAGTCAGTTTCACACTTCCAATTCGCGCAATATGCAAACGCCTGTCAATGATCCGCCTTGGAAGCAGCCTGCGGATACAGATACAGATACAGATTAAAGGCGCGGAAAAAGAGGAGAGGACTTGCTTACGAACTCCACTATTTTGCCCCTGGACGCACTGCATTGTGCGTCACCTGGATTTCTGGCACTACCCATTCGGTCATACATTGCCCTGTCCTGTTGCCCTTTAACATTTGGCACTCCGGAAACCCTTACCACATTGGGATCATGACTTTGTGCAATGTTGTACGTCGGATAAAAGATCACATGGGTGTTTATGAACGGATTGTAGAGATATAGTGATGCAGCTAGATAAGGTCCAGCACTCCATCATCACCGCAAATGCAATATTGTCTACGGCAAATATAGCAAATGCTCGGGCTGATAAGGTCCAGTGCATTCTGCTGACCCAACTGCTCGAAAGCGATTCGCATCTTCACCGCCCTGAGTGCCTCGTCATCTGCGGTTGCTGCACTCCAGTCCAAGTCTCTGAGAGTGTTATTCAAGCTGGTTTGGATATGCGACTGTAATTTCTGGGCCCTGGATTCTGCTACTGGTGGGAACTGCGAGCGAGCAAAATTGGGTCCTAGCAGCATTGCTTTGTTTGCAATTTCAAAGCTTGTAAAGGTCACGTCTGGATCGCTCATGATCTCGAAACGAAGGTAAGCAAGAAGACCCGCGCGAGTCACCGATGGACCATGGGCCGTGAATACCGTCTCGATCGAGAGGGCCAAGAACAGAGTGTTGAAGAATAAGGAGCTCACTTGACGGTTGATTTGGACATCCTCTGGAAGCGACAATGACACCAATAGGGCCTTCATCTTTTCGGGTTCGAGTAGCTGGGTACCCTTTGGCTCGTAGCGTATATCCAGATAAGCGAAGACTGCATTGGAGAAGGACCGCAAGGTTTCTGTAGGGTTGTACTGATGATCGAGGAGCGGGAACTGGTTTGCCATGTTGTTTTTGTGTGGAATGTGTGTTTCTGGTAGGGAGCAAAAGTGGGAAGTAAAGCAGTGGATACCTCCTCTTTATAACAGTTGAACTGGAACAAGCAGAATTTCATAAGGTGGAAAACAAATCCATTGCGCAGCCCCACAGTTCAACAACGTGTTGGCATGTTTCGATATTGATGCAATGCGTAAAACTCAATCTTGCAGTCGCACAAGGTGGGCATACATGTACGATTACATAAATAATGGTAAACCTGTTATTTAAGTCGAGGTCTAGACCGGATCCATATGACTACGGTTGTTAACAAACACTCCTCACGCACGAAGTGAGGGTGAATGCTATCCCGGCGTAAATCAAAAGTAAATATCCACTCCCCTCTTTTTCCTCGGAGAACTCTATCATACCCATGTGAGCGTCTGGGGTAACCGAGGTTGGTCATGGTGCTGAAAATGTCATCATCAAAACACTGCATCCCTTGTCTGTTGAGGAGGCGCAAAATCGAAACACATGTGAACGATCAGAAAGGAGCTGAAAGTTGGTTCGATGTCAATTGCCACCAAAAAAAAGACGTGGATCGTCCTCGTAGCCTTGGCTAACGAGCACTTCTCTTCGACTTTACTTACGTTTATTTCTCGCCACCCTCTTTTTTCTCAAGCTCACCACCGTTTTTTTAACTTTTTTAACTTTTTTAACTTTTTTTTTTTTCTTTTTTCGCTCCCTCCGCGAGCGTAGCCACGGGTTATATTATAATATTGTGTAAACACGCGCACAGGCTCCCTTTTTGTTAGAGAAGACTCTACTTAAGGGGTGGTGGACGAAACCACCACACATCCTGTTGCGAAATCAGGGGTTCGATACGGAAGATAGAGTGATCGTTGCACTCTCAGTTGTTGTCTCTGTTTCTTCGAATAAAACACTGAAAATAATGCAGTCAGCTAACGTTGGTCGGATGCTCGAGTGTCTTGGAAAAAGGCAAAGAGCAAAAGAACCACCGTGCTACCCTATTTCTACTAGTGCAGCATTTACGTTTGGCTAACTACTGTGAAGTTGAAATTGTGTAAGGGGTCTAGAATTTTGTAACAATCCGAAATCCATTGCGCGTTCAATGGAACTAGGAGAAAACCTATTCTCACGTTACCCGGGCAACCTGGGGCCTGGCTGTCTTGGGGCAAAACGTGGCAATCCCCTCCTCGGACAGGAAATACTGCTTGGCAACCTCCTCCAGCGCTCTTCGCTTCCTTGGCTTGGTCTCCAAATTGACGCCTGTCGCGAGCAATTGAATGATGTTGTGATATCTGCTGAGAACGGACACCTGAACGCTGGAAACCTGTCGAGCCTCCTCCAATCCCAGCTCCCATCCATCGTCGCCGCTCACAATGCAACTCTCAACTCCACGACCAGCAGCAAAATCCCCCTCGGCCCTTCTTCTCTTAACTTCCTTCACAACCTCAGACTCTTCCCCATCATCATCCGAGTCGTCATACATTTGTGGTGGTCTGAGGCTGAGACGCGTGTCGAAGTGTCATGGAGGATACTACCGAGAGGAGGCGAAGGAAAAACTGTCCCTTCTTGCAAAGGCGCGGACGACCCTGTGTCTCCAGTGTTTGGGCCGCTCATGGGAAGGAAAAAAAGGGGCGTATTGGTGTGTGTATGTGTGTAGATGTGTGTATGTAACTCAATAGATGTATAAAAAGGAAAACGACCGTGAACTCTGACACTTTCGACGCTGCTCGGATATCAACACCTGAGAACCTCTTACGGAGTCGACCTCCCAACATGAAGTAATCGGGGATCTTCGGTAGAATCCGGGCTCGCTTGGCAGGATCTAGATGCTCCAAATCCCCTCCGGTAAGGTAATCGATGATGAACTCACTGGGTGTCTTGGAGTTGACCGTTGTAGAGCATGGCGAACTATTGGGGAAGATCACCAAACAATTTAATGTTTCTCAAATGCGAATGCGAATAAATGGATTTTACATTGGTTTTACATGATGCGAATGTGAATGTTACTTCGATTCGATTCGCATTTTACAGGGAAATAAAGGGTGCGAATAATTTCTGAGAAACACTGCCGGACATACACTGGAAGGCGTGGGTAATTTGATCGGCATTAGTAGTTATAAATTGGTTTAAACATGTTGGACAAGTAAGTGAGGGTATATGTGGTAGGAATGAAAAAAGATAGGAACTAGAAGCCAAAGAAAAAGGAATTGAACAAGAATGTGTAGAGTCTGCGATGCGATGAGCAGACAGGACTCGAAAGAATAAATATGGTTTTTGTGTTGTTATTTATTATGTGAAGGAGAAATAGAAAAAGGGAGAGTGTGCAAAAAAAACGGGGAGCAGGGAACACGTAGAAAGTAAGTTGTTGCAGACTGAGGAACAGGAACAGGATGAACAAGAAGAAGATGCGGACGGGTCTGGAATGTTGAATGGGAGAATCGGAATGGAGAAAGGCAAATGGCAAAACGAATGACAGATGTAAATGGGCAATGGGGAAAATGGAGAAGAGGCAAAGGCCACGAATGAACAAGTCCAGGCAAGTAGCCCTTTACGGGTACTGGCCCAGAACCAGAGACAGAACGAAAGGGGCATACAGTTCCAAGGTGACCCTAGAACTTCAGTCGCGTCAAGCTGGTGAATCAGGTCGCATGACGACCCAAATCAACATCCATGGCATGCGCTCAAATAAGAGGGGTAGAAAACAATTCTTGCAAGTACCTGGGAACCGGCGTCTCTAGTGTCGGACTCGGCGGTGGTGGATAGGTCCTCGATGGGCCACCCGGGTTAGTTTTCGGACGGAATGGTGGCGATGGGTCATGCCTTTGCGGTTTTGGTGCGAGGCGCATAGCAGTGTCGGAAGGGATATAGAAGGTAGCAAGAGTGTGTGTAATGTAGTGTGGTGTTGTGTAGTGTTGTGGTAGGGTATCTTTCAGATTTTAAAAATTGCACAACGTGGCAGATATCACGCTTTGGATGAGTTCCTGAAGAGCGGCGAAAAATAAGATTGTTTCATTCCCGCTGTCTTGGATTTGCGTCAATTTAAAAGAAAGTCAAGAACGAAAGGCTAGTCAGTGTATTGTTTTTGTTATACCGATTATTGTATTTTCGTGCCATTTATTTTGCTGCGCGGGAGATGCTTACGAACTACGATTGCAGATTGCAACTTGTCTACTTATGAGTGACTATTCTAGTGGAGTAACGCATCTGCTGTAGCGTGACTTGAGGATAAAGGCCAAAGCCTATGTAGGCAGGAAGAAAAAAATTGGTCAGCTCAGTGCGCCTCTTTTCTTGTATAGAAAAACAACAACAACGCCATCATCACTGCTCCTTGATAGCACTAACTTCACCCAACTTACTTTTAAATGACTGATAAATAAAGCTTGACATCAGCGGTAGAAAAGTGACAAATATAATTGGGTTACAAATGCAATATAGAAGAAAAAGGTCAGACAGTCATCAACAGGGCAGCCAACACCGACAAAGTCAGTACCCATTAGCAAAAAAAAGTGAATTGTTACTTACTTCGGACACGTGGCCATGAATCTCTGTCACTCGCGCGTGGATAGCATACCTCGCAGAGACGAGATCCCATATGGGTACAAGACAAACGCCACCCATCGGTCCTTGATTCCACCGTAGAAGAGGAGCCACCCCGGGGGCTAAGTGGAGAAGGAAGTATAATGGCGATAGTTTTACGCCTAGTATTATATGGCCGGCTACTACTGAAGAAAGGTAGAGTGATGCGGAGCAAAGAGAAATGTCCAACGGTGAGTGCCATTCGAACAGAGATGGTGCACATACTGTCAACAAGGCACAAAAAAGCAATAAAATATATAACGCAAATAACCAATTAAACTTACAGTAGTTCCGTAGTGGTCGCGTATTATTTTTTTTGTCTCACAGACGAGAGTCGTGGACTAAAAATAAGTTAGCACCAGCCCGCGGATGGGTGCTCAAAAGAGAAAAAGGAGGGCGGTTCAAACTAGTTGTCGAAATGCGCTATAAAGGAAATAAAGGACGTAGAAGATGTTAACTCGCTGCTACTACAATTTCGTGCATCTCGTTGTTGGTGCATGTTATGACAAGCACATAGCAAGGGGTGGCAAATTAATTAATTAAAGCAATCGGAACTGCTTGGCCCTTGTTGGCGACAAAACAAAAAAAAGAAGAGCGCACTTACAGATAAGGTCGTCCGGATATGCCGACGATGCACACGCCTCAGCAAGCGTGGAGAGTAAGTCAGAGAAGGAAAGGACGGATATGTGTAGCGGGACCAGAGAAGCGGCTTTTCTGTCTCTGGGAAAATCGTGAGAGTACTTCTTGTTTTCTTGTGAATCGACGTTCGTGTTCTGACTGGTTGTTGTACGAATGGTGCACGAGAGAGGGGGTGATAATGGATTGATTGGTGCAATTGATACGAATAGATCTCCGGTTCCTGTCAGGATAACTTTGAGTTGAAGGAAAAGAAAGGAAGAGGAAGGAGTGAAAATGGAATGGGTCAGCCATGCCCTGAATGCAGGCAAAAGAAAGTTGCGTGCCGCATGGAATGCGAGCGCAGTTACAATGCTGGAGGTGATCAGTGGTAGAAGTGGAGTGGGTGAAGAATGTGCAAGGGAGAGGAAAGGGAAGCACTCCCGCCCTCGGACCTGAATGGTCGCGAAGGATGACCTAGATCAGGGAATGCGAGTGGAAGAGAGAACTGGGAATATCGTGTTCGCGCCAAAGATCACTATGCTGTGCCAGTGGACCATCTGGCTATTCATATAACGAAGGGTCGGGGTTGATATTCGAATCAGAGAGGTTTGGGCACACAAGAGAGGAAGAAAAACGGAACGTATGAGAAGGAGGGGGAACAAGAGAGCACTGGGTTGGCTATTTTGTTGACACCGTGGGAGAACAAGCATGCTGATATTCTACTGCCATGATCTGCTAGTCATCATTGATCACGGTGCCATCATTCTCGCGCAAGGCACATACAAATTTTAATTTTTCGTGTCAGTTGTCGCACTGCTGTAAGCTGCTGATGTGTTGGATCCGACAAAGTCGACTACAAATGATAAACACGTCCTGGTGCACAACAAGACTACCGCGACAAATGTGCCTGCAGATAGAAACAATGAGAGCATGGTATTAGCCAACATCGTCTTGTAGGGCCCTTTGGCTGCAGGTTGATTCATGATACAGAATTGAGCACGAAAGGTCGGAAGCAACCCTTAATTGCCTCTTTTCCAAATTGTACGCTGCCAGCAAGCAATGACTTTTACTTTCTTACCACAAAACAAAAACAAACGACCCATCTTCCAACGACGAAATATGCGAACCAGGAACAAACGATCACCAACACCACCACACAATAACCATCACCTTTGGACATTACGGGATCCTCGAGCTGGTGTTTTCATTCCTGAGCAACATTACCACCCGCCGCATCGTAGTCCTTGTTCGCAGGAGTTGGTTGCAAAAAAAACCCCCCCGAATCTAATTTTGCGGAAAGTGTATAGGGAGCCCCTGGCATGACAAGAGGTTGGACGACATCACTTCCAGGCTAGTTGGAGCAAGTCGCTTTGATTGCTACATCTTTGGCCCCATATCTCTACGCGTATGGAACGAAATCCACTCTCTCTTCAGAGAGCTCCTCGATAAGTACCACAAGGAACTGGACAGGAGAAATGGACTGGCGAAAGGCAGGACACTACAGATGCTTTACAACGTTAGTCTATCCAGGACACTCAATATATACATGGGGGATTGCCACACGACAGTCTAGAACTCGCTCTGGTTCCCTCCTACTTTGACCTCCCTACGACGTGGTTACTTACCACCATGTAGGTATTTCTGGTTTGGAAAGGATAAGTCCTTCGATGTCAACCTGCAGGTCCATCCCACAACGGTTCATCGTCGCCCAATCCATTTGATGTCGGATGAAGGTGGGAAGAGGTCTTCGAATGGGCTGATGTTTGAGTCGGAAAATGTGTTGAGCGAGAAGGTGTTGGATGTGGTGCCAAACATGATCTTACATCAGTTTTATCTCAGCTCTCCTCTTTGAACAACCTCTGATGGAGCATCTATTTTATAAGAGTAGATGAGAGAATAATATAAAAGTATGTCAGTTCTTTAATGCTGCTGTTCTGCCCTTTGATCTAATTGACTCCATGACATGCTTTTCTTGCCAGTCAGTTCATCCTCACACTCCAATGTGAGCCTCCTGCCGCTGTGTTTTATTCTGATGTATTCTCTCCATTGTTTCTATTTACGCGCTCGTGAATCTCGTGGGGTGAATAGCATGGTGCATCGTCCCATGCACGCACCCACGGTTTTTTCGTGTCCAATACACTTTTTTTTGTTGTTGTAAGGATCCTCCTTTGATACCGATCTGGTACATGTTACCTGCTCCTGAGGAGAGAAAAAAAGGTACCACACGAAAATAAAACGTACAGCGATGAAAATTAGGGATAATTATATATGTAGTCTCCAAGGAGCGGCCCAAGAGCACCAACTGCGCCTCGCTATAAAACCGCACTCGCCTCGCCGCCAACTTGACTGCCGTGTCAACTGCCTCCCGACTCTCGACCTTATCGATCCCTTTTTCCTCCATCTGCTTATGAGAAACCTCACTACTGGTAACACTCAAATGCAATATCAACTCTGGCCGGAAATCGGCCCGCTTCACCGCCAACGTCTCTTCCACAGCCCAATCATAATGACACCCAACCAGGACCAAACACTCCAGTCGCGACAGGTTCATGACACCCACCATCCCCTTCAGTTCTGGACTCGACAGTCCGCTCAGTTGGAGGCGTCGCAGGGTGAGGTTCTTGAGAAGAGGCGCAAATTTCCAGGGGTTGGCATACTTGCAACCTTGGAGAGAGACCACTTCCAGGTGCGTGTGGTTGTTGCAGTTCTGAACGTAGTCTTTGAGGGGTTTCATGCCGGCCGCATCAAAGTCGAGGAGGCTGATGGATCTCAGGGTTGGAAAGTTGACATGCTCCAGAAGGGTTTTGGAGTGACTTGTGAGTCCCAGGTGGACCAAGTTGAGACACTTGAAGGTGCCTGCCAGATATTTCATGGACTGCGGAGACAGATTTGAGTTAAGATCGAGATGTGTCAACCGGGAGAAGGGCGACGGCAAGGTCGCTGGAAATTGGCCGCTGAAGATCCAGTAGGGCTGTTGTCGGTGGTAACGGGGACCAAATCCAAGTTGGGCGGAGACACCTGCTCAACTACAAGAATCTCGATCGTCCTCGACAAACTCTTGATCACCTCACCCAGCTCCCACTCGTTGACGCGACCGACATAACATACGAGTTCCTTGAGTGGCGTGACTTTGTTGGCAAACGCATATAAAAGACCCGACACTGATTGCTCAGACTTGCCCTCCACTCTGTACAAATGTAGCGTCCTAAGGTGCTCCATCGCCGCAATAACCGACACCGTTTGTTGCCGGATCCCGCTCGGATTGAGATAATCGCCCAGTCTCAGGTCCGTCAAGTTGCGGCAGTAGGTCAGGAGCTTCATCAATCGCAGCTGGTCCGAGGTCTTGATCGCATGCAAGAAATGAAAACTCTGCAGGTAAGAAAAGTGCGGACCCATCTCAAAATCTGAAGTCCTGAGTCCAAACGCGCCAGCACCAGACAGAGAGAGACTCTGGAGATTTCTATTCCAGAGTAGGTCGAAAAGGGGCTGGTACTTACTGCCTGGCGTAATACGAGCACCAAACTCAGTGATGGCGTCGTTAACTGAGTCCTTCAAATCCAGCTTGAGGCTCTTGACATTCGACTGACAGACCGATCTGACAAGAATCTCTAGATCCCACGACCAAAAGGTCCAGCCGTCAAAAACTACGTCGAGCTCGTCCACGTCGGTTGCCTGGCTGGCAAAGGTCTCGAAAAATCTCTTGGAATAGGCACTAGATGTCAGGGAGATGGTGACCTTGCGGAGGTGAGGATCGTATGAGCCGTTGATCTCCTGAAGGATCCCCAAGAAGGGGCTTATGGTGGTGTCATGGAGAGACTGTTCATAATGTTCGCGACACATCCACTTCACATAGCCTTCGCCCGTCGTTATCCTATAGAGGTTGCCCAGTATCCTGTCGCCGTCGTTGTATCGCAAGAATGTCGTCAGACGCCGAAGGTCCGCGCCCTCCAAGGCAGCTACACCCGGAAGAAGACTATCCTGCTGCTGAGGTCCTTCTGGACTTGTGGTTGGTGAAGGCTGAGTGATGCCAGATCCCGCCAATGTTTGTCTGAGAAAGGAGATCGAGCCGCTAACAACGTTCTCAAAAGTAGCGTTGGCGATCGACTCGACGCCCGACATGGCGTCATGAGAAGTCCCATGGGAGACGGTTCCTTTGCGCAAACAGTGACTCAGGACATTGAGCATGCCCAGGACATAAGAACCATACCGCTCCAAGAAGTCGTACGGTCTCGATATCACATAGCTACTGTCTTTGTGCAGGTGGACTCGTCGAACGGAGGAAAACGGGGATATTGAGCGTTGGCTGCGGGAGCGTTGGTGGTGTTGCCCAGATGAATGCACCTCGCACTCGCATAGAAAGTAGAGCCGGCACTGTTCAATACTGAGCGACTTGGGGTCGAATATGTCAAAGGTCTTGGGGAGGAGGACAAAGAACTTGGGGATGGTGCACTGGTGCATTTCGCGACTCTGAACGAGAATTGCGTCCAGTTTTCTTTCCATGACATCTTTCTTGGGGCCTGTTCGATATTGAGGGTTGTGGTTGTGTAGATTTAGTAGATTCTGGGGGCAAAGGCGCTCCTCAAAGACATATCGCTGTTGGCCGAGGAGGTCGCCGTAATACCTCAAGAGTTCTCTGAAATCCTCTGACTTGCGATCTTTGGCCGCGTTGATAAGGTTGTTGATGTATATTAGCTCGGACGTCAAACAGGGGGCATCGTTGGAAATGACGGATAATCGCTTGCTGTGCTCAATAGACATGGAGCCCTCTCTCGTTCATTAAGCTCACTTTTTTCATTCCCAGCTCTTTTTGGTTAATAGATGGCGAAGGATATTAATTGCTTAGTACTTGATCTGCTGTTCAAGGGCTTTTGTTGGAGGCGTATTGCCATCATACTAAGGATGGTGAAGACACAAAGGGCTTTCTCTTTTCCGAGGATGAGGAAGGAGTTACCCAGCTCACGTGTTCTTTTTCTTCAACTGGTGTGAAGAAAACTTGCCACGTTTTTCGTTCATATGGACATCCACCGCCGCCGATCTATGAACTCATCGGAAGGGCCTTCACCCCTCATGCCTGGAATTTGGATCTGTCGAGGGTGGGAAACGCTTCATATTGAACTATGTGTTCACGAGTAAGCGAAGGCAAAAGGAACAGCATATACCATGATCGTCTTTCTCGAATGTGCCCGAGCCTCCAGGATCTTCACATCACGTTTTCAGCTAGCTGCGAGTGTGCCGCAGGGTACGTGAATTTGGAGGCTGTACTCGTTTGGTTTGGAAGGAGGGCTATTTTCTGTTGTCGAGGTTGAGGTACCTGGAGCGGCTTAGGGTGGACTGCCGTTCTGTCGAGTGCGAGATCGCGGAGCTGAAATGGCTGTGCCGGTCGGGACGGAATGAGGAGCACCGAGCAAGAAGACGCCAGCTTATTGATGGATGAGCATGGAGACTCGAGCAGGAGACTGCCTTGGACACGGAGCGTATGAAAAATAAGATACTGGGAGATAACAATGTCATCGGTGAAGAGGGCGACTATGACCTATTGACAAGTATCAGGCAACTGGGTCTTCTTCAGGATGTGAAGGAAGTGCTATTGGAGATGGGTAGGCGTGCTTTCGAATATCTGTCTGCGCTCCACGTGGTGGCCTGTGGTGATCATTTGCCAAAACCTCTGTGAGGGAGATGAGGTCACCTTTTAATACGGAACCCCCTGGACTTGCATAGTGGAGTCCATTTTAACTTTTTCATCTAAATAACCTAAACCCCTTGGAACCCAGGCCCATTCTCTCATGCCCTACCAACAGACTGTCCGTGTGACCCCTCTGTTCTCATCACAACCAAACATACTCCCATGGTTACTCAGCGAGAGATAACCTGCAAGCGATTGCCATTGATTCATGACCCTTCCTTTGTAGGGACAACGGTCAAGTAAAAACAACGTGCACGATAGGTACAATTGATGCCAGGTTTTTATTGTCAAACCAAGGCACCGCTCTAAAGGTCTACCACAAAGTCGCCATCATCCCCTCGCCTCCGCGCCTTCCCCTTCTTGGATGACCCATCAATCTCATCGGCGGAAATCTTCTGGCGGTTTTGCTTCTTCTCTTTCTGCTTATCCCGCTTCATCAACTTCTCCGCACTAATGTTCAACGTCCTCCGCTTGGCAGGCTTGCCCTCTCCATCCTCTTCAGCACCGCCATCCCCGTCCAACATATTCTTGACGCTCTCTTTCCGGACAGCCTTGTTTTTAGGCTGATGAGGGAACAGATCGCCCCACATCGCCTTGCGCGCATCCCTGTACGGAATCTTGCCCTGCGACTTGGGGATGATGATTCGCTCCAGGTATCCGTTGGCCGCACAGGTATCGATCACGACATGGCCATCCTTCTTGAGTGGTGGAACCACAATACGCGACCAGTCATACGATGCAGCCTGCATATCCTCGGGGTTGTCGTAGGTGACTGGTGGAGGTGGTGGGGGCTTCTTGGTTCTCTTCTTTTTCACACTCGGATCTGTTGTTGAAATATCCTCGGGTAATGAAGATCCTGCTGCTGCTGTGGTTGCCTCAGATGTTACTACTGGTGATGTCGATGCCCGGGTGAAAGAGGGTCGTGGTCCCTTGCGCAGGACGACGTAGGTATATTTGGCGTCTTCATAGTTGTCCTTGGAGTGTTTCGTCTTGCGCTAATATAAGATCAATTTTTTTGATAGAATCAGTTCCTGAAACGAATTAAAGTTATCTAATCATTGAAATCTAACCTATCAATTGGTCAATTGTAACATACCAAGAAATCTGGTCGTTGAACTTTTTGAGAAAAGTGGCACCACTGTGAGTCGCGGGAGAGGGACTCGTACATCGGGCAGACCTTATCATGAGGGCACTACGGAAAACAAAAAGGCAAAGTAACACGGTAAGCAGATGATTTCCAGTAGGTCATAATTTCGTACGGCGAATCCCAGTGAAAATGACTTACAGGAGCGACAACATGTGCAGGCTCTGGCATGACGATAGGTTCCTCTGGGATGAGCTGGCCATACGCATCATACTTGGGCTTGGTGACGATGCGATCCAAGTCCAGTCCTAAGATCTGCTCCCTCGCCTCGGCCAAAATCCTGAATCCGCTAGGTGTTCCACGATCGACCAAAATCTAAAATGAAAACCAAGAAAAGCTGTCAGCACATCGACTTATCTGTTGTCCTGCATAATATGGGTAGTACAAACGCCAAGATGCTTACAAGCATGTCGTTGGTAGAGTTCCAGAGGTGTTCCAGTGTTGACTTGCGGAGAGCAGGGGTGGTGAGCTCACTCAGGGCAAAGGCGCTCATGACGACGTCGTACTTGATTGCCTTGGCTCCGTGGGACATGAAGGGTTTGAATGTGACATTAGGGATCGGTGAGCCGTTGGTCGACAAGTTATCCATAATTTCCTCCGCAGTCTCCAGCATGGCCAGTGATGTATCCACTCCTGTGTACTTTAATGGCTCCTCCCACACCTCATTCGCAGCCCTATGAAAAAGACAATGTTGGTTAGCTATTGTTGCGATGTGCTAAAGTTATGTGTTTTCTTTAACGCATAGAAGTACCAGAGAGATCACAGGTTCCTTACCAGATGGCAGTTCCTGGTCCAGTTCCGAAATCCAAAAAAGTCTTGGGGTTCAGGTCGGGTAGTCGTTTGTTGACCTCCTGAAGGACGTTCTTGATCGCGCTGAAAGTTGTAGGTGCCATAGCAGCAATGTACGCGATAGACTCGCGGTGTCCGTATTCCAGGATGTGTGCTGTCACTGGTTTATCCCCTTTTCCTGTCATTTCTCCCACGCCGCTCCTGAGTCCTATTTGTCATGGAAACGATGTCGTTAGGTTTGCGAACTATTCTTCAAATGTGTCCTGACAAAGCAGATCCCGCATGGTATACATACTCTTGGTGGGGAGCTCGGCGAATGTGTCGTCCTCCAAGGCTCCTGTTGATCTCAACGACCCAAAAAGACGAAGTGCGTCTGTCCTGATCAAGGGTTTGTCATACTCTAATGTCAAGATGAGAAGGTACAGCAATGATTAGTACGTGGAATATCAATGCATAAGGTTCATATTGCCAGCCATAGTTATAAATCATACCGTCCAAGAGAGAGCGGATAGAATCCTGAATATCCTTGGGAAGCTCGACTTGTCCGATACGTTTACGACCATATTCCATCTCCTTGGATCCGCGCTGGTGAGGTGAGCCCTCGGCGGCGCCCTCCAGATCAAAGTCTTCAACAGCAGTAGCGGCAGCATTATAGTCATCCCGTGTTTGGCCCTTAACGCGATCATCATGAGGGATCATGGTGACTTTTCCATGCTTGTCGAGGAATATGACCATGTTGGGGTCGTACTTTGGCTCTGGTTGAGGTTTGGCGAGTTTGAAGTTTCCGGGTAACTTGGATTTTGGGGAGAAGTCAGATTTTGATGATGAGAGAGCTTTGAGGGCGTCCTGGACGTCTCTGGTAGACATGGGTGTCTTGATAGCCGTTTCTGTTGAAGCCAATCCGTCGGTGGGAGCTTTTGGGATAATGGGCCGTGACCGAGCAACACGGGCATATCCACGCACGGCCGACGAAGGCGACACTACCGCCGTCGAACGAGTAACAGTCCTGGTGGTAAGAGAAAGTCCTGTGAGGCGGTGAGTGAGTGAGGTCGTGAGTCCCGAGGTGGCTCTCTGTATGTGTGCATGTGTGCAGTGCTGCTGCCTTGCGCTAAGGCAGAGTCGAGAAGTCATGTTCGGAGATGTCGGTTCTTGTCCGGAAGGGAATGAAAGGTGTGTTAGGTTGTTTGAAATTTCCGAACTCGAAAGCACATTTTTTTTGCTTAGTACGGAGACAACAGTGACTGCCAAAAAAACCCATTTAGGTTATTTTCCATGGCAATTTTTTGGTGGCGGAAATGAACTCGCACAAAAGGTAAAAGCAAGATGTTAAGCAAAGGAGAATCTGGCGAAGGGTTGCTGGTGCAGGATAAACAAGTGTAACAGTGCGAGAAGTGCCTTAGCCAGCTCCTTGGTACATCGCGCTCACCCTCTACAGTTGGTTGTCTGAACTTGAAGGGACTGGTTTATCAATGAATTGGGCGGGTTCAAACCGGCATTTCTTGACGAAATGATATAGTGGATTTCACGCAAAATTATCAATTTATGATCAATGTTATTCTTGGTATAAAAAGTGCGAGCCAAAAAGGCCTATTCAATTAAGCGAAGTTGATACTGGCGAAAAGCATACCCTATTCTCCAGCCTCACCCGCACCTAACCAACACACACACAACACACTCTCTTCAGAAAGACAACACTCGATCTCTTTTTTTCTTCCCTTCACATTCTATACATCTGTTCCCTTTTCTACACGACACTGAACGACAACCCCACTACATTATACGCAGATTAGCGGCTTATAATGGTTTATAGATTTTTTTATTCCGAGCACGATAGACAGTTATAAACCAGTCACATATGTGTGAATAGATTGTTTCATGTGCCCTCTCCTCTCGTGCCTGTGCCTGAACACATTGAGAACTGCGTTGCCCTCCTGCTTACATCACACTCTCTGCTCTCTATTCCTCTCTGCTCTTCCCTCCCTCTATCCCTAGGTCCTTCTATCATCACTCTCTCTACTCCCCTCTCTACTATCCTCTTCTCTCCTCCTTCCCTCAGCTTTGCCCTCACCCTGCTCCTAACCATATGTAGAGCGAGCTGACATGTAACACTGTGATAGACCAAGGATGGTGTTTATTCTCTTC